CGAATTATCCGCGAAATAATTTAACTCCGTTTATAAACCTATAGTATTTAAAAAAGGCGACTTAGTAGGGTTATTAATAAGAAACCTAAAGTTTAAAGTCTATACTAAGAAACTAGCTCTAAGATATATTAGACTATTACGGGTCCTAAACCCTATCGGATCCTAGGCGTACCGGTTAAGTCTCCTAAACTAATACGATAAGATATATAACGTATTCTATATCTCTCTCCTAGAACTATAGAAGGGAGAAAAGTCCGAAACCTTACTAATACTAGAACTTAAAGAGTCCGATAAATAGGAAATTAAAAATATTAAAGACGAAAGGCTATTTAATAAGGAGAGATACTTCTTAGTGAAATAGAAGGGTTAGCTTACTAAATATAATTAGTAGATCCTAGAAGAAAATATAGGAAATATAAAAGAAGCTATTAAGTCCTTTAGAAAACTTAAGGAAAAGAAGAAGAAAGCTTAAAGTATACGGTTAAATTTAATACCCTATTAATAAAAAGAAGATAATAAATCTAGATCGAAACGAGCTTATTTTACTATCGAAATACCTCCGAGATATTATAGAAGAAATAACCTTTAAAAACGAGAAAATAGAATAATTCCGGAAACTATACCGAATATATAACGAACCTATAGTATATCTAGTATAATCGGAAAGCTAGCCTAGATACTAAGGGAAAGTGTAGGGCTTATATCGGTATCTTAACCACTTATAATAATCGCTATTATTAAATCCCCGATAAACGAATACTTCGCGGTATTCTATAAGGTATATCCCGAATCCCTATAGCGGATAAAGTAGCGAATAGAAACGTCGTAGGCCTTCTACTCGGCTAATATAGCTAAAAGACTAGGGCGAGGTAAAGGGGTTAGACTTCGAGAAGAGAGGAACCGTTTATAAGCGTTAGCGATATCCTACCGATTCGTTAGGGAAATATACCTAAAAGAGAGAAGGTAATATTTACGATAGGAGTCTTCTTTCGAGATAGGGGGAAACTATAAGTAGCTCGATAACTACGGATTAACGTAGAAAAGTCGGAGATTAACCTACGGATCCTACTCTTAACGGTAGCCCGGATAGTAGGCCTATAGAAAAATCGGGACCCGTTAACCTTATCCTATTCTATATAGTCGGGGCGATCCTCTAGCTTTTCGAAAAATCGGGTAGACTATTCGATAATTAAGGTTAGATCTATAGTATTACCGGTAATACCACTCGGAACCTATACGATTAGGGTCCGATACTAATAAGAAAGGCGAATAAATCTATACCGAGTTATATACCTATCGTTTCTCTATATAATACTAGTAAGAGATAGAACTAATAGCCTCGGATTTATACTTAACCTTAAGGGGTTTATCGGTAACCTACTTCTTCTTAGCTATATATAAATAGGTAACGTATTAATTTAAGCGATATCGGATAGGACGATTTCGTTTCGGGCGTGTAGAAGAACCGGAGTTTCGAGTATAACGAGTAGTCCTAATAGGACCTATACGAGGAGGAGTCGATAGTGGATCTATATCGGAATAGTTATAAATCTTAGATACTATCTTAGAAGTAGCCGAAGGAGAAGAGGGTATAGACTAGTCTATAGGCGGGTCGTTAATAGGAATTATACTACGACCCCGACTACGACCGCGACCGCGACTATAACCTCGCGCTATAATAAAGGAAGGTTCCTATAGAAATAAATAGGACTCGTAAAAAGATAAGACGATAAGATACGAGGGGATTACCTACGAAATATACGAGGAACTACGTATAAATAATAACGAAATAACGTAAAGAAAGAAAAGATTATAGTTAGAAAATTAAAATAAATTCCTCTTTTATTCTAGGCTACCTTTATTATAAGGAAGGAACTACGTATATAGTACCTTCCCTTTTATCGAGGAGAATAAGTTACGAACCTCTTACACTCGTTAATCCCGAAAGTATTAAGTAGGATCGTTCCTATAGCTTCCCCGAATATAGCTATAAAAGTGTTAGAAACGGACTCTAAATACCTCTATTTCGTAATAGTCTAATAAGTATATCCTATATCCCTAGAGAGTAGACTTAAAAGTCTACCCTAATCTAATAGAGTTAAACTACGACTATTAAGTATAGTCTATATATCGGCCCGACGACCGTTCGTAAACTTATTATAATTCGCCTAAAATAGCTAGACTATTATTAGAAGACGAATCGTTAACGAAACGGCTACGAAATACTTATAGCTTATATTTTCTTCGCACCTACTAAATTCTAATATAAATAGTAACTAATAACCACTACGTTAAACGCTTAGACTAAATTATACGAACTCTTAGCGACTTCCGTATAGATCTACTCCGATAACTCTATTTTATTATCTAAGAGAACCTTTAAAAATTTTAAGATAGTAGAAAAATCCTAAGTATCCCTTATTATACTAACGGGTACCTATACGGGATAAGTACGGATCTATTATAATAAAAGCCCGAAAACGTACCGTATTATAAGTCTTCTTATCTATATAATATCGCTCGTAAAGGATAGACGCGATCGTATTATACCGATAAGAGATAGAGAAAACCTCCCCTTCGGTAGTATTAAAGGACTTTAAGTTAGAACGTAAGTAGCCTAGGCACTAGACTAGTTCTAGTTCCGGTACTAGATCGCTAGTATCCCACCCGTTAGCTACTACTATAGCTATACTAACGAGGCTCTACAAAATAGAGAAAGGAATAAACTCGATAGGAACCCTTCTTACCTTATAACTTATACTTCCCTTTATTTAACCTAAAACCCCGGGACGGGTTTTATAGAGAAGGGGGGATAGTTGTTACGGTATTTCTTTATTATACTATTTTACCTTAGGCTCCCTTTCTCTTAGACGGAGGAGACCCCTCCGAATACCCTACGATGTCGGGATAGAACTAATATAATCCGGTCCCGAGAAGCGGGGAACCTAAATCATAAAAGGAAGACACCTATAGGAAAAGGGAAGGTAAGATTTAGTCTTATAACTAATATAGAATCGAATACCCTTCGTTCTAACTACGTATCCCTCTCGTATTATTATTCACCTAGTTAATAAGTATTGCCTTAATAAATAGTTACCTTAATAGTAAGTAGCCTAGGTACTAGACTAGTTCTAGTTCCGGTACTAGATCGCTAGTATCCCGCCCGTTAGCTACTACTATAGCTATACTAACGAGGCTCTATAAAATAGAGAAAGGAACAAACTCGATAGGAACCCTTCTTACCTTATAACTCATACTTCCCTTTGTTTAACCTAAAACCCCGGGACGGGTTTTATAGAGAAGGGGGATAGTTATTACGGTATTTCTTTGTTATACTATTTTACCTTAGGCTCCCTTTCTCTTAGACGGAGGAGACCCCTCCGAATACCCCACGATATCGGGATAGAACTAATATGATCCGGTCCCGAGAAGCGGGGAACCTAAATCATAAAAGGAAGACACCCATAGGAAAAGGGAAGGCAAGATTCAGTCTTGCAACCAATATAGAATCGAATACCCTTCGTTCTAACTACGTATCCCTCTCGTATCATTATTTACCTAGTCAACAAGTACTGCCTTGACAAACAGTTACCTTAACACTAAAGATATAATAGAGCGTAAGGAGCTAAGATAGACTATTAAGATATAATAACTACGTCTATATTCCTAAAGGCGAACCTATAATCTATTAGGAAATTATAAAGATCTACTATAACGATCTATAGGTAGGCTACTATATAAGGAAAAGAACGCTATAGGCTATTAGATATAAATATTAGTAGAAAAGCCTTATTAAAGATATATAGGACTATATCCTTATATACTAGGTTCCTAGATCTGCCTTCCTGCGTAGATCTCTGACATAGATATATAGTAGTCAAGTTCCCATTGAATAAACATGAATATAGGAACTTGATGTACATACATACTCTTTTTGACAACTCGAAAGTACGCTATCTGATCAAGACTTTCGTCGATCGGGAGTAACCGCGAGAGTAAGCACCCCACATGTTTATTGACGCAGATATAGACAAATTTTGTATCGAGATGTATCACAAATACTACTGAGAACCAATAATTGCATGTGGATATTAGAACCGGTACCGTCGGAGTCACATGAGATCTTGTGAATGGGGCATATGGGAATGAGATACATAGTAACAATAGCTGTAGCAATACGGAGTACAGGTTGACTCTTAGGGCTTATTGCTCCTCATTTGATTGGTTCATCCATCTCTCATCTACATCTGATTAGCCCGTGTCTGCAGTTCAGCAATAGCTCTACTGAGAATGCTTCGATGCTTCGATATCACCGCGTCTATCTCAAGTAGTGGAGAAACTTGCGGCAGCTAACTTGATACTTCTCAATTTTCCCAATTGAAAAGACCGCTAGAAAGAAAATTAAGAGACGGTGAAGATCATAATCAAGTGGGGGCCCGTAGTATGATGCGATGGCTTTGTTAGTCCCGACATCTGAAACGCGGCTGTCAGAAATAAATTAGGGGCCTCGGCTTCCACGAGATCTAGATGGTCAACTTCGGACTCTGAATACGTGATAACTACGCACAGTTCGATGTCCTGCATGCACTATTAACACACGAAATTCCCACGAGGTAAAGCAACACTCAGGATTCCGACTCTAATATATATTGCGCAAATAGTAGAGAGAAGTATACTCCCATTCCCCACTTGATCTGCAAGGGGAGTACTTCATATTTAACACCAAACCCCAAGATCTTTGCCATGTTTTGCGAGTGTAACAGGAATCGAATCTCTCGGACCTTGCTCCCCTGGGCGATCTTACTCTTTGTAGTGTAAATGCCGTGTCTTTAATGCCGTGCCTTTGGGTATTGAACTTGATTCTATCGCCCCGCCCTCATGCGCTCCTTAGGCCGCAGCATTGTCCCATGTCTCTCACCCGTTCATATTCCACGGGCGTTGTCTCGGAATGAAAAATAATCACCTCTTCAAAATTGTACTTCGGAGTCAGTTTCTCCTCCATGGCGGCTCTATCCGGCACACTTGTCCACTCCCTTGGTCATAATACCTTGGGAAAGACTGATATCGCTGTTCAGTCGGTCCTTTTGTTAATTGCATTCTTGATCGTCGGTCTGCGGTTATGGTCGCGACGATTACAGCGGGTTTCACTGCAGTTGAATGATTTCTTGATTATAGTTGCGACGGTAGGGCGATCTATTTCATCTTTTCTTATCTACAATCCGTGGTGGTGGTGATTCTCCACAATTATTCAACCGGGCTGACAATGGCAATATAGTTCTTACTAGTCGGTCGCTATGTGGTGGAAATCTTATTGATCGTGTTGTGTGGAATGGGGCTGCATTCCATCGAAGTGGCCCAGGTCGCAGGGACGGAGGTTTTTGTGCGATTCAACAAGGTAGGTGATGATGGATAGCATCTATACAATGCATTTCAATCTGTTCACAAACTAATCCCATTATCAGCTTATATATGCGGGTGATCTTCTCTGGGTCGTGGTGATCGCCTTGATTCAGTTATCAATTCTGCACTACTATGTGCGTAACTTCGAACAGTTTGCTGTCATCCTACTATCGTATGGCCTCATGTTTCTATGCTCAGCGCTCTGTATTGCGGGCTTGTTCGCAACCGCATTCCTCTGCACCCCGCCGAAGAGAGCATGGCTCACCAACACTCCGGGATATTGTGGTGATCACGAAACATTGAACATTGGTGTCAATGCAAGTGAGACTATTCTATCTTTCCTTGTCTTGATCCTTCCCATTCCCCTTTTGTGGCGCATGCCATTGTCGTGGGCGAGGAGGACTGCACTGGGGTGTGTTCAAATCCTAGGGTTGGCGTAAGTGATACCCCGGCATGAGTAGTATGGATAGAATGACTGACCGGCATTTCAGAATCATTACCATTATTGCTATTCGTCTGACGCCCGGGTTTGAGGTCGACCCACACGACCTAACACACAGCTCTGCCAGGAAGTCAATACTTTCATGCATTATACTCCCTTTAGGGATAATTGCTGCATCTCTTCCGATACCCCAATCGCCCGTTGAGCGAAACCGACTCTCGGCTTTCCCGTCTGCATTCCACCCTTCTATCTCTGAGCTAAACTTTGCGAGGTACTGGAGGACAACGGTCATTTCCGGGAGACAGTTAGACGAGCCAGAGATGCCTTTAGTGACGGTTGCTAAACCTTTCATGGCAAAAATGGGGTACCTTGCTCCTGGGCATATTCAAGTCACTTCGGACTGGGAAATTCATTCGTCGCGGGGTTCGGCGAGATTTGATAAATCACCTGTACGGCGGGTCTGAAGGTGTATTTCTCATGTTATCTCCAGTTCAAATATATTGACAATAGAGGTCGGGCCTGGTGCCCGGTATAAGTCTTGTTTATTTTACTATCTATCCCCCACAGTGTCTACCATACGGCAAGTATAACGCTGGGTTTGCTTGGAGTGATAGATGCCCCTGGTACTAGTCATACTCGCCCTTTCCAGTATCTCGGTATATCTAACCATCTATCTTGTGGTATCGCTGCGATCACCTTTCATACGGATATTGGTCATCGAGGAAGCACGAGATGAAAAAGAAATTTGTCGAAGCTGGGTGACCAGCTTAATGGTATATATTGTTATATACTCTCACCATACTAACATTAAGCGCACAGAAACAAACTTATAGCGGTTAATTTATTTAGTTTTGATCAAGATTGATCTTTATACCGAGAATAAAATAGTCTATTTCCCGTCGTAATCATTCTAGGAAAATTTATTTGGCGTAAGACCGCTCATGGATGACTCTCAATTTGGTAAATTTTGTTTTGCTTTATATATCCAAAGCTGGAAACGATTTTCATCCCAACTGATATAGTTGGCCAATTGGCCTAGTGGTAAGGCATCCGTTTCCGGTGCGGGAGATCGTAGGTTCGAATCCTGCATTGGTCGCTATCTTTTTTGTCCCCTCTCCTCTCTTCCAGAGGGAAGGATGGTTTTTTTGCCACCACAGTAATTAATTTTTGCTTTGAATCGCATTAATGCTAAGTTGCTGCATGTAATAAGGATGTAAATGTTGACTTCTAACGTATATAGCAGTACGGGGTAAAGACAAAGACATGTATGCGTACAACACATGGTTCGACTATAGGTAGATAGTTTATACTTACGAACGGTGTATATACTTCAGGCATCTAGATACTGACGAGCACTTAATGGACCACTCACTGACTGACTGGTTGGTATATGGTGGAACGCTAGACAGTAAAAGAAAAAAAAAATAAATCCAGTGATGTGAAAGTAGAATATAATACCTAGCATGTAGGTAGGTATAAAAAGAAGGCTAATGCGAGCCAGAGTAGCAAAAAGCAAACCCACCAACAAAAAACCAAGCCACCCTCCTCCAACCATCACCATCAATTGAAGTTTCCTTCCTCTTGCGTATTCTCTCTACTCAGATAGAGAGACAAAAAGCAAAAAGAGAACGACCAATGCAGGATTCGAACCTACGATCTCCCGCACCGGAAACGGATGCCTTACCACTAGGCCAATTGGCCGCCTTGTGTGATAGACGAACAGGAAATGCGAATCATAATGCTGCGAAGCTGGAGAAATGTGCGAGAAAGAAACCTATGATTGATTCAGAAATCCTATAGGATCGCTATAGGAGGTGGACTTTTTGATTGACTAGCGTGTGAGGGTAAAAGAGCCTTTAGTGACTGTTGGTCACAGCCAAGAGAATGATCTTCAACAGACACAAGGAGTGTTAAGTTAAAGGAAGCATGTCTCACAGGAATAAACAACTCCTAGGGGGCACATGGCCCACCACCAATCAAACTCCCAGGAAGGAGTTCACGGACTTAGACATCCAGGGCATAAAACATCAGCAGCGCAGGTCCCAAACCTAACAGCGCCTCCCACGATCAGCGAGGATCACCCCTTGCATAGCAGGAAGGTGCACCCATGATCGACGGAGAAATCAGTCAAGATCAAGCATTAGGGCATTCCTCCCGGAGGAGTAAATAATTCAGCCATCCTGTCAGAGCAGTCAACACAACCACGAATGGTTGCCGCGAGGGATGTTGATATCGCCGCACGGGCAGCTGAGGGCATAACCTGACGACATCCCTTCATCCCAGTCATGGGAATGTCAAAAGGGCGATCCGTCCTGAGAGGATTAAAAACAGTCTGGTATCCCCTGAGCTGACTGCGCATTCCCAGAGACCTTCTTTGATACCCCTTCTTTTTTGTATTTACTGCCGCTGTCGCTCGTCGGCACTTCCTCTCTTTCAGTTTGAGACTTGACGAAAGATACGTCTATACAATCGACACGATGGTCAAGACTACTTATGCTCTTACGCTTTTCGCCGCTGTCAGCTTGGCAGCCCCGGTTCAGCAGCTTGACGGCCGTGCCATACAGAAAGACTCAGCCGAGCATGAGAACCTCATTGAGGAGCTTCCCCTCGTTGGGTCTCTTCTCGGATCGGTATGACTTCCGATATCTCAGAGAGGGCAGGATATGTGGAGGAGTATCGGCTAATAGTATTGCGAGAACAGAATCACGGTAAACGCGCTACTGAAAGGCCTGAGCACCACAACGTCATCGACGAAATCCCGATCCTTAATAAACTGATCGGCAGTGTTAGTTCCACACCTAGTTGATGGATTTTGAGAAAGGAGTGTACTAACCAAACTGTGGGAATAGGGCCAACAGAGGGAGCGTCGAGATATTGTCAGCGAGGGTATCAGTGGCTTGCCACTTGTGGGAGGTCTGTTTGGAAAGGTAGGCGTTTCCAACCCGCAGTCACCAAAAGACACAAAACGTTAACATGGCTTTAGCACGAGGTGGTCAATGGCAAAAACGGCAAGCGCGACTTGGCTAGCAGCCTCAATGGCATCCCTATCGTTGGAGAACTGCTCGGAATGGTAAGACACATCCTTAAAACCATTGGAACCCGATGACAAGCATGCAAAATCTAACATGTAACAGAACCAGGACAAGCCCTCCCACCAACAGACTGAGACTCCTGCTAAGCGCATTGATACCCGCCAGAATGCGGGCGATGTGAAGGGAGTGTTTAGGCTTCTGCACTCACTGACTAGTGGTGGTGTAAGTTGAGGAACACAAATTATGGTCGAGTTCAGAAAAGTACTAACAGTTACGATAGCCCGTGACCCAGAGCCACAAGCGTGATGAGGTCCATCCTAATGAAGCTGCTTCCCCCAAGGCCAATGGGGCTCAGCAGAGCAACCAGCCGGGCTCCGACGCCCAGAAAGGCAAGGAGGACAAGAACTCCGGTGGTCTCCTCGCTGGATTGATGGGCCCCAAGGGCCTCGGTGGCATTAAAGGCAACTCCGAGCACGGTCTCGGCCTGTTCCCTGTAAGTGGTATCCAACGATGTGGACACAAATAATGAAGCTAATATACCGCTAGATGCGTCGTGACACCAATCAGCTTGAGACCCGTCAATCAGCTCCCATCCAGGGTTCCACGCTGACTGATGTTGTCCTCCAGGGTGGTGTCTTCGGAAAAGTGACCAAATTGCTCACTCCTGGCGCCCCTGAGCACAAGCCTGGTCAGAACTCTCCTACTAATATGGGGGATGGTTCCACTGCTGGCCCCCCTGATCCTGCATCTGGTGCTGGTCCCCACTCAGGCCCTGGTCTTGCTGCTGAGCAAAGCCAGAGGGGTGCTTCCCAGTAAGCTGTTCACATACTGGACTCGCAAGTCTTGTTTTCTTCCTTTTGGTTAGTCGAAAGGATCGTTATGAGGATTTTATGATATGAAATGCATCGGCCCTAGTCGATGATAATTTAGGGTGGAGGATGATTTTGTTATTGAGTTGTTACTTATTCTTTCAAACCAAGTCGAATGGTTTCCGTTGTCATGGAATGAAGGTTTCATTATGCATAAATGACGTTCAATTTGGAACTTTGGACAAGAAAAGAAGCAGAAAGTCCTGCTTTGTAGTGAAACACAGATGAAGCCGCGAGGCAAAAAACACCAAAGACATCGAGGTCGTAAATCGTAGTCAGAGCGGAACCGGCTTTTCCGGTTCGGACTACCCAGTTAAAGAGCGTCCATGGGGGGTATCAGGTCGTTACACGCGATGAAAGCAAATGCAGACAAGCCACTTGAGATGGAACAAGAGACTCCGAAACAGCCGCGAGGAGACCTACTCAGAGTCATACATGTCCAAATCATCCACTACTACCGTTGTGCCTAAGGCCTCCTTACCTTCACGGATCATCGCCTGCAACTGCTTATTCAAGCGCTGGATACTGGCATCTTCTTCCCGCTCCTTGCGACGGATCTTGGCAGCCTGTCGCTGTATCTCCGCAGATCCAGGAACATCCCTTGACCGAGGAGATGGCAAGCCCTGGCTCTTAGTTGGCGATTGAGGTCCCGAGGAGCAAGAGACTCGTTTTAGTCGGGGCATCACGGCGGGTCTTCGGCGAGGAGTCGAGGCCTGGAAAGCGCGCCGTGTGCGAAGCGATGGGCTGGCAAACGCGCTGCTGCCCACAAAGGGATCGGAGCTCTCGGACACAAAGACCCAGCTGCGGTCGATTTCTTCATCTGCAAAATGTCCCGGAACGGGCGTCGAGCAGAATGCGTTTGTGCTGTACATTTGTTTTTCAGCCGATGGGTTGGCTGAGGGCTGCCAGCTGGATTCGACGGTTGTGGCTGTCGCTGTTGCTGTTGCTGGTGGCATGTCATAGCCCTGTCCTCCTCCTGCATAGAATCCCCGGAACGCTCCTGTCCAGCATAGATCGAGGACTTTGCTCACGGCTTTGATGACGGTCCGGCCCCAGCCTGTAGGCGCTGTCGTGGTGTTGGGGCTATCGGGGCTTGGAGTTGCGATGCAAGAGTCGCGGCGGCTGCGCTTGCGACTGGTTCCATTCAAAGCGGCTGGGTTTATGAACTCGTCGCCGGAATCAAAGGAAGGTGGGAGGAATGATTCGCGGTAGCGGTTCGGACGGTAATCCAGCTCGGCGGAGGCGTGGAAGTCATTTCCTCCGCCTACTGAGCGATAGTTGGAATGAATCATTGGTGAACTACTATTGTATTCAGTCTCGAAATGCGATGAAAGCTTCTCGGTATTCCGGCGTGGGCGCTTGCGACTAAGCGACAGAGAATAGAGCGACGAGGAAGCCGTGGTGGCTGGCACCTGGAACATCTGAGAGGGTGCATTGGAGAGGTCGAGTTTAGGTGGTGAGCCAGAGTTGAATATAGCATGCATATCGGGCATGTTTTTAAAGAATGAGAAGAAAGTGAAAATGAAACTAAAGACAAAAGTCGGAGGAGAAAAAGGGAAGATTTCCTGGAGAAGAAAAAAAAAAAAAAGAGAGAGGTTGGTTGGCCGTGACAGGATTAGTCTTGCCCTACTACTTTCTCCTACGTCTCACATTTCGATTTCTTCTCTCTCCCCCTTGATATTATCATGGGCTTGTTTAGAATTACAGTCTCTGACTGGTCCATTGCACTCCGGCAGCCTCCAGTCCTTCATCACCATCAACTAGCACACACCATCCCTCGCTGCCCTGTCCTCCATCTCCGGCAATCACCGCCTCAAAGTGGCTATGAGCGTACTCCAGAACTTGATCGTCAAAGGTACCTGGTTGCAACCAGACTGCAGGGATCCCCACTGTGTAGGCTTCCTGCAGCAGCTGGAGGGTCACAGCCGGAGGAGTCACCACAGACAGGGAGGTCTGCGTCGGGGATGGCAAACTGGCCGGTGAGGGGACCGTATCGTAAGCACGCGAGGGGAGGGTGATCTGCGCTGCTCGGGGGTTGAGTGGCGTCACTGGCAGTGAGTGTTGATGATACCAGGCAAGGACTGTTGACAGTTAGTTCGTCAACGTGTTCATCTTGTAGCTGTAGCTGAGTCGCCTACTTTTGTATCCGAACTTATGCGCGTCATTGCTGGCCCCCGCCACCGCAAAGCGGGGGGAAGAGAAGAAGCGCTTGACTGCTGCCATGGCAATTTGGAAAATAATATCAATGATGCAATAGTACTCCGTAGTTATTCTTAAGAGGATGAATAGTGATTGCACGGAATCGACGGGAGAATAAATCCCAATGCGCAACCTCGGCAGCCGATGACGACTGATCTCCCTTCATCTGCCATCTCCGACATTCGGCGACCCAACTCACCTCCAATTACAGACCACATTCGTTCGCATGCCACCGTTTCTCCCCCGCAAGCGAGTCTCCTCTGAGGACCCGCCCCCAGCCAAGCGCCAGGCCCGGCCCGCTAATGCCCAAGCTCCAGCTCCAACTCCAGCGCCGGCCCCCTTCCACCTGTCCGACTCCGACTCCGATTCCAACTCATCCTTGAGCGACGCGCCTGACGGACTTCTGAACAATGGCAGTACCACCAAGGCATCTGAGGAATCTGAGGAAGATGAAGAGGAGGATATTGACTGGGAGGATGCGATCGACACGAAGACAATTAGCGCCACGACGCCAAGTGTCGCAGCTCCAGAGCTACAAGATCTAGAGTTGACTCTAGATAAAAACGAGACCCACGTGTCAGATCTTTTGGATGGGAAGAAAGGGCCCAGCAAGATAGAGCGCCAAATTCGAATCTCAACTCACTGTATGCATGTCCAGTGCTTGCTCTTTCATAATGCGATTCGCAATTCCTGGAGCAACGATTCGAAGGTCCATGAGATCTTGCGCAAAAGGCTACCGGATGGACTCCACAAAGAAGTCAAAAAATGGCGCATCGCATCGGGTCTAGAACTCCCAGAGCCAAAACCAGAACCACCAAAGAAGAAGAAGGGCAAAAAAGCCCAGAAGAATAAAGATTGGAGTGCTGACTCTGAACGACTGGAACCAGGCCAGCCAGATATGAGCCGGGGCGATCCAATCATCACCTTAATCAAGGTGCTGGTCGCATACTGGAGGAAGCAGTTTCATATCACGGCGCCAGGACTACGAAAGTATGGATACCGACCGGTATCGGCTCTTGAAACTGCAATCACTGATTTTCGCGAACAAGAGCATGATCCAGAGAATCATGGTGAGCGCATCGCTAACCTTGATGAATTTCGTGTGACTGCAGAGCGTATGCAGGGTTCGCGAGACGTTGGAGCCCAACTTTTCACAGCTCTTATTCGAGCTCTGGGAATCGAAGCCAGGCTTGTGGCTAGTCTTCAGCCACTGGGCTTCGGTTGGACTAAAGCAGAGAACTACACATCTACCATACCCTCCAAGCCAGAATTAGATCGGAGGGAACCCACGAACGAACCAGAGTTGGAAGTATCCGAGCCTGAGACCGAGGAAGCCGAAGACAAAGCACCGGCGAAAGAAAAGCGCAAACAATTTGACAAGGATCTGCCGTTTCCTATCTATTGGACTGAGATTGCCTCGCCTATCACAAATGAGATTATATCCGTCGATCCGCTTGTGCTATCTAATCCAGTGGCACCATTTGGCAATACAGATGTGCAAGGAAACTTCGAGCCACGAGGCGCAAAAGCAGACCGAGCCAAACAAGTCATATGTTACGTCGTTGCCCACTCGGCAGACGGCACCGCCAAAGAGGTCACGACCCGATACCTTCGACGACGCACCTGGCCCGGCAAGACCAAGGGCTTCCGAATGCCACTGGAAAAAGTCCCCGTAGGTCCACGGGGACACTACATCGCATTCGACTGGTTCGGGATGGTAATGCGCGGCTACCAACGAGCCCCCAAAAGTAAAACAGCAGTCGACGAACTCGAAGAAACCCGGGATCTAAAACCAAACCAACCAGAGAAAAAGAAAACAACGACAACGACTGACACCCTCCAAAGTCTCCGGACCTCAACCGAGTTCGTCCTGGAACGCTTCCTCCGTCGCGAAGAAGCCCTCCGACCAGGCGCCGAGCCCGTCCGAACCTTCACAGCAGGCAAAGGCGCCCGCGCCAAAGAAGAACCCGTCTTCCGGCGCGCAGACGTACTGAAATGCCTCTCCGCCGAAAGCTGGCACAAAGAAGGCCGCCAGACAAAACCAGGCGCCGTACCACTCAAGCGGGTGCCCATCCGCGCCGTAACTCTGATTCGCAAGCGCGAAGTTGAAGAGTTGCACCGCCAGACTGGCGAGAAACCCTTGCAGGGACTGTACGCGCGGGACCAGACAGAGTTCATCATCCCGCCGCCTATCCAAGACGGGCGCATCCCGAAAAATGACTACGGCAACATCGACTGTTTTGTGCCGAGTATGATCCCCGCTGGTGCAGCGCATGTCCCGTTATCCGGCACGGTGCGTATCTGCAAGAAACTTGGAATCGATTATGCGGAGGCAGTGACGGGATTCGAGTTTGGGTCGAAGATGGCTGTCCCGGTTATTCAGGGTGTTGTCATTGCTGCGGAACATGAGTCGCTGCTTAGGGATGCCTGGAGCATTGATGCTGCAGAGAAGCGCAAGAAAGAGGAGCTGAAAGCTGAGAAGAGGATCTTACAGACTTGGCGGAAGTTTCTGTTCGGGTTGCGGATTATGGAGCGGGTGAGGGATGAGTATGGTGGTGGTGATCCGGCTGCTGATCGGGAACGGGATTCGCATAATCCTTTCGCTATGCAGAAGAAGAAACAAGATGAAGACGTTGATCTTGATGATGAAGATGAGGAAATGCATGATCGGGAGGAGTCTTACAATGTTATTGATCATGGTGGCGGGTTTCTTCTTCCTGGTCAGGAAGATGATGTGGATGATGGGTTGATTGTTGAGCATCATGATGAGCAGCAGAGCCACGCAGGGCCATCTCATACTCATGCTGATGATGACGAACTAGTGGAATCTGAATCTCGGGCTGCAGCATCTCCGCCCGTGTCTATCTCCTCGGACTTGGCTGATGAGCTGGATGACGGCAAGGATGAAGAGTCCGAGCCAGAATACGCACCTCGTCCGACACGACGAACGCGAGGCCGTTGACGGACTATCATCTTCAACGAACAAATCCTCCACAAGGGAATGTTTATATTTCTAGCTATCTCTTATGTGCACCGTCATGTGCGACGATCTAGAGTTGAGGTAGAGTTTTGTACGAGATACTCCAAGCATCAAAGACGAATACGACATGTCACGAATATAATGTTTCAGATAGAATGGGCTCAATCAAAGACCTATCCTGTTTTGTAATTCAATAGACAAAAAAAAACCGTAAAAGACTTTTCATTCATAATTAAGTGATATCGACATCGTACAGTCGTTAATACCTCACATCCACCCCCCAAAGCTAAGTACAATAGACCCATTTCCCTGTCCATATCCAGCAATGGACTTATTATTTGTTACATCGTATAATTGCACATACCGACTCCCTAAGCCCTCAACCGTGGAGCAGCCAAAGGGGAATCGATCTCCCCCCATTCCCCACCCTCACTCTCATCCTCGTAATCCAATGCAAAACTCTCATCTTCAAATGAGGGACTCACATGCACAGCCGGCGAGGAAATGGGACTAAGCGCCACGCGTGGCCGTGATTTGAAGACACTATCATACTCAGCATCTTCCTCAAAGAGCTTATCCTGCGGCGTTGAAGCGCGCGAGCGCTCTCCAATCGAGCGAGCTGATTGACCCGAAGCCTTACGCGGCGTCACGAATTGGTTCACTGGGTAGGATGGACGGGGTCGGCGACGTGGACGTGGGGCTTCGTGGGGCACGGGTTGGAGGAGGGACATTGATCTGCGCGTGCGCTCGACTAGGGTATGGGAGCGTTTGATGGGTTCGGGGTCTGGTTCATCTTCTGATGAGGGGATGTCTGGGAAGAAGCGAACAATTGGAGGGGAAGGCTGGATGCACTCTGATGCTGGTTCTGGATGTGGTTCAGGTTCAGGTTCAGGTTGTGGCTCTGAGGTACCCAGCTCTGGTGGTGGGCTGCGGGTGTGGTGATATTCTTCTGCCACTATTGATGGGGAGCTAACGGCCTCCACTGAATCTTCATATCGGAGGTAATTGTTCGTTCTCACATCGGCAAGGGATGCCCCGGTCTTTGAACGAGACTTGCCGTTGATACGGGCGAGAGCCTCGTTTACAGATGATAGGAGATATTTATCTGCTCCCTTCAACATCCGACCACGATCGCCAGGTTGGCGAACTGATTTGGATATACTGGCCACTGTGAGAGATTGGTGATCTCGGAAGAGCATACGTGGCTCCTTAGGCGGAGCTGTGCTTGTTTCATCCGTGCCTCTTTCCTTCGAGAGCGACTTGTTATACTCATGCCATTTGTGCAGTCGGCTCCGTTGCAGTAAAACGCGAGCCTCCAAATCAAGGATTAGGTCCGGCTTTAACATATGAGGGAGATTTTCCACATCGGAATCTGTTGCTTGCGCCAACGCCTTGGAAAAGGGAAGTTCCAGAAAAGCGTCGGTGCTGCTTTGCGACCCGCCTTCAAGTAGCGCAGTGGCCCATTCTTCACTGGCTAGCCAATTTGTCTGGACCTCACGTACTAAACTCGCGGATCCGTGTTGCGCACCATTCTTGCTAACGCCGGATTCTTGATTCGCACGCTCGGTCAACTCGACCCCTTTATCGTCCAGGAGCTGTGCGAACCGATCATACGCATCTCGAACGCGCGCATGCCGTTCCCCCGCGGTACTGAGAGAAACTTGATGCGCAAGGATGAGTGGAACTAGATTCTGATAGTCTGTTGGGGTTATAGATGTGGCAGTTGATATTCTCGTGGCTGGGTTCCAAGCCATCTCGTCGGTGGACACAGCCACAACTCTCCGAAGGACTACAGCCGAAAATCCAGCGAGTAGCTCCTCGAATTTCTCGCCCTTGCAATCATCCAGCATAGTTTTTCGAAGCACAAACTCTCTTCCAAGGTCTCCATTTTTCTTTAATTCGCCTAGGCATCGAAATAAGGCTGCGCGGAGATTGACAGACTGTAGGGATTCTAACGGTGGGAAGAAGGGCCGGAGTTTCTGCAAGAAAATTTTAGTAGGCTTCTTAAGCTGGGGGATAGTTCATCGTACATTTTGGGCGCCTTCTGGGTCCCAAATGGAATAGAGATAGTACAGTGCCCATTCTATGAGACGGATGCGTTGACGTTGGTTCTGAGCTGTCGCAGACAATGCGCGGAGAGATATACCGGGCCAGTCATCGCGCTGATCCAGATGCAATAGCTTCAGATTGCGGATAAAAACATCCAGATGCGAGGGGCCCGACCAGTCCAGGGGTTTGGGCCGAAGGGGTCTTGTCGCAGCCATCCTGTGTCGAAGGGGTATTCAGTAAACGCACGCCGGAGAGTAAACATAGATAACGGAAGTTTGCATTGTTTGCAGCGCCTATCAGTCCCGCATTCGTTGTTTCTGCGTTCGTTTGTTTTCTCTATCCTCCGGTCCTCCTGCTTTCTTTCTTGTTTCCAGTCATTTCTTCTCTTCAAGCCTTTCAGTCATGGCTACCGACGAGACCAAGTGGACTCTTGAGTCCGGTAAGTCTCAAATACCTCATTTTAGACCCCGCAAAGCTAACCTACCCAGTGCTATCTACCCTCCCCCGCCCTCTGGAGGAGAACTCTACGTCGCCAGTCCCATTTTTCCACTTGATCGAGCGCCTGAAGACCACCAAGCGTGAGGGGTGGCGCCGTTTTGGTATCAATGGCGAGTCGATCGCCGACCACATGTACCGCATGTCGATCATGACGATGATGGCCCCGCCCACCCTGGCAGCCCGGATTAACATCCCGCGCTGCACGAAGATGGCCCTGGTTCACGATATGGCTGAAGCCCTTGTCGGCGATATCACTCCGGTCGACTACCACATCACCAAGGCTGAGAAGGCTCGCCGTGAGGCCGCCGTCATGGAATACATCGCTACCACTCTCCTCGGCAAGGTTCCCGGAGGAATGCTGTCCGGCGCGGAGATCAAGAGCGTGTTCGAGGAATACGAAGAGGATGTGACCCTAGAGGCTCATTTCGTGCATGACATCGACAAGATGGAGCTCCTGCTGCAGATGGTTGAGTATGAGCACTCGAATGAGGTTGATCTCACTGAGTTCACCCATGTTGCTAAGCGCATTCGGTTGCCCGAGATTCAGGCTTGGGCTGCGGATGTTATTGCAGAGAGACCCCAGAAGAAAGCTCCTTGAATTTGCATGCAGTTTGCGCGCAGCAAGAATCGGGTGACGGGGGAGTCGGGCATGGCCGGGGCTTATCATTTTTGAGAACCATTGCGTTTTCGGCGTTTGTCTCTGCATTTTACTTTTGCATTTTCTCTTTTCGGGTACTTTAGATGCCATAGAGAACGAGTGATGAGAATACATGAATTCTACGAAATTTCTGATGGAGAATAGTACTAGAGAAAAGGAGAGACCAGCTTCGAGGTAGAGTGGACCAGATGTTGGAGACACACATCAAGGAACCTGGTAGTAGGCAAGATATGTAGCATCCCCACTACAAGAAGGATATAAAGAGGACTTAAGACTACAGAGGCATCTACAAAGGCACAATGTCTACCATGTATCAAAGAATCATCAAGATATCAAACCTCACTGTGAATGCTATATACAGACTTGCTTGGTTTCACCACAATGGCTACTTATCCTGAACACCACGTAGAGGTGCAAGTCATGCTCAGGTGTTGCATACAGGCCCCATGCAACTGGGTAAGACTCCTAAAGCGCAAGGTGTAATGAAGGAATGGGGTCAAGGATCGGAGGAGGACAAGGATAACCAGGAAGAAGGACCGTATCCACACTCAAAGAACCTTGGAAGTGTCCGTGAACTAAGGCGCGCTTCGTGTCGAGACCAACCCCTTTGAAATCCCTGTCCCCTAGGGGAAAAAGTGGGAAACCCTCAGATTGCTCTTCATTTGGGGCCGGGCAAGTTAGTGGCGGGCAGTGAAGGAGTGGGGTCAAGGCTTGGAGAGGTAACAGTGGAATCCGCAGGCAGGACGGGCTGTATCCGCAGCGGCCGAAAGAGTGTCTTCCCCGTGTGTTGAACACAAGGCGCATGTTTCAGCACGTGTCTCCTTGGCATGCTTCGTGACTAACCTTTCCTGCGGCACATCAACAGTCCCTAGAGAAGGATACAAAGTGGGAAACATCCTCAGAGAGCACTCGTCACAGGCGCCAGGCAGATAGGTGACCGAAGGAATTAGGTATGGGCAGAAAGATGAGAAAGGAAAGGAAGGGGGACGGGAATACATGCAAAACGGAGTGGAGGGCAGGGGAGTGGAAGAAGGAAGAAAAAGAGAAGAAGAAACTGGGGGAGAGGGAGGTATTTATGTGTTTGGGAAGGCTGAAGGCGACGACGAGGTCCCCGGGTGGGCGACGAGTTCCTTCTCAAAGAGGAAGGCACGGGTGCTGGACCACAAACAAACAAATGTGGAAGGAGCAACTGGGCACTGGAATAGGATCAGGTGAGAGAATAGCCACCGGGGCACTAGTTAGGACCATTCCCTAGTTCCTATCCGGTTTGATAGAACGAGCAGACAGTTATATAGACAGTTAGGGCTATATGCGCTTGTAGACAGCACAGCCGCATGCGTAAAAAGATACAGCATACCTAGTAGATTCCACATTATATGATATGATTGAGCTTGTACGCATTCTAAAGTCCAAACGTCTTGGATAAGTGGCTCAAGGCCTTTGGCTAGTTCAACTTACAGTCCTCTCTGATATAAAACAGCCCTGCCCACCGGGCCAGCTCATTCTATGTTATGAGCGTGTCATATACGCCACTCTGGAGCCTCTCCAGGATATTGTATGACTTGCTGACCGGGGCAGTGCAAGTCATTTCCTACCTACATCGCTTTCTATAACATGTTCAAAGTTCACAGTATATAGCCAACTCGTTAACTGAACCCGCAACACTACACATCTAGCCAGGAGATGCAACTAGAATAACAGAACCCAGCATTGTATCCTACTCGACGAATCCCGGGTTCTTGGACGAACCAGTACAGTGACCGTGTGATAAAAATTGGAACAAGGCACAGGGCTCACCTTAGACTTCGGACAAATGATCGCTGAACTACGAACCAGGGGCAGTCTGAATAGCAGAGGCAGGATGTCACCAATTGAATTTTAGAGTCTATCTATTCTCAGTCGCGGCCGGGTGATATACAGTTACAAGTGGCTGTGAAGACTTGCTTCTCATCGAAGAAAATATCTCCTTATCTGGAGCCAAATTTCTTCCCCAGCCGTTCCAATAGCTTAGTTCAACTTGGCTAGTCAAGCCACACCTTGAGTCACTCGCCCACGAGGACCGCATCCTCCGATGTCTCGAATAACCCTCACAGTGAATTCAGAATACATCGCAGGACAGCGAGGAGCCAGCAGCAGCAAATCCAAATAATCACAATCTTCCAAAATGTTATATACTAACCTCGAAATGAATCAATCAAGCGGCTCATTCTCCATCTCTCTCGCCAGCATCTCTGCCTCAGCGCTCATCTCCTCCTCCCCACGTGGCTTCCGCGCATCGTTATCCACTGCGGGGAACCTCGACCTCAAATTCCCACTCGCCTGTCCCTCAGAAGCAGCATCCTTAAACACCTTCCCCAAATCCCCCTCATCCCCATCCAGCAGGTCATAAACCGCATCTGTGCCGCCGGCATGATCCAGATCAGCCCTCTTGCGCGGGATAATGTGTGCATGAACGTGCGGTACGCTCTGACCTGCATGCACGCCGTCCTGCACGGCGATGTTGAGGCTTGTTGCGCCGTAGACGCGCTCTACCATGCGTCCGATGCGCCGGACGGTTAGGAAGAGGTCGCTTGTTTCTGCGGGGGTCAGGTCTGCAACGCGGGGTACGATTCGTCGTGGGGAGACGAGAACGTGGCCTGGGAGGATGGGTTTGAGGTTGACCAGGGCGAAGGTTAGGGGGGTTGTGTAGAAGACCTGTTTGAGGAGGGTCAGCTAAAGTGGTATAGTATGGGTTGGTTGGGGATATGTCTGGGCTTTGCGATGTTGGTGTTGGGAGATTGGGGGTGTGTTTGGGGTGAGGGTAGATTTACCTGTGATGTGACAATAAATGAGCCAAACTGGATTGGCGCCGTAGCGCCTTTGAGAGGTGACATTGTGGAATTGGACATGGGATTTGGGCTCGATTGCGCGAGGGTTGTCGCGTCGGTTTTCCGATGATGTCGCCCCGGGTGCTGATAAGGGCTTATCAGCATATCAGGATCATCTCGACAGGGCTGAGATCTACAGACACTCAGGGGTATTGAGAAAGTACAGGAGAATGGGTATCATTGACATTGGCCATAAACAAAATCCTGAACTATATTACAAAGAAAATATTCGACAGCTAACAAATTGCGACTCATCAATCGCATGGGTAACAAAAAAAGGTACAGTCAATTATCATGAGAGTGTAATGGGCATGAAGGGGTGTAGAGCTCAGGATTCCTCTTTCGCTTTCTCCGACTCTGGTTTGGTCTCAGAGACAGTTGAGGAATCCTGCGCCGCGGGCGTCACCTCAACATTGTCTTCGGGTTGTTCAGAAGGAGTTGATTCTTCCTTGTCTTCGATAGCGGGATTCTCGACGGATGGTTCTATCTTCGGATTTGAGTTCTCGGTGTCAAGCTTTTCGTTTTCATTGGTCTTCTCAACTTTTTCCTGATCTTTTGGCAATTCAGATGGCTGCTCCTGAGATTCTTCCAGTGCCTGTTCTTGAGACTCCACAATAGGGTCTTCGGATGGTTCTCCCACTTCGGTAGAGTCTTCATCCGCAGCGGCAGGTGCAGCACCCTCAGTCGGAATCTCCAGTACGGAGACAGGGCGCGGTTCGGGTGATTGCTCCAGGGCCTCACGCAGGGGTGATGGCGTCTGGGGGCTCTCTTCCAAATCCTCTGGACCCTCTGTAATGGTTGTAACATGCGATCCAGTCGAAGGACTGTGCTTGTGGCGACGAGTGGTTGCACCAGTACCAAGCGACGGATCCAGACTCTCCGCAACGGCAGCAAATGGGTTCTCACCGTCCTTGCGCAGAATTGTCAGACGCTTGCTGTCAACGGGTTCTTCTTCAGGCTGCGGGATCGCATCGGGGCCTTCGGCCTCAGGGGGGATCGTGTAATTGTCCTGCGGGATGAGGCTGTACATGTCGCAGACAGTCTTAAAGAACACATAGAGACCATCGTGACCCTCCACCTCCCAGAATACATCCCGATGCTGGAACCATGCGTGTGCGAATATGCGGTAAAGGCGGCGGAATATGTTCGTCAAGTGTCTCATGCTAGCCTGAGGACCTCCGGCATTCTCAGAGCCAAGCGTAAGTCGGCTGGGGAAATATTTCGGCGATGTGAGAGTATTAGTGGCCCAATCCAAGGTATGGCAACAGTAGTCGATTGCACAGCAAGATTTGGGTGGGTCGTGCACGGCGCAGAGATACTGCCACTCGGAAGCTCGCATCTCAGGGCACGTTTGCGACGAGCAAGGCGGGCTTTCGGCGAAAAAGGCAATGATCAGGTTATTAACTTTCATAGTAAGAAATCGGCATAATTCGTATAGCCAAAGTGATCGATCGACTCCCTCTGGGGGATCTGCCAGCTGTATCGCAACCTTGCGGTTGATCGGAACGACCATGTCAGATCCTTCGGGTTTCGTATAGTGATGGTACAAAGCTTTGAGGTGTTCCTGGAGCTGAAATGGAGAGTCAAGCTGCATTTATTAGTGATACCCAGTTTTTTCAGTGAATAGCGACTTACCTGGGCAAGGGGAATCAGCGGTGGACCAAATGCCATATCGGCGGATTTAGTCCCTGGTCTGATTCTGCGCGTCGAGCCCTCGTCTTCTCCCATCGGAACGCCGAGTAAATCAGAATCTTGGCCGAAGGACTCCCCAACAGATGGCGACTGAGGTCCAATCTGAACTTCAGTGAACGGAGGCGGGCTGGGAAGCCGCGGGGAGCTTGACGGAGAGACTCCCGCAGCAGTCATGACGGTAGAATAACACGGACGCTAGATGAAACGAAAGAAACCGAGAAAGAAACAAAAGAGTGAAAGGTCTCTAGACGCCCTGTTAAACTGCGTCAACGAAAGAAAATGTAGAGTACTGGGAGCATACAAGAAGCTGAAGATAACAACCATCAACATAACAACGGCTGACCGCCCGAGCCCTGTACCCTAACGTCTATTTTGGGCAACAACGTCATCTGACGCAGCTACGAGCTTTCCCTTTCCTCTGACTCTGCTTGATTTTATAGATCAACGCAGTATCCAAAGGATCAAAGATAATGTCTGCCAATTTCGAAGATGAGGATGCTCCTCCGGAGCTTATCGATGTGTCTGCGATGCCCGCAGACGAGGTATCGGTGGATGAAGAACTGACAGCTCGAGTGCCGATCACTCTGGTCACTGGTATGATAGAAGAGCACCTTGATGTCTGGAAGTAAGAAAAGAAACTAACGACCTGGCAAGGCTACCTGGGAGCTGGCAAAACGACACTTTTAAACTATATTTTGACAGAAAAACACGGCAAAAAGATTGCCGTGATTATGAACGGTTCGTCTACAGCGTCTGGCCGCTATATATGAGATACACTGCTAATAATACCGCAGAATTCGGTGATTGTAAGAAGACCAATAAAACCAAACCAAAGACTTGTATTCTAACATGATCATAAAGCAATGGACATTGAAAAACCAATGACAGTGAACCAAGGCGGCCAAGAAGTGACTGAGTGGATGGAAGTCGGCAACGGCTGCATCTGCTGCTCTGTGAAAGATTCAGGCGTGATGGCCATTGAGTCTTTGATGGAACGCCGCGGTACCTTCGACTATATCCTTCTAGAGACGACCGGTCTGGCAGACCCGGGCAACATCGCCCCGATCTTTTGGATGGACGAAGGGCTCGGAAGTTCCATCTATCTCGATGGAATTGTCACTCTTGTTGACGCGAAGAACATCATGCGTTTGCTAGATGAGCCAGCACCCGAGGAGAAGGCCGAGTCTCATGACGCAAACCACGACCATGGGTCTGGTCCTGTGCTTTCTATGGCCCACATGCAAATCTCGCATGCCGACGTGGTCATTCTCAACAAGACGGATCTCGTTACGGCAGAAGAGCTGGAGGCTGTGCGGGATCGCGTTACCTCTATTAATAGCGTGGCGAAGATACATGTGACGGATCATAGTCGTACACCGCAAATTGAGGGCGTTGTGCTGGATTTGCATGCGTATGATCACTTGGCAGAGTTGGACTTCAGTAAGAAGGGACATAGCCACATGGACCCGGTATGTTTGATTTATTTGCTATTTATTACAACTGGAGAGCCTTCTTGTGATACTAACCCATACCTAGGCAATTTCTACCACTGCTATTGTTACACCTCCAATCCCGGCAGACAAGGTAGGCCGCGTGGATGCCTGGTTGCGCTCTGTTCTGTGGGATACAACCTTCCCCGTGCCTACTCAGTCAACCTCGTCTGAGCCACACCCAGACAACTTTGAGGTCCACCGGTTGAAGGGTATTCTCATCCTGGACAATGGCACGAGCAGAGTTATCCAAGCCGTACGGGACGTGTTTGAGATCCGAGATGCACAGCCTATAGACACGGAGGATAAGTCTAAGCCACTTCAGTGCAAGATCGTATTGATTGGACGAGGACTAGGGTCAAGCGTAGAGCCTTGGCAGGAGAGTTTTGAATCATGTTTGAAATAAATCTCCATAGAGGATAATGAAGAAAATGACATATTCTATCAAATCAAAGGCCACCAATCCATCGTGAGAACAGCGTCTAGTTACGAGTAAAATGCCAAAGTCAATGCTAACCAAGAATTGCATTGCCAAATAACGGAAAAAAAAATAATACAGCCCTGTCAGACAAGAAGAGGTATAAAAAGATCCCATCAATATACATCGACTTATGGGAGAGAAACACCAGAACGCAGAACAAGGGCCTCCACCGACGAAAAATAACCAAATCATAAAAAAAAAAATAAACAGCAGGAAGGATAAGTCAAAACCCACAAAGCAAGTAACAAAATAAAAAGCCAACCAAAAAACAAAAAAAACTAAACCAGGTAAGATCCGCCAAAATGCAAAAGAAGAAAGAAAAAGGAAAGACTTTTTAGGACTCCAGGGTTTCGCCCGCCATCGGTGTGAATGCTTCCAAAAAAGCTCAATAACACGAGGCAAACGACGAGGCATAAACTGTACAAGCAGAGCAAATCAAATGGGTATCGAGTGCTCGGCCCCGAATATGGGGCTCGTTCGGAGAAATGGGTCGTGGCGTCGTGGGTGCCGGCCAATGTAGCAAGATTGTTGTGTAAAAATATTAAAGATCTGGCGTTGATTGGAGATGTGAGATTTGCCTGTAAGGGCTTGCACAATATTGTTTGGCTGAGAGGGGATATCGAATACTAGTGGCGTTTCGACGAAAGAGCTGCCTGGGTCAAATGGCTCGGGTTGGCCTGACTTGACGGTGAGCCATGAGTGTATGCTATCCTTGCTTCGGTATATATGGAAGTGGGCCTTGAGTTCGTATGTGCAGGACTGATAGGCAACTTCGAATTCAGCAGGTTTGGATTTAGGTCTGGTAGACTGGTCCATATAGGTTTGGCATCAGGGGGCTTCGAGATGAAGGGGTCCACTGTTGCATTTCCCTGAGGTTCGATGTGAAAGGATGTCGCCGGTGTAAGGAGGTTCGAAGCCTTAACGGGAGCCTGGGAATTACCAAGGGACGAGGTTGGACTTGATGGCCGAGTCAGTGTGAGATGACCATCTGCACTATTTGCAGGTGATTGATCCCATGGGCGTCTTAGCAAACCAATGCCAACAACAGATGGACTTGCGAATGGTGGGCCTATAGAACCAAAGGATGCCCCTCTGTGGCGGAGGTTCGACATGTGCAATGCCGAAGAAAAGCGGGGTGAGGGAGGGGGTGATGGCACAGGAGATGTGGATTTGAGGTCGCTTGTGCGTGACGAAACCGCGTTCTCCTCTTTTGACGTTTGGTGAGGAGAAGAGGCCTGTGATGAAGGTATACTTAGAGCGTCGGGGAAAGCACCGGCAGAACGAAAGGTAGGGCTCATAGGTAAATCTGAATGGGACAAGGATGATGTTGCGGGCGATGGCTCGGTAAATTTGAGCTCAATACCAGAGGCTTTTGGTGGGAGATACGCAGACTCCTGCTTTGGCGGTTCGATATAAGCCTTTGTCGAGCGAGGGGAGCTCTCAAAGTCTATGGAAGGCCAGGAACGAATGAGGGTAGGATTGATAGGCGATCTTGAGAGAGGTTCGGGGGATGTTGAGTCTGATGGCAGTGTGGATATGGGGCTGATTTTGACGGCGTTTTGATATTGCTGATCCACATTATCTTGCTTCGGCAATTGGACAGATGAAGGACCCTGTGTCGAAGAAATGCCTTCAGCGCTGATGGGAGTTCCAGAAGAACGGAAAGCAGGGCTGATAGGCAATCCCGAATGGGACAGACATGATGTTGTAGAGGAAGTTTCGGTAAGCTTAGGTTTGATATAGGTATTTGCATGTGGTAAATCCACACGTTTCTGCTTTGAAAGCTCAGGAGAAGAAGAACTTGACGATGGAGGGGCATTCGGAGAGTTGAGAAAACTTCCGGAATCACGGAAAGTAGGACTAAGAGGCAAAACTGAGGATTCGAGGTCAATCTCATCATTGACTGTCTTTTCGTATGATCGATCCGTATTGTCCTGCTTGGGAGGTTTGATCGAAGACGGAACACTTGAGGAAGTTGCGCTCTTGGCCATCGTTAGAGTGACGGGATCACACAAAGTAGGATTGATGGGTAAAGCCGAGGTTTCGAGGTCACACATGTCATCGGCTCTTGGACTTTCTTGATTCTGACTTTCCTGAATTTGCGATCCAGAAACGTATCTGGTAGCGGGGAATGCGTGTGTGGTGATTACAGAGCCGATCCAAGTTGGGGGGTGATCATGGATTGGTCCATTGGGTGCTTCTTGTTGGTTGTTCGGGGTGACATTTTCGAGATGCTGAGGTTCGTCCAGGTAGGCTGGCGGATCAATGGGATAGTCGTGGAAGCCGTTGCCTACTGACCTGGTCTGGGCAATCGAAGCAGCTTCCTGGTTTTGATTGTCGTAGGACGGGCTGGGTAGCGATTGATCATTGGATTTGCCAGGGAGGTCCATGTATGTGTCATGGTTATGGGATTCGTGATGATTCAAAGTGGAGGAAGAGGATGGTTTAGATGAGAATCCCGTTTTTTCATTGGAGTCTGCAAGAGTTATTGTTGATCGCTTGACGAGATCGTGGTGTTCAGGTAAGATGGGGTGCTGCAGACCGCCATAGGAGTTCTCCAAAAACTCCTTTCGGGGGTAATAATCATCATCTTGCGGCATCATGTCTTCTGGCGATGCCAGCCTAAGCCCAGTGGGCCGAGGCTGGACCCAGTCATTTCGGACTGACAAATGTCGAGGATCATTATCAATCACCTCCACTGGCCGGGCTGGCGTCGATGCCCTTGTTGCCAGTAGTGGGGGAAACATGGACAGAAGCTCTTTCGCAGAGAGCCTGTGGCGCGGCACCGGACTCAAACAGATATCCACTATGCGTCGGAAGTAATCCGGGATTCTTGCATCATCGCCGAGTCGAAGAGGTCGCGGTTGTCGCTCAGGTTCGTCCTCTTCCATCGCTAATGCCCACAGGGTCATGCCCAGTTGGAAGATATCGGTCTTGACCCCGATATACATGGAGATGCGTTGGTTGCTCTCAATCTTAGCGGCGATTTCTGGCGGTTCCCATCCAACTGGGCATCCTCTGCGGTTAATATCAATAATTTTCGCATTGTCATCTGCATCCACCACAATGTTCGCCAGCGTGAAGTCGCCCTGTACATAGCCCGATTCGTGGATCTCGCAGAGACCCTGGACAATCTGCTTGGCCCATCGCTCGCGTCGTGCAAAGCTCGTTTTCCCGCGTTGCTCATATAGAATGTCGACCAGTGCACCCTGTTCGGCATAGCTGATCAGCAAACCCTTGACGACACCTCGCATTTCATCGATCACGATCCCTTCCACCTGGATTACGCTAGGGCGGCCTTTCAGCGCATGCAAAGCGTTAATCTCGTAAAGGAACTCATCCACAGTGTCCGGACCGGGAATTTCCTTTTTGATATAGAAACGACCATTCAAGTTGATCTTGTAAACAAAGCCGGATAAATGGGATTCGAAGTGTAGCAAGTGCTCGGGAATCCATGGGGCGCCATCCAAATGCCTGATACTGGAAATGGGCGGGTATGGAATTGTTTCGTTGACGTCTTCCGTCACATGAACGTGGAGGCGGCCGTCGCTTGTCTCGAGTCGGAGGTTCGTAACACCTTCGTAGAACTGGATTGCGAGTAGGGATTCGCGAATCGATTCGTAGATCTTCGCACACTTGTCGCGCTGATACCGCAGCTCCTTCAGCTCTCCCTCCAACGAATCGGGTGGTGCATTGTGGTAGTCGCAGGAAATGGTGACTCGGCGCCATCGGTTCGGGGTCTCTGCGTATGTCACGAAGAACTTCTCCCGCTCTGAGCGATCCCGGAAGTGCATGCTCAGGTTTAAAATCCACCGCTGTTCCAGCTCCATATCCAAATCAATTATTTCATCCGGGTCATCAAACGTATCCGCCTTCATCTCGGGATAGGGGTTCCAGTCGGCGATATCGTCGATCGGGGCATCGCTTTCGGATTCGAGGTCGGGGGCGTCGAAATCGGTGGTTGTGGGCGGGCCGAGCCACTGAACCTCGGGCGCAGATTGTCTGGGGCCCACGGCTGGCGGTGGAGACCTGGTCCTTTCGGAGCTCAAGGGGCGGCGGTCGGCGGAGAGGGCACGACGGTGATCAGGCTCTCGGGGAGCCAGTCGCTCGAGATCGGAACTCTGTCGTTTGAAGTGCGTTCGTGGAAGACCAACGCCGACCTTTCGCGAGATTCGACGGGTCAGGTTGTCTTGTTTGGCGCGCGAGTGGTCAGAAGAAGGGGGAGAAATCTCATCTTGACTCTCCCCAGATGTGTCTCGATCATCGCGGCCCTGCCATAATTTTCGCAACCCCAATCGGTGCCACATGCTCTGCTTTGGGGGAGGGCCTTGGTCGTCCAGAAAAGCCAGCCGCGGGCTACAAGTGTTGGGAACAGAGATGGCCATTCGGCAAGTCGCTCTGTCGTGTTAGGAACGACTCGAACACCCCACTGTCCAGATCTCCGATGTCCATAAGAATTGACACAGGGTTAGAGGTGAGATCGACCGAGACTTCCCACGTAGTCTGTACGGAGTAGAGGTGAGAGGGCTCAAGTCCAACGTCCACAGGTCGCACAACGTCGGGTTGCAATGGGCGAGGCTGGGGGCCCAGCACAAACTCATGTGGGTAAAGGGGGGAGATGTCGGTCAAGATGAGAGATTCAGAGGTTCTTAGCTATAAGTCTCTTTTTTTTTCTCTTTTTTCTTTTCTGCTGTTTTGTTATTCCTCTAAATCTTTTTTTTTTCTCTCCTAGGGAAATCGGCTGCAGTCTCGATAGCGGTGATGAGATGCTTCCGCTGCAAGGCTTCGAATGGAGGCAAAAGGACCTTGCAGGAGATCAATCAGAAGCCCTTCTAACGGACACAAGGGTGAGGGAGAAAAATGATGGAATAAAGATATGATTCATCGAAACGCGCACAGATTAAAAATTCCAGGATGCGTTGCGGCCTGACCCTTATGCCTGATTGGGGGCTCCGAATACGCCCTGCTTTTTTGGCGTCAATCTATACGACACGACAGCTCTGTCGATGATAATACTCAGTGATATTCATGTGAGTCATGCCATTATCATTGCATTATCATTGACAATATTACCCATACTATACATGAACTACACCTGTCTGGAGTGGAGTAATGGTTTTTTTGGAGTCTCTCAGCACATGGGAAAAAAAAGGTCTACTAACAGTCCCTTCAACTCCAACCATGCATTCCGTGACAAAGACGCCATGTACACAAGCTATACAAGAAGGAAAAAAAAAGAAACACAGGTATATACGACATAAAGCACCAAATCATACTACTCTTCATCATCGCGGCTAGCCTTCTCGGGCTTAGCCAGGGCTTTTTGCCAGACGGTGCGGGCAGCCTCCTGGTCAAGACTGGGGAAAAGAAGGTCAAAGACTTCCGAGTACCAGTTCACCGGGTGGCCTTCAATACCCTCCTTGATGTTCTGAATAAAGTGGTCAGCGGTAATCGTAAGAGAGGTGGAGATCTAGGACATACCTCTGGGAGCTCAAGCCAGTCGGATGTGTTATCTGCAGGGAAGAGGATCTTGGTGGCACCAGCCCGACGGGCAGCCACCGTCTTCTCCCTCAAACCTCCAATGCGCAGGACCTTGCCAGTCACCGTGAGTTCACCGGTCATGGCAACGGTGGGCTCAAGGGAGTGGTTAAGGGCCAAAGACAGCAAGGCGCTGGCCATGGTGATACCCGCAGAAGGACCTGTTGAAACCGAGTTAGCCGCCAACTTAGAACAATACCGAACAATACATATAGGGTTGACATACCATCCTTAGGGACAGCGCCTTCAGGGCAGTGCAGGTGAACCTTGGCCTTTTCGAAGAACAGGTTCTCGGGGAATTGTCGGGCCATAACAGACTTGGCGAATGAGTACGCAATGTGAGTAGACTCCTTCATAACGTTTTGGAGGTTTCCGGTGATCTCGAGACCCGGACGCGAGTTATGCTTCAACGCGTTCTCCAAGATACATTCGACGTAGAGAGCCGCTCCGCCCATGCTAGTCCATGCCAGACCCATGGTGACACCAGGAGGGAACTGGTCGTACAGGCGGTCGGCGGTAAAGACAGGAGGTCCAACGTAATCCTTCAATGTTCCCTTGCCGATGCTGAGATGCACATTTTCAGGAACCTTGAGCGCGAGTCGAGGAATCTCTGTGGTCGACTTTTCTGGCTCAATGGGAACTTGCGCCGGATCAGCTGGTTCATGCTCCTTCGACTCCTCTTGAGCAGCCTTGCCCTCTTCGGTCAGTGCCGCTTCTTCGGACATCACATCCTCGCCAAGGTCTTGCACAATCTTGAATGCTGCCTTTCGGTAGACCTTTTCAATTTGCTTCTTCAGGTTGCGGACACCGCTCTCACGGCAGTAGGACTTGATCAACTCCTCAATGGCCTCCTTCTCAAGATTGACGTCCACATCCTTCAGACCGGTCAACTCCCGGGCGGCGGGAGCCAGATATCGTTCAGCAATGGCCATCTTCTCATCTGCCACATAACCGGACAGCTCAATGAGCTCCATACGATCCAGCAAGGGCCGAGGAATAGTGTCGGTCACATTTGCTGTGCAAACAAAGAGAACCTTGGACAGATCCACAGGAACATCCATGTAGTGATCTAAGAATGAGCTGTTCTGTTCAGGATCAAGAAGTTCGAGCAGAGCGGAGGACGGATCGCCTTGGTGGCCACGCCCAATCTTGTCAACCTCGTCGATCAGGATCAGAGGATTTTCAGTTTGACATTTCTTGAGAGCTTGAATGATACGTCCAGGCAGGGCACCCACGTAGGTGCGCCGGTGGCCCTTGATCTCTGCGACGTCGGTCAAACCACCAACGGAGAATCGGTAGTATTGTCTGTTCAGCGCGCGAGCTATGGACTTGCCAATACTAGTCTTTCCAACACCGGGTGGGCCAACAAGGCACAAAATCTTTCCTTCGACAGTTCCACGGAGCTTGCCGACGGCGATGAACTCAAGGATACGATCCTTGACATCCTTCAATCCGTAGTGGTCTTCATCCAAGACACTCACCGCATTCTTGATGCCAAAGTTTTCCACGCTCTTCTGGCCCCATGGAATTTGGGTCAGCCAATCCAGGTAGTTGCGGGTGACATTGAACTCGGACGCGGCAGGCTCAAGGTGTGCCAACTTGTTGAGCTCCTCGTCGAAGACCTTCTTGACAATCTCAGGCATGGCAAGCTTTTCGGCCTTCTCCTTGAACTTCTCGACAAGCTTATCTTTTCCGTCGGATTCGATGCCAAGTTCTCTCTTGATGCCCTTCATTTGCTCCATCAGCCAGTATTCGCGCTGGCGTTTCTGGATCTTGGCTTCAACATCCTTGGTGATCTTTGATTGTAGCTGAGCGTTCATCAACTCCTTCTTCAGAACGATAAGTGCCTTAGGAAGACGCTCCTCGATGTTCATCGTCTCGAGAACCTCCTGCATTTCATGAAGCTCGCCTGCAGATACAGCGGCAGCGAAATCGGCTAATTTAGCAGGTTCGTCGCTGAGGTTTCCTGGGAACTGATCGGTATAGAATGCGGAGATTTGATCGCGGAACAAAGGATTCAAGGTCGCGATCTCCTTGCATACATTAACAATCTCACTCGTTACCGCACGAATAATTGCATTCTTCTTATCGAACGGCTCTTCGACCAAATTTTCCACGTTAACCAGGCTGACGGAGTGCTTCTTGAGGAAAGATGTGGGTTCATAATGGTCTTTGGGGGCAGGCTCGGGAGCGGTTTCTTCGAAACTGGCCACGACATCACCTCGCTTTTCAGTCGTCTTGTCTTCCGACGTAGGCACGGGCGGGGGTGTAGCCTCCTTGTTGTCTCCGGGGGGAATTAACGATGAGATCTTGATACGGCGATGGGGGTAGAGAACTGCTGTCACGCCGCTTGCCTCCCCACGGAGGGGATATGCGGCGGTGATCTGAGCGAAGACTCCTGTATCGTAAACGTCATCCAATTTCTCAATCACATCGCCATCGGCATTGTCATCCTTGAACAAGAACGCTCCGACGTACGGCTGACCCCGTTTCATCATATCTTGGATCGCAACGGCGACATTCGGGTCGCGGATAGTGATCGCTTTATAGAAGCCAGGGAATAGTGGACGCTTCGCGATAGGAATTGCCATCACCTGTGGGTAGACATCTGGGACTGCTGGTTTTTGTAAAGCCTTTTCTCCGGAAGCCTTCTTGCCCTTCTTCCCGCCATCGTCATTGCCGTTATTACCGCCACTGCTTGCGCCGCTAGGTTTGGAGTCGGCCGGGCCATCACTTGGTGGTATGGGCAACGGTGTGTCATTCGAGTTCCCCTTTCCGTCTGATGCATTGGCCTCCTTCTTTGGTCCATCTTCTACTCCGCGCTCTTTATCAGACGACCGGTCTTTTCTCCGCACGGGGGCTACCTGATCTGCAGAAGGGATATTCTTCCCTGAATCGGGTCCTTTCCTGCGGGATTCGGGAGCTCGTTCCGTTTCTTGATCATCCTGGCTCGTCTCTTGCTCTGACTTTCCTTCCGATTCATCTTTGGGGTCCTCTGGTGGGGGCTTCTCTCTCCGCTGAATGGAGCTTACAGAGAAGCCGCGGGAAGACGTGGGAAGAGAGCGACCAAGACGGGCCGAACTTAATGTTGACCGGAAGGTTGCATTATATCTGGGTGAAGCAATAAATGGCCGTCGGAGGAGAGGTCGAGGTGTTTGATGGAGCGCAGCTCTCCAGGGGAGGGTCTGGCCGCGGAGCATGCTCCTGGAGGATGCGCTGGACACGCGGGCAATGGAAGAAAGAGAAGAAAAAGGGTGTCGGTAAAGAACAGTGACAGCCCGTGGCACAGCTCCAGGAGGATAGCAATAAGTATTAGACACAATCGGGGAGAGTGGAAGCTGGAATTCCGTAGTCGGAGCATCCATCTTGCTTCGGTAAGCAACTCTTTCATCATCGTCCGGACACACGTTTTTCCGAGAAACTTCTCTCTCCGAAGAACTCGAAGCTTCTGTGACCAGGAGAGCAGCTCAATCTGGTTTGGAAGGTCATTGGTGCTCTTAAAAACTATTATTTTCCCGGTTGAAATTTCCATTCTTTTTCGCAGCTTTCCCTCCATCGCACAGCCGTCCTCATCCTGGCATCTACGACTGCCGTCCAACCGTCGTTCGGCTATTACTATCCATGAATCCATCTACGGCTTTCCCCAAGGCCGCGGCTATCCCCGCGCGTCTTTTGCGAACCCAGCGACAATGCTCAAAACAGACTTCCAACAATACCATTCGCGCATCTACTCAAACAAGAAACTATCATGCAACTGTCTCCGCTTCCCCGGCTCGGCGTCTCCGGGAGGATGTTTGCAAGAGAAAGGACTCGTTGGTGATATCGGCTAGGGTAGGTTATTTCGATCAAGATCTAGGGTCTAATTGCTAAATTATACTTGTTTTTTTTTTGTGTTGATAGGCCTTCCACACTACCTCTCCTCTTGCGGCTATCTCCGATCCCTACAAGGTTCTCGGCGTGGATAAGAAAGCATCTGCTGGCGACATCAAGAAGGCGTACTACGGCTTGGCCAAGAAGTATCACCCCGACACCAACAAAGATCCCAAAGCCAAAGACAAGTTCGCCGAGGCCCAGACAGCCTATGAGTTGTTATCCGACGCCCAAAAGCGAGAGAACTTTGACCGGTACGGTTCGGCCGCCTTCGATCAGAATGGCGGGTTCGATCCCAGCGGCGGTAACCCATTCGCTGGTGCGGGAGGATTCCACGGCTTTGGCGGCGGATTTGGCGGTGGTGGTGGCTTTGGCGGCGGCTTTTCCGGCGACATAAATTTCGAAGACCTTTTTGGAGCCTTCACTGGAGGAGCACGCCGTGGCCCCCGGGGCGGGCGCAATCCTTTCCAAGAACAGATCTTGGTTGGTGAAGATATTGAGGTGCAGACCAACATTTCATTCATGGATGCTGCGAAGGGCACAACTCAGGAAATCGTCATCACGCCATTGACCAAGTGTGGAACCTGTAAAGGCGATGGGTTGAAGGCAGGTGCCAAACGTTCCCAGTGTCGTCAGTGCAACGGTACTGGTACCCGCGTCCATATGATGCAGGGAGGCTTCCAAGTCGCCGCCACGTGCGACGCTTGTGGAGGTGCCGGCATGTCTGTTCCCCGCGGGTCAGAGTGCAGCCCTTGCAGAGGAAACGGCGTAACCAGGGAGCGCAAGTCTATCAAGGTCGATATCCCCGGGGGTCTCGAGGATGGCATGCGCTTGCGAGTCACTGGAGAAGGTGATTCTCCGCCAACTGGAACCGCCGCTCCTCCCAATGCTCGTACTCGGCCCGGTGATCTTTACGTCTCTATTCGAGTTGCCCCAGACCACCGCTTTAGCCGCTCCGGATCCGACATTCTGTATACAGCCTCAATCCCTCTTACCACAGCCATCCTTGGTGGTGAGGTGACGATCCCAACTCTCGATAACCAAGTGAAGGTCAAGGTGGCTACCGGTACCGGTACCGGTGACCGAATCACTCTGTCAGGAATGGGTATGAAGAAGCTTGGTGCCCGTGCGCGCGGTTTCACTCCCAATGGCGATCTTAAGGTTGAGTTCAAGGTCGCCATGCCCAAGTACTTGACAGGCAACCAGCGCACCATCTTGGAAGTCCTCGCCGACGAGATGGATGATAAGACAGCGAAACGGACAATGAACTTTAGCAAGGAGAGGTAAGCTGCGCAGCCCATGATGAATATGGACTTTTGTACTGATCCTGTTACCTTACTAGCTCCTCTTCTGCTTCCGGTAACGCTGAAGACGCGGATAAGCACGAAGGATTCCTGAAGTCTGTCTGGCATCGACTCACAGAGAAGCACGGTGAATGCAAGCCATCCCAGGCTGACAAGAAGGACACCGAAAACAAAGATGCTGGCAGCGATGCCAGCAAGGATAGCTCGAAGAAGAGCTAAAATCTGTAAATCATCATGTACTCTATATCCGTTTGTATTTACCTCACCCATGTCATAGCGCCGGCGATATTGGGGACCTGTTCTGCCTAGGTCTTGGGGGCAGAATACTGTATTATTATCGAGTGATAGATGTCCAAGAAGCTCTCTACTTCTTTTGACTATAACCGTACCTTTCCCCCTTATGCACAAATAGAATTATGACACTTCAATAACGCTTTGTCCAATGGTTGTGTTCTATATGGGTTTCTAGTTGTGTGGTGTTTTGGGGTTTGGCGCCGATGGAAGCACGGTCACGGGCATCACATCCCACCTCTCCCTTCTCCAATACTTTCACACTCCAGGCAACTCTGTTCCTTTCTCAGAACATTCTCGCAATCTCCCGCCATTTGGATTGCCGACATTGAAGAATACTCGATCGACCGACGTCATTGACACACTAGGGACCACCAGGCGCCAAGTTTCCGCCTCCCTTACCCCACAGCCTCGATTCCGATCCCCCTCAAACACAGAGCTCCTGATTGCTCCTGCCCCGCGGGTTTTTGCCTCATACCGTTTTCGTGGTGTTGAATGGGAGCATACTGCTCCTGACAACCATTCGACAATGGCTCAGTCACCGATGCTCTCATGTCCACTGAAGCAGACCAACGAGATCGATTGGATCCAACCCCTCAAGGATTACATTCGTCAAACCTATGGCGAGGATCCCGAACGGTACAGCCAAGAATGCGCGACTCTCAACCGGCTTCGCCAGGACATGAGGGGTGCAGGAAAAGATAGTGCTACCGGTCGCGATCTGCTGTATCGATACTATGGTCAGCTGGAGCTGTTGGATCTTAGGTTCCCCGTGGATGAGAACCACATCAAGATCTCGTTCACATGGTAGGTCGTTTTTCTCCGCGAATTTTTCTCTTGCTTACATTACTATTCGCTAGGTACGATGCTTTTACTCATAAGCCTACCTCTCAGTACTCCCTGGCATACGAAAAGGCATCCATTATATTCAACATTTCCGCTGTCCTGTCTTGCCATGCCGCAAACCAAAACCGGGCCGATGACACAGGCGTCAAGACGGCCTATCACTCCTTCCAGGCATCCGCTGGAATGTTCACATATATTAATGAGAACTTCTTACATGCGCCATCGACCGACCTAAACCGGGATACTGTCAAGACACTAATTCATGTCACACTAGCTCAAGCCCAAGAGGTGTTTTTCGAAAAACAAGTGGCAGACCAGAAGAAGCCAGGGTTCTTGGCCAAGCTGGCCGGACAGGCAGCATACCTCTACTCACAGGGTGCTGAGACAATGCAGGATTTCGTCGGCAAGAATGTGTTTGACAAAGTCTGGACAGTTGTTATACAAGCAAAGGCAGCACATATGGGATCAGTAGCATCCTATTATCAAGCCATAGCTGACTGTGAGAGCGGATCGCATGGAGTTGCAATTGCTCGTCTACAGATGGCCGACAAGCAGGCTGCCACTGCGTTAAGCTGGGCAAAAACATTTCCCTCCTCGGCCCCAGCGACCAGTAATCTAACAGCTGAGTCAGGATCTAATCTGGTGGATCTCATCAAGCATAACCAAACAAATCTACAGGCTCTGCTTGCCACTATGATCAAAGACAATGATTATATTTACCATCAACCAGTTCCTAATGAGGCTGGCCTTTCAGCGGTTGCCAAGCTTCCTGCTGCTAAGGCGATTCCGGTTAGCGAATTATATCAGGGACAAGATATTCAACGAATCATCGGGCCTGATATCTTCCAAAAGCTAGTTCCCATGTCTGTCACTGAGACCGCTAGTCTTTATGATGAAGAAAAAGCCAAGTTGATTCGAGCCGAGACTGAGAAGGTCGAAACTGCCAATGGCGAGATGGCTGCTAGTCTAGACTATCTCAAGCTGCCAGGCAGTCTCAATATTTTGAAGGGAGGTATGAACCAGGAGATGTCAGTGGATGAGGAGTTCCGTCGCTGGTGCTCAGAACTCGCTGGCCACAACCCCTTCCACAGAGCATTCGATGAGTTGAAAGATCGCAAGGCAGAAGTGCTGTCTCAATTAGACCAGTGCTCAAAGCAGCTAGATCTAGAGGAGAGTGTGTGCGAGAAGATGCGCTCGAAATATGGGGGAGATTGGAGCCAGCAACCCAGCTCTCGACTCAACACCACCCTCCGAGGGGATGTCCGAACATATCGGGATACTGTGAATGAGGCCAGCGCTAGTGATTCTCAGTTGTCCTCCACACTGCGACAGTATGAAAGTGATTTCGATGAAATGCGATCTGCTGGTGAAACAGATGAGGCCGATGTTCTCTTCCAGCGAGCATTGATCAAAGCCGGTTCAAAGCATAGCAAAGGCAAGAACGGTGTCACCAGTCCAACAGAAGGTACTCTCCTGGATGATGTCTATGATGAGGGTGGCGTCTCTGTTGCAGAACAGTTTGCCAAGGTGGAGGAGATCTTAAAGAAACTGAATCTGGTGAAGCGAGAGAGATCCCAAGTGCTCAAAGATCTCAAGGATAAGGTGAGCCTTCTAGTGCGTTTTTCTACGACAACTTTCTGATTATCTGCGCTTCTAGGTTCACACTGATGACATCTCGAACGTCTTGATTTTGAACAAAAAGTCGATCACCGGCCAAGAATCTCAACTTTTTGATGCTGAGCTCGAAAAGTTCCGGCCGCATCAGAACAGGCTTCTGCAAGCGAATCACAAGCAATCATCTTTGATGAAGGAACTCACCAAAATATATGGCGACCTTCTTCAAGACAAGCGTGTTCAATCCGAACAGTCAAAGTACGAGTCGATCACCAGGCAACGTAACTCTGTGATGGCCCGATACAAGAAAGTCAACGAGGCCTTCCATGGCCTTTCGTCGGGTATAAACCAAGCAAGGACTTTCTACAAAGACATGGGCGAAAACGTCGACAGTCTCCGCAAGAATGTCGAAACCTTCATCAACAATCGTCGATCCGAGGGTGCACAGCTTCTCAGCCAGATCGAGCGCGACAAGGCCAGTGGTGTCTCAGAGCAAGAAGATCGCGAGCGAGAGAAGCTGCGCCAGCTGATGGAACGGCTTTCGACGGAACCGAAAGCTTCGACGACTTCACCGTCCACAGCGCAAGCAAAACCCCCCTCAAAAGTCAAGTCACCTCCTCCACCCGTCCAGACGCCGGCGTATGGAACCACCGGCCCATCTCCAAAGATGTCGCCCCGCTATCCGCCCACCATGGCAGGAGCTCCACCGCACGGCGCCCCCCTCTCACACTCCCCAGCTCCGTATGGACAGTATGTGGGGGCTGCTCCGGGGGGCTACCCAGCCCAGCACTTCCAGCAGGGCGCTGCAGCTCCACTATCCGAGGGCTACAACCCAATGGCATATCCTTACCAGACGCCCGTATCTCCTCCGCCGAACCAGCAATTCTTCTCTCAGACCCCGGCCCCATACGGCGGCTATTCAAACTCCAGCACACCTGCTCCAGGTGCTACCCCTGCGTCCGCGCACTACATGGCTCCCCAAGGCTACATTCCGCCCCCACCCCCGCCGCGTCCCCAGCAAACTGCGTATCCTCCTACGGCAGGTGTATACCCCTCTGGTCCCGGTGGCTATGCGCAGGTCAGACCATACGGTCATCACAAAACCCCCTCGCAATCGCAGCCGCCGTCGCAGCCCCAGCCTGGTGCCTCGGCTGATCCCTGGGCCGGTCTCAATGCGTGGAAGTAAATGTGATCTCCCTGCATCGGACACTCAGCATTGACTATATGATGGAATGGGGGCGGAGCTGGGTTGGGTTAGGTTGGACGCAGTAGGCAAAATGGGGTATGGAATATGGAACATGGACCGAGGGTGGACGGACGCATATATCTTGGCGTTTACTTACTTTTTACACCTTTCGCTCCGAGGTCGCCCTCGATTGATTCTCTGCTATCTCGCGATGTTTTTGTGTTGTCGTCTGAACTTCTTCTTTTAGGGGAGGCTTCTTATGTTGTTTTCTCATCTTCGGTTTGGATATCTCTGCCTTTTCTATCCCCTTTTTCTTACTAAGGAGCACGTTGTGCTCTCTTGTACATGATGATTGAATTATATACTAGCGAGTAGGAAGTCCTGCGTCCTCGAATTAAGGTTTCTTTAATGCGGTGCTATGCATATTTCCGGTTCTAAATGACAAGGATCGTTGCAATATACATGCATTATGTATGTTGTACATCTAGTAGTAGTAGTTGACCATGGTCATTGAATTGCTTTGACGAGTTCAAGTAGGTGTACCTAGACGGCGATAATATATATTACTCGAGCGACAACGAAACTCATGTTAATATATATTTGTCTGATTTAGAGTCACAAGCACCTCCAACAACACGAAGAAGTATTGTATGCGACGGAAATCGCCACTAAATATAAACGTATTCTGCCCGGAAAAGGAAATACAAAGAGGGTGGTAGAATTATATATGCAATGTATACACAGTTAAAGAAAAAAAAGTACGTAACACCCGAAACCAAGAGATAAAGATCTAAAACATTCAAGACCAACACACTGAACGCCAATGGGTATCTTAATATCAAAAGACGAGGATTGGTCGCCAGATCCCCGAAAGAAAGGACAGCGAACCAAGACCACACAACACGCAATGTATGTTCACCACACCGCACCGTCAACCAGGACGCTTGCACCACGGTAGGATAAGGAGCAGAACAACAGCCTTAACTCTATCCTAAGCTTTGTATAGTTCTACCTTCCCTGCTATAGCAGGACAAAAGAAAGTAAGAACAAACTGGGCAGAAGAACAGAGGAAGAAAGCCGTTCAACCTTAGGGCTGGAACCGCAGTCGGAATTGTCTCCCTCTCCGGTCCTCGCGCACGGTATATAGAAACCGCGCGATGGTTTCTTGCTCCGAAAGACCCGCACTGTTGAAGTGCTTTCGCACGACAAGCGCGAATTGGTCTTTGCTCACACGGTCCTGGCCGACGACACGGCGCAGCGTCGAATCCGCACGGGAGTCTGAGATATGTGTTCGGTGCGAGTGGGTATGGGAGTGTGAATGGTTCTGAGTCTGGGCACGACGGGCGGCGAGGGAAGTCGGCGAGCGGAGACCGACGCCTTGGGAGAGGATCATGCGGGAGTAGTCGCTTGAGTAGGCAGAGGGCGTGGGGAGTTTGTGGACATGGCGGTAGGAATGGAGGATTTCGAGGGGTAGATCTGTCCAGGGAAGCTGTGGTGGAAGAAGTGAGGTTAGTTGGGTGGTGTCTTTTGTGGATTGAGTCGGGTTGCGATCAATCTCTTCTTTCTCTTCTTAATGGGAAAGAAACGTACTCGGGGCTGTTCCTCGACGTGTTGCTCGATGATGGGTGCACTGGTGACTGAAACTTTTTCTTTGGCTGCTGCGGGTCTCCGAGACTTGCTGCCTTTTTGGTATTCTCTTGTGCCGCTCGAGGCTTCGGATCTCGAGTCGTCTACTACACCGGTGGTTCGCTGGCGCGGGGGTGCCATCGCGGAGCTCGAGGCTGGAGGGATATTGGAATAGGGGTGTTGTTCAATGTCAAGGATATGAATTGGGGGAATGTGAATCGAATCAGACCATACAGGGATTCACTGTAAAGAGTAAATTGGGTGGATGGCGCTGGTAGTTTGGACTCGACACTTGAGATTCTCGTCTCCCCGAGCGGCCGGGCGTGGCAGAAACGTCATTTCCGCTTGTAGGTGGAGTGCCTCAGGCGACAAGCACGCAGATAGACGAGATCTGATTGGCGGAGACGATTGAGAGTTCCAGCGCGCCCAGGGTCCCCTGGTTCCTGTGACCCCCAACGGCAGAGTCCTCGAGTCTACAAATGAACGGACGAAAAGGGTATATCCCACCGCAGCTACAACTGGACCAGATGTGCAATTCCTTTGGTGTCTGATCTTTGGACTCGCAGTATTAGCACCTCGGAAGTTGCTCGCCTTCTGTCCGGCTTATCTCTTATCGGCTTATCAGTGACCGCACGATCTCCGAGCAGTGACCGCGAACCCAGTCCATACACTGTAGTATCGGGCTGGCATCATCAGAATATCCAACTCTGTATCTGAAGCATGCGCAAGAGAAGAACATGCTCGTCCAGTATCTGGATTGAATGCATTATACTTACAGCCTGTACCGCTGCTGAAGCATACAAAGGTTGATAACATTGAACTGGGAAACATGATCTCAACAACACGAAGACCATGACGAACTTGACATTGCCCAATTTGTGCATGGATTGAAGATCAAAAACGAGATTGAGCAATATCTTGGCCTTGAATTCCATGCACTCACGGTCGGACTCCCCGTTGCAGTCGCACCAGCCCCAGAAAGCAACAACAACGGCTTCAAGATGCAGTTCCCTGGGAGGCTCGTCCTGTTCTCTTCTTTTCCTCTCCGGTCCAGTTGATACCAAAGGCAGCCCTGAGCTTTTGTTCAATTATGTCTCCAAAGTTCCGCTGTTCAATCCCCCCGGATGCCGTGAAGGTGGTTTTGTACGTCCTGCAACGATCATGCATACGATTCCCCCAAGAGAGCAAGGCTGGAGGCTGGGTAATGGTCATCGTGGATGTCACCTCCGACTGGCTAGTCGGCAAGATATGTCATCTATACAAAGAAAAGTATGCGCGATGCGCGCAACAACTTCCCGCATCTACTCGTACTTGGTACAGGATGTGAGATGGTAAGTGGCTCCAGAGCATTCGATCGGGGAGAAGGCTGCGGTTCGGTCAAGTCTGTGCCTCTAGTGCATGTAGAGGTCCTTCAGACACCTCATCACTGCTTTATGGTATATCCATGGTATTGAAGAGGTGCACAGTACCAAGATCTCCTGATACTGTTCATGAAATTAGATTCGGACACGCAGATGCAGGAGGCTGAAGATGGCATGGAAATATTGTCCTTTCATATGGGGCTTGATGAGATAGGTAGTCATTGCATGGATAGCTCATACTTCCCCTTGCAAAGATGATACATCATGCCAACCAAGCCAATATCAGAAATGGTCACCGTTTCATCTTCGGCCTGTATTTGCAGAGATTACCTTGCATGAACGATCCCTGCAAGCCACCCGGTGCACGCTTCACGTGTCGGAAGGATTGAACGACGGAACATTGAAGACACGATTAAACAAAAACTATAAGCGGAATGACGTGTCTGTTGTTGAGTGAGAAAGAGAACGAAGCAAAGTGGGTGCATGTAAATGAGAAAAGTTTACGACGGAACGTGTGATTGACTATTCCATCTCTCGACGGCGAAAGAGAGCCCCCGATGCCCATTTGGGGTTGCCTCTGCTCTGGGGAAATTTCCAGTTTCCGAGGTCTATATTGTAATTGCTCGAAGGACAAAGATCAAAAGATCCAAGCGATATATTTGATTGAGACTGAATTTTGTGCGTGTCCAAACGCGCCCTGTCCAGGTCTAGTGCCTTCACATTCATATTTGCGCAGCACTATGGCCAGCACTATGGCCAGAAGTTTGGATATGCAAACCACATGGAATGAACCAGACAATTTTTCATGTGTCAAGAGAAGTCACCCACCAGTTCCAGTGAAAATTTTATCTGATCTCCACGGGTTGCACTCCACACGGTCTCACCGCTACATGCGGAGTATACAGGACATGCGAAACCACACACTTGAAGAGGCAAAAAAAGAGAATAGTATTACCTAACTATATCCGAGGAAGTTCCATCAAGTCCCTTATCCCGAGGCATTTTCAACCCGAGGCTTCAGAGGCGAAAAAAAAAATCCAATAATAAGATGCAGACAAGCATTCTCTGCAGCTCAGACCAAAATGGCCTAGGAGAGATGACCTGATTACCTGCATGGGTAGTACGTCCGCAAAGATCATCCCACGGCTCACCCCAGACTCTCACAACTTCCGAGCCTCGGAAGAATCTCGGGGTGGTGGCAGGGGCTCGGCGGTAAGGAGTTTTCTCGAGATACATACCCCCCCGTACGGCGCATACAAGTATGGGATGATAACAGGGCCCGTGTGGGGAGTTACCACTTCAGTACGGCATGCTCGCCTGTAAGGGATTGAAATAGAAGAAACCGGCACGGGTGTCTAGACGAGACCGAATCGGCACGGGAATGCCGAAGATTTCGCCCGAGTTGCGTAAATCGGCCCCAGAGACGGGAAATGGCTGAGACGAAAAAAAAATCATTCGATAAAAAAAAAGGCCTCACGGAAGACACCCGCGGTTTCACCGGGATGCCCCTTTTGGGATTCTTTGGGACTCGACTTAGTGCTGAAAAAAAAAGTTTGCCTTGAATTTGCTCTAGCGTCCTTGCCTGGATCTGCCTTTTCTTTCCATACTCCGTAGAATCTCCGCTGGCTATGCGAATTTCTGTGAGGCGAAATACCTAGAAAGCCAAGGCCTGGCACACCTTCCTCTTCCCAAGGGTTAAAACGCCCCCTGATCATCGTGGGGTTTCGATAGACTTGGTCCCATATCGACACTAAGCCCCGCAACTGGGAGAATGCCAGCTCGCAAGCTTTGTGCGAAAAATGGCACAACGGTGTCCGAGAACACCCGATGAGGGGGAAGTGCCTCAACCCAGCCCTATGGGCTGATGCCCTGATGTGCTGTACCTGCAGCAGAATGGTCTAGGTTGAGTGTCGTCATTGCGTAGAGTCTAACGTTATACACCGGTGTAGGGTGGACGGAGTATGGAGTTTCGGGTTCTCAACGTGTCCTCCGTACCTCCTATCTGCATCCCTTATCAGGTCAAAATCCGGAGAAACAACACATGGCCATGACGACATCGTTGGAGTACTCCCCAAGGTACTCGGTACTTCGTACTTGAACTCCCGTTATCCAGGTCACATACCGGCACAGATCCGAGTCCTGCCACAGACATGGGCACATTCTTCTTATCATCGCAATCTCCCAAGACACATGATTGCATGTGAACAGCTCTAACCCCTGGAGATCTGGACCCCGCTTCATCATATCCTAATTGGGAATACGGAACTCCGGAGGTCCCGTAGTTGTGCGTTCAATAAAACATTCCCAAACCCTGAACCCCATACACGTGCTAGCGAGGCCGGGAGGGGCTCAGCAAATAATGTAAATACATAATTGCTATCTAATCCTCGGGGATACACCCGTTCTGCGTGTTCCTTTTCAAGCCCCGGATCCCACTGTGTGATTGAGGTCTTGGTATGGAGTATTCCGTACTCCGTAGAGGAGACGTACTTTTTTTTCCCCCCCTACCACCCCCTGTTTTTTTTGAGTAGTTCCGCCCCCTGTATACACTTTTTAACGTTTCCCGAAGCACACTATCCCAAAGCTAGCATCTGTCTCATCTCGGACTAAGTGATCGACTGCATATGGTACCTGATTGTAACGCTTATTCAAACGAAACTTCCACGGTGTGGATATCCCAGCGCGTATGCTCTTCCGAAATGTATCCTTCTCTTCCGCGCTAGCGGTACTCCGTTCGGAGCAGGCGAATATGGGGTAAGAGAAACAGCGATAAATCGCTCAAAGTGGAGATATGAGAGAAAAAAAAAAGTGCAAATCTTTTTTTCCCTTTTTTCTTACCCCCCCCCTCAATGGAGTAGGGTGGGAATGGGATGGGCTTCACCGGGAACTGGACACGGTATCGGACGCCTCTGCCCCTCAATGCTGTCTTGGTTCTTTTTTTTTTTTTTTTTCCAGGGAAATATCCTATCTGTTCCCCAGAATATCACATGTTCTCCAGATAATCTCAGAGATAGGGTATATTCACCCGGAAAAAGACCGAAATCCCACCAATGGCCTGATCGCGGACTCCGGAATGACGGCCCCGCATATTGGTGATATCAGTGTGAGGACATTCGCGTCGCTTATTGGGCCAGGGCGTTGTGTGTTCCAGAAGCTGTGGATCGCGGATCACTCGCCTTGGCGTGTGGGGGCAATAAGGAAAGTGAGTGTGTATAACGAGCTGAACCCAGCTGGAGAGTTCGGAGCCTCTTAGGTAAACCACATGCAAACCTAGGTACACCTCAGGGTTGCACTGTGAAAAAAGAAACACATTACTCTTACGTGAAGTGGCATATGTGTCTTCTTGACTCCGTACGCCCCCCCACGGTGTGTGTCATGTTGTAGACCCGAAAGGACACCCCCTCATTCCTGTGGAATGTTGCTCCAAAGCCAAACCTACCCCGGATTCTCCCTTTTGGCAACTCCCTCTCCCCGCATTGAGACCTGCCAAGCACGAATGTGACCTCAAGATATACTACTCTACCCCGTACTGACTTGGGGATATACTACATACAACCGTAAATTGCACCTGAACCACCTCAGACGATAACCGTGACCCCCCTTTTTGTGGCCAATCGATGACCACCCACACGGGCGAGATTGCGTCTTTGTCTTTGCTGACCGGTGGCGCGTCGTCGGATGGGTAGAAGTTTCAGTCTTCTAGGCAGCAAGACTGCAAGACTGCAAGTCTAGGCGCGGAGCAGGGCGATTGGAAACGGAGCGCGAACTCGAGGATCCCCCTGTTTGGACTACCTAGATAGGTCTTTTTTTTTCTCCCAATCCGACTCTCCGCTGGTTAAGAGGCGTGAGCACGTCATGACTCACACCGTATTGGATTCGTAGCACAGCCAGTCGTAGGGCGTCTTCGAGGGATGGAAAGTGCTTCCAGGTAGGGTGTGAGTAATAGAAATATATAAAATAATCAGAACCCTTGGCTTGAACCGACGCTACTCCGTATCTTGCGTGACGATCTGGGGTGGTGGCGGGGTTGATAGTGAACCGTTAGGTACTAGAAATAGATCTCACTGGTCGAGATCATGCTGGGACGAGATACACCTCCCGAGTCTGAAAGAGGTCCTTGTCAAGAGAAATCAGGGCCATGAGCCTCCGGACAGATACCGGAGAGAGAGTCCGGGGGAAATCTCCCAGGATGTTTCCCCAAGCATTCTCGCGCGGACTTTTCTCGTCTGGTCTTATTTTTCTCTCTTTTTTCCCCTTTGGGTCGTTTCCCCTTGCTTTTTTGTTCTCCAATTTTCTTTTGTCTCGCATTTTGTCATGCCTAAGGCCTATTTTTGTTTGTGGGCTTTTTTTTTTGCTTTTTTCTCTCCTGTCTAGGATCGACGTACCCGCCCTGTGCGCGGGTCTTGCATGCCAGATAATGGGTGGGAGAGGGATCCGCGGAAAGTAGGGAAGTGGGAATGCTGGGGGCGCGAAGGGCGGATTGCCAACTCATTCGCCTACTCTGAGCTGTACATCTCGGACATGCTGGGGCTATATGTAGGTACGTCGTACTCATGTACGTCCTCCGTACTCCGTACTCCGTATACCATTGCTTCCCCGGATGGCGTGATAGATCGCCGAGGTCAACGCCCCATGACGACAGCGATATCGGAGAATCCTATAGGATCGTGACGATCAAGGGCAGATATTTGCAGCGAGATGTCAGGCGCAGATCGTGTGTCGGGTGTGCTTCCCAGCGATACGCTGGAAATTGCGGGGGTGCGGAGTCGCGATGAAATACTTATCTAGGAAACTCTTGGAGGGGTCTATCCCCGGATATATCGGCTTGATAGACTTCGGCGATCGTGGGAAAAAGGAACTAGAGCTGAGGTTACCATTAGGCTGCTTGTGGGATGGAGGCTGTCGGGGGGGCTGTCGGGTATTGGGAATTACCGGTTTTGGAAGGGTTCCCCACGGAGTATTTGTTCAAAATGGCAGTAGGTCAATAGCTCTGTGGATCTGTTTTGATCGAGGATCTTCGCTAAGGCTAGGGGAACGGTTGGATTAGGAAAGTGAGACGAGCTTCCGGATACGTTGGAGCATTGGGATGAAACAGTTCAATGCTATTCCTGGGTTGGCTGTAGTGTTGTATTCTGTGATATCCATTTTTATATCGCATTATTGATTGGAGTGTACTCCGTATGACCTCGTCACTTGAAACAGAAACAACTGGCACTCAGCGCCAATGGTTTCATATTCTGCGGACGAATGTACGAAGTACACGTCGAATAAAAAAATTCAAAAATCGGTGAAAAGCGGGTGATTGCCTAAGTATGGAGTATGCAATGGTACCTGCTTCTTGGAAAGATTGAATATTGGAAGAATAAATGATCAGACTATGTAGATCGCCACTCCGAATCCCGCGGTTCCCCATGGTGCCATACCCCGTGGAGACGAGCTTCAGCTGGGGGCAGTGTACTCCGTACTCCGTACTCCATACGGTGTACACGGATTATTTTGTTATTTGTCCCTCCAAATTCAGAACGGGGAAGTCCAGCTCGGTAGTCGGGCCGGCATCAATCTGGCCTGATCTTTGTTTGCGACCACTGCGGGGATCGGCTGAATTTGCTATTCCGAGAAGAAATCCAAATTCCGTAAGATCTGCCACTAAAGGAAGTTGGTCCCTGCACCGTAGATTTTAAGATATTCAGTTATACCGGAGTACAGAGTCGACGGAGTACCATGCACAGGTTCAGCCGATCAAAGTGTCTAGAGCGCTGTTATCTATGTTGCCTAGGGAGTCCCTGTCTCAAAAGGAGAAAAGGAAGTGAGATAACGTGTGATCCAACCAAACACCTCGGCCCCAGCACATGGGTAAACACCACGGAGATTCGGCGGGACGGCGTTGCCGAATGGGCGTATCTTTCTTTATCCTTGCCGTTTCCGCAATTCATGACCTCGGCCCTTTTGTCCTCAAGGCCTTGGCTCCTTGGTATCTCCACAGATAGAGCCCCGGGGGATCTCAGGAGCCGGGGGAACTCCGGGGCAGACCTGGTCTGATACAAGTGTAGCATGATTCTTGGGAGAGGAGAACCCGTGTCACAAGTCTGCTCGTTGATAGGCTGCATAGTAATAATCATAATAATCATGATGTTTTGTTTGCCTGATTTAATATATCTATTTTTTTTTTCTGCATCGCAGCCGCCCCAGACCCCGGTTATTACGATTTGAGATTCAACCGGTCAGGAAGGGAAATCTCCTCCCCCGGTACTTTGGGTACTTGGCCGCCAAGGGTGTCCGAAGCCCAGTGCTCACTGTGCAGGGGCTGACAACTTGCATCTCCGGCCTCCTGGAGATACGCGCCTTTGAGGCTGCATGGCAGGTGCATCAGGACTATCAATAATTGGACGATCCGCGCCTATCAGCGCTCCCCATCTGGGTTATCGCTTGACAGCAAAATTGGGGAGCCGTAACCAGGTCCGTTTGGAGAATTTATGTAGATAAACGACCTTTCCCCCGAAATCCGGGGGATTGTCGGCGAACTCGAGTGGAGCGTCCCAGGATTGTTTCTGGATATAGGGTTTGGGCGTATGAATCTTCCGGATGGTGATGCCGCACAAGGTAATCGCAATTGGAGGGGGGACCCGACTCATTTTCGTCGATTCATACTGGATGACCTGTTGATTCTTTTGTGTCAAGGGGGTTTCGCGTGACTAAATCATTACAGAATTTAACCTTCGAGATTGCGCTCTCAGGTGTCGACATCATCGATGATCCTCGCTATCGTCACTCCGTGACAGGATCAGATGCTAGGATCTTCCCCTACATGTACATGGGGGGGGGGGGGGGGGGTGGTCTGGACTGGTCGGACACAATGACTCCAGAGTCTCAACCTGTTGATATCTGCCCTCAGAGGGATGAATCTGAAGGTCTCATACGATCGATGCTCCAGATTCTGCTCGTCATCTTCTCCCCGCATGCCATCATTTTTGCTCATTCACCCTGAGCTCGTCATCCCGAGCCAGAATCCGGGGATCCGAATCCAGTCGAAGCCAGTAGAAACGGTCCCTTGTAAGATAAGGGACAAGGCAAGGGGATTCCGTAGAGGCGCGATAGCCGGATAGGGACACGCACCGCCCGCCACACGGTTCTTCAGCAAAAATGTGAGTCCCCACATTTTCATCTATGCAGTTACGTAGGTATACTCAGTCATTCTTGGATGTTGGAGTACTAGAGGGAGCCTACGAGATAGGGAGTATTAAATTGCTCAATGGAGTCCGTTCTAGCGTAGCAATATAACGGATGAAGTTGATCGGTGTACAGAAGCAACAACCCCCACTCGTAAGACGATCGACGTCTTTTTTTTTTTTTTTTTTTTCGCTTCTTTTTTTCGGGGGACATTTCTTTTTTTTTTTTTTTCTTTTCCGATTTCTCCTTTGGGGATTTTCCTAAATTTTCCATTTTCCCACTTTTCCCTTTTTGCCCCATGTCCCCTTCTTCTCCCCCACACTTGGCCTTTGGAGTCTCAGCTTTTCTTTCCTTTTTATTTGATTTATTTTATTTTAGAAATTCATTTTTTGCTTTTTTTTTTTTTACTTGAATTTTTTCAGAATTTTTCGTTTCTCCAAGTCCGATTCCGACACTGCCCCTTCTCCCCGATTTCTCCCTTCCCCCTCCATTCCTCTTTATATTATATGTACCTCCCCAGATCGTCGTCTCCAGGTTCTTCCTTTTTATTTCCTCTCTCTTGATCATTTCTCCCCACAGCCTACTACCCTCTATACAGACTGGTTATAGTGGGCTAGCAATTCCCTGCGCATTACTCCAAATTTGATCGACCTTAATTTGATCTTAGCTCGGAACCCCTGCGACAAATCATCGGTCCCCCTTCAGGACGACCATATATAAACTCTCGCCCCCAGGGAATTCACATGCCACCGCCGGGTTCTTCAGTGGGTTTCTCAAATCTACTCAATCCGCACGAAACTTCCGACTCGACCGCTTCGACCCCAGGAGATTCAATGGCTTCTTCCGTTAGCTTGTTACCGCCCCTCATGAAGGGAACGCGCCCCGCGACTGAGGAGGTCCGCCAGGATCTGCCCCGGCCCTACAAGTGTCCTCTCTGCGACCGTGCCTTCCACCGCCTGGAGCACCAGACGAGACACATCCGGACGCACACTGGCGAAAAGCCTCACGCCTGCCAGTTCCCCGGTTGCACCAAGCGTTTCAGTCGTTCAGACGAATTGACTCGCCACTCGCGCATTCACAACAACCCCAACTCGCGCCGCAGTAACAAGGCTCAGCATCTGGCAGCCGCAGCCGCAGCTGCCGCCGGTCAGGACGCCGGCATGGTTAATGCTGCCAACATGATGCCCCCTCCCAGCAAGCCTATTACTCGCTCTGCCCCTGTTTCCCAGGTTGGATCCCCGGATGTTTCACCACCGCAATCCTTCTCCAACTATGCCAACCACATGCGCTCAAATCTTGGCCCTTATTCTCGCGCCACTGAGCGAGCCTCCTCTGGAATGGACATCAACCTTTTGGCTACAGCTGCGTCACAGGTCGAGCGTGATGATCACATGGGATATCACTCGCGTAGCCACCAAATGTTCAGCTCCCGCCACCATGGCACTGGCCGTGGTCTCCCCTCTCTTTCAGCCTATGCAATTTCGCAGAACATGACTCGTTCGCATTCCAATGATGAGGATGATGGCTATGGCCACCGTGTCAAGCGCTCCCGTCCCAATTCCCCCAACTCCACTGCTCCTTCTTCTCCTACTTTCTCTCACGATTCTTTGTCTCCTACCCCCGATCACACTCCCTTGGCTACCCCTGCACACTCGCCCCGCCTGCGCCCCCTCGGTGCCAGCGAGTTGCATCTGCCCTCCATCCGCCACTTGTCTCTCCAGCACACCCCTGCGTTGGCACCAATGGAGCCGCAACCCGAAGGCCCCAGTTATTACAGCCCCAACCAGGGTCACATGGGCCCAACAATCTCCGATATCATGTCGAAACCTGATGGCACACAGCGCAAACTACCTGTGCCTCAGATCCCCAAGGTTGCGGTGCAGGACATGCTCAACCCTGCCACTGGATTCTCCTCGATGAACTCGTCAGGCAACAACTCCGTTGCTGGGGGTGATTTGGCAGACCGGTATTAAACACTTCACTTCTTGCAACCTCTTTATGCCTCGAAAATTATGTTATGCGCGCCACGAAACGATATAGACTTGTGCATTTTTACTCTGGCTTGCGGGCATCAACGGTGTCGGACGGTTTTTTTTTCTTGATTTTTCTTATCTGAGGCGCTTCCACCAAATAGACGGATTGGGATGTTTTAACCTTTGGCTGTTCACTCCTCTCTGGAGACCTTTTTTTTCTCTTTCTTTCTATACTTCTCCAAAATTCTCTTGTCGAAAGACCTGCTTTTTTATGTCATTCTCCTCTCTTGAGACCTGTGGTCTCGTTCACTTCCACCTGTTCCCTATTTTTTTTCTATATCTATTTCTCCTACTTAATTCCTCCCCACCCCGTGGATGAGCAAAATGAAGAAATTTCACAGACCATTTTTTTCTATCAAATCGACGTCGATCGGTTGCGATCGCATGTGATCTCCCCGCAATGTGACTCTTGTATGTGGTCTTCCGACAATGTACACAGAGTATGTAGTGGAGGTATGTTATTAGGGGGTATGTTATTAGGGGTTGTCTATCGTGTATATAAGGATACAGAATCTGCCACCATGTTGCAACTGCCACACCTAAGAATAGGATCCAAGAGACATTCACATGTCAACTGAACGGGTACATGTGCTCTTTTGCTCTTTGTCTAGAATCGCCAATCTAGATCGATGGTAACCCTGTCCATGGCTTTTTTGCCTTTTTTGTGAAGAAACCATTCAGCTGACGTCGGTGCTATTAGGGAAGATGTTGACTATACTCCACAAACGGAGATAACTCGATGTTTCTTGTAGCACTTTAATTAGAACTCCACCGTAAGTTTCTGTGGCTGGATATTGTCTACTCCGTACTCCGTACTCCATACTCCATACTCCGTATACGGAGCAATGGTTCCTTTGTTAATATGCCATATATCCACAATGACGAAATGCCCGGGACCGGGGCCATATAAGACAACCCAAGTCGTAGTCCCCGGTAATCCTCCAGGACACGAAAACTAAGCACCTCCTGCAGACCAAACCGTATGATCCCTGTGACCCTGCGAGACCCGAACGTGCAGGCCCGTGCCCGTGCATTGTATCCCAGACCTGCGTGCATCAAAGGGCTTCTTTTTTGGCTAAGTATAGTTGAAATGAAAGAATCCAACTGTTTCCAAGTCTGCCGTATACCCAGAACCTATATCTCGCATCTTATCCGCAATTAGCCCTGAAGTAGACCCGTGCTGCGACCATACACTTAGCTCCAAACGCCCCCGCCCACCCCTCCAAGAGCTTACTTAGCGCGCAAAAAAAAGGCACAGGGAGTCTCTGGAAAATTCCATCGTTTCGAGAAAGTCGAGAAAGTCGAGAAAGTGAGCCCAGCCCATGGATTCCCCGGCTTGAAAGCAGAGACGCCTCGAGGCAGTACCCTGTATGTGCAGAACATGCGATGTGGGATGTTATGCATACTGACTCTCGCAGATCTGATTGCAAGGGGATTTCTAGTCGCCATCTGATATCGGAATCTGGGGGGTATGTATTTCCCATTTCGTTCCCGTGTATCGTCTCTTTCCCTTTCCCTGCGGTACCTTTTTATACTATATTGCTATGTAAGCCCCCCCTCTCGCGGACTCTGACGTGATTTCAGCGAACTCCTCCCCCGTATCCCACCATAGACTTCACATCCCATCTTCGCACGGAGCATGTCGGAGCGCAAGCCCGCACGCCTCGATCACTCTCGAGGCGACTTCGATCCGCATCTCGTTCCAAGCTCTCACAGAGACCGGGACCGAGAACTAGGACGAGTCCATCGCCGATCTTGCTCTGCGCGCAGTCTCAGTTTCAGCATGTGTACCACAAGTACCACCACTACTTCAAGTAGGACTTTCGGCCGTTCGCAAAAGCAAAAGCAACCGGGGATCATCCTCACCGGCCTATCCTCGCCCATGCCAGACTTATCCAGCGCATCGCCATCAACCTCGATCTCATCATCAGACACCAGACCCGGCTTCGGGTCCGGCTTCGACTATGCACGAGATAACAGCGCAGCGATGTACGCCCTGGACGGAACTCGCATGGGACCATTAATCACCACCGAACCTGCACTAGCCCGCACCTCGCTGTCATGCCCCGCGCCATCTATATCGTCCACATCGCCCTCCGCACCAGCCTCCGTGTCCAGCATCGAGCAGCGCACATACGCCTGTCTCTTCCACATGCTCGACTGCTACGAGTCCTTCGACGACGAGGCCGAATGGCGCACCCACGTCTTCAGCCACTTTCGATCCCACCCGACGCCGTCCTCCGCGCGCTGTCCATTGTGTCCGAATACCAAGTTCGTCGATGGCATCGTGGAGCCAGTGTCTTCGCCGCTTCTCGAGGATGTCGAGGCCGCGAACCTCATCGACGTGGCCAGGCCGCTTCTCGACTTCCCCTCCGCCTGGCATCGCATGCTAGACCATGTCGCTGGGGACCATTATAGCCATGGCCAGACGCTGGCGGGTAGTCGGCCGGATTTCGAGCTCATGCGATATCTGTACGGTATGCGGATTATCACGGACGCGCAGTTTAAGGCTACGCAGTTGCCGCCTGCGCCGTCGAGTCCGGCTTATCATCGCTCGCAGGATGGTGTTCGGGCGAGTATTGGCTCGGCGGATGAACCGTATTGCGCGCCGTATAGTAAGCGTCGGGAGGAGAGGATGCGGGGACAGCGGAGGGGTGTTGGGGTTGTGTAGACATAGACAGTAGCCAGCTTCTGGCTTCTGTTTGTGGTGATTTTTTTGGTCTTTTCTTGATTTTGGAATATTCCCCCTTTCGCTTCTGTATAGCATGTACTTTTTTTCTTGTCAGTTTCACTCTTAAAAATGCAAATGATTGTGAGTAAATAGCAACTATAGAAATCCCGAGCAAACAAGACAAACTCACCGCCCTCGATGACGGCCCTTTGCGACCTCCCATCGCATCTCGAGGCCGAATTGAATGCGCCTCTTCTCCCATCCAACTTCCTCAATCTCTCTCTTCCCAAGGCTGCCCTTTTCCATTTTGTCATTCCCTCGGACCTGCCGCCGCATCTCCCACCCTCCTCCCTCCCCACCTCCTCTCGGATTTTCTCCCCCCGCCAACAGACCATGGAGCGTTTATCTCTAAACGAAAGCCCTGCCCCGGCCCAGCGCACTCCCCAGCAGACCCAACAATTCCCCCAAAATGCCCTCGGCCCAGCAGGCCCCCAGCCCACAGGCGGTCCCCCGCAATTACCCCCGCAGATGTTCACCACCGCCGCACAGCTGCTCGACCTAACAGATAGTACGTCGACGACCAGAAGCCAAAGGCCACAGACTAACCGCCCCAGAAAAACTCGTCCTCGTCCTCCGCGACGGCCGCAAACTCATCGGCGTCCTGCGCAGCTGGGACCAGTTCGGTACGTCTCCCCAACCCCGTAGCTGCGATCTCTCTGACATGTATATCACAGCGAACCTCGTCTTCCAGGATACCGTTGAGCGAATCTACGCCGGACAGATGTACGCCGATGTATCCCGTGGTATTTTCATCGTTCGCGGAGAGAACGTCCTCCTACTAGGCGAAGTGGTATGGCAAATATCCTCTATATTCGCATTCGGAGTCTGCACACATGCACAGGATCCGCGAATGAAAACGAAACAAGAGAAAAAACAAACGCTAATTGGCATATTAGGATCTCGACCGCGAAGACGACATCCCACCCGGTCTGAGCAGAGCTCCATTCGAGGAAGTCTTCGCGCTGAAGAAGAAGGAAGAAGAGAAGCGGAAAACGGGCGATAAGAAGCGGTATGACGAATTGCAGGCATTGGGCTTTGAGCCTGAGCATAGCGGCGAAATTCTGTTTTAAGCTTCTGTCCTTGGATACGATCCCCCCTCTGGGATGTTGAGACGGATGCTCTCTGATTCCACGGGGGTTCATATTTATCCACGACATCCCCCCCGGATTGAAGAGTCGGAAGTTGCGCAATTCGACTTCCCCGGGCTTAGGGCAGACGCGACGTCGGCGGTTGGATTGCATCGGCGAGGGAGTTTTCGGTGGAATTATGGCGTCGGGGGAACCCTTGCTCATGGGCGTATCATTGGCTAGGGTTGTGTCTCCGCTGGTCTAGTGCGGACGAGTGTTTTGTCTTCTTTTTTTTGCGTCCTGCATCTTTATGCCCTTGGCTCGTTGATATGGGCGGGGCAAATGCTGCCGAGTTGCCTGGGCTCGGGTTTCATGAAGTTCTGATTGATATGTTCGATACACTTTTTTTTTTTGTGCATGATAAACCGCTTTGCAAATGAGAATATGATAAGTGATACTGCATTGATGGGGATTTGTATGGCTGGAGTGAAGCGGACTATTGTACTCATGGGGTAATATACCACCGCCATAAGACGACGTCTCGGTGTGATGGCAAAGATGAGATCTAGCACATACAGAACGGGCTACTTTACGATGATGTAGTCAAACATTATCTATGTCCATTGAACTTGAAACTTTTGAACAGAATCGTAATCATATCATGAAAAAAAGAAAGAAACAGAGCACAAAAAAAAAGCCCAGAGTCGACGGAATCACCACAGCGGAGGGTATTATGAAGAAACGACCAAGCACGACAGGGACCGAAGACCAGATGGCACAAAAAAGAGAAAAAAAATCCCACAGAACAATAACTCCAGGATCTGCTAGATGCCCTTTTCCACAGCCTAGGGGCTAAATAAAATATATTTAACCTATTTTTTTTTAAGATGGCTTACCTCTTCTTGCCCCATCCCGAGCGGTTGTTAGTCCGCGGCGCGTGGCCGGGGTTACGACGCTTCTCGATACGTCCACCGCCAGGAGCACCGGAGGTCTTGGGCGCACCGAGACCACGACGAGCCGAGGCCTGTCCGGAACCGGAAGCGCGTAGGTCTTGCTTCAGGTCCTCGTCATCGACGTCCATGCTGTCGCCGGCGTTCTTCTTGGAGGACTGGCCCATCTTGACCTTGCCTCTCTGGCCACGACGGACGGCATCGGGTCCGCTGACGGCGGCGAGGTAGGCGTTGACACCACCGTCGGCGGCACCGGTCATCTCAACATCGTCGGCAACGACATCGCCGTCATCGCCGAGGACAAGACGGCCATCGGCGTCGACCTTGGCAGAGCGCTGCTTCCTCTTCGAGCCGGGGCCGGTGTTGAGGAAGCGCTGGCTGGGCTTGGTGGTGGAGATGCTGGCCAGAGCGTTGGAACCGAGCAGATCCAGAGGGTTGTCTTCAGGAGACATCTCGCGAATGTACTGGGTGCTTTGGCCGGCTCTCTTCTTGCCAGAGTTGCGGCCCTTGATTTGAGCGACATCGTCGACATCGACATCACTGTCACCGTCGGAGCCATCTGAGGAGTCGGAGTCAGAGCCGTACACGGCCTTATCGAAGGCATTGCCGGTTTGACGCTTGGCGGCCTTCTCCTCGTCGTCCTCATCCTCGCCTTCGGCATTCTCCTTCTTCTTGCGCTTGCTGCGCTCACGGGCTTTGCGAATATTGACGACAAGCTTGCGATCTTCCTCGCCGACAATAGCCTCGAGGAGAGGAGCACCGAATCGGCGCACAAGTCGGTCGATGATGCCCTTGACCTTGCTGCGGAGACGACCCTTGTGCTCCTTGTTCCAGGCCATAAGGCTGGGGACCAGGGAGTTCAGACGGGGACGCAGAGTTTCATCGGGGAGAACGACAACTGCAACCTTGACGAAGCCAAGAACGGAGCGAACGATTTCGCGGTTGTTGGAGGTAAGGAAAAGCTCCACGGTCTCAACAATCTCCTTGAGCATTTCAGGCTGAAGCTGTGTTTGGAAGTCGAAAAACAGTCGTGAAAGCGCGGTGACAGTGGCACCGACCATGTGAGGAGCCGAGCCAGCCAGACCAGCTGAGACCATTGTGAAGAACTCCTCCAGTGTAGCGGGGGCATCGGGCAAATCGGCCGCCACACCTGGCACAAGCGATCTGCGGATGACGGTGCCGGGAGGGTTACGCTCGGAGTCGATTGTGCGCTTGGCCAAGATAATCAGCAGGTCAAATGCCGCTGTGCGTGTCTTCTCATTGCTCTCCTTGCAGCCCAGAACCACCTCGGACAGGATTGCCGGGATGAAGTGCAGATCCGAGGTGGGCAGGTGGTTGATCATCTCGGTGATAGCAAGCATTCGGTCGCGACGACCAGATGCAGGAGTGCTGTCGGTGGTGGCAAGCATAAGAGTCTGCAACTCTGCACTGCGCTCTTCGAGAGCGGCACGGCCAGTCTCAGTTGATCCAAGACGAGGAATCAACTTATAGGCCTTCTTGATGAGTTGCTGATCCGGGTTGGGGGTTGAGCTGTTGAGAATAGTGGCCGCCATGGCAAACAAACCACCGAAGCTGGAGCGGGGAAGGTAGATTGACATCGCGATAACGAGGTCAATCAGAGTGTGAGAGGTCGGGGGCATCTTGTCAGACGAGCCCTGAGACGGCGCACCCTGCTTGGCTGCTGTCTCTTGCTCGGTAACCAAAGAGGACTCGAGCATTGAAGTAACGCGGTTGAAAGTATCATTCAGCTCCTGTGACGGGGTGTTAGTTTAGCTTTATTTTGCTCACAGAATTGGGTACGAAACTTACATTTTCGGGAGTGATGCTCAAGTAGGCATTAATACACTGCAGAATATAGCCGCGGTAGTGAGGAAGAGTCTGACTGTACACGTTGAACAAGACAGCCAGCAAGTTGCTCGCAAGACCTCCGAGGTGAGTGAGGTTCTTCTGTGCCTCGGCCTTGGTGATGCGGCGCTGCAGAATCAGATCATCCTCGGCGTTTTCGACAGACAAAATAGCCTGGTTCGACTCAACCAGGTTCTGCAAAGAACGGCAGACATCAACACGCAGTTCAGTCTGCTTGTACAGAACGTTGGAGAGCAGTTCAGCGAAAGACTGGTCAAACGCTTCTGTGAGATCAAGCGGCAGCTCGCAGTAGCCGGGAAGAGTACCCCAGGTCTGTTGGACCAGGGTTTCGAAGATCTTCACTTCCACAGATTTCTCAGCGGCGCCGTAGTTCACCACCTTCTGGTACAGTGCTTCACTCAGGGGAACGAGCTCGGTGCGGAAGTGGCGGAGGTTCGTGTTTGTCACACTGTCACGCATAATAGGCAGCATCCAGACACGACCAGGCTGGCCGCCCTTCTGTTCAATAATGTTGAGGGGAAGGATCTCCAGGACGGCCTCGGGGCCCATGGCCTCGATGGCACTGCCAAGAACGGCATCGGCTTCCTTCTTACCGTGGAAGCCCTCGTTGCTGCGCAGCTCACCAATTGTGGAGACAATTTTGACAAGGTAGGGGCTTGATCGCCACTTGAAGCAATCAAACAGGGCGGAGCAGACGTTGAACACCTCTTTCCAAGCGGCCTGGTACTTCACGGACAGAAGATCAACGGCCGCACGGGACAGCTTCTCCAAGGTCTTCTCATCATAGACGGAGGGCTCTACGATGACGGTGTTGGGGATACAGTTGTGCAGGAATGAGATCAGACACTCGGAGGCGGAAACGCGGATGTTGCTCGAAGGCGAGGCCATGAATCCAGAAATCAAAGCGAACAGATCGGGCAACTTCTCAAAGGTATCCTCGGGGGTGATTTGAGCAGCCACATCGTATCCACGGGATAACACAGCAATCCAAGGCGGGAGAAGCTGCGAATCGTTCTGCGCGGGCTTGAGCTCGGAGATAGCATCCAAGAGACGAGGCAGCTTGGAAGATGAGAATTCATCGGCCATTCCCTCGAAGATAACCTCGAATACCTCGAAGGCACCCATGGTAATGTACTCGTTGCTGGAGCGGGATGCGTTCATGAGGAGTTCGCTGAGGGGCTCGATCTTCTTACTGGGCCAACCACCTGACGCTGAGGCAATGGTCTTAACCAGCTGCAATGAGTGGATGATAAGTGGCTCGTGATTGTTGCCTTGAGCGTCGTGGCGGCCCTTCTTCTGCTTGTGGGCCGCGGAGATGCTATCACCCAGAGTCTTCATCGCAGACTGAGCGCACATGTCCGCACCGGGGTGGTCCAAAGACGGGCTGGGCGGGGGAGCCTTGAGAACCTTGACCAGAGCCTCCTGGGCACGTTTCCGAACCTTGGGGCGGTGATCAACCGAGAGACTCAGCAGACCTGCCATTGCTCGGCGTGGGCCGACCTGTGTGTGGGGAAGATTCCATGCTGCCGCATCCTGGGCAATAAGGAGAGACTCGAGACATCCAATTGAGGGGCGCAGCAGGGGGGCTTCGACCTCGGGGAGAGAAAGTGCAGGTGCGAGACTTTCGAGGATCTGAGAGAATTTGGCGCAAAGGATCGGGGCGGGGACGTAGACGGTGGTGATATCGAGAAGGTAGACAACGGATGTCGCCAAATCCTTGTTCACAATGCCCTGCGAAGCGGATAGTGACTGCGAGAGCAATGCAAGGAGAGCAGCAAAATATGCGGTAGGTGAGAAGTCTGCCTTTTGATCACGGAGAGTATCCTCAACTGCAGAAAGCACCACAGCAGTCTATTCATGGGTGTTAGTGTTGGTCGAGTAAGCGATGGGAGGAAAACTCACATGATGCTGGTTCTGCAGCTTGGGAGACTTAATCTTCTCAAGCTTCTCCGCCAGAGTCGCCATGATGATTGCTGACGACGAGGTGGAGAAGGGTCAAAGAAAGCAATGTATTGGATTGGGAAAGAGGGCTGTTTGGCGGTGATAAAATTCGTAGAAAAAAAGTAAAGTCCGGCAAATCGGGAGGCGGTCAGACATGCGGGCGGTACAGGGACAAACCGTTTTGGATGCATTTGTTCCCCTGGTCTTACGATACTACTCCGTACATGTTTGATATATTAATTTGTCGGCAATTGAGACGGCCTGCCTGTTGGAAAGTTCATGGAACTGACGTTGGTAGCCTCTAATATGGCGGTGGTGATATCCAACACGAAACAAAGCAGAATCCAACTACCAGATCCTACCCGGAACATGATCTGAAGGCATTGAACAAATCATATCCGCTCAACATGTATCTAGATTCTAGTACGAGCATTAACTCAGCGTTTGCTCATAATGAAGTTCTTTTGGTAATTTTCACAGCTGTGCCGCTTCAGCAATGATTGTATCCCGAACTGGTTTCTTTTTTCAAAAGGTATCGCCCCATCGGGTTGCCATCCTAGCAGCTTTCTAGCCCACAAAGCTGGTCCTTGCCCATTAGTACTTAAGAACGCATTTCCACCTGGTATTACCTTGTTGGCCTCATCAAGGTTCATGGACCGTACTGCATTCGGCGAATCGATATAACCAAGACTGTGGGCTTCCTTGGCAATCACCGAAGCGATGTCTTTGAAGCTCCGAAAGAGAAAAAAGGAGATTAGCACCCGAAATTCTGAGAATAAAAAGCCAACAGCTAACGTTGAAGCCATCTTTTGTAAAGAGGAGGCCGTTTTCATTCCAGAAAGGACTAGAGGTACTACTGACAGCACGTTCCACCAATTTGACAAAAATCGCAGCCAAATCCGAGACGTGAATAATGCGCTGTCGACTAAGTCCCCTGCCGAGATATAGAGCAACATGTTGAAGCAGGGACGCCCGAGCCAACGAGGGAATCTGGATACTGCGTTGATTCACAGGACCTTTACCAGTGCCAAATATAATGGCAGGGAACAGGATGGCAGTCTTCGGGCCATCTGATCCCAAGTCGAGAATGTAGTTATCCCCCACTCGAAGATCTCTGTATTCTCAAATCATATTCCGAAGATCTGCAGAGTTATCCAGATCATCGAAAATCCGATCCGAGGGCTCGCCATATGAGCCATTGTCAACCTCAGGGCCCGCCAGAACTCTAGCTCCAGTGACTTGGATGTAATAAGCCGCAAGAAAATACTTCAATCAGCGATCAAACTCCAAAGAAGGCAGTAATGTTGTAGAGGGCATACTATTCCACAATCCAGAATATTCCATAACTTATAAGCTTGCATTATGAATTGACGCATCGACTGAGACAAAAGCATCGCGATGCCAAGGCTCAGGCAACACCGCGGGTGCCTAAGCTAGTCCTCTTCGGGGGAGATCAAGTACATGTTCCTCTTAAAGGACGTTGACTTCCACTTTGACGGACAAAATGTCGTTTCTCGCTCTACCCCTCGAGATACATCAACGGATTCTCTCATATCTTCTTTCCCACCGCGATGTGGCCGCCCTCTCAATCCAATGTCGCACCCTGCACGCCATGTGTGACATGGCAATGCGCAAAAAGTACCACCGAATTAGGGTTTCCTTGGGTGAAGAGAATGTTGGAAATGCATTTGAACTCCTGATGGATATCTTGAGGCGGCCTAGATTAGGACAGTACGTGAGCTGCATCGAATGCTGCCCGCCTGTCCGCTGGCATAAGGACTGGGAGGAAGTCGAGTACCAGAGAGATTTGAGCAAAGAGGATATGAGCCTCGTGCGGAGAGCAGTCAGGATAGGCGGCTTCACAGGCCCTAAAGAGGAACGAGTCGTCAATATGCTTATGCAGAGGAGCGAAATACCTAGACCCATATTTGGCGACGACAGGCGAGAATCCCGTCTGACATTGATCCCCGAGCAAATATCTGACTGAATAAATAGGTTGAATAAAACTCGCTGGACTTTCATCAGTCAAGCTTTGACTGCCATATTGGCTGTGGTATCACCGAATCTTGTATCAATGACCATGACCACTGCCTTTATTGGCCATTCAGACATCGAATTTCCACTTTTCAAGCTTCTTGAACAGGCCAATGCCAGCCCCGAGGAAAAGCCATATCTCCGCAACCTGCGCAGCATTTACTTACTCAACAAGAGCGGTAGTTCCATGGACGATGGTCGTTTCTACTGCCGAATGATCTTCTACGACGCTTTGAATCTATTTGATAATCTTCTCTCCATTGAATCAGTACGAGCTGATATAATAGAGATGGAGGATATAGAAGCAATTGAGTACAAAGATCAATGTTCCAACATCAGCCGGGTCTCTATCCTCCATTCATCGGTATCTTCTACTTACCTGGCACGAGTGATATGGTCATGCAAGATCCTCACGGAGTTCCGCTATTCCATCGGAGGAAGAGACAGCGAAGAAGGAGGATATTTACACTTCAATCCCAAAACATTCATCAAAACAATTTGCCGAAACAAGGAAACACTGGAAATCCTTGATGTCGACGTGGAACATCAAATTCATGAATTCAACATCGGGGACGAGGAATGGAGAGAGCTTCAGTATAACGAACACGGGGGTCCCTTTGAAGAAGATATTGATGAAGATGAAGCTGCATTCCTCAGATCGATATGGACACATGGCGGATCACTGAAAGAATTCGTGGTCTTGAAGCGCTTGAGTTTGGGGATAAACTTCTTGTTGTATTTCGCCCGTGGTGTCAGCAAGACATCCAACGAGACCAAGGAAAAGGTGAATTTGGTGGATTGCTTACCAGATAACCTTGAGTATCTGTGTGTCCGAGGATACCAGAAGGGCGAGAATTCGGAACATGATGAACAGATGGATGCCCTGATGGCCTTTTACAAGTCTGGATCATCCCAACTCAAAGGGCTCGAGGGAGTCGAGAAATTGATACCCAATGCTGAACCCGTCGAGCACCCAGATGATGACAGTCATTTGCTGTGGTCATTGAGCGAGCTTGGATATGATAGCGATTAGTCAACACCGAAATGAGATATGTATGCTAGACCTGAAGCCCCAGATCCCATTTTGAAATTGACATCACTATCATCTCCACATCTTGCCACATAAGGAGACGTACTTATTTTACCCAAGCGTCTTACTTTTTGGCCTTCTTTCCTCGCACGACAAACCCCTTAACTTAGGCTGGATACGGAGTAGACCATGAGCCCTACGGAGTAGAACTCCGATCATAGGAAGAATTCACTCTACTATTCCTCAGTTGCTCCTCCTTCGAATCCTCGGCGCATTTTGCCCATGAAGTGTCCCAGGCTCTCACCGCTACTGGTACAACTCTTTCATTTTCTTTGTTTGATATCAAAGATCCCTGCTAGCTTCCCCGCGGAAGTTGCACAGTGGACGATCGCCATACAACACAGAACTACGGAGCACACCTCACCAACAGATACCAAACAAGATCATTGGTTGCATTGGCCCAAATTTCGTGCCGAGACTTCTGAGCAGGACTTATACCATCCATCCAGTTCAGGGTCGAACTTTCAAGAACGAAAATGGCGCCCAAAACAGCTGATGGTGCAGCACAAGACCTATTCTGTCCTGAAATGTCCAATTATTGCCCCGATGCGTTGGTTTATTTACAGGCGTCTTATGGCTATCTAAGATAGCTGGTTCATCCTACGGAGTACTTAGTTTCAAGACCTAGTTCCTTCTCCTCTTTCCCTTGCCGTCTCCTGCTCCAACTTAATCAATCATCAGCTTACAACAATGGATGTCCCAGAAGCACCCGTCTTCCCCGTCCTCAAGGACAAAGTGGCTATTATCACAGGTGGTGCCCAGGGCATGGGCAAGGCAACCGCCTCCACGTCCCTTCGAGCCGGAGCCAAGGTAGTCATTGCCGATATCAAAGCAGAGCAGGGACAGAAGGTCGCCGAGGAACTGTCAGCATTGGGAGAGATTCGCTTCGTGGAAACCGACATCTCCAAATCAGAAGATGTGCAAAATCTCATTGCGCAGACAGTCAGCGCATTCGGACGACTCGATGTAGCTATCAACAACGCAGGCGCGCCGCCCGACCAAAATCTTCTTGCTGAATTCGATGAATCCTATTGGCGCAAAGTGATTGATATCAATGTTAATGGTACGGCCTTGTGCTGCAAGTACCAAATGCAACAAATCAAGAAGCAGGGATCCAAGGGATCTATTGTCAACATTGCGTCTACCAGCGCTTACATTGCGGCGCCGAATATCCCTGCATATACGACGAGTAAGCATGCACTGTTGGGCTTGACCAAACATGCAGCATCGGAGGGTGGTCCGTTGGGCATTCGCGTAAATGCTATTTGTCCAGGACCGATCTATGTAAGTCCCCTACGTGAAAGATTCCGAGGATGGATACTAATATCAAGCAGACTGATATGATAGCTGCGTGGCTCGAGACCAGGAGTCAAGGCGCCGAAGAATTTGCGCGCGGGGGCCCTAGCTTGAATCGTATGGGACACCCCCATGAGGTTGCGCAGGGATCGCTGTGGCTTGCATCGGACCAATCCTCTTTTGTGAATGGGACCTCTCTACTCATTGACGGAGGGTATCTGGCGAATTCAAGATATCAGTAGCTTTGTGGCAGCGTAACCGATGTTCATGAGGGGATGTCAGTTGTGCAGATGAAGAGTGAGATTGTGCCTTTTTGTTGGAATTAAAGTAAATGAATGTCATGGTCTCTGAATTCACAGCTGAAATAGCACGAGGATCTGGTAGACCAGTTGATAATCCGTGCTACTAATCAAGCAATCTGGCATTCGCGGATATCATTGAATGTAGCCAGCGCAATCTGAGATAATTCTATCGAGAGAAAGCCATTATCATGTAGAGAATGATTATTTTCCCTTGAGAGTCACTATCAAAGCTCGCTTCGCATTCTTTGTCCTGGTAATTTCGCTAAGCGGCCTCCTGACATGAACAGTCAGTTTGGCCGAGTGGTCTAAGGCGCGTGACTTGAATAACCCTATCCTAGGGCCTAATTTAGGCATCACGTCCGTTCGCGGGCGCATGTTCGAACCATGCAACTGACGTTTCATTTTTGTTTTTCATCTCAGCTTTTGCACTTGTTTTTTTAAATTCTGCTTTGAAGGTCCAGTGTAAATAGCCTAACTAACAGGCCTACATGTAGGGGGGTGTGACTATCCGCGGTTGCTGCACCATCCGGCGAGTGTTCAACTTGGTCAAAGACCCCAAGAAAGGGATCATAGTCATTTGAAACCATGGCTACTCCTGGCGGGAAAACCATATCCCGATGACCGTGCTAGAATCTGAGCACACTTTCATAGGCATCCATGAGCTTCACACTCTGTGCAGCTGCATCTTTGCATTCATCAGTGACATCAGACCCCTCGGATATCTTGCGGAAAGACTCTTTCCAGAAGCGCCATCGTTGCATAGAAAGAGTACTATCACCATGGTAAAGTGGCCCTCCTGCCCACATGCTGCTGTAGATTGGTTTAGTTCTGCTGATCACCGAGGGGGCGATTTGATTGAACATCGTTCGACCCTGCCAGAGAATCCATTGCGCTGCAGCCAGTATCCAAGCGCTGCGGATTTGTATGTCAATTTTACTCAAGTCCTTCTCGAGAGAATCGCGCATTGTCCACACAGCGAAGTTTGCATCGGGTTGAAATATGCGAGCCTCGAAAAGACGGGCCAGGAAGGCATGGCAGTTGACATATGCACACGGGTCTTCCTCCAGAGGCTCCAGAGCTATGATGGGATATCAGTACTTCTCTTATTTGTATTCAGGTCATGGATCTCATACAGTTCAAATTTTCAACGATATATTCCCTCAGACGTTGAAAGCGGCAGACACTTCCATTCTTAGTCGAAAGTTAGCATTAGTCTTGTAGGAACAGCCGGAGGCTGATGCACTTGCCACAATATTCATGAAGGCTGTTTCATTACCGAGCGCCACTAGGAGCTGTACCAGCCTTGCATGTGATGAGCCCTGGTAGGGGAGTTCTTTGGACAGCTCGAAAATAAGTTCCCCGAATACAGCGACATCATCCGACAGAGGAGCTTCCTTCGGCAGCAGGCTTGTGATAGACTCCACGACTGTGGACAGTGAAGTGTCGGATCCTTCTCTGAGGTAGTCACGTATGATAGGGTCCGCCTTCGCGTCTGTATAGCGAGAGCCTGCCCATCTGTATGCTGTCACGGTCTCTTGGTCGTGATGACAATGCTGAGTTTCACTTGGGAGATTCTTATTAGAAGTCGCTTTATCGATGCTGCTGCCAGCCCTCGTTCGGCCGCTGATCTGGGGGAGACGTTTCATCTTGGAATGAGTGGGCTAGATAATCGAAAAAAGCGAGAGGGAAATTGAGACTGTGTAGCCCGGAAAGGTCGAAAGAAGGAAAGATACAGGAGAAAGGTACGGCAAATGATGTGAGACCGGGGGCTTGTCGATATCCGCAGGGGTGAAGCAGTTGGTTTTCAAGAAATTTCCTAGCATGTAATTTTAAACCAAGTGAGAATATAAATTGGGCGAACAGATGACTCAAGTACGTAGGTGCAATGCGTACAGTCTGTGGGATGTGGATTTGTGGATAAACCTAGGTATTGGCCTATGCCTCCTAATCCAGTCCAGTAACATCTCTACGAAGACATGGAAGTGTCAAGTATAAAAAGCTCAAATTTGCACACTATTTTTCACTCTGGCCTCACTCTTGACTCAGAGTCAAGATGTCACGCCCTTCAGCTTTCTTAATTTCTGCTTCTTGATCCATTCAATCGTCAGCTCCTCAAGTCTGGGAATTGCATCCACATCGTCAAGAGACCCCCGGTCCTCAACATCTTTGGGAACGCCTTCCACGGTCTTGCTTTGGGTTAGCCAACCCAGTATCTCTTTTGGGTTCGCCGGTTCAGGGAGCTCCTTTCTGACATTCAGTCGATAGTATCTCTTGGTCTGGGCATGCGGCGCAAAGGCACCGACGAGCGCACAGAAGAGAATATTGGTGTCCTCAATGTTAGTGGCAATCTCGGAAACGCTCGATATCGCTTTTTTGAAATCGAGTCCGGGCGAGCAACCGCAACGTTAGATCCCATTCCTGTGCCGATGCTGAGGAGACAATCGGTTTCGCGAGTTGGACCGTATACACTGAGAATCTCGGTCCAAAGCCTGCGAAAGTCAGCTTGGGTTAGTGATTTCTATCCTTGGAAGTCATTACCATCCGAGTGCATCGCTGGCAAGCAGTCCACCATCCACAAGCTTGACCCGGCCTACTTTGATAGGCTCAAATTACTGGCACTGCAGCCTCCCATAGTTTGATCTTCGCCAGATCCGTGTCAGGGGCGTCTAGATCATTTGCATAGGAGCGAAGAAAAACAGCCCTGCATTTACTGCCGGATTCCTCACGTGTTGCCATCAAGAGTCTGGGTTGCGCATGTTAGTCTTGAACATTGAAAGTTATCGCGGCTACGAGGGATGAGAAATGCTAACATCTTGCATGGGTTATCGTTATCCAGCAGCGAAGAATTATTGGCATCATGACCCGTTGGGAGCCTTTTGCGAAGCAAGTGACAAGTCTTTGGGAATCTTTCCCATTTGCTTGGCAGAGCAGAACTCGCCCTTCGTGAGAGAGGAATCGATCAATTTGAACTTTGTACGACAAGACTTACCTACTAGTACTGGCCCCCCGGATTATATCAAACACTTCATCAGGCGCTTCATTGCGAGCTGCCCGGTTCATGACTTCCCTCAAAAGCATCAAGGATGAATCACCGCGGACGCCTCCACCATCTATGCAATGAGTAAGTCGATTTGCAAGTACAAACAAGATCTTTGTAAATGAACATAGGTGTATAGAGGATGATTCTTATAAATTCTAGCGTCAAGCAGGACAGAATTGGAATTGTGGGTTCATGGGAGAAGAAAATCTAATATGTACCCTAAGAAGGAAGGCAAAAAAAGGTAAATCACAGCCTCGTCTCTAGCTAGACAGACGAATCTTACTTTGCCTCATGAAGATATATCGTGTACTCCTCAGGTGCGTCTGTAAGACCCAAGCGATGAGCCGGTGGCATACCGGACTCCTTGTCAAGGCGTAATCGATCAAATCTTTGCAACAATCTTGTCATCACATAGCCCGCCTCCGTCAAAGCGAATTGCTGCCCCAGACAAATGCGTGGACCGGCATTGAAAGGCAAATACTCCCAGCCGTGCTTACGACTTTCCCAACGCTCTGGATTGAATTCATCTGCATCCGGACCCCAGAGCTCCTTCATTCGATGCATTACGCAGACATGGTACAGGACCTCCTCGCCCTTCTTCACAAATATGGGCGACTTTCCATCGGCTCCACCTCCCAAGGGGAGCGTGGTATCCTTTGTAGCTCGCCTATCATTGATAGGAACAGGGGGGTAAAGACGTAAGACCTCATTCAGCACATATTGAAGATAGGTGCATGATTTGAGTGAACTAAAGGAGATTTTTTCTGTCTTCTCATGGGGGCCGAAATCGCTGAGAATACTTTCGCGAAGCTTATCAAACACGAGTGGGTGACGTGCCAACAGCCAGAATGTCCAGCTCAAAAGACTTGCTGTTGTATCACGACCGGCAAGAAGCACATTCAAGAGTTGGCTTCTCAACTCGATAGGGTCCTTGGTGGCCTTGACCAACTCGTCAAGGAAAATGTATTTTTCCTTTGGTGCAGATGTCGGAGCGGATTCTGTCTTCGGGTTTTGGAAACGATCGAGTGCTTCCCGAACACAGAAGTCCGCAAAGCGATGCACCTCTTTGATACTATCACGGAAGTCTTTTGGATTGCAGAGCCAGTAAAATTCAAGTAGCTGACTCCGCTCGCCTAACACCCTTGTCCCAGTATCGAAGCTCGCGGAGAGGTTTTTCCATTCGTAATCATGATTCTCGCTCTGCTGACGCTGTGAATGCACGCTGGTGCCAAAAAGGAACTCGGTCGCAGAATCGAGCGTGAGTCGGAAGAAGAGAGGTGTGAGGTTTATTGGGCCTGTCCAGCCATCAAGACCCGTTGGTAACTGTCGCAGAAGCTCCTGCACATGTACTTCTTCGAGCTTGAGGTCTGATACCTGGTCTCGTACAAACTGGGGGCGGATCATGGCTCTGGAATGTTTCCTGCTCTACAGTTAGACTGTGTCCTATCACCTGTTCCAACGTTTTATAACGCACCAATATTTCCCATCTGCTGTGAAGATACCGTTCCCCAACATTGGGGACAATGCTCGCCGGCGTAGATCTCCGAGTTCGAAGTCTTCAAACTGTGTGGCAAGAAGAGCCTGGATGTTTTTGGGCTCAACAGTTTGGACAAAGGTGGTACCCAGCATACTGGATTTGAATGTCCAGTGTCTTTCTTCCTGAAACATCTTGTACATTTCTTCAGGTAGGTTCCCAGCATTGGTGGCTGCTCTAAGCCTTTGTAAAAGATCCCATCCAAGAGGAAGTCGGTTTCTTTGCAAATGAGCTGGTTGACAGCCGAGCAGTTTTGCTTTGCGTCGGTCGACTATGAAGGTAATGCCATAGTACAAGACATAGCCCGTGATAAAGATAGCGAGCAGAATATTGAAGCTATACATCCTAGGATATAGGTGAATAACGTATGACCATCGGAGCAAAATTAATATGGGTGAAAACATTTCAAGTAGAGATACGGAGTAGGGATCTTATATACATACTTTCGTTTCAGAACCGATTCGCGGACTCCGCGGGACCCGAGAGGACTTTTGGGAGGATCGCCTTGGCACCGAATTGGCTCGGAGATCATGTGAATGAATCGCGAGCATCCCAAAGTAAATCTCGGCGTACAACCTGAGCAGAGCTCTTACCTTACAGTCGAAGATCCATGGAATGATGAAGTCAATGGAGCCTTGTCACTCGACCTACAACTTCCAATGTTGTCACTGCTCCACGTCACATTGATGGGTCCAATAGCCCCTATATCACCATCACTAGAATATCCGGTCAAATTCTCGACATCATTCGATTGTATATCATCGGAGATGACAAGGAAGGCAGAGAGGACCGAGGGATCCAAGGAACAGGAAAGGTATATACAGATCATTTGCCGGCGGAGGGAGATGATCCAAAAAGAAGCGCCAGGCTGCTGAATATGGTGATGCCGACGAGGAGGGAATCTGTAAATCTTTCAGTGATGTAAGTCCGTTCATATTCCATTGCTTCATTTCTCGGCTTAACATTAAAAGTTCTCCCAATATATGGAAAAACTCCTCGATACGCTCGTCACTCATGAGCAAGCGCGGCCTGCTAGCCTCCACCCTATATAATAACTCGATGGGTACGGTTCTCGATCAGCTGATGGAAACCGCTGATGATATTTCCTTCAACCTCTTCGATGTTGTTCCCACGTGCTTTGAGGCTGCTACCGGCAACAAAGAATCATCGGGCGAGAAGTTTCACGAAGTCCTGGTCCAGAATCACTTCTAGATGGGATCTTTCGTGGTGCATCTTGATGTATTCTCTGATCTTTCTCATGGCTGAATGGAGAATATAGGGTTACAATGTTTCCCTGAACTTCCTGGGCGTGAGGGATACATCGGTGACTATGTCGGGTTGCAGGATCTGCCACCGAGTGGCAAGGATATAATCTGCCCAATTATCGCGTTGTAAGATCATGTCGATGACTATATTTGATCTATTATAATGCATGGAACATTTGGCTGGTTAACAATGTATTTTCCCTGACTAGCAGATGTTCGCCTGAGGCCAGAGTCCTGAGGTGGTCAGACCCAGGATGTTTGGTGATATGGTTTCCTCCCCCGGCTCCCTCTCTCCCTCTTTCTCATTTCACCCTGTTTCACCCTCTTGAAATCTCTTCAGAACTCCACGAGCTGGTTGGTCAGAGGTGGTCTTGTCATGTTACTGCACCTGGATGACGGCATGGGACCAAAGTCGGTCGAGGCGCGGGGTGCGACGAAATAAAAAGGCGCTCAGGCCATGACCAGGAATGCTCTTTGGTCAGATCGCGATTTCGCCAACTAATGAAAATACCCAGCCACACTCTGTGGCTGCGAAGCCAATTACAATCGCTCGGGGCTCTTTTGATCGTGCGCTGTTCCAAGGCACCTGCACAATTTGGGAGGGGTCTGCCTCCAATGACATCTCGAGATGGTTAGTTCTGCAAATCGTGCCTGCGCCATACCCTGAGCTAGACTCCCCGCAGAGTACATGAGGAGATTGCCAATCACGTTGAAGTGTGGCTTTGGCACCCAGAGAGAAAAAATCTGCCAAAATGCCTCGCAAGGCACCCAGGTCCCTCACTACTTTCCCCCGGTTTATAAGCCATGGGACACCCCGGGATTCCCCCACCTTTCTGGATAGCTCGCCACCTTTTCTTGTCTGGGTGAAGTTAGATACACATTTGTGTAGATCATCCGCTCCCGGGAACTGCCCACGACCCACACCAAGACAGAAGCGTTTGATCCTGGTGACATGTCATACCTTGAACAAGAGGGTGATGATGGGTGGAATGGAGCTGACCCCTCTTTCTCCTACTTGATTAACGAGTGGTCACCTCCCCACGATGTCTTTCCTTATGAGACTGTTGAATCCCCATCGGTATCCCTCACCCCGAATCCTGTGGTCCCAACCACACCTGGCACGTCTTATGCGATGACCGATGATCAGTATGACAATGGCCCCTCGATCGACGAGGAGCCCGCCGTCGATACACCAGGTCTGGACATCCAAGATGCCGCGTCCGACATCACTTCTGCAATCATGTCCCCTGAACAAGAGTACGCACCGGTCACTGGCCGTGGTATCCTTCGAAAGCCTACATCATATGGTAAAGCCCCGATGATTGCCAAGTAAGCTTTCTCTCCTAGGTCTTTGGACACTATCTCAGCATGTGGCTCACATTCTTCTGACGCAGATCTCGCCATGGTAGTCCGTTAAAGTGCCAGTGGAAGCACTGCGAATATACAGGCGGATTCTCCCAGATGGCAGCCCTTCTTCGACACATCAAGACAAAACATATCTCTCCTGGCTTGTTTGAATGTCACGAGGGAGAATGCCGGAAGTCTTTCAACCGCAAGGATAATCTGGTCGCGCATATCCGCAGCATTCATCGCACCAATATTTGAATTTCTTCTTGGTTCTTGCGTTGATCAAGCTGGGTTTGATGGATTATTGTTCGTGTTCTGGTGTATTGGTGCATGGTCCTCAAAAGGTTTTCATTATGTTACAAAAGTCGTCATGTCTGGGTTTCACTACCACCGGCAGTTCTGTTGTGTTTCGAAGGTGTTCCTTGTGGGTGTTGGCGTGGGGATGGCGTCTTTCTCTTCAGAGGTCCCCATCCATACGTAGGTAGAGCTTTGCATACCTGTGTTCGTTTCTCTTGCTTTTCTTGCTTTTCTTGCTTTTCTTGCTTTTCTTGCTTTTCTTGCTTTTCTTGCTTTTCTTCTTTTTCCCCCTTCTTTTGTTCTTCCCTTCTTTTGTTCTTCTCTTCTTTTCTTCGACTTCTCTTCTTCTTTCTTTGAATCCTCTGTTATAGAAGTTTCAGTGTGCGGTGTCTATCCAGTTGATTGTGTATCTAGTACGAGTCTTAGCTTTTATCTCTGTCGCAACAAGTCGAGGCACACACGAGCTCCATGAGCGTTCATTGCCCCGCTCTTCATTCTGAAAATTCCAATCGACCATATATTTAGTGCACTGGAATCTCTCTTCCCGTCCCTCTGGAGCTAGAAAAGAAAAGAGACCATTATGCTCACTTATATCCCCTGACCAGCAAACAACACTCCGTCCGCAAAGACAAATCCGAGAAACTATAAACACTGAGAGACATCTCAACAACTACCCTCAATTACAGTGTCGTTCAGGGGTTTGAGGAACATATCTATGGATCATTTCAGGATGAGATCGATTATCCGAAGAGCAAGTGTTACCAAATAAAAGACCAATTGAATATATATCTGTGGGTTAATATATCGGTCCTTCATGTCCACCGTTGGCAAAATATCATCTTGGGGCACCTATTTCTTGAAGATTGATAAAAACAGCCATGATCCATAATTCCCCCGCCCTAAGAGATTGAAACATATGTATATATACTCCTAGATTATCTTCATGTAGTTCTCGCTCCAAGGCCCGAACTGGAACTGAGTGAGCCACACTTGAACGTGACACGGCCGACCTCCAAACATGGGACTTCTTTGTTCCAGTGTCAACGCCACTATTTACCTGTTTTCTTTGATTTCGGTTTTTTTTTTTAGCTTAGATGCTTTGTGCAGCAAAAGAAATCGTGCACTTATGGCTCATTATCTCTTTCTTTGCATTCAAATGCAAAAAGAAAGAAGGACTAGGTCAGGTAACTCCGTGTTGTTGATCGAACATCAAGAAGATGCTATCTTATAGCGCCCTGGACTTTCCTCAAGTTGCTTTGCGCGACGCATCACCAAATCAGCAGTCGGCTACCCTTGTTGCTTGAGTGCTCTTGAAAGCTGGCTATCGCGTTGGTCTCGCCTGTTCTCACACCGTCCAATCCCCGTGATGGTATCCGACCGAGTCCGCGTCACCACGCGGCACACGCTTAATTGCGCAAATGAGGCAATTGTCGCGGCGCTCGACTCCCCATTCAGTCTAGGCGCAATTGACATTACTACATCCGCATTCTCAGTCATTGAAGTTATCTTTGTATATAGAAAGCCCGCGTCATTACCGCAAGACGCGTTTCTCTCCGTTGAACGCTTGAAGGAGGCAGTGTCGCATCTGCTCGATTACTATCCACATCTGACTGGTCGGTTACAGGGAAACCCTATCTCTCGAGCTACAGAGATCAGTCGCCTGGGTACCGGTGCTGAGCTTTGGGAGGCTCAATGTAGCAGGAAGCTCAGACACATCGCGTCATCCAGTCTATCACGCCGATTACTGATGCAGAAGCTGCCGGGTTCTGGAAATTCACTTCTTCCCATTTTCCATTTTTCACTCGGGGCGGTGCCCTACAATCCCATATTTGCTATTCAGCACACCCGGTTCGCATGTGGAGGAGTTGGACTCGGCATTCGACTTCATCATATGGTCTGTGATGCCACTGGCTTTTTACAGTTGGTCCGCGACCTCGCTGAAATATACCGACAACTACGCGATTCATCGCCACCGACTCTCGTATTCCCGCCAGAGATACGCTCACATTTTCGAGATCAAAAAAACATGTCACCCAAGTCAAAACGAAAAGTCCTCAAGTTCAGGCCTCCGGACTTTTATTTGAATGAGAACTCCACGGAAGAGCCTGCATCCTTGGTTGAGGATCGTCCCAAGGTGTCCGGTCGAGTCCTGCGCTTCTCTAGTGACGATTTGATTGAACTCAAGAAAACTGCAACAGATCCCGACCCAAAGAGTCAGTCATGGGTCTCCACTTTCGAGGCTCTCTCGGCATATCTCCTCCAAAAGATTTATCAGGCCAGAATTGAAGCACTTGACGACCACAGTGTGTCATCAGACCGAGAATGGCAAAAGGCACATCGCGGCTTCTGGGCAGCTATTGACATGCGTGACCCGACACGTTTGAAGTTACCAGCCCGTTACTTCCCCAACGCTTCTTATTGCGCCAGCTTCTCTCCTTCGCACCGCATCCTCAATAAAGGCGCACTTTGGCAGGTAGCAAAAGCGATTCATTTGATAATTCGCTCAGTCGATCCAGATGAGATCAATCAGCAGTTCCAGTGGATTGCCGCACAGCCGGACAAAAGTCATATCAGATACAAAAATCCGTTCTGTGAAGGGAATTTCGCCATTAGCCAATGGACTCGAAGTAACCCGTACATTGGTGTTGATTTCGATGTCTGCGAGGATGGCAAGCCTATCACGCCTGCTCTGGTGGCGAGAGCTTTCAGTGAAAGTTATATGGTAGATGGTATGGCAGTCGTCATGGCTACTGAGGAGCAAGTGGGTCGAAATAAACGCAAGGGAGGGTCTCCGTGTGCTATCGATGTCAATCTGACCCTTGATGATTCGCTATGGCCAATACTGGATATGGACCCGCAATTTAGAAAGCTCTACGGCTGAATAGTGAGTGCCACTGGTCTTTATTTCTACACTACCATCTTGGGACCGGTGGTACAGACCGAAACAACGTACGATTAAAACTGTCTCATCGTGGTGCCATGTATGGATCTCTGGATCAGTGAGAGATGTATGTACTACAGAGTGCACGTAATTGCTTGGCGTTTGTCTGGATTATTGACAGAATACCCATTTGTATTTCGTTTGAATTAAAGATCAATTTCTGTCGCTGGCCTTATGGACCTTCTCTGAATAAATCTTCTATTCAGGATATAAAGCTTCGCTGCTATACGTACTTTTCATAGAATAATAAATGGTTTGGGGGGCCGAGGGTTGAGCCACAATGAATATACAGGCTGTCTCTCCTACTATATAGCATAGACCTTTATATCGCTTTCGCTTGATTATTATTCAAATACCTAGGTATATCTCAGCTGGGATTCAGGGAACAACAAAATAATCTGAAAAGCGGCTAATGGCAAGACCACCTAGAAATATCAAAGGCAGCAACAAAAAGTGACAATGCCGAGTCTTATTGAGACAAGAGTACCAGATTTGTTTCACTTGCTCCGAGGCTAGGATCGTCGTGGGCCTGTGATGGGAATTGTCAATCAGGATACCATTGAAGTTTACATACATAACACAAAGGATACCACATCCCATGGTGGGACGATAGCATAAATATGTCATTAACATATATCCCCGGGCCATCTTCAAGGTTCATTTAAACGCTGTTAATTCCACGTTACAAGTGCCCCATCCTTCGCACTTTTCACAATATACCAATCGAATCCCGGCTCCCAGTATATCGCGTCTTGACACTTTGAACGACGCCTTTGCGTAATTTCACGCCCTCGTCTTTCATGATTTGAATCAAAGTGTAGTTCCTAGCTCGTAGAACAGATATTAGGGGAGTAATCATGCGTTCGCTGTGCTGGCATTTGTATTGGAAGTGTGGATTTGCCCCTCGGCGCAAGAGTAATTGGAAGACTTCGGGGTGAGGCTCAGCCCAGGCGAGAAGTGGTTTCTTCGTGCTGATGAACTTCTCATCATTAGGGTTGACTCCATGGTCGAGGAGTAAATCAACGATGTCGGCATAGCCTCTCACAACAGCCTGGAGAATTGGCCAATTGACGGGGACTTCAGCTGCTCCGGTGGGATCAGCCCCATGTTCGAGGAGAAGCTGCATCATTGCTTTATCTCCTCTTTTTGCTGTCCATGAAAGTGGACCGCGACATCTGTGTCTCTCTGATTCATATTTATTTATTCTTGTATTAGGGCAACATCCACAAGCCAGGACTGCCTCGACGAGGTTGTATTTCCCAATTGCAGCTCCTGCAATCAAGAGCCATTGTTGTTCCATGGCAGATGAAATTTTTGATTTTATGTCAATATGCTCAAGCAGGAGTGCCACGATTTCCGAATGTCCCCATTCTGCCGCAAATAGAAGTGGTCCTAAAGAGGAGCCATTGTAGCGCACGGGGTCGGGACGCACTCCATTCTCAAGTAAGAAACGCACAACATCCAGGTGACCATATTTAGCAGCTAGAGTCATCACAGTGTCCCCGTTAAAGTTGGCGATGCTAGGATCGGCACCATGCTGATATAACATAGCGACCAAGCGCAACGGGGATTCCAATCGCCACATTGCCTCCATCATCATAGTTGATCTGTTGGCATAGGTGAGATTGACATTCAGCTCGGGCCGGAGTTCCAGTAGTAATGCCATGGCGTTGTGCTCACGAGGAAGCGACTCATGCGTGCCTGCCTCTTCTATTGCCAAGTTACGCTTCAATGGTAATTTCTCGCGGCACTCTGTCGTGAAGTCCAGATGCATGTGAATTTGAAGATATCGCGCAATTCTTGATGAATGGCAGCGTAATCTTTCGCGGTCACTGTTGCGCAAAAGGAACAGGAGGATGTCCGGATGGTTATTCTCCACGGCTGCAATGATCAGATTCTCTATGTCAATTGAGCTCTCATTGCCTGGGTCAAGTTCGTTGGATGATGTGTGTTGGCCCGCGGAGAGAGTTCCATTATTGAGGAGCCATCGGACCGTGGACACGTGGCCCTCGCAAACTGCCTCTCTCAGTTCCTTCTCATTTATCGCTGGCTGTCTTTCGCAGAGAAGACCGCTGGCGATGCGATGCAGCCGATGATTTGTTTGTGCTAGGAGATTGACTTCCGAGTCACATTCTAGGTGGTGGATGATGTGGTCTAAGATCTCGTCGGGAAGATCCAAGAAATACATGATTGTGTGCCGATAACTTGTAGAAATCATCCCAGATTGAATTTTGACCGACTCTATATGTTGCGAGCATCATGGCTCATAAGCAACCCCGGAAACCGGGGAAATGGGGCCGATGCGGCACGGGGCTGACTCGTTGAACTTAATTTCTTTGTTCGCCTTGCACCCGCCTTACCCTTTTGGGATGCTTCTTGCGACAACAGGGGAGTTTGTTCGTGGCCTTGCTCTTCGGCGTGATTCTATGCACGCGATTCTCAATTTTGAGCTTCTTACTCCGTGCGGAGACCTCCGGAGTGAATTCGGTATGCCCTGCTGCCGAGATTACGCCTTTCCACTCCGTTCCAAGCATGGGATACGGAGTGCGGTGGAATACAATTGTGAGCTGTCTCCCGCTTGCTCCTTCCCTTTTAGCCAGTTTATCCGTTTATAGTTTCAGCTGCGTCGGGTGGCAGCGGATGGATGCAATACCTGCTCACGCCCGTAGAAATTTGGATCTCACATTCGATCTGAGTGAGATCTTCCAATGAGACACCTTTCCACAAACCATGCAGTTATTGAAGCCTAGACACACAGCAATCTTGCTGGTTGGGCTACGGAGTAACTCAACCTTAGCGAGCTTTGAAACCAGACCAAAGTACGGAGTAGTTGCATTATGTATATATGCATGGCAGTGTCCCGTGACCAAGTCGTCGCATCACCACTGTTCGAAGTACTCCGTACTCTGGAGAAGAAGCTATAATTGGTCCTTGGGCTTGTACATAAGTGCCAGGCGACAAGGTTCACATCAACCACTGCGGATTAGTACTCCGTACTCCGTATACGGAGCACCCTAGGCTCTAACCAATATCATCTGCCAAGCCACTGGGTTCGCAAAGCGAACAGATAAGAAGTACAAAGTACGTCGGTTAGATCGATTCTGGTATTAGTAGTTCTTTGGCCTAGTCTGTGTGATAAATCACATCCGCTATCGCACTAATATCCACACCATGGAGGATGTCACTGGCATCCAACATCCCCTGATAGTGTTGGCAAATGGACTCACGTCATTGTTACAGTATAAGAACAGCGGAATCTATCCGTACACAGGCCATAATATTAGGAAATTCAGCGAGAAGAAACTCAGAGGTTCAAGAAAAAAGACCACTAGAACCAACTCGCCGGTAACAGGTGTCATTTATTCAACTTTGGCAGTTCGAGCTACCGGAGAGGTATTTCATGGCCGAAAATACCTAATACGATCATTTAGATTAGAGAAGATATCACTCTAGCCCCAAAGGTGTAGAAATGAGTACCTCCAGACATGACCCCTGGAGGGTTCAATGACAAACTGGTGACAGGCTGTGGTGATTGGCGGCGTTGACACCTCAGGCAGAAACTGCTCCTTCCCCAGAGATGTCGTCATATGCTTTGCCCTTGAGAGAATCCGATTGGCTTGTGTTTCCAATCACGTGGCATAACCGCAGTACGGACCCACTCGTCCCTGGTCGAGAAGCCTCAAGAGGAACCATAGTCTATATTTGTTTAGGAACATCATTTGTCTCAATATTACCTCTTCCGAGAAGCAAAGGCCGAGCTCTGTGATATACCCTTGATCTAGCATTTCAATCTAGTCATCCTCAGTAATTCACAGCCTGGTGCACATCAAATAAAGCCCTCTTCTCCCTGTGATGTCATTAGGCTGCACCTGCCACCTGGTCCAGCAATAGTCATGGAAGAAGCACCCCACCGACCCTCTACGCTTGAACGCAACCACTCGACTCAAGATGGAACCAAGGTTCAAGGTATACTTGCCATCTAACCGGTTCACAACAAAGACATGCTAACCTTGTAAAGATGATGGTCGCATTGAGATCAATCTGGACTCCAAAGTGGGTCGGGAAGTTTCCAAGTTGATTCCATTTTTGCATACAGAGCAGGATTTTCAGCAAGAACAGGAGCCTTCTTCTGCGGATGGTTACAATCTCGAGCTCAATATCGTTATTCAAGTCGTTGGCAGTCGTGGCGACGTTCAGCCTTTTGTCGCACTCGGCAACGAACTTCAGCGCCATGGACACCGCGTACGATTAGCAACTCATGGTGTATTTGAGAGCTTTGTGCGCGACTCCGGTTTAGAATTTTACTCTATCGGAGGAGATCCATCGGAGCTGATGGCTTACATGGTGAAGAATCCAGGACTAATCCCACAGATGAAGTCCGTCCAAGAAGGTGATATTCAGCGCAAGCGTGTCATGGTAGCTGAAATGCTGAAAGGGTGTTGGGAGTCCTGTATTGAGGATGACTCGGTGACAAAGACACCGTTCGTGGCGGACGCTATTATTGCGAATCCACCAAGCTTCGCCCACATTCACTGCGCACAGGCACTTGGAATTCCTTTGCATATGATGTTTACCATGCCCTGGACTAGCACAAGATCATTCCCGCACCCTTTGGCAAATTTGAAATATTCCACCACGGAGCCGAAGATGGCTAATTATCTTTCTTATGGCATTGTCGAATGGCTGACATGGCAAGGGTAACAACCAAACACCCTTCAGCTACTGGAATGCGCTGACATTGCCACAGCCTGGGAGACGTGATCAATGATTGGAGAAGATCAATTGACCTAGAAGCTATATCAGCTACAGAAGGTCCCCGTTTAGCAGAGACATTGAAAGTGCCTTTCACATATTGTTGGTCCCCTACCTTGATGCCTAAACCGATAGACTGGCGGGCGCATCTTGATGTTTGTGGCTTTTTCTTTCGCTCTCCTCCGGAATTTACGCCGCCACCAGACCTTGACGCCTTTCTTCAAAACGGGCCGCCGCCTGTTTATATTGGGTTTGGAAGTATCGTCATTGAGGATCCCCCAGCTATGACTGCGACACTGGTCAAGGCAGTCAGAGCCTGGGGTGGCCGTGCGATTATATCACGCGGCTGGAGCAATCTTGGCGAAGCACAATCGGATGATCAGATCTTTTATCTTGGGGACTGTCCGCATGAATGGTTATTCCAGAAGGTAGCTGCGGTTGTACATCATGGAGGAGCAGGAACTACAGCATGTGGTCTTCGATTTGGAAGACCATCCCTCATTGTACCTTTCTTTGGAGAGTATGTCATTCGTTGCTGATTTTGACGAATGCTTGGCTAACGATTGGCAGCCAACTATTCTGGGGAAATATGGTTGCGTCTCGCGGCATTGGGCCAATGCCAATTCCACACCGATCTTTAAACGCCGATAATCTAGCAGAGGCTATTCGGTTCTGCCTGCATCCTGACACTCTGACTGCGGCTGCTGATCTGGCCAGTCAGATGAGTCAGGAGGATGGGGTTTCTGCAGCAGTCGCGTCTTTCCATCGCAACTTGCCAGTTGACAAAATGCGATGCAAATTCCTCGAATCCGAACCGGCTGCGTGGCAATTGAAAGAAGGTGGCCGGCCACCCGTGAACCTATCCAAAATGGCTGCAGGAGTCCTGATTGAGAACTCACGGGTTGATCCGAAAGACCTAAAATCGTGAGCAAATATACTCCTCTGGTTCTTTCTTTACTTATGTTAACCCGAATGCTGAGTAAGGTACGAGAGTAACTCGATATTCATCCAGACGCGACGATGGGACCCCATTACTGGCGGGACATCTTCTGTACTAGGGATGTACAAAGACATCCTCACAGCTTCCAGTGATATCGTCATTCGACCATACAAAGAGTTCAGTCGTGCCCGTCAACAGAGCGAGCCTGAGCTCGTGGTCATAGAGTCTACCCACCCGTCATCATCTGGCGACTCACCTGCAGCAGGCAGCACAGGAAGTCGCACTGGGAGAAATCAGCTAGACGAGGACTGGAAAGTCACCGGAAAGGCTGTGGGAGGATCTGCCAAGAGTGTTGGAAAGATCATCGCGTACTACTACAAAGGTGTACTGGTAGACATCCCTGGTGCTGTTAACGAAGGTCTGAGAGCGGTTCCTAGACTCTATGGCGAAGAGGTAAAAGACTACGACAATATCCGGGATTTCAAGTCTGGAGTTGCTGCGGCTTCAGATAACTTTGCACATGGGTTCTCACATGGGCTTACTGATATCTTCAGACAGCCTTACGAGGGTGCCCAAAAGGACGGGATTCGGGGTGCAATCAAAGGATTTGTGAAAGGACCTATTGGAATGGGCACAAAAGCCGCATCAGGTATGTTCTGGATGCTATACAGTTGCCGTGGGCTAACGGATGCACTGTAGGTGCATTGGGACTCGTCGCCTATCCAGGACAGGGCCTAGCCAAGAGTTTACATTCCGCTATCCATTCGAAGACTCGAAAACAGCTTGTGAAAGCTCGGTTGAAAGAGTCGGAGTATTTGGCTAGACAATCAGCCAAAGCACAGTCGAGCTGTCCTGATATACTTGAGGCATTCGAAGCTCATCAGCGGCAGCCGTTGAATACCACAAGCTCGGCAAACTTGGGGCGGGCAGATTCACATTGAGCACATTAGATAGACATACATAGCAACATCATGGATATGGATAGCCACTCAGAGATAACATGGAAGTTCCTTTTGGACCTGTAATACCACATTGTAGCCCCGTATGATTGTCATCGCAGGGCGGGCCCGTCCGCTTTAGACTGCAGCGTCTGGGCGATCACAACATGACGCCTTAAGCTGAGTGTTCTCACTTTTTTACTCCCAAGTTCCACCTAAATTTGTGCTTGCACTTACTGAAATCCATATCACATCACAACCCATCGACAACTACAATGTCTCCGCACACTGGAAAATGTTTTCCTCGGCCAACAGCGGGGTATACCCAGTCATTCTGGCGCACGGAACCCGACCCCCTCGACAATCACCAAAGTACCCCAGATCTTCCAGAGGAAACCGACATTTTGATCATCGGCGGTGGCTATGTGGGTGCCTCAGCCGCCTATCGTCTGCTCGCTGAGAACCGGCAAGAACAGGCCCCACGCGTGGTTTTGCTTGAGGCCCGAGAGCTGTGCTCCGGCGCCACCGGGCGTAATGGTGAGCACACTTGGTTTATGAAAGACACAGTCGTGTTTACTCTCTCATTCTCGGATTCATAGGTGGCCATTTGAGACCAGATATCTACTCGGCAACGGCCTTGTTTGCTGGGCGCTATGGAATCGAAGCAGCGGCGGAGATCGTGCGCTATGAAATTTCGCACATGAAGATCATTGAGGATTTGGTTCGCAAAGAGAATATTGATTGTGACCTTACATTTACCCGGTCTTTCGATATGTATCTCGATGAGGATGAACTTAAGAAGGCGAAGGCTTTCTATGACTATCTGGTTGGCCAAGGGTTCGACTTTATGGACGATGTCAAATACATGTCTCAAGCCGAGACTGAGGAGGTAAGTCATTGAGCATGAGATGTTTTCCACTCTTACTCTAACTTCATACCTTAAGACTGCTCACGTCCGAGGTGCGAAGGGGGGCTTCAGCTTCTCAGCGGGACATCTCTGGCCTTATAAACTGATCGTGCATCTCATTCGGGTTGCCATTTCCCACGGCCTGAACCTGCAGACAAACACGTTGGTCACTGAAATAGCAGAAACGCCCAATGCAGACGGATTCTGGCCGGTCACAACTGGTCGCGGAGTCATTAATGCACGCAAGATTATCCTTGCGACCAATGCATTTACAAGTGCATTAGCTCCCGAATATTGCAAGGCCATCATTCCTTGCAAGGGGATCTGTACACACATAGCCGCCGCACCGGGCGCGCGCCATCAGGAACTGCCAGGAACCTACGCGATCCGATCCGGTCGCGGGGCACTTACTTATCAAATTCCGCGGAAAGACGGGTCACTCATTGTTGGCGGGGCCTCATATCTTTTCAAAAACGATCGAGAAGAGTGGTATAATAATCCCGATGATGGCAAGTTGATTACAGTAGCCGCTGATTACTTCGATGGGTATATGCAACGTACATTCCTTGGTTGGGAGGATAGCAAAGCGGAAGTGAAACGTGTCTGGGCTGGTGGTTAGTATAAACTCCGTATATCAACGTCCCACGTACTAATACCTGCGTCATCGCTGCTTCAGTCATGGGATACAGTGCAGACTCGTTGCCCCATGTTGGAAGCATTCCAGGCAAACCTGGCCAGTTCATCGCCGCAGGATTCAATGGCCACGGTATGCCTGTGGCATTCCTGTCTGGCAAGGCTGTCGCAGATATGGCACAGAAATCTGTCACTTTTGAGGAGACTGGTCTACCTGAGTTGTACAAAACATCAGAGGCTCGGCTGGAGCCGGTCTTTGATGATATCTTAGGGTAGAAGTTCATTAGCGTAGTAATTCAAGCTGTCTTAATTTTCGCAACTCGGGTGTCATCCGGTGTTTTGGACTCGAGCTTGACACAGCCTCCGGGTATATTTCGCTCTAAAATTATTTACACAATAACTGACTAAAGCCGAGACCTGCTAGGGACCCAGCCCAACGAGAGCTATATAGTAGCCTCCTCAAGCGCGGCCTTCTCAGCCAATGCTTTTAAAGATCTCTTCTCCTTCTCAATGCCATTCCGTCGCTGGGCAGTATCACAAAGCTCCAAATTCCCACATTCACATTCCCCATCTCTAAGCCAGCGATAAGTGATACTCCACCGTTTCTGACGCGGCCTCACCGTCCCATCCGGCAGAGTATCATTCTTGCGCTTTCTAATACCATGCGTCCAATGCAGCCTCGAGTCCCCACTCATCTGCATCATGCTGCGCGGGGTCAAATCAACCTCGATGCGTTCCTCGCCCCTGCGAAACACCATCATGGCCGGCGCACCAAGAGACAGCGCATAGAGCTGGTCATATGGTTTGTGGGCATCTACATGAGGAGGGATGCCCGCGCCGGGAGGATAATACTGCAGACAGACCTGGTCTGGGGGTCTATCCTCGGTGATCGGGATGAGCGGCCGAAGCCACTCGGGGAATTCCTTGTATGGAATCTCCGGGTCTATCCCGAATGTCTTATAGTCGAAGCTGTAGCCGTAGTGGAGTGAGACACGACCTGTGCGGTCTGGCCATTCTAGCTCATTGGTAAAGATGTTGACGAGTCGTTGCTCGTGTTCGGCATCGATGAAGTCATTTTGCCAGAAAATGCCGTGTGGCTCGGTCGGCAGCTCTTGGAAATTCCTTCGCTTGTCCATGCTGCTCTTCTGGGCTTTGGATATTGGAAGTGGAAGTAATTCCAGAGCGTGGAAGCGTTGCGCGTCGTGCTATTCAAACTCTGATTTTGTGGACGTGCGTATTGATTACTGGTATTGATACATGACTTTCTAGGAATTTCCGCAAAGGTCTTTCAATTGCTTCTTTGTATGTTGTATCATGTGGTATTATAAAATACATGTATCTGTTGTGCACGTTATTGGCACGGCGGTCCTCGACATGATTTGAACAAATCTTTGATACCATGCCTTCCATGATATTAGACGACTCTATTATCCCGATGATGCTAAGAGATGTCCGTCCACTGCTCCGTTTGGCCGGACATCATATTTACCGATTCGGGCCAAAGAAGAATAAGGCAATCCATAAGCGCATCTACGATGATGCGATCCTTTATCTCCACGGAATATCTTGGCGTAAGCAGCCCCAAATTTGAGACCGATTCCCCCGAAGCTATGCTTCTCCTGCCCGGCCCAATCGATAGGGGGATCAAAAGGGTGCGGTAGCGATGGGCCTTGCAGAGCATGATTTTTCCGGTAATTCGATATATCTTATATGTAATTCCCTAAATATTTCATTTCGTGGATAAGTAAGCCCCTCTCTTAAGGATACTGTGAGTGTCGTCTCACCTTTATGTGATTCAACTTCAGTTGAGCTAGCAATGGATGTACTAGTGCGTGACCTCTTTCGTCAACGCATCTGAAAAGGTTTTTCATTTCGACTTGCATTTGGATGCAATCGAAGACCCAAATGCATAGTTCGAGGAACTTCGACTTTGTTTCCAAGTCGTTGAGTAAATCAAACATTGCCGGTCGAGGAGTATTATCATGGCGTCGATGCTGATTTCCAGTCAGGCTGGTCCTCCTTGCAGAAGGTGACATGAAGCCAGGGTATGTTTGAGATGGATGAATGTGATTGCTAGTCATAATGACACTGACTCGGGACTAAGGGGTCAATGAAGTCAGATATGAAGAGGAAAACAAAGAACAAATGCGACAGGCGAGGGGGAACGAGGATAATAAATACCCAGGTACATCCTTGTAAGCTCTTCATCCAATAAATGGTCCGGGCAGGGGAATGTCTCGATTGTCATTGTTTCTCCTCCACTGGGCATACTAGGTGTTGCATAAGGTGCCATTTTTCGATTGCATAGACCTCGGGTTCCTGCCTGCACCGGCGACAAAAGTGCCCTGGCAGATGCAAACGGAGGAAGGTTGGAACACTCGGCATGTTCATTGGTTGTCACGGTGAAGTGGCCGGGGCTGTTTGTAGGCAGAGTTTGGCAAGATTGGACACGAACTTGCCATGAATGCGAGAGCCGAAAAGTGTTTGGAGGAGACTGATGAGTTTGGGTTCATCATGGTCTCAATCAGTATGTGACTATCACGATCGCGACAAAAACCTTGCAGTCAACACGACGGAATTTGATACCCAATCCCTCAAAATATTAGCCCATTGCACGTCAATAACGATGACAGACTCACCCAGGCCTGAGGGCCTATGCAACCTTGAGTGACACTGTAATAGATTAAGATTGAAGTGTCGAAAAAGTTTGTTGCTTGCTCCCGTTCAGAATGGGTTGGGGCCCAGTTGATAACGACATGTGTGCTAAGAGTCAGCGGGATTTGCATCATGTTGAGATGTGTTCTTTCTCGTCTCGGTAAAACTAGGCGACTGGTCCAAGCACTAGAGGATGCACTCAACTAATTCCGCGAATTTGGCCCCATTCTGGAACAGCTAGATTTGTTACCGGCATCTCCAATTGGATGGAGTTATATAAAGGCTCGTATTAATTATCCGAAGATCTAGGTAACTACATTAGTTACTACATCTCTCATCCGTATCACAGTAGGCATTGTAATTAGTGAGGATCACTTCTAGACCCTCGACAGCGTTGTTGGTATCATTTCCTCGTCGATTTAACCATAAGCTATTTTTAACCTCAAATGTTCCGTGCCCCACAGCCTCTTTACTTCCCCAGGCAGCCAGAAAGATGTGAATAGTTGCATCCTTCCAGGCTGCCGGCAGTTATTTAAACCAAACCAACTCCTACATGCAGTTCTGCCATGATCTCTATACAATTTTGGGCTTGTCTTGTTTATCGATTTTAACTATGCGGTTTGTACTTTCTGGAATTCTCTTCGTGCTACTATCAGCAGTAGTAATTGTGGCCTCCCCAGTCCAACCCGCTACTCTCCACCGTGAAGTGTGGCCACGAGAAGCCACATTCACCACGTCCATGATCAATCCGGAGACAACCACAGCGACCACAACAACCGCCACAGGCTTCCAATTGACCTTGAGCTTAGACCTGCCCACCAATACATGTACGCCTACCATAGCGCCTGACAAGAATGGTTGGGTTCCGCCATCGGAGTGCAATGCATTGTACCTCTATTACCCGTCGTTCAAAGCCGCAGTTGCTGCCGCCGCTATTTTCGGGGTTATGATGATTGTCCACGTTGTCCAAGCGGTCATGTACAAGACGGGCTTTGCTTGGGTCATTCTCATGGGGGTCTCGTGGGAGACTGTGAGCTATGCGGTGCGCGCACTGAGCACTCGCAACCAGCAAGATGAGGGTCAACTGATTGTCACCCAAATTTTTGTTCTACTGGCCCCTTTATGTACGATCTATCACCCCTCATCCATTGATTCACAAATACATGATACTGATTTTCGAGTACAGGGGTGAATGCATTCGACTATATGGTCTTTGCTCGGATGGTCAACTTTTTTCTTCCCGAGCGTCGTATCGGAATATTCAAGCCTTCCCTGCTGGCTAAAATATTTGTCCTCCTCGACTTTGGAGCCTTCGTCGTGCAAGCCATTGGCGGCTTCATGGCCACCGGCAGCGGCGGGGCAGAAATGAAAGGGATTCACATATACATGGGTGGAATTGGCATCCAACAATTTTTCATTGTCTGCTTTCTGGTACTGGTCGTGCAGTTCCACCGGTCTATGCTGAACCTGGATCGGGGATGCCAATTGGCTGAAAACAAAAGGAAATGGCGTGGACTGCTCTACGCCCTGTATGGCAGTCTCATTGCCATCACAGTGCGCATCATTTACCGCTTGGTGGAGTTCTCGGGTGGCTACTCGGAGTCAAATCCCATCCCGTACCGTGAATGGTACATGTATGTGTTTGATGGTATTCCCATGGCTTTGGCCATTGTCGTTTGGAACGTCGCGCCACCTGGGGCCGTTTTACAGGGCCCAGACGCTAAGATCCCCTCGACTGGTATTGGAAGGATCCTGTGCTGTAATGGCTGTGTCTGTTGCTGTCGATCTTCGCGGAAGCGCAGCAAGGCGAAGAAGAATATGCGAAGGGTCTCAGATCATGACGGGTTTAGCGAGGATGTACCACTGCACGTCCGAAGCGCATTGCCTTAGCACGATGTGCAATATAGCTCCCGTCGATGAGAAACCTGACACTTCTTCCACCTGGGACCTGTTCTTGCATGAGACACGATGCAGAAAAATATACACGAAGCATAACTGGATCTGTTTGTACTTAGACATATCAAATCTCTTCTTCCGAGCTGCAATGTCCACGGCGCTCAAAAGTAGTATAAATAGCATTTTTCTGAAGAATCTTGTTAATAAATGACCATCGTTGACGTTGCTGTCCACAGAATTTGCATAGTTTGTGTCGGTGCCACCTGCCTATTTTGTCTTTCCAACTAGGGAAGTCGCCCTCGTAAACAACTTCTTCGCAGCTTCCAATTGTGCTCTGCCGATACACATCGAAAGGTTCCAATTAGGCAGGTGCCATGCAGTCTTTCCGGTGTATCAAAAGGAGGGCTGTGACTCAATTCAGACAACACGCAGCACTATCTGGTGGTTTGCTCGCTACAAGATGCACCCGAGGTCCATTGATTGCATTTCTAGGCCATTCCAACTACCTGAACAATGAATCGATGAATTGGTGCCATCTGTAACGCCAACGATGGCTGCCTATACACATGTGAATCCAATTTCATTTGAAAACTTACAATCCCAGCACATCACATCCGGCCATCCAAAGCCTTTACGAGGATATCGGAAAACATATACCTCGTCACCTTCATAGGCGTCAAGGGGTTATATTATCATATCCACGAAAGACGACACGTGCCGTGCTGCGCAAAAGGGAAACCGGCCGGATGGGATTCGGTACGCCCGGGAGGCCTCGATGAGATCGCCGGTAGACAGGGTCGATGACAGCCGAATGCGGGTGGTAGGGTATGTATCATCCGCAATGGGGGATGACAGCCCCTGAATACGGGCTTCATCCGGCCATCACTCCGATGCAACGTCAAGGGCACCCCGCATCCACCGATAAGCCCCCACTCCGTGGTGAAGACCATCTTTAGTGCGGGGGCACAGCTTGGGGGTACGTCTCTGCCCCTTGCGTCCTCTCACCTACTTATAAATCGTGAAACCCCTAGGCCAGCTGATTCCCGATCGCATTCTCACGTTAAAGCGAGAACCACCACAAAGCTCGTCTTGACGTTCGTCCAACCGAATCCACCATGTATTCCCCTAAAGTCGGCGATAGTGTCGACACCCTTGACACACCGTCTATGATTGCAGATCTCGATCTCGTCGAGGCCAACATCAAAAAGCTGATGGATAAGCTCTTGCCAACTGGCCTCGATATCCGCCCTCATTTGAAAACGACCAAAAGCGCCATCCTGGCGCAGAAGATGGTCAAGGCGGGCGCGAAGGGAGGATGCGTGGCCAAAGTGAGCGAGGCGGAGGTTATTGCTGCGGCCGGATTCGACGATTTATTCATTACCTGTGAGGTCATTGGGCCCGCGAAGGTCCAAAGGCTGGTGGAATTGTACCGCAAACACCGGAAGATCCGGATAGTTGTTGACAGCGAAGCTGGTGCAGCTGCTATCAACAACGCTTTAGCGTCTGCTGGTATTGAGGAACCTATCTCGGTCTTGATTGATCTTGATGTTGGGCTGCATCGCACTGGTGTCTTGCCCGGTGAGCCCGTGATGACCTTAGCCACACAGGTGCAGGGTCTGAAGCATTTAAAATTGATTGGCCTCCACGGATATGAGGGCCATTTGCAGCATTTGCATGATAAGGAAGATCGCAAGAGTCAATGCTTGCATTCTATGGAAATCCTTACAAATACCGCGGATGTTTTGCGGAAGGCGGGCTTCAACATTGAGGTCGTGACTACCGGTGGAACTGGAACAGCCGAGTTCTGCGCTACAGTACCGGGCGTCACTGAGCTCCAGCCCGGGTCGTTCATCTTCATGGATACGGATTATCGGAATGCGGTCGGCACATTCTATTCTAACAGTTTGACAATCCTGTCAACTGTCCTGAGCAAACAAGGTCCCCGGTCGGTTACGATCGATAGCGGATTGAAGTCTTTGACGACGGACAGCGGACTTGCGGAGTGCAAAGATCCGAGATATACATATGGTGTTCTTGGTGACGAGCATGGCTCGTTGAGTTGGGAGGAGGGCACGCCTGCGCTTTCCGTTGGTGATCGCATTGAGATGGTGCCGAGTCACATTGACCCCACGGTAAATCTTCACGATTTCTACTACGCCCATCGTGGAGGTATCATCGAAGAGATTTGGCCTGTTGACTCGAGGGGGAAGGTCCAATAAGAGGCTCTCCTTGATGCCTTTTGGTCAGATAACCTCCACGAGATGAGTGCTACGCTGCTTCATGGCAATATTGAAACATCCAAAATCAAATTTCGAGCATCGGTCTTGTGCTGCGTCATTCAATAATACATAGCAAAACATGACATTGCATTCATGAAAGGTCGTCCCTATCCAGCCCTAAAGCATCGTGATTCCCCGGCCGAGACTCCTTCCCAAATAAAATATACCAGTTAAACGCTTAACAACGACCCAAAAGCAATAGAAAATCCCAGCAGAGCAAAGCGAATCATCACAGCCCAATCGCTGAATCAAGAAGCCTGATAGACCTTGAAGCTGCCGAACTCCCAGTACGCCGTATCAAAGGCAGACGCATTATCCCGAACAAATGCTTTACAGTCGCCGGGACAGCTACTCTGCTTCGTGTAGTACTTATCCGCGCCCGCCCAGTCACCGCACAACGCAATATTCGCAACAATACTCTGATTCTTGAAATGGGAGCCAATATCACACTTCGTACTTGGGAAATCCGCAAAGGCCTTGCCCCAGGTTGATGGATCGGGGTTCCCCGATGTGACATCGGATGGGATCTCCGAACGAACCCATTGCCATACGCGGATGCCAGCATCGCGAAGTTCCATGGCAAAAACCTATGCGCAATTATCAGTATACCCGCTTTCCACAAATCCTAGATTCATCGATTGCTGGGAAGACACTTACACCGCCGCCCTTGCTGTTGAATTCAGGGCCGTAGGAACTCTCATCTCCCTTCACGCCACAGCCGGTATATCCATTCGCCTCATAGTAACAATTCTTGTTCTTCACAGAACCAGTCTCTTTCCGTTTCACGTCCATCGAGCATCCCTTGGATGTGTGGAGTGTTGATTGCGTTCCGAAGGTGCCGGCGTTGGTTGCTTCGATGATATCGATTTCTCCGTGCTCGGGCCAGTTATCCGGGTCTGTTAGCCACAAGGCTGGCCATGTGCCGCATCCATACGGGGTATGGATAATATCAAAAATGAAAAGTCCATTGGCGTAGGTTTTCGTGGACGTGATCCGCACGGATTGGCGCCCGTTCGCAGCTTCTGCTCCACTGTATTTCGTGTCTACCTTCAGCACGGCAGATGTATCGGTGGCATGCGTTAGATTCATCCATTCGGATGCCGGGCGATCGATGTATCTAGAATAGATGTCAGTTAATATGATCTTGCATTCTTGGCATGTGGGAATCATACTGAACGAATCCATGGGTCGGATCTGGGGCAGTGAAGTATTCAAAATTATCGAAAAAGGAAGATCCGGAGTAGCTATCTTTCAGGCTGTATTCCAGTCTCGTGTAGTCGGGATATCGATTGGCTCGGACTCCTAGTACGGCGCCTAGAATCACCGCCAAGATCACGGCGACGATGCCGGCTGCTAGAAAGATCTTCTTCTTCAAGGACCACCCCCGCGGGTCCCATTTAGAGTATCGGTCTGTTCCGTCCGTGTCCCATGGTTCGTAAGCGGGTGCACTGGCCGAGGGTCCATTTTTCATTGTTTGGCTTCCATATTCATACTGCCCATCATCTTGGGCATGAGGGTTATGGTACATCTTTGAAACGCGGTCGGGTTGTTATTGTTGGCGCCAACGAGATTCACGCGACCGGGTCGAGAGAACAGCGCGAAGATCAAGTAGATGACAGGTGCATTGAAGTTCCAGATAATGCAAATCAGGAAAATGCAATATCTACCAGCCTTCGACAAAATTCGCGGTCACGAAGCAGGCCACGCGTTAGGTGTGGGGCGATTTGGGAGAGGTCCAGGGCGATGTCATTGAGAATCTCTACCCACTATGTCCAGCTTTTCAACGGCTTTTCAACAGCTTTGATAATAACTACTAGTATTGAAGTGGAACTATTGGGTAGTTTCTATTATGCAATTTATCACAATATAGACTAAACCTTCATTTTTAGGGAATTGGGATCAAATTGCCTGAAGTACTTCTAAACTTGCATATGACGTCGACTGGAACAAGCTTGAAATGCAGTATGCAGAGAGACCAATCAGACAAAAATAGTAACACATTTCACATTCTTCAAATGTACGTTGCACATCGTATGTTCGGCGTTTTAGACTAGGAAGCGATCTCCACACCTGAGATAGACATAATATTCCACAGCCCATGATTCATAGTAGATCCAAAAGGTATTGAATGTGCTAGATACAGGGTATAATTTTGCGATAAGGTTATATAATAATATTTAATAGAAACGATCTTTTATAGAAAGCAAATACTTTTGCTCATAAAATTCTATATTTAGACTTTAGAATTAATTATAGATGAGATGACGATATATAGCTACCCTAGAAGGGCAAATCAGGAAGCATGCCACGTCTGTGTCCCGGTGTAAAAGAGCAAAACGAGCAAAAGAGATCAGAGAATAGTCACGTTGTGGTACCTAATCCTATCTTTTCTCTATGCAAACATCGTGCCTTTTTTCACCCTAACAGTATTACAGGATTGTTAGCATATTTCCCAATGTTTGTTTATCTAGGTCTGTTTATCTAGGTTTTTTTGTGCAGACTGAACACATAGTTGGGAGGCAGTCAATAGTTAATATGCTGATGGTCGGTGACTCGATTAGATAAATTGGATTAATGGACATTCTCAGATTGTGGTCTGCATAGTAAATTGCAACGAAGGAAATACCGCATAGTCATCTTTAAGACCGGCGGGGGTGCTTGAGTCGAACGATAAATCCAAATGTGCAAAATCCTAATGTTTGACCAAGACCTTACCGTCCCGATTATAGACCACAACAGGTAGGGAACGGGCATGTAGGGTGGCTTCCGTCACACTACCATTGTCATCCCATTTGAAATCCACACTGCCACCACCACGGAGCTTCAAGCCCAGAGCCGAACCTGGTGCCCACGCGTTAGGAATTGCAGGACCCAAAATAATCTTGTGAGTACTGCTATCACCAAGCACCTGTGGGAGATCAGTCGCGAGCATGGCGAGCCCAGCACCAGAGATACCGAAGTTGGCATCGATCTGGAAAGGTTCTCCGCCTGAGGCGTAGCCAGACAATCCATTTGCTGCGAAGTTCACATCAATGCTGTACTTCAGCTCCTTGTATCTGTTCTCACCGAACGAAGTTCAGTTAGCTATAGTCTCGGGTATATCGGAATGAAACGGTGCTTCAACTATGGGAAAGACTAACGCTTCATCGGTGTTGTTGAGCTGTGCCCAGCATGCAGAACGCCATACTTTCTCCCAGCCACTGTTCGCATCGGCAGTGCCATCACCGCGTGAATAGAGGGTGGTAGCGACAGCGTTCTTGACAGTCTGGTTGTCGGCGTACGCACTGGAAATGGAGTATCCCGGGTACCAGCCATAGAGCTCTGACAGGTGACGGTGGGTGTCGTTCTTCTGATCTCTCTCTAGCTTCCACTCTATATTATAGGTCAGTATATTTTTCAGGCACGTGTAAAGGACAGCCTCAACACCTGGAAGAATATGCTTACCCAGAATTTGACCCCATGAGCCTACCCGAACGCCTCTGTCGATCTTTTGGTATGCCGTCTTTACGCTATCAAGGAAGGACTGATCCGTGTCACCAGAAGCATCCCAATCTCTAATGACATGATCGAAGACTTCCCAGATGAGCTGTTGAGAGTGCGCGCAAGCGAATGTCTGAGTTGGGAAGATTAGCTGTCTGACTGGGCGGACTCTGGAAGATATCTTACAGTGGGACCATGTTCTGGTGAGTTGCAAGGAACTGCAACTAGAGAGCCGTCTTTGAAATGCTCATCCGGTGTCAGCATCGAGAGCCAGAATTCGGCCACTCCTTTGATCATCGGGTATCCCGAAGATCGATACCAGTCTTTGTCCTGGGAATAGTCATATCGATCCCACACATGTTTCACTGCATGGAGTATTTTTATTAGTATATAGAGAGCTTTTCAAGTAGATCTGTCAAAAGGGGCTCTTACTCATCCAGGCACCAGCTACGGGGTAGTTTGACCAGCTTGCATCGTCCTCCTGCCTGCTATTGTGTCAGCAGGAAGGTAATGAGAGGACCTTTGCCTTCACTCACGCTGTGTGTCCGAAGATATTTAGATTGGTGTGTGCAACCCAGCCCTCTGCGCCATAGAAGAGCTTCGCGCTCTCGGTCCCGCGTGGTACCCACGTATCCTCCATCATCTCCCACAGGGGATCCATAAGCTTTCCTAGGCCCATCATCTCCGTGTGCCAATGGTTCCTGTGAGGAAGATAGCAGATTAGCCCTGCTCTAGTCCTCCATAGGAGAGCAATAAAAGATGAAAGGCTGAGTGGGATGTGTACATTTGCAAATTGATATTAGCGTGATAGTCCGCGCTCCATGCAGGCTTGACACTGGCTGCCCAGTTTCCTTGTAAATTAGGAGGTAGAGATCCTGGTCTGGAAGACGCGATAAACAGGTACTTTCCGTAGTCAATCATCAATCCCTCGACAAATGGATCTCCTTCGGAGGTGGTATAGCCATTGAGCAGTGTCTTTGTATCGACATTGGCAGATGACTTTGGGTCGGGAAGATTCAAGGTGAATTGATGCATGCATGACTGGTGGTCGGTGATATGGCTTTTGCGAAGGGAGTCATATCCCTCTTTGGCCGCCGCCTGAACAGAAGAAAGGATATCGGGGTATGGATCTGATCCTTTGAAAGAGTAGTTACTATCGCTGTTGCCCTTTTTCTGGTCGTAGTTAGTGCCGGTACCAATAACCAGCAGCAGCGTTTTCGCATCTTTTCCGGTAACTTTATTCGCCCTTTCCGAAGTGCAGCTTATCGATGAGGATGTAACGGCTTTGACATGCGCATCAAATAACATGCCAATATCCCCCTCGCCAGCATTGCTTTTTGTTTGGCCGTGCAGTCGGACACCCTCCGCGGAAGAACATGTCATCTCTGAGGCTGGGTCTGTTCGTTCTGGATCCTCGAATCTAAACGTTACATCAGGCAATGCACTAGAAGACTCGATGTAGTAGACGCAGACATGTGCTGGATATGAGCAGAATTGAACACTATAGCACTTGTCAGTATTTTCAAACCGACAGAGCCCTCTGGCTGCCTTGAGAAGTGTAATGGGCTGTTACGTTCTAAAGTCTGCTCCGTTGGACTTGAAAGAAACTTCATGGATGGCGGTATCAATATCCAGGGAGCGTTTATAAGAGGTGACATCTCCAGTTCCAGAAATGTTGACACTAAGGTGTCCCAACAGCTCATACGAGCCGTAATCAGCGGTGCTACCATACAAGGCAGATTCATCTATAGCACAGTAAGCAAAAATTGACTATCGTTGAGACTCAGTTTACTGACCTCCACTTCCATTTTCAAAGATGGAAGATTGAATCCCTGCAAGATTTCCGGCAAGCGAAGATCCAGGATTTCCGCCGACATAACTCTACCAGTCTGATGATAAGCTCCCATCTCTTGGGATAAGAATGATAAGGGAGAATCTAACCTTGTTTGCAAACGGTCCGCCTGACCACAGGCTATCGTGATTGAAGTATACGATATCATTTCCTGCAACTCCCAATGGCAGCGCTGTGTGGAGTCTGTCAGGATGTTTGAGCAAGAAAAGTCAAGAAAATACTAACCGCCTTGTTTTCCATTGCCCAAAGGATACGCTGTCAACTCGATCTTCGACTTATCAGCCGCCTCGGTTGACCATAGTTGCTTTGCCGCTGTACCAATTACATTGGTACAAAGGACCGCAATGCCCATGGGGATCAACATGACGCAAAGATAACACAGGGCCTAGTAGCTTATGAGCTACTGGTGTTCGGGAGTAGACACAATGCAATTAGCATCATCCGATCTCTAGGGAAGCGGTGTTTATACTCGGTCTCCTTGGGCAATCTCGTCGGCTTGAGCTCAACCACCCGAGATGCCGATCGCAATGTTGATGTAACAGTCAATAGCCCTGGGCGCGGAGAATGTTACATGCACAATATAGACAAATTAACTATCTGCAGTTCTGAACGCCTAGTCAATTTCCAAAGCAACCCATCACTCCTGTTTAGGTACTTTCCTTGTGAATCTTCCCACTGTTGCCCGCTCCTTGACCCCTCTCTGCAGGTCGTGGGGGCGCATCAGATCAATATGCAGTTCACAGGGGGCCAGATGATGTGACAATACCAAATGCGGCGTGAGATCGACATCCGTCACACCGATGCGGAGTATTATCATTCGATTCAGGATATAACTGGTGGTTACCAAGATCCTTTTGAACGATATTTCGCATGGCAATCGGAGCTGAAATACATCCCCGCGATTCGCCGTCGATTAACCAAAGACTCGCATTATGTCTCTGTGATGCACTCGCGAAAGGCTGGTGCGATGAAGAACTGATCGATGACGAGGCATCGTGTGGTGATGAACTGTTCCTCTCAAATCACCTTGGTTGGGGAGGTGTCGTGGTTTGTCCTCGACACAAACATGCAGGTACCAATCGCCGCCCCCAACACGAGCCCATATTGCTGGGGGCTATTCCTATCTTCTCTTCAGAACGCAGGGTATTCTAGAAGAACTGCCCTGAACTTGACCTTCCAGATTCATGATTCTCCTGCTATGGGCAATACCGTGTCCCAGCACCAGCGGAGATGTTCCGAAAAGCCATTCCAAGATTGTTGATTCCCTCACATATCATACTTTGATCATTATTCTTCCAAGGTTCGACGCCACAATATCTTGACCTCGGTCTTTCTCCGATCGACCAGTCTGGAGCAACGCTGATAGCACGTTTGTGGCCGTGAGCGAGACACGGGTTCAGCCCAAACTCGGGGTGGGAGTCGTTAGCCAACACCGTCTCAGATTAGTTTCATGCGAACTGACTTTTGGATGATTAAATTGAAGTGTCGCTTGGTGACTCTGGGTGAGTGCATACGTGAGGTAGCCATTACCCCGTATTGGAATCAGTTGAGTGGGGAAATACAATGGCCTCGGTACCTCAGGCTTCCACACCCGTAGACATGTAGAAAGGGAAGTTGACAACTCCGTCTCCTTTCCCAACACAACTCTCTCCCTCATCCCCCTGGCCCCTACTGTGCAGTGTCTAACGGTATCAACTAATTTCTATGCCTATAATAGCACCCAAGGGCTACGGAATAAATCATGTGACGCTCAACGCCTGACCGTTTCGGTGGCCTACCACAATGTACACATTCACCGAGAAGACCATGGCATGATGCACTCCATTTTCTTGCCTCGGGAATTGGGCATAACTTATTTCCTCGAAAGCCTCAGGTCATATTCGTGGTCATCGGAGTTCTTGAATGGATTTCAATGGAAGAGATTCATCTTAAGTTTCGTCCTATCAAGAATTAGTCCGTCCGGGGGCGGAACGTTGGCGGTTCTCGCTCTGACGCGGAAACATCCCCTATGGCTAGGGCTTCTTGAAGGGCTCTTTATATCATCCCCGCGTATTGAAAGACATAAAAGGGATGGGACATGGGACAATCCGCAGGTCCTACAAAGTCATATCAACCAGCTGACCCATTGCTTTGGGCCTGTTTTTTCCTCTTCAACAAGCTCTTCCATCGCCATGACTTCGGATCAGCTTCGCGTTATTGTCGTCGGTGGCGGCTTCTGCGGCCTCACGGCCGCCATTGAATGTAAGCTTCGTGGAATGCATCCTATCCTCATCGAGGCCTACCCTGGACCGAGTAATCACGGCGATCTCCTCGACTTTACCCCAAATGGTGGCAACGTGTTTGAGTCTTGGGCAAATGGACGAATTGGTGCTGCTCTCAATGCCTCCGGAGTGAATGCAGCAAAGGCTTTGGAATATTACAATGCCAAGAATGAATTGCTGCGTTCTGATCCCTGGCCGCAATCACAGTTCTCCAGGGGTGTCTTCGCGGGACATCGCGGAGCTATGCATGAGATTATCTACAACTATGCGGTGGAAATCGGGGTTGAGCTGCAGTTTGGCAAGCATGTCACTCAGTATCTAGATACTGAAGAGGAGCGTGGAGTGGTCCTTGCAGATGGCTCAAAGATTCTCGGAGACGTTGTCTTGGCCTGCGATGGGCCTAAATCCCTGGCTCGTGATCAGTTGTTGGGCTTGCCTGAGAGCCGTGTGAACAGTGGCTATGCTATTTTCCGGGCCTTCTTTGAAATCACGGATGAAATGCGGCGGAATCCGATTCTCAGTGAGCTGTTAGATCCTGAAGAGGATAAGACACGCTTTTGGGTTGGACGCGATCTGCATGGATTGGTCTACACCTGGAATAAAGGCCGGTATGTTAAATTCGTTCTTACTTATCTCTTTTTAAGCAACATGAATATATCTCACTCCCAACTTTCTTGGGAAGCAGCTGATCATAACTTAGGGACTGTGCCTGGGTTCTCACGCACTTGGATGATGCAGATATTGGTGAATCTTGGTCCCTACCTGGTAAAAAGGAAGACGTGGCCGATTATCTGAAAGCGGCCGGATTCCCCGAGATTTGGAGCGAGCTTTTGAAGTTCACTCCAGAGAGCCGCTTGACAGATTATAAACTAGTTTGGCGTGATGCCATCGATACCTGGTTGTCACCATCCAAGCGGTGTGCTGTTATGGGTGACGCCGCCCATTGTCACCTCCCAACCTCAGGTCAAGGGGCTTGTCAAGCTGTGGAGGATGCCGCGACTGTCGCAGTGTGCCTGCAAAAGTGTGGAGGCGATATCGAACTCGCCTTACAAGTCTTCGAACGAATCCGGTTTAACAGATCCCATGTAATTCGCCAAGGATCAATTTCTACCCGCGATATCTACCACAAGAATGACTGGACGCCGGAATATGTTCGCGAACATCCGACCTCTCTCGTTATTCCTTTCTTCTCATGGATTGTCGGTCATGACTCTATCAAAACAGCCGAGGATAACTTTGACCGTCTAGCGGCGGAGGTCAAAAGTGGCAAACAAGGAAGTATTCAAGAACTGGCGTTGCCTGCTGGTGGCAACTATGATGAGATGAGCATTGAAAAGGGTGCCACTCAAGGATCTGGGGCAGTGGGACTAGGGGCCATCGCTTCGCTCTGAGTCTTGGCCATTTCCTACATGTAGTTGTGCATACAGAACGATTGTACATATGATACGCCAATGATATGACATTTTTTGATACAATAGATTAAACTTCAACGAGTAGTTTTCACTGTAAATTTCCGAATATCTTTCCAAATGAGGTAAGAATCAAAACCACTGATTGATCGATGTGATTTACACGGTAGCAGTCAGAGGTTAATAGATCCCTCAGACACTGAGATAGAATTCGATATTCAGATTCCTTCAACAAGACCGTTAGTATTGCCTGACGTCCAAGATCACTACTAAATCTATTTAGTTTACCCCGCAAACTAGGTACTCCACTCGAGAAAGAATCGCTCCAATGAAGAATTGATCCGGTCATTCCCACCATCCCAATGATGTATCAATCTTGACAGCCGATTTGCTTTGCTTCGCATCCCGCGGGCCCCGAAGCCAAGAACCGAGGCCGACGCATTAGCCGAATGAAATCGGAGAACAGCCCATATCAGCGACACTCTTGGAAGTGTAGTATATATACCCAACGTCACAGTAGGATAAGCCTTTATCTGTGTGCGGATTAGTGACGAGGAACCTTCTCAGCGCTTATCCGGGCGAACAATGGAGTCCAACAAACAAATCAGATTAGATGATCTGGAGTGTACTTGTGTCTATACAAGCCACGCTAGCCTCTGAGCAACCTAGAAGAATATACTCTCGATATCCAGCAGGCGATCCCATGTTTGGATGTTCGCAAGACTACGGTGCGACAAATTCTAACTCAAGACATCCATATAGTGGCTCCAAACCAATCGTCGCATTCAAGGCACAAGCCCATATGTCCAGTCGGACCACTGATTCCAGAACTCGAATTTAGATTCCTCCTCATGATGTGGAATGTCCAGCTCCGCCATTGTCGATTCCGAATGAACCAGATCGGAACACACCATGGACAACTAATGATATTTGATGCATCGGTATGCCTCTGTATGCTCAGCAAAAATAGGCCGACCATTCACGACAATCCTACACCTGGGACTTCTGCTGCTGTAGGCTGCCTCAAAGAGTTTGTTGAGATGTTCTAGTAAATTCGGAAGGTTGTATGTATCCCGCGCGATTTCTATATTCCAGGCCGGATCCAGTGCTTTCGAGGCGATCCCACATAGTACGCCATCTCAGATGAGTGGGTTCAAGTGATTCACTTTTGCCGCCGAATTTGCAAGGCTCGAATAAGCCATATCTCAATATCTCATCGTCGCCGAGGAAAGACATATACGTAACCCCAGAAATGAATTGGGAGAAACGAGCACAAAACATGAGAGAAATAGACATGTGAGAGTTGGCATACTCCCGAGGTCATTCCCATGTGGCTCTCGGGGCATAATTCGCACATGATGTCACAAAGTTTATCGTGCGTTCTTTTGATCTCCAGTAGGAGTTTATCTATCGACTTGTACGGAGTACATCTACGAGATTGTAATATGTGCATGTGTTAACGCATGGGTGCCTTAGGCCGACAGAACCCATCCTAGATAGTTTCTTCTGCCTCTTCCCCTCTCCCTTTCCTTTTTTCCCTCTCATTTTTTCCCTCCCTTCCCTTCCTTTTCTAGCTAGTCAATATAATTAGTTTCTTCCCAGGCCTGTATTGAGCTAGCCTATCTAGAGCATTTCTAGATCCCTGGCTGCTCAATCAGACAGACGCACTCTTTTAACCAGCTCAAATACAAGACTTGGAAAACGATAGAACAGCAGCAGGACTTCAGCAAGCCTATTGCTGAAGAATACGAGACTACCTATCAGAGTACTCTGTACGGAGTATTGAAAATGTAGATTAACAATCGCAGTCGCTGTTAGGGCAAGGATCTTCGGTGATAGCCCACTTCGCCCCACCTCCCCTACGTTGAAAGGACCTGTCGTAGCCAAAGATGCTACATCAGATGCATATGTTCTGCAACATTACGCTCATAGAGGACTCCAAAAGCTAATAAACCTCGGTGGTACAAGGTGCGGAGTACATATGATATAGCGGTGTGGTCTTCAGGTGTGTGAAGGCCCTGTTTCACAAGGGACTGAAGAGCACTTCAAATTTACATACTTCTCTTAACATCTGACGTTTCGATTCCTGATCTCGAACTGTTATCGAAAATGTTTTTCACAATCTGCTTAGGTCTCTTCATTGTCTTTGGGGCTTGTGTTCTTACTGTTCTGCGCCGCAAGAGACAAACCCTGCCTCTTCCTCCCGGTCCTCGTCCAACGCCTATTTTTGGGAATCTCAAGGATCTTCCAACAGTAGATGGACAAGAGTGGTTGCATTGGCTGAAGCATAAGGAGCTATACGGTGACTTTGACTCCTCTTGAGAGAGGATAGGTTGTAGTGCTGACTGCCCCCGAACCAGGCCCTATCAGCTCACTGAATGTCTTTGGGAACAATCTCATCATTATTAACGATGCCGAACTAGCTGTGCGGCTGCTAGAAAAGCGTTCTGGAATACACTCATCGCGCCCGAGGCTGGTCTTTGCTGAAATGTAGATAGACCCACCATTTGAATCCGATAGTAATAGCTAATTCTATTAGGTCGGGCTGGCACAGCATTCTGGGAGCTCTCAGAGACGCAACTATTGTAAGAAAAACACGAAAACTCATGCATCAGGAAATTGGCACGAAAAGTTCCATGGCCCGCTTTAATGATGTTCAGGCAACGGAAGTCAGTCGGTTCCTGATGAGAGTGCTGGACAAACCAGAGGAGCTTCAGCGGCATATCAAAACGTGAGACTATCCCTCTACTAAACTAAGAAACTGCTACATCTACTCAAAGGATGCTAACTGTGATCAGGGAGGCTGGATCGGTCATTCTGAAAATCGCTTATGGCTATAATGTTGAACCCCATGATCATGACCCCCTTGTGGACATGGCCGACAAGGCGATGGGGGACTTTTCGATGGCAATGCAATCAACAAGGGCGGTTGAATTTCTTCCATTCCGTGGGTCTTCATTCAACGGCTGTGAGACTACTGTCTAACTATCTGATCAGTACAATATCTACCGTCTTGGTTCCCCGGGGCAGGGTTCGTTGGAATCGCAAAAGACTACAAGGCAACGGCAGAGGCCTTCAGTGGAACACCCTACGCTTTTGTGAAACGGCAGATGAGTATTGGTCAGTCCAGGCCATCGTTTTTGTCCAATCTTCTCCGCAACAACCCAGTGGAGCCGGGAACTAAGGAAGAGAATATGATCGAATGGTCAGCCGCGGCTTTGTACGGTGGAGGTGCAGATACAGTGAGGATACAATCCAAAAAGCGTGTTTTCGACCAATCTAACAAACATATTAGACTGTCTCATCACTTTCGAGTTTCTTTCAGGCGATGGCCCTATTTCCAGACACACAGCGCAAGGCTCAACAAGAGCTTGACGCAGTGCTCGGGCCTAATCAAATACCAAAGCTCCAAGATCGAGAGCGTCTCCCTTACATGGATGCATTGATTAAGGAAGTTTTCCGATGGCATCCGGTCGTGCCTGTGAGTCTACCACACACGTCAATTGAGGACGATACATTCGAGGGCTATTTCATTCCTAAAGGAGCGGCGATAATTGCAAACATATGGTGAGCTGCTCCCCCTGCTTCCAAGCTGAATGAGCCCTGAAGTTAATGCAATACTTTAGGGCGTATACTCATGATGTAGATATATATCATGACCCTATGACCTTCAAGCCTGAGCGCTTCTTGGCCACTCCTGATGGCCATATCCCAGAGCGCGACCCACGTGGGCTTGTGTTTGGATTTGGGCGTCGGATCTGTCCTGGACGATTGCTGGCAGATTCAAATATATTCCTGACCGTCGCACAGGCTCTGGCTGTCTTTGATATATCGAAGCCGATACAAGACGGAGTGCCTCAGGAAATCCCGATCAAGTTTCTTCCGGGTGTCATTAGCCATCCAGCTCCATTTGAGTTGTCTATTCAGCCTCGAAGCGCAGCACATAGACAGCTTATCCTTTCACTTGAGCAGCTTTATCCTTGGGAGAAGAGTGATGCTGAACATCTCGCCAGTGTGTAGATTATGCTTCGCATACATATCTGGATGTATACGCTTCATTCCATTTTGCTGTGTTAGATAATCCTCAATGAACATCATATTTTATTATTTATTGTATTTTTATGAAAATCAAAATCTGCTTAGTCATTATTTGAAGCTAGAATATAATCAGAAGGGTGGTACTTCTTGGATGTTTCTTAATTCTACTATGATTTAGTTTCAGTCCTTACACACGTTTCTTTTACTCAAACAGTGTATAGGATCTTATCAATCCAGCTGAGCACTTATCAATATTGTATGCTAGCCTAGGTATGTATTTTTAGTTTTCGCTGTGAAAGGCTTTAAGTCTCTTTCCTGTCATAGGGTAAATTTTATAGGAATAGTATCTGCGCAAGGAGTGTCCTTTATACGTCTATGAAAGGGAGCAAGTGATGATCAAACAGTACTTTATTATATCATTATTTCTTTCACTGCAAATTAGGCCTCTTCTCGTCAAGTATCTTTGTTTCTTTTCCCCTCAAGGCAAACATCAACAATGGTATTCCAAATGTCAAGTTCCAAAGCCATGTTATGAACTAACAACAAAGGTACCTCGAGGGATATAAGAGACAACTCTTTTCGTGGTTCCAGATATCTATTCTACACCGTCTCATCCGATCAATCACACATTCCACAATTAACGCTACATATCCTTAATACTACATAACATCCACACTACACATCATCATCCCGTACTACATATCACTTGACTATTCTTCAAAATGGTTCATTTCCACAAAGGTATGGCTAAGTCCCACGAAGTACGCTTTTGGAATGTACTTAATCTCTGGGATCGTCCTGTTGATCGAGCTACTGTTTTGAACCTCATCCGTGGAGTTCATGATCAGGTGTTTAATGCCTGGTCCCAGGATAATGCCAATCCTAAGGGTTTCCTAACATCACGCTCGAACAAAGAGGCACTGAGAACTAGATTTGGTGCTTTAGGACCACAGATACCAGTGCCTATCCCAAATATGACTCCAGCTGCTCTTGGCGAGGCTCTATTCAATATTTATTGTTGTTCACGATGCCGTTATCCTACTGACTGGGGACTAGCACCGTTAGTACCGCGTAAGTATTCAAAGGAAGCACGACAAGCCAAGGCAATCAGCCTAGCTAAGGCAGCCCAAGCAACAGCACAAGCAACAGCACTAACAGCACAAGCAGCAGCAGTGCAAGTAACCACACACATAGCAACAACAGCCGCGCTCAAAGCTACAGGGCAGGATCTACCGAGGTTGGCACGGGACCCCCCGAAGGAAGCCCCATTGCTACCCGCAACATTAGGGCAACCATCAGTGTTCGCACAGCGGGAAATTCAGGACGAGGTGCGCCAACTTCAAGCAGATATCTCAGATGAGGAGGCAGAGGAAGAACCAAACGCAACGCACATAGGTTACCTCAAGGCACAACTCGGGCATTTCGAAGGCCAGCTCATGAATATGCAGCTGCCCCCGCTGGCACCAGCACCTGGACCTGCCCCTGGACCTGCCCCTGGACCTCCAGCAAACTAACTAGGTACTACCATCAACACAGGCCTCGGACCCTTTTTGGCAAAAATTACCTATTGAGATAGTCTTAGAGTTTAAGCTATCACTCGGATATTGTAGATTTAGTTTCCTATATCTTTCTCTAATAGCAGTGCAATGCAATGAATATATCACTTGATAGTCCCTCTTTGTATTATCCAGATCTCCAGTAATTATCATCAATTTATCCTACTCTACTATTATAATCTGGATATTTTCTAATCTGGCAACCTGGCAACCTGCAAGATCTATAGATGGAGATAAAATCAGATTTCCTTACACACGTCTGAATGCTTTTGCTAGGTACTACCAGGATCTACCAAGATATGTAGGAGTAATTCTCAATCCTATCAGAAGCGAAAGGTGGCTCACTGCCAGTCTTCATACCGGGGCAAGCCATTCCTGATCTAGTATTGTGATCTTTCGCTGCCAATCTATGTATCAATATAAACTACCTAGAGCGACTAGTAGATCTGTAGTTATTATCTCTTTCCAGTGCCTTCCCAAAATTATTTGAATTACCTACCTAATACATTAGATCCCTCTGGCTCTTTATGGTATGTACATGTACCTATGTGTGGGTACATACGCATACAATGTCGAAACTATTTTTGGATTTTACTAGGAATGATTCAAGCTTTGTGATAATTCCAACTATGGCTATATTAAGCTTATCCGGGAACCAATCTTGTTTCAAGTCGTTTCTATTGTAAATTGAATATAATACTTAGGAATCAAATAAAGGCTTTATGGTTGATAGAGAGTAAATAGCTAATTTGATATATCTCTTTGTTTTTTTGTTTCTTTGCTTTAATCGAACCTAGTCCTAACGGTTCCTCCCGGTCGAATTCTTTATGTCTTTTCTTTATGTGAAATATGAATAATATATTTGACTTAAGCTTCAAAGCCATACATATGCTTCATTGTTTTATACTCGGTTAAAGAAGTCTCGGTATATAATAGCTGCCAGGCTCTATCATAACTCTCACTTTTCACAATCCAATCCAATCCAATCCAATCCAAAGATATTTACCACTGTATATCATTTTCTCATAATGTCTAACGCTGAACTACCTCGAAATTACCGTAAGGGCATGAGCCAGAAGCATATACCGACATTCTGGGAACGGCTAGGTCTTCCTTTGACTGACCAGAGTCCAAATACTATTGCGGACCGAGCTCAGGTTATGACACATATCCATACGGTCCATACTCGAGTGACAAACTACTGGGTCCAACAGGGGGTGGACCCTGAACACCTCCTCAGAGGAGCCACTATTACAGCAACGATCAAGAATGAATTAATCGATACAAATGTACCTCTACCAGCACCTATTCGAGCTCTTCCTCCACAGGATGCTGCTGATCTGTTATTCCAATTTTATCGGTATAACAGATTCATTCTACCCATTAACTGGGGACTAACACCTGCTACGTCGGCTCATACAACTATTGCATCTAAGGCAACAAAGGCAACTAAGACTGCGCCTGTACCAGCTGTACCAGCGCCCCCACCACTAGTAATTCCTACATTTATCCCTAATCCTGCCCCTGCTGGACCTGCCCCTGGACCCGCACCTGGACCTGCCCCTGGACTAGCACCCCTACTAAAACTACCTGCGGGTAGAGCTAGACCTACACCTTTACTACCTGGCCCCGGGCCTGGACCTGCACCTGCACCCCTGGAGCCTGCCCCTGGCCCTGCGCCTGGACATGTTCTTGCAGCTAGACCTCGACCTGCCCCCGGACCTGGACCTGCAGCCCTACTACCTGCACCCCTACTACCTGCACCTGCACCTGCACCTGCAACAGGAACTAAGAGACAGAGAGAGGAGGAAGACGATGATGATTCTGGTGCCCCAGCCCGAAAGAAGAGTAGCATTCATGCACTCCTTAATCCATCTGATCCAGCACCACAAGGTCCAGCAACTAAGAAATCGCCCAAAAAGCCCAAAGACAAGGATGACGACGGCGCTAGCCACGGAGGTGAAGGTGCAGGTAAGGCTGGAGCCGAGGGGGAAAAGTAAGCTTGGAAGGGATGGAACTTGCCTTATGATCGGAGGGTAGATATCGACGCCAACTAGGAATAGAAATCTATAGAACAAGTTATATATTATATTGGAGAATGACAAGTATCTATAGATATGAACTTAACGTTCTAAAGCTAGATCTGATAGGTCTTTTTATATATACAACGTAAAGGCAAATCTTGAGATAGGTCTGACATAACTAAATATCCAAAGCCGTATGAGAACAACTCCAGGGCCGTACTGGCGAAAGGCGAGCTCATCACATAGCGTACATACACGAGTTGGGATTAGGCTTCAAATTAAAGGGATAGTGTATATTTGCCTGTGGTAAACAATACCATATTCCGTTGAGATTTAGGTCTTTCAGGCATTACTGGGTGACCAGTATAAATTGATTATTCTGCTACATGTAATAGCCTATCCATATTTGAGAAAAGCATGTCTCGCAAGTCAGCCTTTCCAAGGATCTAGCCTAATGGGATTAGCCAGAACCTCGGCTAGAAGTCTACTGCTATCACTCTTGGGATCAATATCCTCCGTCAATTTCTCTTTTAGAAAGTCCAAGTGCTTCATTATCTTTGAAAAGAAGGTGGTTTCTGATTATCTCTTTGTTTTGGTTGTGAGACTGGACTCCCAATTGCTCTTATTCGAGTGCTTGGTTTCTTTCTTGAGCTTGAATAGAAACAATGTAGTAAAGCTGTTAAGCTTCGAAGTCAACTCTTTCATTATATTACACTAGGTCACAAAAGGATTCAAAGTCACCCTTATCTAAACCCTTCGTGCATTTCTTTGTTGACCTCGAATAGAAACAATGTATTATAACTGTCAAACTTCAAAGCAATACTCTTCATAGCCTCACTTTAGGCCACAAAGAGTCTTGGAAGTATTTAAGAGTCGCCAAACCCTCGCTATAAGTTCAGATAACTTCCACACACAACTATTTCGACAGTTCAATAATCCGGGTCAACAATCTATCTATCATTATATATTACCTTCAAAATGCCGAAATTTTCGTTTCGCAGGGGTCTGAGTGCATACCATTTGCCACGTTTCTGGGGTCCATTTAATCTCTGGGAGGGTAGCTGGCAAATTCCCCAATCTGGAGACATTGTTTTGCGCCAAACAATGATTTTAGACCATCTACATACAGTTCATGATCGAGTGATGGCTGACTGGGTTGCCATTGGAAATAATCCTGATAATATGTCCAGATCCAAAACCCAACAAGGCGCCCTCAAAGAAGGATTCATTGATCCGGCAGTACAGCTACCAGCAGAGGTTCGAAATCTTAGTTCAGCCGACAGTATCAAGCATCTATGGGAGCTTTATCTATTTTATATCAATCACGAGCCTACTAACTGGGGACTAGCAGCTCCCAAGCAACAATTAGTGGCTCGGAGCGGAAAGTACCTTGTTCCACCAACTCCGCCTCCGCTTTTGCCTCTGCCCTCACCAGCAACTGGAGCTTCACCTGCACCTGCACTTAAGCGAGGGAGAGAGCAGGAAGACGATGGAGAAGATGATAGAGATTCCTCAGCCCAAAGTAAGATGCGTACTGATACTAATCACCCCGCTCCGGGCCTAGCAGCTCGGGGAACACCAGCCATTCAAGCAGCGCCGATCGTTCAAGGTGACGGTCAAGATGACGGTCAAGAGGATGGTCAAGAGGATGATCAAGAGGATGGTCAAGAGGATGATCAAGAGGATGGTCAAGAGTATGGTCAAGAGGACGGTCAGTATGGTGGTGAGTACGATGGTCAGTACGGTGGTGAGTACGATGGTCAGTATGGTGGTGAGTACGATGGCCAGTATGGTGGTGAGTACGATGGGCAGTATGGTGGTGAGTACGATGGTCAGTATGGTGGTGAGTACGATGGCCAGTATGGTGGTGAGTACGATGGGCAGTATGGTGGTGAGTACGATGGCCAGTATGGTGGTGAGTACGATGGTCAGTATGGTGGTGAGTACGATGGTCAGTATGCTGGTGAGTACTATGGGCAGTATGGTGGTGAGTACGATGGCCAGTATGGTGGTGAGTACGATGGTCAGTATGGTGGTGAGTACGATGGTCAGTATGCTGGTGAGTACGATGGTCAGTATGCCGGTCAATATGATTTAGATCAAGAACTAACACAGGAGTTGGCACAATGCGAAGATCCAAGGTCTGCACAGAACGCCGAGGAGGTCCTGGCTCAAGCGCATAGGGAGGCAAGAATTCGAGAGGAATATCTCAGGGAATATGAGGAAACTCAGGAGAGAGAGAATTCGCTCTATCCTTTTTGATCACCTGGGCACCAGCACATGTTTACTAACCACTTTTGATTTGATTCATACTGGCTACTATGATTGTGTCATTCTTAAATCGGGTTTCTTCTCGGTATTATCATTAAGAATTACACCATTAGAAATCCCTTTTAATCTCATACATTGCACGTCTTTAAAGTCAAATTAACCACTTTTTTCTTGGTATCTCCGTATCACGCAAGATGATAAGCGGGTATGTACCTGAAGTATGAACAGTAGTATGAACAGTATCTGTCTGAAAATATGAGATAGTCAAGGCTTAATCATGTTTGCCCCTTCAGAACGACCGTAGAATTGCTGCTCTTAAATCTAGATAGTATATTAGACGCTTTTATATCTGCAATTTGAGTATAACTTTTCAAGTCTGAAGGTGATTGGTGACAGGCGAATGGATGCCTTAATGGCCTGAGGATTCAGGCCTCCAATCCACCCCGGTGAAATTGGGCAGAATCTCGGCTCGAAGGCTAATCTCATCCCTCTTGGGATCAATATCGCTGTCAATATCTCGGCATTTTTGACTGATTGTGTAGCCTGTATTCGACAAAACAGACTTTCCAAACTAACTCGCTCATTGTTGTGGTCTTTTGCCCACTAACGCCCGCACCGGTCACACAAGTGAAGTGCACGTCGGGTATCAATCCTTGTCCATCACACCTACTTTCCAGAACTGGTGGGCTCGATTAGGCAATACAAACACATATTGTCCTTTCCAAACTCCCGAATTGCGTTTAATTCTCCTTCTTGGGAGCGACAGCGGAATTTCTGAGAAATCTTGGCATTCTATATTTATTCATCATGGCTACAGTTACGATAGCCGGTGACAAGTTATTTATTTGTCCCGGATGCCAGAGAGGCGGCTTCAAAAGTCTCGGTGCCGTCAAAGCCCATTTTGAGTCTAAAGGTCACAAAATTTCTTGCATACCATGCGACAGATCTTTCGGCAATATCACCGCCTTGCTGAAACACTCCCAAAAGCATGAAAAGCCCCTAGATGGTCCCGATCTCAAGTCTCTCAAGCCAGCAAAACAAGCCCAAAAGAGCGCGAAATATGAGAACCCCGAGGATTTTACTGAATTGTTTTCTGTGGAAGCGGAACCAGTCCCAAAGAGCAAGAAATCCAAGAAATTCAAGAAATCCCAGGATCCTACTGAACCCATATCTTTGGAACCTGTGGAACCAGCCCCAACGAGCAAGAAGTCTAAGAAGTCCCAAGACCATGCCGATCCTGTCTCTATCAAGCCAGCAAAGCCAACTCCGAAGAACACAAAGCCTGAGAAACCCCAGGATCGTGCTGAGGTCTTATCTACCAAGCCTGTGGAACCTGCTCCGAAGGCTAAGAAGTCTAAGAAGTCCAAGGACCGGTCAGAGCTCCTGCCTGTCAAGTCTGCGGAAGCTGTTCCAAAGCCTGTATCAACTGAGATATCATCACGTCTTCCACCGCAAAGGCCAGAGGCTCCTAGGGACCCATGGGATGCGACAAGCACCCCTACCCCAAACGCAAATTACCATGTCACCCTTGAACCGCTCGAGCAAAACCTGATATTCCGCTATCTAGCGGCGCGCTGCCATTCAGATACCCGTCTAGCTACACGAGGCTTCGTCCTTAGGGCTGGCTTGGCCGAAAAGAACAAACGTCCGTCGAGGAGGCCTCCTCCCAAAACAGGGCATTTCCGCCAAGTGCCTCGCTCTTCGGACGGCTTGCCGAGAAGACGCGCAATCGTCCTTGACTGCGAGATGGTGCAAGTGGAAGCTGGGCGTCGAGAGCTTGCCTTCCTAACTGCAATTGACTTTTTGACTGGCGAGGTGCTCATCGACAACTATGTGCAGCCGAAATCGAAAGTTGTGAACTGGGATTCGCGATTCAGCGGGGTCACTTGTCTTGCCATGAACAAAGCTGTCAAGAAAGGGACGGCGTTGAATGGCTGGGAAGGAGCACGCTCGAAGTTATGGCAGTTCATGGATAGCGAGACTGTTCTTATCGGTCACTCTCTCAACAATGATCTCGATGTCTTGGGTATCATTCACTGGAATATTGTCGATTCTTCCATCATCACCAGCGAAGCGGTCTTTTATACTGTACACGCAACTGAGTCGCTCAACCGCACATGGAGTCTGAAGACTCTTGCTAGTGAATTGGTCAACTACGATATTCAAGCTGGAAAACAGGGCCACAGTGCCCTTGAAGATGCACATGCAACACGAGATATCGTCATTTGGTGTCTGAGATACCCGGAGCACTTGAAGGTGTGGGCGGACAATGCCCGGGAACAGGAAGCCGTGCGCGTGTACGAGAGGGAGTTGAAGAAGGCCACGGAGGAGGAGGCGAAGGAACAAAAGAGAAAGAACGAGATGGAGTTCAAGTTCCAAATGATATCCCGCGACCTTCCTGGTCTGGATATTTATGACATTGGTCTATCTGATGATGAGCCAATTAATACTACTGATTCTTCGGACGAAGATGTCGGTGATGAGGACCTTCGATACGAGCGTGTGAGCATTGAAGCGGCGGCCGCTTCATTCTTTTGAGCCTCTTACGTCTATCTATACTTTTTTGTTGGTTTTGGACAATATCATGACAAATCTTTTTTGAATCCCCAGCCATGCAATCATCGCGCTGTTCAATCTCGTTTTCTCGGTGCTTTATGCCATAGGATAGGCAAAAATGCAACGATCATTGTTTTGTTTCCAACACAGTGCAACAGGAATCATATGTACATATTCATGGTCTCATCGCCACTCAGGGGTATAAAGCTTAATTTAACAACATCATAACCTCAAGGCGCTATTGTACACGGTGACGTCTGTCTCCATTGACACATTTCGTGTCTCCCCGGCAATATTAAGAGAGACTTGCCACAATATCGAGTGACTCAACTTGATATTATAGGTGACAAAACTAGGCTGAATGCTAGCCAAAGGACCAAAACGTTTTCCATTACTCCACAGACCGTCATGTCTAAGAACAAGCTGAAGCAAACTCCCAATATCAGCCGGCACATCGCCTGGTCCGACCGACGTGATAACAGGATCTTTCAATTCTCCGAATGCTTGCCCCAGACCCAACGGCTGAACAAAAACATGTTCATCTTTGGGGGCGATATAAAGGCTAAGCTCGCTGGGTTTGAGGATGATCTCAGTCTTCGAAAGAATGACCATCTTAACCGAGATGATCTGGACTTGTTGCACAACATCTTTAATAACACCACTTGTTCCATTGCACTCAGGAATAACCCTAATAAACAACGGTATTGGTGATGGATTATCAAGTTGAATAGCGAGCGGCACACTCATCACAACTTGAAAGCACAACCCAGGAACACTCGATAGACCGAGCAATTTCTGCGTCTTCTGTGTAAAGGACAAATCCACGTCCTGCATTGATGGAAGCAATCGCTGACTGCGCACCCTGCTGGTGGCACTGCATCGCTGCAGCGCAAAGCGGATGCCCGCTGGGTCTACCATCGGGTGACCCAATGTGATAGGCGCTATCGCGCGTTGGACCTGCCATGAGCCTTTGCGCATATAACGCAGCTTGGCCTGGAGATAGTACTCAATGCAGACCTTGGCACTGTTCCATTCTGTGAAAAAAGTTCCCGGTAAAGGGTGTTGGGTGTAAATATCCTCAGTTGAGATGAAAGTTTCGAGTTGAGCGTGATTGCGGAGTGCTGATGACGAAGTCATTTCAGGGATCTCCAAAGAAAAGGGAATATTGATCCAGTCGCTTGGACTGCTGGGCTTGGGGATGTGGATGGGCCCACGCCGCAAAATTTGTGATCGGAGCTTGAAAAGGTGCCAATCACCATAATGGGTGGATTCGGTTGGATAGCCGTCCGTGATTAATCGGGCTTTTGAAACTCCTATCAAGGAGAGTGAAATGGCGGCATCGGTGGCCACAATGTGTGAGCTGCGGTTCACACTGCCGATTATGGTGTCGCCCGCACAATATGTCCATACCGGGGGTGCTGCGATGGATATCTTGAGATCAGGGCCTCCAGTTGCCTTGGTGGGGTACATGTTTCATTTTTATGGAGGTAAGTGAAGTGCGTTCAGATAGTGTTCCAAAGGTGCAAGGCTTTCTAGCTCATCAAAGAAATGGAATTTCTTACATAACTCAGGGGCTGCCGGGGTCCGCAGGGGTCCCAAAGGCCATAATTGGTTGTAGAGACACATATTAAGTCTGGCTAGAACAGATGTATGGATAGACAATCGATCGTATGAGTATGCAGATGATCATTGGTCCAGGCATTAAGGCAGGCACCACAAGGCCCTGACACGTGCTAACCTCCAACACGCTTATTTCTACACGGTTGAACCCGCTAAACGGGAAAAATTCAAAAATGGGAATCAAGAATGGATAAAAAAAATTCTAGGCGACAAAAACTCCAGGCACGGTTAGGAGGCGCGCCGGCCAACCTTACCATGCCCTGTCGTCGCTCCAAAACGTCCAAAGGTCCAAAACGCAACGGGAGAAATCGAACCATGAGACCCGTGGTAAATGAAGCTACCCAATTAGGCAACCGGTGCCTAAAGGGCAACGACAAATGGAGGGCCGCTCCCATGAGTTGGCGAGACTCAAGACCACTAGACCACACAGAACAATTTTTTGTTAATGGGTATTTCTTACACTGTCCTATAACCGACACTCGGGACCATCACCCTGGCCAGATATCTGTGGGCTTGTCACGTGACTACACTCCTTATCATTGGTTCGAACCAACATTTTGAAGCTACGCTAGTCTAGATCAGGAAGGATAAACACATATCCTCAGAACCTTAACAACCTAAACCCCAGATTCGAACGAAAGCTCAATCGGCTCCACAATGTGAGATGCCGTTGGACTTGGGTATGTGTGTTTGCCCTGCTTTTCCTGCGCAACACACCCAGAATCTCGATTACAACTTTCGGATTCAAGACCATATTGGGATCTACCAGGCTATAAAACGATCATGTGAAACCATTGTCCTTGCCCTTGCCATCCATCGCGCTAATTGAGTGGTTAAGGACAACATCTTACAGTGTTTATATCGAGCAAATTCCCAGAGTCAAAAGCAACAAACCCGGGTATCAATTTCACACTCGAGAGCAGTACATACATACAAGTTCCACTAGCAGATAAATTACATACAAGTACAGTTTCAAGGTAAGTCGTAGATTCCCACCGGGTGACATAGCACGACGAATTCAAAGGTCTATTGAGCCCGATAGGGAATCATCAACCTAGCCCCGATAATCTGCAAAAAAAAAAGCCAAAGAATACAAATCGAGGGAGTTTCGAGAAGCAATTGTGCGCCTGCCCAGACGCCGTGTAGAAAAGAAGGGCCAATCCCAGACGCCGTGTCAGAATGTGTATAGTCATAACCGCCAGGAGCTAAGGTAATATCGGCATATGAATGGTAAAGTAACAGTATGGTAAAATGAGGTCGTTCCACGTATTCCCGGTGTGCGCCATGTACCGAGGTGGGAGGGTATCATGCAGTGCGGGACAATATATCAAGGTAAAAGGAGTATGTAGCTTCTGTCGAGCTAACGAAGGTGTAATCACGCATTGAACCACGCTATGCGAGCGAGGTTTTGATGAGTCTTGTTATGACTTCCGAGCTTTACAGAGCCATGATCGCCACCATTTGCAGACTCCGAGCACTGCGGTGCGACCATCGTCTTTGCGCTCGGTGCCATCTGGGTTACCCAGAACCATGGTGAATACCCAGAAGAATGCGGCTGTCCATGCGAAGAGGAGAATCACAATGCTGAGGAAAGGTGATAGAACAAGGATGGCGATCGAAGCGAAGATAGAGTAGGATTCATTCCGTTCAGATACCACTGACGGTTGGTCTGAGTCTGGCTCTGAGCGGATCCATTGGGTGGAGGATGATCTTTCCTTCACTGAGGGTGGCTGCAAGCAGACGAGTCGTTCATGGATATGGAGGACAGGAGATAGGAGATCGCAGAGCTGTGATGTGAATCGTGTTGATCGGAGGTATGGGGAGAATGAGCAGAGGCGAAAAGGCGAGACGAGAAGGGCGAAGAAGAGAGCGAATATAGAATATAGGGCAGCACCGAACGCGTAGAACGGGACAATGTTGAGACGAAGCTGCCAATGTCCGTTAGTATATTTTAAAAAAAAAAGACTCTATTAGGCTGCTGTATGGTGTACTTACTAGCATCAGAGGAGCATCTTGACCATCATTGGTGACTAGTTCGTCATCCGAAACACCTCGCTTTCGGGTTCGGGTTATACTAGGGTTAGAATGTCCCCCCGACATCAGTGATGGCCTGTCTGCCCAGCTGCTCCGGATCCGCTCTTCTTTATATACACCGTTTGATGTCGGACCGCCGGCCGGAATGCAGTTGATCTCCCGAGGGTCTGACCGGGGCCAAGAGGATCCTTCCAGCGTCTGGTTGCGATAGGCACGGTGTGCTCGTGAACCGGAGGTGCGGGGGCTGGTGTCGTGGTTTGATACAGGAGTTATAGGTCGAGACCCGCCTATGGGGTGGCCCAATACAGATTGTTCTTGGGATCGACAGGCGGCCGGTGGAGGGGTGACGATCGAGCTGTGAGGGTGTGTTGTTCCAAGGGGTCCTTGTTCCTGGTAGTAGGCAGGACTATAGGACATCTCCGGCGACCGCATGGCTGGTGAGGGAAATGTAGGTGAAGACGATGTCGTACAAGGTAGACGCACAGAGGGCGACTATTGTATCTGGAATTCACCGCATGACTTCTGTAATCTTTCTGGCATAGGGGGCTCCCGGTAGACAAGTCGGAGGGGGAACAGGGCGGGCAGGAAGGGCGGAAGAGAGATTTATAAATGACCACGGAGAGCCGCAGCTTTGAAAGAGCGGAAATCCAGGAAACGCCCAGGAAACGCCGTGCCAGACAGCGGAGGAACATTTCCTGCTGTTTGCAGTCCTTCTCGCCAAGACGCCTAGATGCCGAGCCCTTGGCATTGAGTCGAGCCTTGTATGGAGTACGAGAATCATTGGACACCCTGCTGATCCTTTTATCTCATATCTTGACCGTCGTTATCTTGCGCATGTTTGATGACGGGGTTCGTTTTGTGTTGGACAAGATGTGAAGTTGTCCTACCGTGAGATGACGAGTGTATTCGAGGATGCAAAGGAATTACGAGATTTTACCGTCCGCCAAGATGCCAAGCAGCCATCGGGGATAATGTATTGGGAAGTGCTCAGTCTCTGATTGGCTGTCGGGGGCGTGGTGATCCGCGACGAGACGAAGCCTGGGGTCTTGGCGGTAATAGTTGTACGCACGTGATGTCCCTGGATTTGCATCCAATCCCGCAACCTATATATTCATTTTTAACGCAAGGGAAGGTACATGCTTTGGGGGTTTTTTGATGAGATTTGCAAAATCAAGTATCACAGTCTCACAGAGTCTCGCAGTGCTACGACTTCCCTGGACGGATCAACTCAGGGGTCGGCACAGTATCCCAAGGACCGAGGGTCAACGCCCAGACGCCCAGAGGTTGGCGGGTGTTGGCATAGTTTTGTCTTGGAAGAAAATAATTCACTCTTCTGCATTGTCCAATATCTTTTACCTAAACTCCGTCAATAATTGGTCCGGGGCTGGATGTTACAAGGCTGACATCAATAAGAAGACAGTACCCCAAACATGCCCAGGTGAGTTAGATCTTCGACGGCCCTATACTCCCCCAGATACCAGACCCTGGCAGGAAAATGTCTTGGAAGTCTTGGCTCTCTGATCCTTTCATTCCGCTGTCCCGTCCAAGAGAAACTGATCATGTTGACGAATCAGTACCCTTCACGACCGCTTCAGATCGAAAGTTTTCCTCCTGCTCGACGGAGTTCATATCTTGGCTGATCACGCTTTGGTATCATGTTTCTAGGCATTGCACACACATCCCGTATTCTCTGCTTGGCTTAGCGGTCAGAAGCGACCGATTGCGTGTTCTGTGCTCGGCAGCTGCAACCTCGCCTTCCTTGTCCCAAGGTTACCTGCTCTTACTTTTCCTTCCACCGCTGTGTGAGATACCCAGAATGTCTCGGCATGTTGGACTGAGGTTGGCGCAAGAAAAGCCAAGTGTCATGTGCTTTTCCTCGGCTTCAGCCCATGATTCGACCACTGAACCAGTACTCCGTATGGAGAGAACCCCCAGACACGCCATGACATAACAGGTGGCGGTTGACGATTGTAGATCAATCATATCCCCCCCCAAAATTTGGTGAGATTCTAATCAAACCACACAACATGAGGGGTTATAACCTACAAAATCGCACGTACTGAGTAGGTACCGAGTGCTTATGTCCTAGGTGGCTGTCTTGTACGGAGTACTCCGTACGGGTTTTCCAGGTGCAAATTGCAGTGATCAGAAGTCCTGTAATCTCCCAAATCTCACAGCCATTTGACTTCTTACGACCTGTCATCTTGGATGAGATTACTCCGTACAAGGTCGGGCATATCATTCGCCGGAAATTTCCCTGGGAATTGACAGGTACATGCATGTATGGCAGCACCCTCTACGGAGTACTCCGTACGGAGTACCTCGACCGCTCGAAAACAACAGTGTCCCTTGAAATCCCAGCGCCCGCTCGACATCCTCCTTGGGCACCTATCCTTCCCATCCCTTTCCTTCGGTTGTTTGTCCCGCGAGGTATCAACCGTCGTACAATAAAGTCACGTTATTTGCCCTCCAGGATATTTCAGCAACCCATGTGTGGTAATTCTCACTACATCCAGGATTCCACATCATCTACCGACTGCGAACGCCCCGGTCCCCTCGCCAAACTTTCCGCCGGCTCGGTCGCATCGCACTGATCCAAACACGTGAAGTTTGGAGGTTGAGAAACAAATGGCTGGAGTTGTCGATATCTCATTCCGTCAATATTCTGACCTTCGCCAATCTTGACATTTCATAAGGCTGGGAGGGCTTGTGCTTGCCTCTCAGGTCGGCTTGCCGTGTGGGATCTGAGCTTATGCAATTCATGTCTATCAGCCAGATGCTATCTACATGGTAATCCGTACGGAATACGGAATATGGATTACTTCGTATTCCTTTCCTATATCATCTTGCTCTCATAAAGGATAGCTGGCTGCTTGTCAAAACAACATCGATGTCTGATTTGCGGGGGCCTCCTTCATGCAAATAGCATTTTACTCAAACTCCTGCCATGGATTTCACAAGACGCGCATCTGAGACTCGAGCCCCTGATGGGTTCTTCTATTGCCGATAATTTCTCGGGCGCTCTTACTGGCTGAGACTGACTGACAATAGGGGCTATCGCCGCGTAGATTTTGTGGATATCATCATATTTCATTGTGCTGTAATCTAGGTCAATATTCAGTTGGATTTATAGAATCGATACCATGAATACCCTGCTTGAGGATATCCTCTAATTTCTTTTTTTGCAACCTCTTTCCCTCCAGCAACAACCGTTATACCCAGTAAGATGGAAGGCATTGGCAAAGGCAACGCATAGAGCACCTGATGGCAATATATTCCTCAGTTACGTACTCCACAGATAACGAGGCTCCATGTGAGCAAGATAGTCTCAAATGGTATATATTCCCCTGGACATATCGATAAAGCATGTACGATGACAAATTTGCCTGCATTGGGAAGTACGGAGTACTCCGTAGAAGCCGATGGATGGGGGTGATGAATGCGGAGTATGGGTATTTGAGATATATATGTACCTATGTGCTATAGGTAGACTTTTATTTGCATTTGCGGTTAGAAACACAAACTAGAGGAAAATAAAGGAAACGCGAAATGAAAAATTGACCTCTTAGCTGAAAACATATATACGACCTGTCCCCCAGTTTGGAAAACGCAACCAACCAAAAAAAGGATAAATGAGCGAATCAAACGACGAACGTGTCAGTTCCAACGAATCATCCATCTCGGCTCCAATCCGAGTTTACTCGAATAACAAAGCACACGCTCGACCGCAAATCCGACTAAAACCCGGCCCCGGGGGGCTCATTTGTGGCTGGCCAAGGCTTGCCGCCACAGCGAGCAAGATGTGATGGGCGAGATTCGAAAGCCAACTAGCCGACTCAGCCCACATCAATAACTGCCTACGGCAGAGTATTATTGGCTCAGCGGTACCTGAAGGAACCCGCGTTGAAAGGCTTGAGCCCACCTGGGGTACCCCATGCAGCCCATGAGGCCATGAGACCCTGATACAGTCGATGCACACACAACCTTACCAGAGTCAAATGATAAGCATCCAAAATCGGCTTCGCAGACGCCTTATATTTCCAGACTTATATCCCTCGTGTTCCATCGCCAGCACATGAATGGCAACACAGACATGTTACCCAACAGAAAGTACCTGACACAAGTGGCATCTGTGACCCCTCCGTCCGTGAACCACGCATCTGCATCACGCCGGTTGGAAATGGCCCCCAGGCCCATATCCCCACGATCCGAAGCTATCTTATCATCGAAATTGGACGCATCTATTGTGACTGTCTCGAGGTCGTACGAATCGACTCTCTCCTCACTGGACCGGTCTTCAATCCCTGTACTTCCAAGGTTTGCACTATCAAGTCTTGGCAAGACATGACTTGAAACTCTTATATTTTGTTTTCTTTTCACGATTATGATTTTTTTCCCCCTGTTTCCCCCCATGATCTTGCTTTTTCTCCCATACGATCTGACTCCGTACGGGCTCTAGGCGTTGGGGGCCGTCGTTATCTTCACGGACGAATGGCGGAATTTCGGCGACAGCACAGACGGGAACTCAATTTCTCTGAAAAGTGGCTTTGCTTGACGACTTCCTCCCACTGGTCGACTCGGATGCGCCCATGACTGATTCAACCGTATGCAATCCTGACGAGTCTAGCCTTGTTTCCCAACGCCCACGACCCCTGCCTCGATTCTAACCCTGGAATCATGTCGCACCGTCATACCCACCGCCTCGGAGCATGGCGTCTGCAAATTCCCGTCGCAGGGGAGGGGGTGTTTGTGCTTGGAGGACCTATTTATTTTTGGTGTTAAATAATGGGCGCCCGACCGTCTCCACATGTGGACACACGATGGACCGCAGTGCAGCAGCATGCGCGCGGCTGATCTCTCTCTGGTCGGGGACATTGCCGTGGTTCCCGGGGGTGCTTTTGCTTTGACATGCTTCCGAGATTTGCAGTTGCAGTCCCTGGGCAGTGTACACAGTTTTATGTTTATGTATTATTTGGTTTTGTAGTAAGAAGGCTCGGCGAGAACCCTGTCCGCCTTGGGAGGTAGAGATGTGTGCTAGGGGAAGAAAAAACAGAAAGGCTAAAGGGCAGAATATAGTGCACCGCTCGCGAGTCACAGGGGATTGACTCGGTCGGCAAGTTAAAATAACGCCAGCGGCCGTGAAACCCCAGTTGACAGAGCTCGCAGTGTGGGAAGCGTCTATGTAAGACATCAATGTCGCCGACCGAGGCTTATTTGGGGGAACACCCGTTTCACGAGAATCCTCAACGGCACAGACAATGGCGGCTCGGTTAGCAAACCCTGTCGGAGATTGGAGCACGCACAAGTGGAGCCCATCACAAAATAGATTGGCAGGAAATAGGTGCAATATGATATACGGAGTCTTCTATGGATCTCCTATGGGACGGTGTAGAGATTGACATTCCCAGCTATGACCAAGTACGGAGTAAGTGGAGAGAAAGGGAATTGCAATGTGCGAGAAGGGGGCATGGCGAAAAGTCGGAAATCCAGGTGTTGTCACATCCGGGAGTCTCCACAGAAGCACATCAAGATCATCGCATCCACCTGCACTAGCCACGAGAGCCTGTGGCCTGTGGCTGATTAAAATTAAAATCTGCGGAGGGAAACGCTAGGCCCGTTACGGTAAGACTCAAAGCGGGAACAAGAAAATGACGGAAGGGGCGAAATGCACTAGGTCTTGTAGGTATGCAAGTCAAGGAGCCCTGCATGGTACTTTGTCAAATTCATGAATTTCCTAAGTCCAAGACAAGGGGGAGAAGGAGGATGTACTCCGTACACTCCGTCTGTTGTACGGATTAGGCTACTTGGATTGTACATCCACTAATGTAGCCCGGAGATAAATTATGAGAAAATAAAAAGGAGACACAGGGTCACTCGACAGCTGCACTCTGCACGGTTCCGAGTTTGGTCGGTCTGTGCTGGTCTTGCAGCCTATTGACGTAGACATACGGAGTGTATATTGTTCACCGTTAAAAAAAAATATACATATATTCGAAGAAAAAAAAAAGAGAAAGTCCAAAGATAAAAGACAAAAGACAATGTGACGAAGGACCAAGAAAGTCTGGTCAAATGATTCTGGACCTCTTTGTTATATGATTAGGTGCGGATAGTACGGAGTACTAAAGTGCTGGGCAAAAGGGGGGGGGAGTGGGTGGACAGGGATCTAGTTGTAGGAGCTTACCGAGAAGGCCCAATGCCGCTGCACGGTCCTGTGGCACGGAGAGCAGTCGCACTAGCGTACCTTAGAGCCTTAGAGGCAACCACGGGGGAGTCCACCCCGAGGGCCCACTAATGGGGCGCCACTCGGCGTCTTTTGCCGGGGGTTCGTGTTCGTGTTATGAGGAAGAAATAGCGGGCATGGTAAATGGAAAGCGCGAAAAAAAAAAACAAAGAAAATCCTGCAGAACTCATTTTCAATAGTTTGGGTGGATTACATATTTCCAAAAATCTCCATGTCTCCAATGCTTTCGTGAGATCATGGGTGGAGACCTCACTGAAGGACGTTGATGGAATGGATCCGATGGAGTAACAAGGAAAAAAGCGAAACGGAAAAAAACGAAAAAGAGAAAAACAGAAAAACAGAAAAAGAAGGAAAAGAAGGAGGGAAAAAAGAGGGCAAAAAAACCAAAACAGAAAACTGAAAGAAAAATAGAAAATCCCAAAAAAAAGAGCATAACCGCCTCCAGATCTTTCTCCACAACGCTAAGCCGTTCCTGAGCGTCAGCTTGGATTAGATAATCAATGGTGACGGCCGGGAGCTACGCAACCACTAGCGTCTCTTGGCGAAATTCACCTTTCCTGCCAGCCCCTCGACTCTTCCCTCTCTTTTCCCCCTTAGGCTTTCTGATCACCTTCAATTCTGACTTCCCCCTTCCCCACAGGATCGCCTTGTATCTTCGCCTCTTTTTTCTATATCTTATTTTTTTTTCCTCTTTTACCTTCGCGCATCCAGCTCTACAAAGCTGTGACCTCACCCGCTGCCCCCCGAGATTGTGTCACTGCCATCTCGCGCCGCTCATTTATCTTCGGGTAGCGCCAAGGTCCAGTCGATCTTGGAAAATCCACTGGCACCCTTCACTACTGGATAGTGTCGCGTGAGGAACTTCTACTTCTTTCGCGACTCTTCTCTTTTGCTCGGCCAAATCGATCGGCACTTGCGCGTTGGGATTGGCGTGCACGCGTACACCATCACAACTTGGATTTGATCGCTGTTTAAGAGTGGTGTAGTCTTAGATTGCATCATCGTGTGTCGCAAACCCTGCTGAGAGTTCGGTCGCGACACGCTTCAACCCAAATCATAACCACATTTTTCGGGAACCATGTCTCATACTCAACCATCGCCTACTGCGGGTGTAGCTCCGCACCATGCGGCAGCGCATCTCGCGGCGCATGCGCAGGCGCAGGCCAATGGACACATGGCCTCAATTCCTGTGCAAGGCCAAAAGGGAGTCCCTGCTCTCACCACAGCCCAGAAGATCGCCACGCTCAATGAGCAAGTTTGGCTTTCAATAGGTAAGGAATCCAGCGATAGTAGACAACGTACGAATACTCACGATTTCATTGATAGGTGGCTTGACCGAATTGATGGGTGACCTCGAAGGTGCGATGAATGCCTATGAGCAGGCCCTGCGTCACAACCAGTGGTCTATCTCCGCCATGAACGCGATTTCGTGCATTCTCCGAACAAAAGAGCAATTCCCCAAAGCGATTGAGTATCTGCAGAACATTTTGAAGTTGGACCCGAGCAATGGAGAGACCTGGGGCAGTTTGGGCCACTGTCATCTCATGATGGATAATTTGCAAGAGGCATACACCTCTTACCAGCAAGCTCTTTACCACTTGCGCGACCCTAAGGTAAGAGTTCTCGGACATTCCCCCCCTGAAACCTCAATTGCTGACTCCAATTCCCCTGACTAGGAACCCAAGTTGTGGTACGGAATTGGTATTTTGTATGACCGCTATGGTTCTCTGGATCATGCGGAAGAAGCTTTCTCGCAAGTCATGCGCATGGCGCCTGACTTTGAGAAGGCCAATGAGATTTACTTCCGTCTGGGAATCATATACAAGCAACAGCAGAAGTTTAACCAAAGTTTGGAGGTATGTGATCGTTTTAAGTATGGGCTTTTGTGCCATGACTAATCGCCCACAGTGCTTCAAATACATTGTCAGCGATCCTCCACGGCCTTTGACCGAAGAGGACATCTGGTTCCAGATTGGCCATGTTCACGAGCAACAAAAAGACGTAAGTCACGCTTGCCCTCTACTGTTCTGTGTTATTTGGTGCTAATTGAATCTTAGTTCGAGTCTGCTCAATCCGCCTACCAGCGTGTCCTCGAGCGGGATCCAAACCACGCTAAAGTCCTCCAGCAACTTGGTTGGCTCTACCACCAGCAGAGCAATGCTTTCCAGAGCCAGGAGAAGGCTATCCAGTTCCTGGAAAAGTCTGTCAATGCTGGTAAGTTCTCTAATGGCTCTTTCGGTCTGTTCCGTTGAAACTAATCAATACTCTCACCAGATAACAATGACGCTCAAAGCTGGTATCTCCTTGGACGGTGCTACATGTCCATGGCCAAATACCCCAAGGCCTATGAAGCCTACCAGCAAGCTGTCTACCGCGATGGCCGCAACCCTACTTTCTGGTGCTCGATCGGTGTTCTTTACTATCAAATCAACCAATACCGCGATGCCCTCGATGCCTACTCTCGTGCGATTCGCCTAAACCCTTACATTTCTGAAGTCTGGTATGACCTAGGAACCTTGTACGAATCATGCAACAACCAGATCGCCGATGCTTTGGATGCCTATGGACGTGCCGCAGATCTTGACCCGAGCAATGTTCACATCAAGGCTCGTCTGCAGCTTCTTCAAAGTCAGTTAACTGCTGGCACAGCAGGACAACAGCCGCCCACTGCTCCCGCTCCTCAGCCCCAGGATGTTCACCCCCAGGCTTACCAGGCACCTGGTGTTGGTGCGCCTCCAGCCCCTCAGTGGGGTGCACCAGCTCCCATTGGCCCCCCTCCCCAGGCTCCTGCTCCTCCAAGACAGATTCCCGATTGGAATCGTGGTATCAACGAGCTCCAGTCCCAGAGTCAAGCTCCGCCATCCAACGGACTTGACCAGCGAGATGCTCGAATTCCCGGTGCTCCTGCCCAAAGCCCGCGGCAGGAGCCCGGTCGCGCGTTCCCAGATCCCCGTGGCGCGCCTCGGTCGCCCAAGATGGGTGATCCCAACACCTACCCCCCCCCCCACACTCTACCCCAGCTTGGAAATGTTCCTGGTCCTGGCCATGAACGAGCTGCTAGCAGTGGCAACACCTTTGGTGCACCGCGGGGTGCTTTGCCAACTGGTCTGCCCGTCGCACCCCCTGGCCCCCCTGGACCTCCTGGCCCTAATGGCGGTGCTCCTCCCCCTTCCGCTTACCAGGGTCGTCCTTTCAGTCCTCCTTCTGAAATCCGCCCGATTCGCGATGAGCGCCCCTCTTCACCAGGATCAGGTTACCCTCTCCAACAGTTCCACCCCGGTCCCACCCTCCCCCCCCAAGTTCCGGGTGGTAACTCCATCGCCTCTGGTGCCCCGGCTCCTCCTTCAGCTGCTACTGCTGCTGAGGCTGCCGCCCGTGATCGCGAAGATCGTCCCACTTCTGCAATGAAGCGCGGCCGCGAATGGGAGGCTGATGGTCCCATCAAGAAGCTTGCGAGTGATGAGACCCGCGCCCGTCTGGATGACCAAAATAGCCGCCGCCCGAGCCCACCTGCCCGTATGCCTTCTCCTGGCGAGATGCAACGACGCAGCTCCTCGGAGGCCCGCCGCGAGGATGCCCGACGCGCCAATGAGAACTATCACCCCTCAGAGGCCGCCCACCACCCTCCTACCCTGCCATCGATCCAAGACATGCCTCCCCGTGCTTCTACCGGTCCTAGCCTTCCCCCAATGGCTGAGGCTGCTGCTCCCACGTCGAACGCCCCCCCCTTCTGGACCTCCTTCTGCCAACACCCCGGTCAAGGAAGAAGTTCCTCGCCCTGAGGCTCCTCCTACCCACGAACCCCCGGCGCGTAAGATGGATGTTGATGAGGACTACGATGACGAAGTTGAGGAAGAGAAAAAGGTCGCCGCTTCCAAAGGCAGCCCCAACGGCAGCGCAGCTGGCAATGGCACTAATGGCGCCGGCAATGCCCGTGCCGGTACCCCCTCCAAGGGCGAGCCCACGGTATAAAAAGTCACTTATTCTCCCGACCGGGCTTGTATAACCTGGTCCAAATTGGCAAATTCTCAATACCTCACTTTCTTTCTCCTCCCTGTCCTTCCTATCTTTAAGTGTGTGATGTACGGTATGAATGTGCGAGTTACGATGACTCTCTGGTTTCAAGCGCGTGCGCTGAATACTCGTCATGTCTGTTCGTTCTCTTATTTTTTATGATTTCTTAGTCTCATTTCACTGTGAATTCTTATGGACCATTAGGCACCCTTGAAGCAAATCATTCATTCCGAACTCTAGAATCTGGTAGAGAGTAAATTTACAATGTACATTTTTTTTTGTCGACAGCTTGTCTTTGTATGTGTATCGTACTCCGTACAGAGTACCCATTACAACTTAATCCACAAGGTAAATTTCCAGCCCACAATGTGGATTTCCTCAAACCATAGTGCCAGCCGTTTGCCTTGGCAGCAGCAAGACCCCATAAATCGTGGGCGCAAAAACTGGAAGGCACGTGATAAGGACCAGGGCTGGATTAGATAATTTGGATTATTGTGGGGTGCCTCAGGCTCCCACGCCAAGAGTCTCGCTTAGGTTAGCCCACACACCAAGCGTGCAAAATCAACTTCGACATTTCCAGATCGTCACTCCCACCACCGACGACTAACGACAACAGGGTCAAGATGTGAGTCGGCCCCCATTGAGCAGGCATACACAGTCGCCATTGAATACAATTGCTGATCTGGTTACGTTTCTCAGGAGTCACCGGAAGTACGAAGCGCCTCGTCACGGTTCGTGATCACCTTTTCCCTCGATATCGAAATTTCGAAATTCGGCCTCTGTGTGTGCAATATACTGATTTCTATCTCCAGGCTCCCTTGCCTACCTCCCGCGCAAGCGCGCTGCCCGCCACCGTGGTAAGGTCAAGAGGTCAGTACTTTCCGAATGAGTTTGGGGTGATTTTGAGGACTTTTGTACTGAGACTTTTTGCGCCAGCTTCCCCAAGGATGACGCCAAGAAGCCCGTCCACCTTACTGCCTCCATGGGTTACAAGGCTGGTATGACCACCGTCGTCCGTGACCTCGACCGTCCCGGTGCCAAGATGCACAAGAAGGAGATTGTCGAGGCCGTCACCGTCATCGAGACTCCTCCTGTAGGTTTTCCCCCGTTCTGCGAAAATGAAGCGAAAGACGAAGACGACGAAAAGAAACTAACAAATATTTTTCTTATTAGCTCGTTGCCGTTGGTGTCGTCGGTTACATCGAGACTCCCCGTGGTCTCCGCTCTCTCACCACCGTCTGGGCTGAGCACCTGAGCGATGAGGTCAAGCGTCGCTTCTACAAGAACTGGTACAAGTCCAAGAAGAAGGCCTTCACCAAGTACGCCAAGTCCCACGCCGAGTCCTCCGGTGCCTCCATCACCCGCGAGCTTGAGCGCATCCAGAAGTACTGCACTGTCGTCCGTGTCCTCGCCCACACCCAGATCCGCCAGACTCCCATCAAGCAGAAGAAGGCCCACCTTATGGAGATCCAGGTTAACGGTGGCTCCGTCGCCGACAAGGTTGACTTCGCCCGCAACCTCTTCGAGAAGACCATTGATATCGACTCCATCTTCGAGAAGGACGAGATGATTGATGTCATTGCCGTCACCAAGGGTCACGGTTTCTCCGGTGTTACCTCCCGTTGGGGTACCACCAAGCTGCCCCGCAAGACTCACAAGGGTCTGCGCAAGGTCGCCTGTATTGGTGCTTGGCACCCTAACCACGTCCAGTGGACTGTTGCCCGTGCCGGTCAGGACGGTTACCACCACCGTACCTCTTGCAACCACAAGATCTTCCGCATTGGAAAGGGCTCTGATGAGGGTAACGCCTCCACCGAGTTCGACATCTCCAAGAAGCAGATCACCCCGTATGTTCCCCATTTTCTCTCTGTTTGTATTCTCATTCTAACTTTTTTTCCAGCATGGGTGGTTTCGTCCACTACGGTGAGGTCAAGAACGACTTCGTCATGGTCAAGGGCTCCGTTCCCGGTGTCAAGAAGCGTGTTATGACTCTGCGCAAGACTCTGTACCCCCAGACCAGCCGCAGGGCCACCGAGAAGGTCGAGCTCAAGTGGATCGATACCTCCTCCAAGTTCGGTCACGGTGCTTTCCAGACCTTCGAGGAGAAGAAGGCCTTCATGGGTACCCTCAAGAAGGACCTTGTGGAGACTGTTTAAGATGTTTAAGCCTATGGTTGGTGATAGTGCAACGTTTCATATTCAATAAAAAAGCGAATATCCTTCACGATCTTGCATGTAGAGGTAGTGTGTATATGTATAATATATTGAGGGTCTAGCTGCCTTGCCTTTCTTCTATGTATGTTAGCTTCTTGGAGCTTCTTGGAATTCGGAATATATATGCCATCACTGTATGTATATATTGTTGAATGTGGTTCGGGTGTACTGTAGTCCCCGAAGAACCGAGCTGTTTGTAAATTTTCTCTCTCTTGGTTGATCTCTAGGAATATATATTTTGTGCCAGACCTAATTGATCACACTCTTGTCAGCCTTTAAATATCTTCGGTCGAGAATAATCAGACTACAGACAACCAGTAGAGAAACAATATGCGCCCGCTCAAGATCCATTGCGTCATCCCACACTTTCCCCTGCCAGCTTCAGCAAGAAATGGCTGCTTACCCTCATCCCACGCCATACGACCAGTCTCTAACCTCGAACATCGCCAAACCCAGCCTCGTCTTATACACCATTTGCCACACCAAGCAAGCGCAAGAACTCTCGCGAGCACAGAGCACCTAATTCACCACTTCCCCGCAACCTCAAAACCGCGACTACAAACCAGCTCTACTCTACGCACCCAGTGTCCCTTCTCAACCTCAACACAAACCATGTCCTCCGACGACGCCTACATGTCCTTCTTGGACAAGGCCAACGCAGATGTCAGTGGCCAAGCCCCGCAAGGGACCGACACCATAAAAACCGAGACCGTGCACAGCTCCCTCTCTGTCCCAAAGCCACTGCAGTCCGTCAACGAATACTACACGTCCGACACAGACGAGCCCTTTGAGCCTGTCGCATTAAAGTGGGATGGTGCCGCCAAGGGGGCATGGCCCAGCGCTGGTATGTCCTGTTCTCGATTTCCCTGTTCCCTTCATGTTCCCCTCTTTTGCGCACTTGCTCCCTTGTGAAAATCAAATCGAAATGTCTTAGAGCCTACCTACTAACCAACCTCCCCCCTCACTGCAGACCAGCTCTCCTCTCTGATCTCCCCAGATAACGACCTATCCCAGTCCATTTCCAGTCTATCCCCCGACTCCTTCGACCCGAAGAACCAGTACTCCTCCGCCCTGGATGCTGTGCGCGCCGCGGCTGTTGAGAATGATTCGGGCGCTGACAAGTCTGCTGTGGAGCTGAAGGTTTACCGGGTTGAACAAACTAGTACTAAGATTGAATACTGGGTTCTGGCGCTTCATGCGCCTGAGAGTCGTCTTGTCGGTCTGCGTGCTAAGGCTGTTGAGTCGTAAATGTCGAGGTAGTATGGATTATCATTTGCTATTCAATACATAGCCGTTATTCTCCTGAAATATGAGACTCTAAATGCAATAAGAAGCATTGAATTATAGCTGAGTTCTGAATTGCAGACATGTTGGCTGTCTAAGAAGGCCGGAAGCTCCACATAGACCGCTCACTGCCTTCTTCTTAGTGATATTGATTGGTATGGAATGAGAAAATAGGGTCTTGTCTTGCTTTAGCCTTCATTAAAGATGCTCCTAAATAGTAGTCCGGGATTCGACGCATTCTTCAGTCATGGGTGTTGGGGTCCGGTGGGACGCGTGTCGACGGCTGTGTCAGACATATTGATTTAATTTGCCTGGAAGAATAGAAAGTTGGTTGAATTTTTTTTGTTTTCCAAGTAAATACCGTGTTGATAGTTGATCGTCTACACTACACGCATCTGAGTACTTGCCGCCGAATCAAGGTCCGGCCATGTCTCATCTTCCCCGCTGGTGTGGACTTGGCTTCAACAACTCTCGATACCCTCTATACAAACAGTCGGCCACCAGAGACTACTGTACTTTGTAGCCGATTCACGATACTTCTACGATCATGCAGATCTCCGAATTCCCACCCACATTCATGACCGGCCATTCCTCGGGGCCCTGGACAATGGGAATGCCACACCCTAGAATAGTCCTATCCAGGGCCTGAGAGGCAGGGTAGGTCTCAAAGGCTACCAGCCTATTTCAATCAATTGAATCAATTGAATTAAATAACTTGCGCGATACAGAAGATAAATGCAGTCTATTGAATATAATGCAGCACCTTGATACCTACGCTCCGATCCACAATTCATCTCAAGGCTTGGGAATAGAGGCATAAACATACCACTGGTTGCCCCCTTGGGCTTCTGTCATTCCGGCCTCCTCGTGTCCCTAAACAACCTTGACCCCTCGGAACATCTAGGCTCTTCTTTTGTCCTCTGGTTTTGGCTTTCTCTCTCCGTTTAGACTCTGTTTGTCCCCAACTACCGTGCCGCCGAGGGAGATTGGATGTCAACCAGCCAGCTCTGTCCGTTCTTTTGCTGAGCATTGCATTCATCGACTGTGCATTTTCTTCACACAGATATCCAGTCATTACCGTTAGGCGAAAAAATATATACGACAGCGTGTCGTGATCAACCGGTGGGAAGGAGAAGCAGGATATCGTATCATATCGCCAACGACCCGGACCTCGGATTCCATCAACCACTGATGCAATAAAACCGTTTGCATAGAGTGACTTGACGAAGAAAACAGGGATTTAAAGAGCGAAAGAACGCGACGGAATCATCCAACCATGAACTTGCAACCCGGCGATCAGATGTCGGACAACAGTTCTATACGTTCAGAAGGGAAGGCAATGCCTCACATCCGACTCAACTCGGGCCAGCAAGATCCTTTTATGGACTCAAATGAGGGTTACGCCCCTTTCACATCGCGTACCTTCCCCCGGCCGTTGACGCCGCAGGGCCCTGATCCTGTGCTGCCAGTAGGTGCTCAAGGGATGTCACCGTATGGCGTGTCAAATGTCCCTGAATCATCGGAGTTCCTCTTGCCTCCGAAGTTGCGTCCCTCGCAAGGACAGAGTGCGAGTGACATTGATCGGCCCCGGTCTCCAGACCGGTGGTCTGGATCTCGCTCGAGTATCAGCTCTATCAGCCGCGAGAGCACATTCCCCTTGGATCCGTTCCGTGATTCGAGAGGTCCTTCGCGCGCTGGCAGTGACGACAACGATGTCAATACACAGACCGTTTCGGAAAAGTTCAATATCATGCCGACTGATGGATTGCTTTTGTTCCCTGAGGATGTCGAGAAGGATGACGATATGCACAACCCGGACCCGGCGGACCAAGATCGAGACTGTGATATCTGGAATCGACGCGGTATCTTGAATGTCGGTGGTCTGCTGGTTTTGACACTAGGCTTGCTTGTGCTTTTCATTGGTTATCCTCTCATGTGAGTTTGTCATTTTGCTTTGTTCAAGGGACTCTGTGATTGACTGGTGGCTACAGAACATGGTTGAGAGGTCCTCCGAAACCGGCCGGGGTGTGTCACCCTGGAGACACGCTGTGTTTGGAGGTTGGGGACAGACCACTGTTAGAGAACCTGCGCAGAGGCCTGATTGACCCTGATACGCCTAAAGAGGCGCTTACCAAGAAGAACCTCAATGGCAAGGATATGAAGCTAGTGGTAAGTTCCCCGAGATCTCGTTGACAGGCGCAATTTATTGATTTTCCATCATAGTTCTCTGATGAATTCAACATGCCCGGTCGAACTTTCTACGAAGACGATGACCCATACTTTGAAGCTGTGGATCTGTGGTATGGAGTCACAGCGGACAAAGAGGTTAGTTCAAAGATAAATCGAAGCACCACTCAAACACTGACAATCCATAGTGGTACGATCCCGATGCAGTAACTACATCAGAAGGTACCCTTGTACTTCGATTTGACCAATTTGAAAACCACGACCTCAAATATCGCTCCGGTATGGTCCAGAGCTGGAACAAGCTCTGCTTCAAGGGAGGCCGCCTCGAAGCCAGCATGTCACTTCCAGGCGATGGACACATCGAGGGTTTCTGGCCTGGTTTCTGGGCAATGGGTAATCTCGGTCGTCCTGGTTATGCTGCTACTACCGATGGTATGTGGCCGTACAGCTATCACGATGGCTGTGATGCGGGTATCACTCCGAATCAAAGTGCTCCGGATGGAATCAGCTGGCTGCCCGGTATGAGGTTACCAGGATGTGCCTGTCCTGGCTCTGATCATCCTACTCCTGGATTTGCTCGCAGTGCTCCCGAAATCGATGTTCTTGAAGGAAGCACTGCCCCATTGTATGGTGACAGCGGTCCATACGTTGGCAGTGCATCACAGAGTATGCAGATTGCACCATTCGACTTGTGGTACATGCCAGACTATGGTGAGTATTCTTCGATCCTTTTCATGCAAATACATAGACTAAACTACGAATCCCTAGACTTCGCCGCCGTGTACGATCCCCGTGTCACTGAAATCAACACCTACCGAGGTGGCGTGTACCAACAAGCAATGTCAGGTCTTACCAACCTGAACACTCGCTGGTACAATGAGACAGAATATCAAACGTACTCCTTTGAGTATACTCCGGGAGCGGAAGGCGAGGTTACCTGGTTTGTGGGCGCCGAAAAGACCTGGACACTGGATGCCCGCGCCATTGGGCCCAATGGAAACGTCGGACAGCGCACTATTCCACTTGAACCTCTCTCCCTAATTATGAACCTTGGTATGGCGGATAACTTCGCGCCGCAGAACAAGAGTATTCACGATTACATGCCTGCTTACTTACGCTTCGACTACGTCCGCATCTACCAAGATCCGGATGATGAGAGTGTGACTTGTGACCCTCCTGGTTATGAAACGACCCAGTATATTGAGAAACATCGCAAAGCATATGATAATGCCAACTTTACACTTTGGTATGTTCCCATCGCTAGCTGTGTCATTCTTGTCCGCACTTTACTAACACCCGTTTCAGGAACCATGCTGGATATGAATGGCCTAAAAACTCTTACATGCATGATTGTCCATCTCACTAGTCCCAACTCTCCTTCTTTTCTCTTCTTTTGTTATAATTTGATGGTCGTTTTAGCGGCATTGTGCTTTGGCGTTGTCGGGGTTTTGGTCATCCCATCCATATTCATTTTTGTTATCTATTTTACTGTCTCAAATGTGATTCTTTCCCTTCTCACCACTCTCCTTGCAAACCTGCGCTCAAATCCTGTCGCAATCAAGGTATACAAGAAGAAGAACTCTCATATAGCATCTAGGACTGAATAAAAGTGTTCTTTGTTAGGCTGATAGCCTGCATCTCTGCCCTTGATACCCGCTAAGCCTAATCAAGGGGTTCAGCTCCAGACGGCTCAATGGACAGCACAACCTGACCGCCTTCCGAATGAGGACACAGCACGGGAACCACGCCAAGAACATTGAAGACATGAGGTTATCTCATCGACACTCTGCAGTACCTCTGTCTTTGCTGGAATCGGGGATTTTTGAACATTGATGCCTGAGCCTGTCCGTTCTCAAAAGGCGACAAATACTCCATCTAGCCCGTATCTGGCAGTTAACACCCCATACCGCCATCACACCAACACCGCCCATAGATCTCCATCCTGAGGTGATGCTACACTCAGCCATACATAAGAAACCCGGTCAATTGTATAATTGAGACCAAGCTTCCAGATCTACCACTGAGCTTCTCTCAATCTTTCCGTCTCTAACGGTCATTGGTTGATTCCCAATCACAACGCCAATCAACGGTCTACACAACATCCTGCTATCACGCGTCTACCTCCAAGACCATTGTTTAACTTCGTTCCGTTCTTGAATCTGTCTATCTTCATTCTCTCTTTGAAATTGTCTCACATTTTACTTCAATATTTCAAACATGCCGGTTGAAAGTATGGAGATGGCAGGGGATTCGGACTTTGAATCAGACTCCGATGGTGGTATGCAGCTTGACATGTCAGACTCTCTTACCGGTATTCCAACGAGACAAGCAGATTTCTTTGACGATGATGACATTAATGGAGTACAACCTATGGAAGACATGGACTTTGCCACCAATCTCGTGGAGGGCTGGAGCGTGGATGCCAATGTGTCAAATGAAGCTGCCGGGAGTAAGTCATCCTTTATCCCATTTCTATGATGTCTCAATATCTGAGCCACATTGAGCATTATCTATTTCCACCCAATTTCCCGTATACATCTGTACCGGCCACGCCCATCTATACCCCCAAACTTGCATATAAAGCCACATACATCCCCAGCAAAGCCCTCAAAACTAATCCCCCAAAACCAGGAAGACAAACAAACCGCTCCCAGAACCCCCACGACGTCATCTACAACCGAACAGTCCCAGACACAGAACCCCTAACACCCTTCGAGGAACAAGCCCGCCTGCGCTCCGATTTCAGCGACGAGAAATACGCAGCCCTAGCCGTCCTCAAAAGCAGAGAACTACTTATGACCTACGCCCTCGCCAACAACGAGGTACGTCTTCTCTCTTCCCCCAAACCCAGTTATAGCAATGCTAACAAACCCCCAAGACCATCCCGCAAACCCGCCGCCGCTTCATGGCAAAGTACCTCGAACCGGACGACCCAGAAAAAGCAGAAGAAATCTACGACCCGCGCATTTACATCGCCCCAGACGGGAAAGGCAGCGAGGGATCCCTGATCCGCGGACGCGTCCGTCAGTATATCGGTGATATCAACGACCACGGCTGGCACCAGCCTGCGCATCTGCGAGAGAAGAAATGGATTCCTGGCTCCCGATCTGCTTCGCGATCTGGCTCTGGTACGATTTCACCGCGCATTTCGGGTGGTGGGATTGCGTTTGGGTCGCGCTCGGGATCTGGGTCTGGGTCTGGTTCGCCATTGAGGGGAGGAGGGGATGACGATGAGTTATGATGTTCATGAATGGTTGTTGTCCTTATTTCTAGCGAGTTGAATCTATCATTTCTTTTCTGTATGGCTTTGAGAATTGATTATTCTTGTTTTTTTTTTAAGTTTATGATGCTTTTTTGGTCTTGCTGGATATTTGATTGTGGAGTATACTACTAATGGAGGAGGATCTTGTGGATGTTGAGGGTTGCTGTCTGTGTGAGTAGTGTGTGTGATTTTTACTTCTTTCTGGGGCTTCGTAAGATACCAAATTACTTCTTGCAGGGGTATGATGAAGAAATAGGTACCACAAAGAAGATCACGAAAAGGGTGTAAGAGATTCCAAACGAAGGCCATTGATGTAGTTCGTAAACCTGGCATATACCCTCAGCCGGTCATATTTTCGACTAGTAACTACCCGAGACAGAGATGATACTAGAATGTTTGTATTCGCTAAAACTGATAATAAAGCCGATATAAAAGAAAAGTACTATACAAAGAAATTCAAACCAACGACAGGACCACCAACCCAGAGAGAAAGAGGGAGAAAACAATAAGAAAGAAGAAAGGGGTATCATCGAGAAGATCCAGAAAAGAGAGCTGCTTCTCTGGTGTAGTTTTTTTTTTGTTCGTTCTCTCCCTCTCCTTCCATCTCCGGGATATTACCCGAGAAATCATCTCAGGCAACGCGGTGGTACTTGCGAACTCATATCTTCGCAGTCTTGGTTGAACAGCCGACAGATGTGGCGGCCATGGACGTCGGAGGAAGAGAGAGTAAACAAGAAAAAGATAGGGGGGAACCAATCAGGAAATAGAGTGCAAAAGCCAAGACCAAGCCAAGCAAGGCTCGTCTTACATCTCTTTTTCCTCTCCACTGTTCCGCTTCTCCGAGTGGAACAGACTCTCTATGTCTCCAACTTGCTTACGCTCCGAGACCTCTCGGCTGAGCATGCGATTGTGGTGCGCCTGGGCGTTCATCAGCGTCAGTCCTCGAGCAGGCGCGGGTTTGTATTCCGGGTCATTGTAAATGGGGTGCAGGCGGTGCGAAGTGGTGATCCGGACCCGACCGTCTCTCATGACGGGTGATTGTCATTGCAGGGGCTCCGAGCTCGAAGAGAGACGGTTCAGATGGAGGTAGACATCGGTCCCATATCTGTGAAGATTTTTAATTAGCAAGAGTCGAATAAAACGAGAGAGAGAGAGAGAAAAAAAGATGGAAAGAACATACCCCTCCATACTTATCAATTTCAAATCACCGCCGAAATACCTTGCGTAAAGGCGGCTTATCGGCAGACCATATCCAAATCCGGCCATTGGTGCTTTGAAGTCGTTCTTGTCAAAGTCAGGGTCCAGGTTGGGTGTTTGCTCCACGGTCGTGTACATGTAGGTCCAAACCAGAGGAATCGACGATCGTGGGATACCACCACCCTCGTCGGAGACCTTGATCGTGATATCTTCTTTGCCTTCGGCTACTATTACCTTAGTCACGGGGAACTCATCCTTATCGGCACCATGTTGTTCGACGACCGCCCGGAGCGAGTTCTTGAGGGTCTCGAAGAGCATGTGCGATAGGTGTCCCGGAACATACATGAAGTTCAAGTCCTCCTTGCAAACCAGCTGCACCTTGGGCGCCTCGAAAAGTCCGTAGTAGTCCTCGCAGACAAAGCGGGCATTTTCGATGGCCTCAAGCGCAATGTCCCGGACATTGGTCTTGGTACAAATTATTCCGACATAGTTGGGGTGTTTGACGTGCGTTTGTTCCGTGAGTGCGATGTGTTGACCTATAAGCATTCGTATACCAATCCTTGACATATAAAACCGGTCGAGGAAGGATTGAATCGTGGAGTCGATCTGCATGCGCTGCCGCACGCGTTTCCATTCGAGAATACCTTGCGCGACAGTGGTCACGACCCCATCGTGGCGTCGCTTGATCTGCTGGAGTGTCTTGGCGAATCGTTGGTTGTAGTCATTAAGTTCCGGGGGCCAGTCTCCGCGGTCATCCGCGGGGAAGAAATACCGACGACCTGCTGCGGGCGCTTTTCCAATACCATTTCCATTGCCGACTGTCACGGATGACCGGTACTGGCCCTCGCGAACGCTGGGGTTTTGAGTTGTTTCAGAAAGAATTTTCGAGGGACCGCCGGGCATCCGGCCGGGTCGCAACAGGCGCGCTTTCACTTCTTGAGTCAGGCTCGGGCGTGGGAGAGCAATGATTTCCTGGATTTTCGGATCAGTATGGAATTCCGCGGATGATCCTCTACGGGTGATCGGTGATTGGCATACCTCGAAGGACTGCGCATACCAGTCCTGGACTTTTTTGATCGATGGCATCTCGCTCAATCCATCTGGCAACTCTCCAAGATCCTGCACGCGATGTGCGAGACGGATGGGGAGCTCCTCGGAAAGGAACTGAGAGGCGCGGAATAGGGTGCCTAAATGAGAATTAGACATTGGTCCTCGACAGATATCCGACACATTCTTACCTGTCGAGGGACGGTCGCCGAATTGGACCATCTGCCTCAGCGAGACACCAGTTGCGGGGAAGCTGGCATAGTGTCTGATGGTTTCCATCAGCCGCTCCGAAGGCTTCCACATGGTGGGTGTATAGGCCGAATGGCCTGTAAAAAAGGATTTGTTTTCTAGAAAGCGTAGAGTCTCCCAGAAAGAGAAGTGTTAAGGAGGAGAATGAGTGTGAGTAATGCAAATCGCCGAAACGTTTTCAACTACCGAGGTTGAGCGGCGCCCCCGGGTTCTCCGCTTGCGCTCCGGAGATCGGAGGAAGATCACACGATCACACACGAGCGTCTGGAAGTCGTTGAAGGAAATGATGAGTTGTCTTTGATCGATGGTTTTCTTGAATCCCTAGAATTACAGCCACAAAGACGGGGTCGTATGATGTTTCAAAGCCCCTTCGAGGTGCAGTTCAAAGGGAATCCGTTCACCCGTGGGCTCCAAATGGATCCGGTCCCCTATGACATAATGTGCTGGCCTGAGGCGTGATTAGATGCCTGGATGCCTGGATGCCTGAGGCCTCTATGACAGGATCCACTGCACGTTGGAATACGCAACGGTAACATGTACGATGTACATCCCGCCTCCGGAGGACGTAGATCCTCTGCTCTTTTCTCCCGTCCCTTCAGTTTTCTCCATAACGTTGCATTTGTGCTCCGATAGTTTCCAGTAGCTCTGTAGCGCGTCATTTTCAAGCAAAAAAACAGGCCAAATCTATCCGTTGAGGACATGTGAACGTCGGATGGACCTACTTCAATTTGCCGAGATGACGCTGATCATAGCCATGACTTGGAGATGGGATATCTTGTAGAACATTTCATCTTCTGACTGCCAGAGAAGTATTTGAACCATCGATGTAAGCAAGAGTTGCTGCTGTCCAGGTTGCAAGCTCCTCCCGAGTTGTTCAAACACCGAGGAAGCGATTCACCCGGAGTTCTTCAATTTACCTTGGCTTTGTAGGCGAGTAAATGTGCATCTATGCATGAGTGTGTAGCTTGCAGCTTCGGACAACTCACTTTCTAGCAGACTTACATGTAGGTACTGCCCTGCAGCATCGTTCTTGGCAATTACCCAAAAGGCACAACCGCCTCAACGAGGGGACTAGCGGTTCAAGTCTTGGTTTTCGGATCCTTTAGCGTGAGAAAGATGCCCAATTTGTGATAGGTTCTAAGGACTAGGGTTATTAGTAGTGTATTAGGCACATCATTAGCGAGATGATCACGTTTCAGATGAAAAGAAGCCCTACATATTTCCCTTGAGGCCAACATTTCTCATATCCACCTGGTGATCCTAAGGTGAATACAGTCAGACCTGAGGGCCGGTATCCGAGGTCTGGTGTGTATACATGGCTACAAGGGTGTGGATGACACACTCCGAACGAGCCTGAAACTAGCCTAGCCGGATATCTCCAGGGTCGGCTATTATGAGTTGATTTCGAGGATTTGCAGGCATCAATCCCTTGGTACCCAATAACCTTCTGAGGACTAGTGGGGATCTCCCCGCTCCCTGGAAATGAGCTAATATAAAGTGGTCCGCATCCATTAGTCGAGTACAACACCTTGTCTCTTGGATGCCGAGAAAGAACACATGCACTGTCTTTAGCCGTGAACGGGGCTCTATCGCCGGTGTGGACGATGCCATTGATCCAGAGGACAGAAAGGACAAGATATATCAGAGTCAGTCTCACTGGCCGTTCGGGTAGAATGTTGCATCCTATCGGGGGGATGGGGGCCAGAAGACTCCCGGCAAGCCAGGGAATGGTGAAGAGTGCATCCTATGTTGTATGTAGATGATTTCCAAGCCCTCTCCCCTGCAGTAAGAATATCGTTCAACGCCTTTATGACGTGCATCGGAGGCATTCATGCGAATGTAAGCACTTCCCTTCTACACTCTCGATATGATGTCTACTTGTTTGATACGCCCACGCAGTCAACTCGGATGTTCGGGGGATCCCTCTCACGCCCACCTGTATCCGTAGATATACGGTGGACCCCAGATTTCCCCATTTCGGGCAGATAGGGTGGTATATCGAGGAAGTACCGGACAAGTAAGAAGACCAAGAAAAGCATAGGACCGTGCATCCCCGAGTACCTGGACCCAGTCGTACTTTTGTCCCAATTCGCCCCTCCTTTTTAGCCTTTCAATAGGCATCTTGATTTTCTGGAGCTAAGAGAAATGACATTTGTCTAGCGGTTATCTCGCATTGCCTGGATTCTCCCCCATTGGATCGGGTTCCCTCTCAGCTCTTCGACTCTAGAGTATATTGCATTCTGATATACTCCCTCCGGTTCATAGACACGGAAGCTTGGAAACACCAGGGAAAGGAAAAGGGAAAGAGAAAGGCTTATGTCTTCATAAGATGCAACGGGCCACGTCTCCTGCCCATTCGCCCGGCCACGAGATCCGCTTTCTGGAGACTCAAGATTCCCTTTTCGAGCTCTTGCTGTTGTCTAGCAATTGTTGCTTCTGACTGGCTGACATTGTTTGGCCCCTCCTCTTTTTTTTGTGTGTGTGCGTTGGCGAGAAAAAAAAAAAACCAATTTCACATCAAAAAAAAAAAAAAAAAAAAGCATCTACCCTAAATCTCTTAAAAAAAAAGCCCTGCCAAAACCAACTTCGTTCCTTGCGCTTTATATACTTAATCCTCTTCCCCCTCGGGATACAGAAGAAAAAAAAAAGAAACATACCGTCACCCCTCCCTTCCGAACAAGATACCCTCCGGCAAATCACACAGCCAGAATATGTCTCGTCGTCGAATATCGCATAGCGAGATGAACGAGGCTCTCGCTCATCCCTTCATGCAGTTAAACGGTCAGTCCAACGGTCAACGCCGCGGCCCCATCGAAGGCCCCAATGGCCGTCGTCTCATCCGTCGCGTCACATGGCGCTCCTCAACGTACAAGCTCATGGCCTCGCTGTGGGTGCTCGGCGTGCTCTATATCCTCTGGCTAGTCCGCGACCTCTTCTTACCATTTTCCCCGTCCGATTCCGAATCCACCCCACCTGCTCAACTCGACTAAGATTAGAAGTCCTGTTTTTCTTTTCCCTGTGGGGTCGCATTTTCGCCTGGGACTGGGCTCTTGGGGAGTGGGGAGGACCAATTTGCGCTTGCGCTTGGCCCCAAACATACATTTAGGTCTGCGACTCTTGGGCAGAGATGCATCGCGTTTTTGGTCTTTTTTTTTTCTTATGCATTCACGAGTGCTCGATCACTCGGCCTAGTCTTTCCCGGAGATTCTCCGTGACCTCGGAACTGTTGATCAGTTCGGGGGGAAGACGGTTGGGGTCGAACTAAGCAGCTTTACTGGGCTTCTGGAGATTGGATCATACCTGATCTTCGCGATTGGCAGTGCCCAAGTGCGCTCCCGAAGAAGCCTTCTTCTTTCTTCTTTCTCTTTCTGTCGAGTCTACCTTCGCATCCTCTCCACTGTTACGATTGCATGTTTACAGCGTTCTATTGCATATACTTATGATTACCAGGTGGATAACCTGAGCATCGTTGTCCCACTTTTTCTTTTTTTCTGCTTCTCTCTCTCTCGTTTCTCATGGGCGGTTCAATTGTCGATTTCTTTCGGGTTCTAAGTGGCATTCACGCATAGCCTCTCTCTCTGCATCATACATCTGGCACAAGCGTTGGATCTCCTTGGGTCTCTATATCGTTTTATCCAGTCTTCCTTTTAGAATGGTGTTAACAACCTCTTCTTCAATATCCAACTTCAACCTTATACGGTCTGCCTCATATCTACCACTCGAGTCCATTGTCCTCGGAACATTCGCGAATGATCCCTCCTATCTAGACCTCCAGTGTCTCGCAGAGGATGTGCAACGCGGGGCATCGGGGAAGCAGGGAAGTGGGGCAGTGGGAAATTTCCCACCTCGTCTACGCACTCGGAAATAGGATCCATCTCTGGATTGCAATTTCAACATACAGCTTGGCATTCAATATACACGAGAAATCAACCGGCCGTCATCTCTGCAATCTATGAGGCAACACCCCCCCCCCCCACGTGGGGTAGTTTGATATCTCCCATCTTCCCATCACATTCATCTTTTTATCATAAAGTTTTCATATTCTAACTCGTGTACAATCCTAAACGATTGTACCAATGCAGCTTAGACGTGCAGGGCAGAGGTCTCACCCTTGGCGATGACCTGAGCGTAGGGCTTGATGGCGGCGGCCACCTCGGTGCTGGTGAACTTCTCGACCTGCTGGGGAGCGCGGCCGACGAAGGTGCTGGCATCCAGAAGGGCATCAAGCTGGGGGATGATGGGGTCGAAGAAGGCAGTGCGGCGGATGCGCTCGATCAGGTCGTTGTCCTTGCCCTGCTTCTTGACGTTATCGGCGGCTTGGTGAGAGAGGACACCTGCGTACATTAGAATTTGAGTTCAGGTGGGACGATCAAGACAAGGTGGGACTTACGAATCTCCTCGTGGGCGTCCTGGCGGGAGAGACCCTTAGCGACACAGGCCATGATGATGTTCTCGCTGCGATATGATGTTAGTGATATCCATATGATTCATGGAATTGCTGGCTGAATACTTACGTGGCCATGAAGGGGAGCTCGTCATTGACGCGACGCTTGATGACCTCGGGGTAGACGACAAAGCCGGAGGAGACGTTGTCTAATACTGATTAGCTTCGTGATAAGTTTAGAACAAGACTGGAAACTCACTCAGGAGGATGAGACAGGCGTCGGCAGTCAGGTACAGCTCGGGAATGCTGATACGACGGATAGCGCTGTCATCCTAGTAAAAGTCAATATAAAGCTCCAAACCAGAGCTGGACCATACTTACAAGAGAACGCTCGAACCACTGAGCAGAGTAGGTGTCCAAGCAATCCTTGGGGAGGTTCTGCAGGTGACGTCCGAGCGAGCACAGACGCTCAGAGCGCATGGGGTTGCGCTTGTAGGCCTACAGATTATTAGCAAAACCTCTCAAATGACACAATGAACAAGGACGCTCACCATAGCACTGCTGCCAATCTGGTCCTTCTCGAAAGGCTCCTCAACCTCCTTGAGCATGGCAAGGTGACGAATATCAATACCAATACGCTCGCAAGTACTACCGAAAGAACCGAGAGCGTTGGCGACATCAACATCGATCTTACGGGAGTATGTCTGACTGGAGATGATGAAAGCAGAGCTGAAGCCAGCCTTCTCCGTGACAAGCTCGTCAAGGCTCTCGACCTTGGCGTGGTCGCCGTCGAAAATCTGCAGGAAAGATGCCTGAGTACCGGTGGTACCCTTGACACCACGGAAGCGCAGGTCATCACGGGCACGCTCAAGGTTGCGCAGATCCATAAGCAGATCCTGGATCCACAGGCAAGCACGCTTGCCAACGGTCACCAGCTGGGCGGGCTGACCGTGGGTGAAACCAAGACAAGGCAGGTCCTTGTACTGCTGAGCGAACTGGGACAGCTTGTCGACGACGACAGCCAGCTTGGGGATGAGGATGTCGAGACCGTCGCGGAGCAGAATCAGATCGGCGTTATCGGTACAGTAGCAGGAGGTAGCACCCCAGTGGATGATACCGGCGGCAGCGGGAGCAACCAGGCCATAGGCGTGGACGTGGGCCATGACATCGTGTCTCCGGCGCTTCTCCTCTTCGGCAGCAACAGCAAACTCGTCATCCTGGATAAGCTGGTGGGCCTTCATCTGCTCGATGGCCTCGGCGGTGATAGGAAGTCCAAGCTCTGTAGCCAGAATTCAGTCAATTTGGATGTCTTTGCTTTTACTACATCCGATGTCGGCTATAGCTCGAGTCTGCCGTACCTTTCTGAGCCTCTGCCAACCAGGTCCAAAGCTGTCTCCATGTGGAGAAGCGCTTGCGAGGTGAGAAGAGATACTTCATCTCAGAGCCTGATCAATTGAGCATGGTTAACGACCGTCTACACAATTTCCGGGGTTGCCCCTCCTATGGAGGGGCAATTGGGACCAACTTACTCGCATAGCGCGAGTTGAGGGGGGTCTGGTAGACATCGTTGCTTCCGGACATTATGTCGATTATATTCCAAGACGCTCAAACGAAAAATTGAGCAACAGGAGGAATTGAACAACGGCGAAGAAGGCTATGGTATGATCAAGGTTTTTGCTCCAGTCCGATTTTAGCGGGGCTTATCAGTCACGTTATCGGAGATGATCTACATATCACATGACCATATATGGTTTGATGGGGAGATCTGCCAATGAACCTGGATTTCTAGGGTCGTCCGCGGGTATATTATGATATTAGCTAGTACAATGTATAAATCGCAGTCCTTCGTGATTAAATGCGCCCTCAGGGCGATCAAGACAACTGCGCCAGCTGTACCGATAGGCTTGCTTTGTCGTACTTGATGTACTTGCCGCGGCCTTTGTCGATCTCCACGTATCGATCGTAAAAGCGAGCATACAAGGGCTCGAGGACGGCTTGCAGCTCACGAGTCAGCACAGTGCGCACCTCGCGCTCCATGTGAAGGGTTTTATGCCGGGCCACCATCTCATCAAAGCTAGCATTGAAGGATTTGAACTTGTCCTTGATCGCATCCTTATCCTTGGACGACAGGGACTTGACAATCGCACTTGAATCCACGTTGCCACTGGAGTTGCGTTGAGCTCCACGAGAGGTGTACTGCACATCAAGGAGATACTGGGATGTTTCCTTCCATGCATCAAGGTAGGTAGACGTCGCACGCTTGCGGAAAGTGTCAATCCTGGCGATACTGTCAGGAGAACCCAGATACCGAGCCAGTTCCGGGTTCTGTCGAATGGATCGGTCGACCACAAAGAACACGTTGGACAGGAACACACCAAGTGCCGCCTTGGATCGATGGAAAGTCCGACCACGAGCTTCTAGAGACGTCATCAAGGCCTCGATCATGTCTAAAATAAAGTGCGACAGAAGAGTACCGCTGTCTGGATTTACATCCAGGGGAGCCGAGCTGGCGGCGTTAGACTTAGCACGCCAATTTCCATCTCCCAACGATGTCAGGATAGAAGCCAAAGGACCCGAATAGCCGGTCAACGTGGCTAGTGAGCTCATCACTTCCTCCACAAGAGGCACTGATCCGCCATCCGGTGGGAGAGGTATGGTGGCAGCTTTGCGCTTCGTTTCCTCAAGCAATTCGGAGAGGGATGACTTGGCAGTCTCGCGTACAGGCCGAAGAGCTTCGATTAGGAGGCTCTTCATTTCCGCAGCCTTGGAATCAATCCGATATGACATCGCGGTCACAATTTCAATGATTTCAAAGGCCAGGAAGCAGTCCGTCATCAGATTGGCCTTTATGTACTGGTTGAGCTCGCGCAGTGTTTTGGAGTATTCACCCATAGCTGGAAGGAAGGTGGCCTGTAACGCTAGACCTTGTTGATCTCCAGTAAACATCTGCACGATAATGGCGTGTTCGGTAGTTATGAAAGCCTCCAGTGCATTGGAGTAGATACCAATACCATTGGTACCCTGTTTATAGGGGCCATCGGCGACCCGGCGTTTGACTGTATTGAGGGATGCAATGGCGAGATTCTCCAAGCTGGCTGTGATGTAGGGCCCTCGTACCTCCGCATATACTTTCAGTGCGGGGTTATCCCCCTTGCCGCGCTGAGATCCATGAATCGCCGCGGAGCCGACCACCGAACATAAAGGTGCCAGATGGGATATTGTTTCGGCGGGGAGGGATGGGAAGGGTAAATCTGGACACGTCGCGAATTAATTTCGATTAAGATGGATGATAAAGCGACACGCGTACCTTTCGTCAGATAATGTAGGGGTTCGATCGGAGTGGCATGCTGATTCAGTTCTGCCCGTAGCATATCTTGAAGTTTTGCGCTTCCGGTATTTAGAAGAGAATTAAAGTCGGCGATCGCATTCTGATTGGATCGAAGGTTGGTGGTATTGAGGTCGACCAGCGCCTTCTCAACACGTTTCATCGCCGACAGGTACTGTGTGAGGCCTGAGCTCTGCGGTCTGGGGATCGTTCAGCCAAAGATTGCACATATAATTCAAAATGGCGGCAAAATACACGTACCCTGCGCGAATAATACCATCTTCCCGATTCTTTGCATCGAGAGGCTGGCGCAGGCGGTCGATAGCGTCGTTGACTTTGTCAATGTTGCTATTGGTGATTTGTAGGGATTGAGTATTGCTGTAAATGGGACCAATAGCCTCTTTGACAACTTTGCCTCCTGTCTCCAAGCGTACCATAGAGCCTTGTATCTTCTTGGTGAGTCGGTTGAGCTTCTCTAGGTTGGCATACAGGACCTCAACTTCTGCGCTCTCCTCAGCGTATGCGGTATTCCTTGAAGTCACCATGGTAAATTGTATGAGCGATGCAGCTGAGATCAACACAAGGAGACCAAATCACATCTCATTAGTGGCCGCCAAAGGACATAAGCAACCGAAATGCCCGGGCGTTGATTGTCCCCTCCGAGCTCCAGTGATAAGCAGCTCCGCCACACTAGCTCCAAAGCGGCCACTCGGCACAAACAGCCTAGTCCGGACATATCACGTGCCACTATCACGTGCATCAACGTCATGCGGGCTTGTGAAGTTGGAAGAGGCAGGCAAGCTTTGGGAATCCTTCAATGGATCCCACTGTATGCTGCAGACCTCTTACTTTGTGCCACGATCCCCGTCAATAATGTGTGCTGCAAGGGCGACCCGTCTGAAATGGGCGGTACCCCCGGCTGCCCTAGCTGCATACACGGCGGGGGAGTGGTCACACCCCGGACAATCAAGAGCTCGGTTCACGACTTCTCGAACACAGTATACCAATGATTCGGAGTCTGGGAGATCCAATACTGGGTCAGATGGTCATAGCGAAGATTCTAAGGATGATGGAGTTAAGCAAATCGTTGGCACCACTGGTTGGGTTGATGTGGGTAGTATTACCAACTTGATTACCCCAGATTGGGCAAGATTCCTCCCAATTACCGCTCAAAAGCTCCAGCGAGAGCTCTCCCTTTCTCCCGGCTCATTGGCAGACGATATCTGGAGGGAGGCACATGACCCCGATATCAACCCTGAAATTCTCTATGAGGCCAGGGTACGAGTGAGTGGAGATCTATGCGATGAAGAACAAGTCTTCAGACGGCAACGACAACGAAGGGTTATGAAAGCATTGTCATCTTACCTTGACATTCCCGAGGAGGACATCCACCCAGACGATGTACCTGTTATTGCGATGTGTGGCTCGGGAGGTGGTCTGCGCGCTCTAGTTGCAGGTACCGGATCGTACCTAGCAGCACAGGAAGCAGGACTGTGGGATTGTATCACCTACACAGCTGGTGTCAGTGGAAGCTGCTGGCTGCAGACTTTGTACCATTCATCCGTTGGGCAGCGAGACTTTGACAAACTCGTCGATCATCTAAAGAGTCGGCTTGGTGTGCACATTGCGTTTCCGCCCGCAGCTCTCGATCTGCTCACTACTGCTCCAACGAACAAATACCTTCTCAGCGGGTTTGTGGAAAAGCTCAAAGGCGACCCCGGAGCGGACTTTGGGCTGGTAGACATTTACGGATTGCTGCTCGCAGCAAGACTCTTAGTCCCGCGAGGAGAACTGGGGATCTCAGATAGGGATTTCAAGTTGTCGAACCAGCGAGTCAATTTAATGGACGGGGCCCACCCGCTCCCCATCTACACGGCAGTGCGACATGAGATTCCTGTCGAGGTCCTCGAAAACGAAAATGACAAAGCGCATCGCACACCCGAACAATTGATGAGGGAGTCACGGAATGAGGCATGGTTCCAGTGGTTTGAGTTTACCCCCTACGAATTCTTCTGTGAAGAACTCGGCGCCGGTATTCCTACCTGGGCTTTGGGCCGTCATTTCAATGCGGGCCGCGCTGAAGTCTTTGCGGACAATCTTCCCCTCCCAGAGTTGAGGATTCCAGGGCTCATGGGAGTGTGGGGAAGCGCGTTCTGCGCAACATTATCTCACTATTACAAGGAGATCCGGCCTCTGGTCAAAGGCCTGGCTGGATTCGGTGGAATCGATTCTCTCATCCAAGGCAAAAACCAAGATCTGATCAAGGTGCATCCCATTGATCCTGCGGGAATACCTAACTTCGTAATGGGCATGAAAGATCAACTGCCGGACTCTTGCCCGGATTCGATCTTCAAAAACGATCACTTGAGTCTCATGGATGCAGGAATGAGCAACAACCTTCCAATCTACCCGCTCATCCGACCTGGACGCGATGTTGACATAATTGTCGCATTTGATGCATCTGCCGATGTTAAACAAGAGAATTGGCTCTCTGTTGTCGACGGATACGCCAGACAACGCGGTGTCAAGGGTTGGCCCGTTGGCGCCGGATGGCCCAAAGAGGCTAGCATGGAGGATACCGAGAAAGCACTGCGCGAGCCAGAGCACATTACCAACGATCAAATAGCCAAGAATCTTACCAAGGCCCGAAATAATTCCAGCAACAAATCGCCCGGTGACAAAAAGCCCAGTTCCAGTACAGACCTGAGCTACTGCAACGTCTGGGTTGGCACCACAGAAGAACGAACTTCGAACGATGAACCTCCGCCATCCAAACGACTCTTCGATCCATCTACCGACAAGGATCAGAAAGAATCGGACTTTCATCTGATGCGTCCAGACGCCGGGATCGCTGTGGTTTACTTCCCTTTGATTCCCAACCCTGATGCACCAGATCTCCCTTCCAAACCTCACGTTCGTCCGCGAGCAGCTATTCAGTCTATGAGACAGGGTAGCCCTCAAACCAAAGACCCAGAAAAGCCCCTCGCGCCACACCCCAACTCGATCGACCCTGACGTTGATGACTTCCTATCTACCTGGAACTTCATCTATACGCCGGAGCAGATTGATTCCGTCGTTGGTCTTGCAAAGGCCAACTTCTCTCAGGGCGAAGAGCAAACCCGTCGTGTTGTCCGCGCTGTTTACGAGCGCAAGAAGTCCGATCGACTCAAGAAGGAGGCGCAAGAACATCGAAAGAAGATGGAAGGCTTTGTGCCTTTGTAAATCCGCTCATTTACGCCTCGATTAATAACTGCCTAGTCAAGAATGACTGGTGAAAGTTGCATTTGGTACAATAATAACATGTATATGCATCCCCATCTTCAGCTCTATTTCCATCATCAGCCTACATATTCATTACCAGCCTCCATTTTCTTTGTCAGCCTAGATCTCTGTTACCAGCCTGCATTTTTATCAACAAGATCATTTCAGTGAACCCGCATTTAATTTACTATAACATGTTTGGGACTCGAGTATGTTCGGAGATAGGGAGCTACTGCGACTGAGGCTCGCAATGTTAATATTGGCGCCAGATGATGAGAATGAGGGTTTAGAGGTAAATGGATTTAGAAAGATGCTAGAACTTGATTCTTAGGTACCGGACGAGTCACAGGAGACTCCGTATTATTGTATAATAGTGTACTCTTTATATCACACCGAATCAACCACTGCTACGCCTTTTACACGGCATATCCGCGGTAAACAAGTATCAAGTCGATTAATCCACTAGCAACCCAGACAAAGCTACCTATCAGTGGGAAAAGAGTGATGAACACACAAACTAAGCCAAGAATTCAATCATCTCTTTCTCCACACAATCGAGGTCAAACCCATCTGGGTACATCAGCCAGTTGTAAGCCAGAACATCAGCCAGCCAGCTACTTGCATCATTGAAGTGGACACCAACATGGTCTTCATCCGGATAGCAGTATACAAAAATCCAGCTTCCTGTTCAGCACAAGCCTCTCCACAATGGGGAACACGATATCTTCATGATGATCCGTCAATGCCTGCTTGGCTAGCTCCTTGCTGATGATGTCCGTGATCAGTTCCTGCTGAGCTAGAAGTCCCAGTAACTGGTCAACACGATACACCTAGGCTTCTTGCCAGGCAATAGTGCCTATTACCTGTTCTTTGAGATCTGGGGGCCCACGGCCTTCAAGGGCGATCTGACAAGCAGTTGCAAGAGCACAATAGTCAAGTGTACAATGCATCGGCCCGAAGTCTTCCAGATAGTTTGCTATGATGGTAGCTTTCATGTCGATACCAATGCCATCTCTCACAGGGCTTTTGACTGCGAATGCCTGCGCTGGCTTTTGTTCTCAGTTTGTCCAGTGACGAGTCTTCTTCGAAAGCCCCGGTCCGAGGTTCGCGATTGCAGGAGAGGCTCAGGACGAGCCTGAGTAGAAGCTGTCTTTATGATTGCTATCGCAATTTCGGTGTGAAGATACAGTGCGCAATGTTATAGGCAAGTGCAGTGGAGGTGATTCCGCGGCTCAACCATGGCACTGCATCTTTGCGTGATATAGTTACGAGATCAGGTAGTATACCTACATGTAGATATCCGGTTAGCACAGCGCTTTTTTGATCTCAATGAAATAGAGAGGTGAGAGGCATGATGAGGGGATGCTGAAGTCGGGATTTTCCTAGGATCATGGCTGAGACTGTACATACCATATTCTGAGTTCAGGACTTTGGAATTGGGGTCTGTTTAGGATTTGTTTAGAAGTGTTGGATGCTTTCTTTTCCACGGATTCTTTCTAACAAATATGTGACCTTGGAATACAAATCAAACCCATTCAATGGTATACCTACCTAGGTACATATTCAGAGATGCAGTATGTTCAACTCACACGAATAATACTACCTCATCAGCCCATTAGAGCTCTAGTCCTTCTTGCTCTCGCCCTCTTCAGTATTCCCATAATGCGTCTTGACTCCCTCGAGCCCTTCAATATCCGCTTTCTTGACTTTCATCTTCCTCCCCTCATCATCGGTTGTAACTTTCGTCTCATCATCACTCCCCGCAAGACTCACATCTGTACTATCAGCCATCTTTTTTCGCAATCCAAGTTCCTTCTCTAGTGCATGGCCAAATTCCTTAGTCTTGTCTGAGAGACTTGTAGAACTGCTTTGCTGTGACCCAGTGCTCGACAAGGGTTCATTTTCCTTTCTGTCCCCATGGAGTCCGCGCCAGTCAGCCGGATCGCTCTCATGGATGGCATCACCTGGTTTCGGCTCGCTGATGGGTATGCCTGCAGCTGGCACGTCGTCGCTCTTTTTCCGTTCCTCCTTGCCCTTGCCGTTGCCAGCTGCACTTGCATCCAGAGTCTCCGAGCGTGGATATCGCCATACGACTTTCAGCTTCTCCAATGCGCGGATCCCCTTTCTTGCACTCCCCTTGATCCCATCCATCGCATCCCATTCCGTCTCGAAGACGCCTGAGTCGTGCTCAGCGCCGCCTTCAAAGTACGCATTGAACCAGACGTGCGCGACAGAAGTCACCATTGCAAAGCCTGTGTAGGAGGCTTTGCTGCGCCGCTCAAACTCGATGTTCACGTCGGAGCCGGGAACGACAAGCGGCTTGTGCGGTTTGAAGATCATTGCGGAGACACCATGGCCCAGTGAAGACGTGGATGCAGCGGAGATATCTGATCCCGATGCTGTCGGGGACTCGGTAGCGGATGAAGGGGGTGATTTTTCAGTGGCGGCTTGCTTAATCTTGGACTTTGCCTTTTTATCACTCCCCTTTCCATTACTATCCTGTTCCTCGGACGTCGAGCTCCCATCTTCCACGACGGTACGTTCATTGCGACGGAACTGATGAAAGCACTTCCGCTTCTTCCCTTCCTCCACATACCCCTCCACCGCAACCTTCACCCCATCTTTCAGACCCCAGATATGAAGCTCTAGAATCTCGACCGGCCGCTCGACATATCGCTTCTCCAGTTGATTCGCCCACCTGTCGACATACCCGACATAACGTAGCTGGCTGGGAATGCTAACACCATGTCCGAAACCAACTCGCATGCGCCGGTCTGTGAATCGCTGCAGCGCGTCTTCCTTCTTCCACCCCTCCTGGCTGATCAGGTACGAGCACGCAATCGTCCCACTACGCCCTTTGCCAGCTTTGCAGTGCACGACGACAACCCGCTCGCCCTTTTCGGCGTCTGTGGCTTCTTTCTCGTCTAGTCGTTTTAGCCAGTTCCGCATGCTGCCCATGATGTGGGGGATCAACGCGAATGGCGGTGGGTGGTGGTCTGGCCAGGGGAAGTGGTGGATGCGTCCGTATACTTCTGAGTCCGGGTACCCCGTTCCCTCGGCGCGGAATTCCCAGATGCACCAGTTTGCGCCATGTTTGGTGTCCAGGAAGCTGACGAGCTCGTCTAGTGGGTTGCGGTAGGCGCGCTGCGGGTACGTTGCTGAGGGGCCGGACGTTGCAATGACTATGGATGGTGTTAGTTGGGTATTCTGTGATTGACAGATGTGATTGAGTGGATTACTATTGTCTGTCACGTAGCAGAGATCCAGTCCTGCCTCCGGGTGCTGTTGTCTTGGGCCTGCGACTATCTGGCGGAGAATTGATGACTGGGATGTTAGCTTCAGGGCTGGATCCATATTGCGACCAAGCGTACCATTTGCAAGAGTATGTTGCTTGTGAAAGTTAAAGGGTGTTATCCCATGAACTATTTGAGAATGTAACTTGATTATACAGAGTATACGACAGTGACAATAGCAGTGATCGAAATCTGGAGAAGTGTTTTTGAGGCGCAGCGGATGATGTCACCGCTCCCGCAACTAGGAGCTTGGTATATTAAACTACATGTACCTACATACCTACATGTACATACCTTATGTAGGTAGGTACATTGTTATGTAGTCGTAGAACAAGTTCGATTGATTTGTACAGTTCCAAAATAAGTACACGGCAAAGCCAAGTATTTTCAACCGGAAAAATCCCCAGTCCAATTGCGCAGACAAGAGGTCGAGCGCCCGCATTCACAACCAAATAAACGTATGACATTAACAGCTCATTTCTTTTGTCCCAACGAGATGAGATATGGGTGCATTTAAGCACCGGTATTTACGCAATACCGTACTCTTGGGTAGGCTTCATGACAAACCGGACCGGGTTACGGTCAGGAACGGTGACATCCTTTTCGCCCTGCTGCCACCAGGTGGCGAGCGAGGCATCAGTCAGCCAGCTCTTCCAAGAGTGAATGACCTCAACTTTCCAGACCGGGTTGCCCGCTGGGGAAACAGTGGTGGTGATGTGCTCGTCATCACACTTGACCTTCTGTTTCTCGATGCCGCTGCAGTGGGTGCGGAACTTGGGGGTCTGGGAGTTTTCACGGCCGACGATGTCGTAGGCAAAAGTGCAGCCACCTTGGGAGCAGCCAATGGTAAAGTTGGATACGCTCCAGATTATATCGTCGGTGATAGTGTTGGACTGGAGGGTAGCGGGTTGGGGGAGGGCAGCGCTTAGGCCTGCCAGGACGATGGGGAGGATGGCAGTGAGTTGCATTTTGGAATGTGGAATGTGGAACGTGGATTAAGTATTTGAGGTTAGGAAAAGAGAAGATGCTTAGATATACAATTGTGTACAATATTGTTGATGAAATCAGGAGGGGAGAGGTTGAGAGAATTATATAGTTGAAGAGGCGCCAGGATGGCGCTTCTCTTCCCCTTGGCCCTTGGCATGCGGTAGCCCACCGCCGATCATTTTCAGGGGATTCCGGCACACTGTGAACGGCCTTCTGATTTCGCTTTGAATTCGGAATGATTGCCACATCTATCATTTGTGTTTCTATTCAGTGCTTTACTGTCCGATGCTGCCCCCATCTCCGTCATGGGCTTTCAATTTGGCGGGGAACTATTTATAGTACAGACCCACCAACAGGGAACAGATGGATGCAGAATTCAGGATTGAGCAGATGATGGAAGAGACTGGAAACGAAAAGTTATGATGCTGGGGGCAAATGTTTGCGTAGTACAGAGTCCAGGTGCAAGGGGAAGAACTATAGTACAGGATATTTACATATTGGCCGAGATCAAGCTGGTGCGATACGCCACAAACAAGGCTGTGTGCTGTTCCTGTTGTGGCTTGCAGCTTCATTGCAGATAGCAGGCAATGTGCCGTCGACAAACCGAGAAACGAAAGAAAAAGTTCTGATCGAGATTGAGACTTAATCTCAAGGGACTACGGAGTAGAGCCGTTTCACTTCCACTTTGCTGCACCAATCTCAGAGCCATCCGCTCACCAATCATACCAGCCTTCTTCTTTCATATTTCGTTCAATGGCAAGGCGACGACGTTTCTGCTTTCGACGCTCTTTGTTGTACTCGCGTCGCTGTTCGGTTGACATATTCAATCGACGAACAGCAGGGGGTATAGGGTGACGACCGGCTTTCTCGTTCGCTTCTCTCTCCATTTGTTTTTGCTGTAGCTCTTCGTCTAGCTTTCGCACGTCGTCTCGAATAACAGGGTGATACTGCAGTCGCATCGCAAACTCGTCCACAGATGCAGCACAGATCGAACGGATCTCTACCTGCGTTTCATGGCTGAGTGAGGCCTCCCGCTTGATCAGATCCTGGAAGTACATGAAACCCGATCGGAAATTCCCGGCGTCCAAACACATTAGGATGATGGACTCGAAGGTAACCCCGTTCGGTACTACCCCAAGTGACGCCATCTCTTTCACCAGGAACATACCCGATTCGCGGTTGCGGGCCGTTCGGCACATCCGAATGAGAGCATTGTACACTCGAACGTCTGCGCCCTGGGGGCATAATGTATAGAGCTCTTTGTAGAATCCAACGCCATCATCCACGACGGATGGATCTTCGTGGGCATCGTGTTCACAGAGATCTGCGATGACACGGACAGAGTCAATGGGGATGCTTCGCTTCGCATTCTTCAGCCGTTTGAGCATCTGCCACGCCTCCCGCCGATCGACTTTACTCTTAATCATGTACGCAAGAATACACTCGGTAGAGCTATCCGTCAGAGAGATTTGAGCTTCGTGCATTGTGCAGAGCGTTTCAAATGCAGCAGGCAGATCACCGGCTGCCACGTGCGTCTCAACGAGTCGTGCATACTGTCTGCCATTGAGTGCAGTCCCACGCTCATCGAGGTAACGGAATACAGAGCTCGCCAATTCTGTATCACCCGCATTGGAAGCGATTTTCAGTACGTCATCGCAGATCTCAATAGCCGGGTGCATGTAGCCCAATTCCACCATGCGCCGCCACACGTAGCGAGTCATATCGTAGTGGTCGTGTTTCCCTGCTTCGGCCAACACATGCATCCAAAGCCGGTGGGTCATGTCATGGCCCTGATCGACGCGTGCACGCATCAGATTATACACTTCGTCCAACTCTCGATGATCGCAGAGCGTGTAGATGATTATACTGTGTAGCCAATTCTCCACAATTATATCTTTGCGCTCCATCAGAGCGACATGCTCAAGCGCGAGCTCGAGCTGGTTCTCACGCAGAAGACCCGCCGCCACAAAATGCCACCCAGCTGGACTCAGCGTGAGCCACCGGCCGCGAAGCTTATTCAGGATTTCTTGTCGGAGAAGATAGTCTGGGTGTACAGCGAGGACCTGCATAGGGTTTCATCGTTAGCTTCCATTCGGATTCATAGCTTGTTTCGAACCTACCTGCAATGCGCCGTGTAGTGTACCGGAGTCGGCGGTGATGCCATTGTTCTCCATTTCATCTAGAAGCCTGCGGACAATCTCCGGTGAGCCCCTTTCATTATCGGTATTTGCAAGGATCAGTGCCTTGTAGTGCCGGGCATTCGGCTGGACATGGCGGTCCCGAATGAGCAGCCGCAGGATCTGCGTTATGTGTCGCATGTTTGGCTTGTTATGCATCACGTATTGCAGTCGGGTTTCTAGTCCCTCATTCGACGTTCCTAGGAGGTCGTCTTGCACCCTATGCGTTCGTGTGTAGAGCGGAGCTTTCCGTCGCGGGTCGGTGTTTGTTGGATTCCGAGAGGAGCGAGAGTCGCGGTATTCATCTTCGCCTGGCTCTTGTAATCCGTTGTGATCATTGTGATGTGCTTCATTAAATGGGACTTTGCCGTTGTCGCCGGCTGATGTATTGTAGCATCGGTGCGAAACCGAGCTCGTGCTTGAGATCGAAGGCAGAGAGGGTAGCTTCGGGTTTCGTCCTTTTGATCCGGGAAATGCTGTTGATCGACTGAGGCTAAGGGCATTGAAAGATGGACAGAGGGAGTACCATAGTCCATCAAGGACTAACGCCCGCCGCGCCATATCCGTTTGTGTTTAATTGATCATAAGGCAAGCCTCCGCCTATTTGATCTGGCATTTGATATCACGTGACATGTTCAATTACACGCTACTCTATTTGGCTTGGGTTTTACAGATATTAATGGATCCCTTTTGTATCCTTTGGTAAAAAAAAAAACATTCAGAGGTAGTTGTAAATCGACCAAGTGACCCAGATCCCGTGAAAATACAGAGCCAGATACGCCACGGCCATGCTCGATCAAACAGTTCCTGACCTTGCGAGCGACCTTACCACCGTCTCCTCCGGGGGTATCTCATTTGCCGTCTTCTTAAAATCATTGATGCAGAAACAGGCTTATATCTAGTTGGGGCCGCCTCGTCCCCGACCGCGACCACCACGGCCACCACCACGGCCCCGGCCGCGGCCACGATCACCATCTCGCCCGTGACCACGACGGCCTTGTGGTTGGTTCTGTTGTTGTTCTTTCACAATTTCGACAATCTCTTCTGGCACTCGTAGGTATTTGATCTGGTGATTTGTTAGTATGCGGCCAAATAGCGGGGCGAGTCCACTGCTCGTCAGGGCACTCACGTTGTTGCCTCGGATATAGACTTCAGGTAATCTGAAGAAGCGGTCACCCTCGGGGCTAGTTTGCACTACCTCGCGCAGGATAAGGTTCATGAAGTTATCGCAGGTGACCAAGTGGCCGTTCAGAGTTTCGCCATTCTTGAGTTCTACCAGCATGGGATGGCCCTGTGCGGCCGTAAGAAGACCAAGAGGCAGCTGAATGAGAATTCAGTTAGTATAGCACTCATAAAGGACGTCTGAGATAGGCTAGGGCTTACCATTGTAGAATGCGATCGACGATGTGGATGAAGGTGGGAGGTCTGTTCAGATGACGCACACTTGGAATAGTGCGGATTGCTTAGGTCCAAAGCCTTGGGATTGCAAGTTGTGTATCAGAAATAGAACCCAATGGAGAGGCTTCCGTCTTTATTTGGAGATGTTTAGAATAGCAATGGGCCCTGGAAGCAAGCTCCATGAGATGCGCCGATGAGGAATCCGGAAAAAGGAAATGCCGAGAACGGCGAAATTGCGTAGTAGGTTTGAATGAAATGCCGTATCAAATTGCTGCTCCAAGATCTATGTTGTAGGTATCCTATGCCCACTCCAGGGCTGGCTTGCGTGTCTGACCAATCCTCGAAGTTATCAATAATATCTTTTTTTATTTGTAAGATACAGAGGTCATCTTGGCAATGATAAAGTTGAGACGTACATGCCAGGTTACATTAACTTAGGTAGATATGGTCCATTTTCCTCGTTCAAACCATACCCAAAGAATAGATTACATAGTACTCGAGTGAAGCTAACCATAACAAAGCTTTGAAGATGTTAAACCTTCGGTCGCTTAGCGGGCTCTGCTGTGTCCTCCTCCTCGTCATCCTCGTCCATGACCGTGAGCTTGCGCTTGATACGCTTGTCTCGGCTACCGGTTGGGGCCTTGGAGGCCTGGTCGTTTGCCTCTGCTTCTTCATTTGTTTCGGCCTCTGACAAGCGACCCTCAAGTGCCTCTAATGTAATCTCATAGCCTTCCTCCACGTTCTGGACTGTGGCATCGAGCTTTTCCACCCGGTCCAGAAGCTCCAGTTCGTTTAGGAGTTCTTTGTGTTTCTTATAGAGACGCTGCTTTGTTAGCATGCGCCACCAGTAGTAACGTCGGTCATCCTCATTGTCGGCCTTATACTTCTTGATCAATAGCCGAGCAAGATTTGTGCCGCCGGCCAGGCGGTGACTTTGAGGAATCTGGCCGAGGAGGTACATCTCCAAAACGTGGGCGAACTGAGTAGGTTCAATTTTGAATGATTTGCGAATATCGAGGAGAAGTTTGGTGGGAATGAGGGCGGAAGTGGGCACATTGCGAGGGCGTTTCTTTTGAGAATACGCCCCGAGAGGGTCGGGATTAAGAGTCACGTCATGCTTCAAGAATTCCGGCTGCAGCAGACAATAGTCCGTTGTATCACGGAGCGCATCGAATTGTTCGTTGGGATCTTCGACGGTTAGTTCCAAAATGGTTGGATCTGCGATGCAGGCCGCGTGGATTGTGGTATATAGGTGAGTGCCATGACCGGCGCGGTGGTGTGAGGGAAGAATAAGGAACTGGGCAATGCGAATCCGGGCAGGAAGCTCAGCAATGTTGACTTCTGATGGTGGGAAATCGTCGTTTTTGACTGTGGGTGTTTCTGATTGATCCCGGTGGTAATACCAGTAGCGGTACGTCGTGGCATACCCCACGATCGAATATGATGAACCTGTTGGCGTTGGAGGTGTCACCTTTTCATACCTATAACTCCGATTAGTCAAAAGCCATGATACTAGAGCAATCGCACAATACTTACACGAAGTATACTGTCCACCGATCGAGGGTCCATTCCGGGTCGTCTGTCTCCAAAGGGGTTCCGGCTTCAATGAAGAGGGACACAAGGACCTGCATGCGATCCAGGATTTTGCGCACTTCTGGGTTTCCTAGCGATCCAGACCAGATCTCATATTTCCTGTCATTCACTTCATAGCCAATCACAAACTCGCCCGGAGGTTTAAAGTCTTTGGCGTCTGGGTCGTTCTGAACAGCTTTCTCATAATCTGGAAGATTGGCGAAGGCCTCTGCGCAACCGTGCTTAGCTTTTGCCATAGACAGTGTCGCAAAGGCTAGACTCACCTTGCTGGACAAATGGTTTCAACGTAGCGAGAAGGTCGACAGCAGTTGTGTCACCGACTGACTTGAACTTTTCGTCGTAGGAGATGTGAACATGAGGGCGCAAATCGTGGGCCGCAAAGCGCAAGCGAATTATAAGACCCCTGTAGCCGAAAATTTGTTCATCGTCGCCAAAAATTGGATAGGTGAATTGGGGGTGGAACGTGGAAAGTGTCTTCGGCTTCTTCTCGCCCGGTTGGATGACGGTAACATGAACCGCATCGTTGGCATCGCAAGACCCTAAGTAAGGCGCAATCAGTTTCTAACTTGTTGAAATCGGATGGAGAGAAAGGAGTGGGAGTTTACATCCAGCTTCGCTCGCCATTTTGACAAAGATATGGAAGGTGAGTGTCAAATGGGACAAGCAAGCTCTGAGGTTTAAAGTGAGACGCGAACCCACGGGCGCGCGCCCCGGCGCCTCTGGGCCCGCGCGAATCAGAATTACCTAATCGGGACTGGCCCCCGCTTTGGAGGTGGGCCCTGGCATCGCCAGCCCTAAAAACACATACGTGAAGAGATCGTTGGCTCCTCTTTTCTCAAAAATACTACTGATTGGTATAGATTTCTGATCCTTAAATGCAGTTCATATGCCAAGTACTATCGAATTATACCATGCCTTGCTGTCGTTCGATTATCGTTTATAAAGCTTTGAAACTCAGATAGCAACGCACCCGGACGGTATGCCAAATATAGATTACACGAATCTTTAGTGTCCGCCGGGCAAATCATGTTGGCAAGAGATCCAAGAGAAGAACATTGCGTTGGCTTACAATCCTCACTGGCGCTGCGCAGAGATCGTTGTCCGCCGAGTCCTTCAAAGACTATTTGCTAGTATAACTAGGTAAACCCATCCTGTGGTCCTTAGAAAGCCCTTACCTAGTTACCGAGAGCAAGGCATGGCCACGCAAGGTCTTGAGAATTGAGGTGACTGATAATGTTAGGTCCCAAATTAGCCTTAGGGTCCATTTGACGCTGCGAGGTACAAGCACGATTGATATGATCCTCTATTTCATGTATAGAAGGAGATCCGATATCTGATGTCCCCCCATCCTAGGTTTGCAGTGTTTACAGAGGTTTCAAATAACTCACTAGTTAATGGACTAAGCGAAAGGGCCTAGAAAAGGCGACGAACTTGCGGAGAAAGCACGAATGATCTAGGTAGACGGGAGTCCGTGGTGACAAATGACCGATGAGGCTATCCAAATAAGGATTATCACTCCGAGGGCTCTCTCTCATATTACTAAGTTCGAAAGTCTTCAGGCTAGCCCCAAAACTTGGTAATGGTAGTGATTGCATCGTAGTATCCCGTCTAAGCTCTGCACGCCTAATGGGGGCTTGAGGAATCCATGTATCTCAAGTGTGAGGCAAGGTTGCAGCCACGGGGCGCTCAGGTTGATGATACGAGGGTAGTCACAAGCAATAACCACAAGAAAACATCGTAGCTTCAGCTTGTGATTGTAAGTTCGGAAAAGTATCGGCACAGTATCCACGAAACCTCAGATTTGTTGCTGCCGTGATCTAGCATATACAATGATCTTCGTTGGCATGACCGTCACGGCCAAATACCTAGGTACGGATATCTTATGTTTAGTTCTGCACACTCAGAACATCGGTGAGACTCGACACAGAGGAGAAGTAAGGAGGCTCGGGTTACCTAGGCCTTTGGCGGATGCTTTGCATGAGCATTTCCTGCTTGCGTATCCGTTTCATCAGTTCAAACCCAAAAATAAAACAACATTCTTTGATGGATGCCTAGATATTTGAATCATACTCCCAGTTACACTGAAGTTGATAATGCCGAAACTTAGAATGAGATGAGGCAAATGCCATGCCTTTGAAGGACATATACAGCGTCAATATGAGGAAGCTTCTATTGATCGGGACTTGGAGGACATTTCGTGACTTTGGCACTCTTCCTCATGGATACACAGTTCTTCTGCGGGCCAAAGGGGACCCTTGGAAAGACGCCTCAACAGACAGATAGAGATGATGTCAGTCAAAGGGACAAGCAAGTGGTTGTACCTCGTGATACTTGTATAGATCTCAGCTTTTTCCGTCCCAGTCGAGCCCACAATGTCCACTTCAGTTAATGATTGAGGTCACTTCGGACATTCGATCCACTGATTGAATGGAAGATTATAGATGATTTACCTCGTAGACAAACCTTGGAATATCGGCGCTCATTGTAAGAGAAAAGTCCGAATACCAAGGTTTCGTGATTGTACTTGCCGTGTGTCAGATGTGTAGGTTTCAGTTTAAGCATTTCAGATATTTCACGTAGCCCACGTAGTCACCCTGGAAATAGTCAACGTGCCTGAACCCAACACGTACTGGACCCATTTGATTTCTTTTCTCAAGACTTCGTCTGTTATTCTTCTCTCTCCCGTCATGTCTTTTTCACATCTATGCACAGAGAACACAATCCAGGTATCCCTTCTCTTCGCAACCCTTCCAGGATTCTGCAACTATTCTCACTGAACGTGTCATCCATAGAGAAATGAGTCCGTCTTTCTTTCGCTACAGCCCCTCGCTAACCGTGGCCATTGTGGCTGCTGCTTTGTACGGCCTCGCCTTTCTCCTGACCGTCGCCCAATGCATCCGATATCGAGCATCTGTTTGGTCCATCATGGTCATAGCAGCAGCCAGTACGTATGAACATGGTCTGTCGTTTTTTTCAAGCTGACCCAGAATCTAGTGGAGGCTGCTGGATATATCGGTCGCTGTTTCTCGGCCAAAGATGTGACTGAGAGATCTATGTACGCCTTGCAGTTTTCACTCCTCATCCTAGCACCTGTCCTCATGGCCGCTTGTTGCTATATCGTTTTCGGCCGCATTCTGTTCCTTGTGGTTCCTAAAGAAGCACGAACCTTTCGGCTTTGCTGGGTGTCTCCGCGATTCATCACGCCCATTTTTGTCGGATGCGATATCATCGCTTTGTTGCTCCAGCTTGGCGGTGCATTGATGCTGTCTGCAGTCGATGTGGCTAAGAAGAATTCTGAAGACACGCTCAATACAGGCAAACGCGTTGCCCAAGTTGGGGTTATCATCCAACTGGTGGCTTTTGGCTTGTTCGCTGTCGCGGCTGTTCGGTTCAATTTCACCTGCCGGCGCTTCACCAAGTATCTTGATGAGCGGTATGCAAGCCTTGGGGTGAAGGAGCACATGATTGATGGCGTTGCTAAGGACAAGAATTGGCCTGCTCTTTTGCGGGTGGTCAATCTGACCACGATTTTGATCCTTGTCAGTATTTGGGCCAGGGCTGCTACTCAATTCACTTGCTGACTGTTACCAGGTCCGATCTGTCTATCGACTTGTGGAATTCACCCAAGGAACGACGGGGTATTTGAATACTCACGAGTGGCCGTTATATGTCTTCGATGCTCTGTTTATCTATCCATGCGTCATCCTGTTTGTGCTCTGGCATCCAGGCAGATATTTGCCGTACTTGGGCTTCCGACTGCCAAAGGGTGCACACGGTAGCCATGACTTTGACATCCAGATGCGCCACGGATTACGGGGTTAGATCAGGGTGTGATCTTCAGGTTGGATATTTTCTTTGGCATCTCTTTGACATAGGGGCATGAGCAACATGCTTCTTGCTCATCATATTAGTCTTGACTCCAATCTCGGGAGTATTTGCGCACCTCGACGAAGATGGCGGGTGTGGCTTCAACAGAGAATACCATTGGGTTTTATGATTTTATGATTTTATGATTCTTTCAGTTAGACAAAGAAAGCACTGTAGCAGGCAAGCGAAAGAGATTGTGCGACTAAAGCTGAGGTGGTGTTAGCAGCCGGGCAGTTGTGTACGCTGCATGAATCCCTGGTAAAGGCCAGATGTGTGTGCTGGGGGATCATATCAACGTTTAACAACACGTTCTAGAAGCCCTATGCATTGACCTTTTCCAAGGAGCATATCAAATTGAATAACCCCTATCCCACACTATCATTCCATTTATCCTCCATACTTGCCCCTCTCAGTGTCTGGTATGTTTTGATCGAAAGCGGTACCTGACTACGTGGGTCCCGATCTGCCGCCATCCAACACCTTGGCCTCTTACGCAACCGCACCCCAATCTCTCTGGACTCCATCTCCAATTCTCATGATGAAAAACCTGTAGAGCTGTCAACTGCGAACGAGAACATCATGGAGGGACTCTTCACCCTGCTCGCACTGGGCATTGTGATGGCAATTACGTGAGCCACTTGGCTAAACCCTTCAACTCAATATAAGCTAATGCTCTGGTTTCCTGGCAGATCTTTTGTCGTCGGCTCATTGCCTCTCGCTTTTACACTTTCCCCATCTCAACTTCGGTTAATATCGTCCATTGGCATGGGCGTTTTGGTGGGGACATCTTTGATCGTCATTATTCCCGAGGGCATCGAAACTCTTTACAGCGCAAACTCCCTCAGTCGCAAGCAACACAATACCCGAGCCATTGCCGTCGAATGGCAGCACCAGACCCCAGCCGTGCCAGCCACTTTTGGCTCCAACGATGACACTACCTCCAACCTATCGTCCGATGCCTCTGTCGCGAATCTGCTTTTAGAAAGAGACCCACACTTCGAAGAGTCACAAACGCTTTATGTACGAAAGGATGATTCGACAGGAGAGACATCGGGCAAGGAATCAAGTCACGAAGACGAGGAGAGTTCACCACATGCGTGGGTCGGAATTGCTCTCATCAGTGGGTTCATCCTTATGTACCTCGTGGATAAAGTGCCTGAGTTCGCGACGCCAACCAAAAACGAACGGACGCCCTACCATATTTCATTGGATAATCTTGGATCCGGGCTACGGCGCGGCTCGTCCCCCTCGCGCGAGGGTGGGCTACTGGATACAAACCACGCCTCTAGACGTGGACACAGCTTTGCGACCACGACTGGCCTGGTTATTCATGCCGCAGCGGACGGTATCGCCCTGGGCGCCTCCAGCTCGGATACTGGACTCAGTTTCATCATCTTCTTGGCGATCATGGTACACAAGGCCCCGGCATCTTTTGGATTGACGTCTGTCCTGCTCAGACAGGGGTTGTCGAGTCGCACCGCAAGAGCGCACCTGCTGGTCTTCAGTCTTGCAGCTCCTTTTGGTGCACTGGCTACCTTCCTCTTTGTACAGATGATGGGATCCTCCAGCGCCGATGAGGCAGGCACTCACTGGCGCACAGGAATGCTCCTGCTTTTCTCTGGGGGTACCTTTTTGTGAGTTTTCTTTTCTGAGGTGCATTGATCCTTCCTCTCTAACCTGTCCAGATATGTTGCAATGCACACCATGCAAGAAAATGGCCCTGGCTCGTCACCACGTGAACTTCCTGTCAACGGATACGGCGACCGAGACCAGAATGGATCAGATAAATCGATGAGAGACTTGATTGCATCTGTCCTGGGCATGATCCTGCCACTGTTCCTACAGATTGGACATGCTCATTGAGCAAGTATCGCATACATTTCTTAGGGTTATGCCGCAGTGTTGTTACATTTGCGCTTTTAAACAGTCGGATTTAGGGGAACTTATACCCATTTGTTGCAAAATACAGTTGAAAGACTATTGGTTGTTATAGCTGAGACAGATTGGAATGAGGGAGGATACGATGTTTTTGAATAGAATCCTTGTATAACTGCTATTTGGGAAGGTGTCTTATGTTGGTCATAATTGCATGGGTATCTCACAATCACATCTACGTAGCGTCACTTCGCCCTACTTAAGGCCTGACGAGCCCCCGCTGGGATGACTGGTTTCCCCGGGGGGATCGCTCATCTTTTAATCAGAATGTCATCTGGGGATGATGACAAGATTCGTCAGTCTCGTCAGTCTGAATCATCCGGTTCGGAGTTGTTCCATGGTCGGATGCCGATAGCCGCATACCAACCCAAGGACTTGGGTTCATCTTCTCGATCGCGATCGATTGCGCGAGTTACTTAGTCTCACGATATCCCAGGCGAGTCAATGAAGCCGAGCCTGTCTCGGGCCAAAGCGCCTCTCCTTTTCTCCGCGATTCGGATTTAGCCGGTCGGCGCCTCTCCGTTGCCTCTCTTGCCATGACCCGAGAAGAAACTCAGAAGGCAAAAACAGCAGGCAAAAAGATGCAGAAAAGGAGACGATCTGTGCCGGATGCATAAGATCCATATAATTCCCATCTGATTAGTCCGGAGAAGCGCTGCTTTGTCAGAATCACGACACCTCCGCTTGGAATGGAATGTCCCTTTTCATCATTATCGTCTGATTTTTTCATTGGAAGTTGATTTGGAACATTCAGTGAAAGGGGGGAAAAGATCCCGGGAAAAAAAAAAGAGATTTATCTTCAAAGAAAAAACGAGCGACCTCGAAACCTTCGGAGGATTATTGGTCTCACCTCCCTCTTTCCCTCGGCCGTTCGCCAGCCTCTCCTCATACCTCCGACATCATAGTCCTGACGCCCGACTCCCTCACTACTCCATGCCGGCTGCGAACGCTAGGAGCCTTAGTGTGTCGCATCAGTAACTACGAACCGGACAAGTGGGAGGATCATACTCGACGCTGGCAGTCTCTCCCCCCCCCCTGTTCTGTCGCCATGGACTCCCATCGGGCATCATTCAGCGACATGACAGATGGGTCAAATGCGCACACATCAGAGCAGTTGGCATCTCGCAACCAACCGCCCCACGACACGGTCACTAGCTTCGCCAGCACACCATCCAGATCACTCAGTACCAAGAAAACCGTCACTCCTTTACCTGCCAACCTACTTCCTTCGGCGCCCGCATCTCCCCCGACGCCCGCACCTAGCCCTACCCCCCACCAACGACCTCCGAATTGGCACTCGTCTGACGACGAAGAGAGTAGCTTCCTATTGAACCTCCGTATCCACTTCAGTACTCTATCCAACGCCCGAAAACAGAAACTCTTGGAAGGTCTCTTGGACGTATGCGACAGCCAACAGTTGAGCTTTGTGTCGAGCTATGTCGGGCCTAGGTTGAGAAAAGATCCATTCCAGGTTTTCCCCAATGAACTATGTTTAAGAGTATGTTATCTTGTCTTAAGTTTTACTACACAACACTACACAACACTAATGTCGAGTCTACTAGGTACTCTCATTCATCGACGACCCCAAGACTCTCGCAAGAGCGTCACAAGTATCGCGGCGCTGGCGAGAACTATTAAATGATGACATCACGTGGAAAAATCTATGCGAGAAACATGCATATTCGGTGCGAAGGGTCTTGGAAGACGAGGGGGACCTCGTCGACCCTTTCACCGCCCATCCCGTCGAGTCGGCCTCTGGTGCACGCACCTTCAGCGGGTTGCAGCGGCGCTTGACCGCGTCAAATGGTCAGTTCACTGAGAGCACACCGGATCTACCCCGCACTCTTTCCGGAGAATGGTTGCCTCCGACAAGCTTCTCCCGAAGACGTCGAATACGCCCTGTCTCTTATCGCTCACAGTTCAAGCAAAAGTATATGGTTGAGTCGGCATGGAATAAGGGTGGCCGCTGCACCCAACGTCATATCACTCCCGACCAGGGAGTGGTGACGAGTCTTCATCTCACTCCGAAATACATCGTGGTTGCGTTGGATAATGCGAAAATCCATGTATACGATACTAACGGCGACAATCAAAAGACGCTCCAGGGCCATGTGATGGGAGTATGGGCAATGGTCCCGTGGGACGATATTTTGGTCAGCGGAGGCTGCGATCGCGAAGTTCGAGTATGGAACATGGCTACTGGGTAGGACCGAACCCCCGTGATTTGTACGATACGAAGACTAACGCACGATAGGGCGTCGATTCATCTTCTTCGTGGTCACACATCAACTGTGCGGTGCCTAAAGATGTCCGATTCTAATACAGCCATCTCTGGATCCAGAGATACCACTCTTCGGATATGGGATCTGGCTTCGGGAAGTTGTCGTCACGTTCTCGTCGGACATCAAGCTAGCGTGCGGTGCCTTGCAATTCACGGTGATTTAGTCGTGTCAGGTAGCTATGACACGACTGCACGCATATGGAGCATCTCCCAAGGTCGCTGGCTCCGCACTCTTCAGGGGCATTTCAGTCAAATCTACGCTATTGCTTTTGATGGCCGGCGGATCGCGACGGGAAGCTTGGATACTAGTGTTCGGATCTGGGACCCACAATCTGGACAGTGCCATGCTATTCTGCAAGGTCATACATCTTTGGTTGGTCAACTACAGATGCGAGACGACACGCTGGTGACTGGTGGCTCTGATGGTTCCGTCCGTGTCTGGTCATTGACTAAGATGGCGCCGATTCACCGTCTTGCGGCCCACGACAACAGTGTCACCAGTCTCCAGTTTGATAAGACCCGCATCGTCAGTGGTGGCAGCGATGGCCGTGTCAAGGTCTGGAATCTACAGACTGGTCAGCTACTTCGAGAACTTTCAACCCCCGCCGAGGCGGTTTGGAGAGTTGCTTTTGAGGATGAAAAAGCGGTGATCATGGCGAGCCGATCTAGCCGCACGGTTATGGAGGTACGTGGCGATGGCTGTTCCGATCACTTCGTGGAAGTATGTTTTTATTAACCTACCACAGGTCTGGTCATTCTCGCCGCCACCAGAAGAATACGATTATACCGCCATCGAGAGTACCTCGAGCACTCCAGGTCTAAGATCTACTGATGACAGCGACCTAGCCGCCCCATCCCACCATCGAGCAATGTCCTCCGACCCCCCTTCATCCATTCCATCAGGCACTGATAGTGATGCACTCATGCCAGACGCACCCTCCTAATTTTTCAGCATTTACTGATTTGATATCCTGCCATTTAACGATCACGCATATCCATTTATTCATGTTTATCTCCCATCTTTTTGAGCGCGGTGGGTTTTTGTCAACAGTGGATGCTCTTCAGAATGAGCTGCCGGCGTTCCTGCCTGGGTGTTTGTAGAGCACCGATTGGTTGCATATTTGGTGTTGCAAGTCTGTTTGGTCACCCTGTCATGGTTTCTTGTCCGGACTGGTGAAGCTGCCAAACTGGAGTTGTGAGATCTGTTTTTCTATTACCTTGGTTTTTTTATTATCGGCCATTTCGGAGTGTTTTGTGGTTGAGCACATGATACCTTTCTGGAAACCCTTGGAATGTTCTATATACCATCTAGTCAGGTGAAATCTACTTCGTATATCATCTACATTCCTGAGTATAAATATCCACTCGGTCGATTTCGAGCCCCGGGCGGGCCGGCTTGTAACATGACTAAGCGGAACTCTCGGAACCTTGGAAGTCGCAGAATTGCCGCGGACGGATCTGAAATGTAGACCTGAACATGATCATTGCCTGTTGAAAGCCACAGGGGACTCGCTCTAGAAAAGCTAATTACGCCTACCGTAAGATGTACATGTGCTCTGCTCGGACTAGGCAGCCGAGTTGATCCCGCTATAACCGATGAAACACGGCCATCTTCTGTGACGTTTGTGGAACCAATATCACAACCTCTCTGTGACCCACAGTATCCTTTACTGCTTCTGTCCAAGTATCTGCAAGTATACAAGCTCCCTCGGACGACGGTCTGCGGGTGAACAATGGTCTATGGGGGCAAGCCGAGTACCGGATGTTACCTGTGTCGCAAGCGGAAGATAAAGGTATGTCCCGAGTTTCAATATTGTTTCATCTTTTCCCCTGCCGATTTATACCTGCATTGTACCTATAGCTTGAGCATATGATGAAGTGATCAATGCTAAAATATCACTGAAGTGCGATGAAGCTCGCCCGGGATGCCGGAACTGCGTCATCTATGGCCGCCCATGTCCAGGTTACCGGCCTGATGTTGTCTTTCGCAATGAGAACAGGAAATTCGAGCCTCTCGTGAAGAGCAGTGCTGGCGTCAATACAAACAACAACAGTAGTGACAACCTGGGCAGCTCTCTGACCTCGGACGCAGTTGTCTCGCGCCGTCGGCGCCGATCCCTCAATGGGAAACATCATGACAAGCCTACTCTGACGCTATATTCGCCAGCGGATACTAGTTGGGAAGAGCGCGCTTTGTGTTATTTCTTTGACCAATACACTATCAAAGCAGAGGGTGAAGATAGCGGGCATCTCGCCTATGTGCCCCCGCTGTACGCTCGCCAGCTTGGCCAGAGTGACGAATCGGCATCATCCTGCTTACGGTGGGCCGTCGATGCCACATCGCTGATGACTCTGGCCAATGCTAATAATGCGCCTCCTCTTATGATTAGGGCACAGCAGGGCTATGGGCGGGCGTTGCGGGCTTTACAGGCGGCATTGGTGTCTCCAGCCCATGCTGCCAAAGACGAGACATTTGCTTCGGTTGTTTTGCTCTCGTTATATGAAGATATCTCGGGGCAACGGAATGGATTGTTCAGTTCACATACGGCTGGCTTCGAGTTTTTGATGAAACTCCGTGGAGAGGCCCAGATGGATCATAGACATAGTCGGGATATGGTCAATTTTGCTTATGCCCACACAGTATGTTCAAGAATAACCCTAGCGGGGCTATCCATCAATAATTACTTGCAACTGACCGTTTTTGCAGTATGTTGAAATCCTCGCACTGGGAGACAAACCCCGCTTCGATACCGAATGGGTTCTCGGTATGCTAGACAACAACAATCCAATTGATCGGCTCATCATCGCAGCATCAAAGCTATGCCAGCTATTTGTCGCCATCCGCTCTGCGCCAAAGCCCTCAGATCAAGCAACTGTCGAATCATGGATCGCGGCTGGCCGCGAGTGTGATATAGAATTTTCACAATGGACACAGACCCTTCCGGATAGCTGGCTCCCACTAGTCGTCTACTCTGCGAAGGGCGAGCCCCTCTTGACCTACACCCGCATCTCCCTTGCCGTCGTTTGGAACTACTACCGCTCAGTGCGCGTGATGCTCCAACAGCTTTTCCTCGGCCTGACCACCGCCCTTTCCACCATCAAAGAGGCCAATAAACAATTTTCCAACTCCCCTGAGACCGGCACTTTTGATACGAAGTCCGAGTCTGTTCTTGAAGAGGAAAGTCTGCGAGCCACCATCCGCGAACTGACAACAGATGTTTGCCGTAGCATCCCCTTTGCGCTAGCAGAGGTCGACTCCCTTGGCCGCCCCAATAAGTCGGATAGCGCAAGGAAAATGCGCGCTGTCCAGGGTTATGGCTTGCTCTGGCCTTTGTGGTATATTCTCTCCTCCGGTATGCCGACCACGGTGCAGGCCGAGCAGATCCGTACCGTGCTGTCCCGTGTCGGGTCTACGCTGGGCATTAGATTGGCCTGGGTTCTTGCTCATGAGGCAGAGCGCATTCGCGAAGAGCAGAATGAGATACTAGGAACTTCTATTGACCCCTCCTCCACAAGTGTTTCTGGTCTCAACGAGGTTTGTAGACCATTGCCATGACAGCGGGTTTTTGGCATCTTTCGAACTCAAAATTTAGAGACGTGATCACACGCCATAACATACAATTTATACCTTTTCAGAGCTCAACAATCACTCTGTCTAGTTTCATGATCAAGGACATGTCCATGTGTAAGTCCCAGCCTTTCGAATGAGGCCCTAAAGCAAGGAACCCTGACAGCACGAGTATAGCGACTACTTTTGGACCACACGTTAATGTGTACATCTATACATAACATGTTTGCCTTTCTTTTGACCAGAAGAGTATCATGATAGAGCTCAAGTAGGACGACTACATGGCCGTCTTTAAACTAATCAAGGCGGTCCAAATTATTCTTGTCGTGATAGTCTCAAAAGGGGGGTCACAATGCATGCCAGAATGAAACATCAGGGAGCTAGATATGCTAAACTGGCAAGGTAATCCCAACTAGCTAAGAGGACTGATAAATATACAGAATGTCAAACTAGTGGCTGTCGTCTATGAGAGCTCAGATAAGCTGGTCCCCTAACAAAGGTTGGTAGCAGAGTGGTTTGCCTCTAGACCTAGATAGGTGATGTGTTGACAAACGATGTAAACGGTGTAAACGAGATCTTCCTCGCGCTCCATGTGACGCTCTACCACGCGAAAGCGTTGTTTATACTCCTGCAAACTAACCCTCTGACCATTCATCACACTGTTAGACCTCGGACTCGTTCTACGAGCTCGCAGGTCACCTTTGTCGTGATGGTTCACCCCGTTGCTGAAGACGATAATACGAAGCCATTCAATCCGAAGGATGATGACTTTGCAACCAGCACTGTCGTCCCTGAAGCAGCCCTCGACAGCTGTGATGGCATTCAGCATTCGTCCCAACTCGGACTAGATACCAATTCGTCCTTTTCTGACCATCCCGCTTCTCCCCAGGAGTCTTCGTCCAAGGCCAACGATGTTGAAATTAATCTGCCCGAGATCGAAGGACCAAAATGGACTCCTGTCAATTCCACGACGAAGCAGGACGACCCTGGCCCGTCAGTTCGACGCCGTACCGCCGCAGAGCTCAAGGAGATCATGGAGAAGCAGGTTGAGCACCGTAAGTATTATGCATAATATTCTTTTTTGCAACGTATTTGCTAACAAATCCATTCCAACAGCCGAATTCTCAGGTCTGGATGCTATTACCTTGACCCCTCTTCTATCCGCATTCCTAACTCGGCACGAAAAGCAAATGCGTGATATGCATCCGGAGCGGACTGAGGTGGATTGGCTGAGTGGTCGCCCGAGGCCTTTGAAGTCTCCCGTTACTCGCCGTGCTACGCTGGGACAGATGTGTGGCGTCCAAGGTCCCCCAGATGAAAAATGCACCAATTGCGCCCAAGAGAAGGGTCCATTCAAAAACTGCCGCGTTCTTTTCATGGACAACCACATCCAATGGAGTTGGGCCTGCATCTGTTGTGTCTATAGGACCGACGCTGGTAGATGTTCTTTGCGTAAGTCTCCTTCCACACTTAGCCCGGGGGAACATACTGATACTGATGTGTCGAACAGGCCCGGACCGATTCTTGAATGTCCCCTCGTGGGTCGCCGAAGCTGTGACTCGATATGATCCCACTAACAAACTGCTCCCTATCTATCATGCCGGAAAGAAGGAGGATGCTGTGGCCCCTATCTGGCCAGATGCGAACGGTAAATGGCCTCCCAAGGCCACTTTGGGCGGCGAAAGACCGCAGAAGAAGCGTCGTATCGATGCCTCTGCACAGGACTTCGATGGCCGCGTCCCTGGCAAGCTGAAGAATGGTGGACTCGACTTCAATGATACCTGGTATCGCTCGCCCATTGAGGATCCCGACGTGTACCGCATGAAGGACAAGACCTTTGCTCTTACTACCTACCACGATATTGCCCAGATCCTCGAGCGCGTCAAGGAGGATCACCAGCGCTTGAAATTGGCTCTGCTTGAGAAAGGATTCTTGGACCCATTGGACGAGGATGAGGAGATGGAAGATGAGAATGTCTTCGCCAAGTAAGCGAATCCAGAATGATTGAAAAGTTTCCAGTTGTGAAGTACCACGAGACTGAGGCTGTTCTCTAAGTCTAATATGCTAATATGGATGTACTTAATCTTGCTGTACCAGGTCTGGGTGTGTGTGTTTTTCTCTTGCGCCATCATGCTGTTATCTAGCATAGCGTTTAATGAATGGAACCTGTGTCAAATGTCTTGCTTCTATCGTAGATACGGTGTACCGCCACTATCGGTTTCTTGTCCCAGTTATTATTCAAGTTCGAAATGATTCGATCGGTTCCTCGTGTCAGTGACCAGTAAGCCGTTTATCGGTGCCAATGCTGACTCGTTCAAGCTCAGACAGTAGATCATACAGATTTCAGGGCATTTGAGGGCATTTGAGGGCATTTGAGGGCATTTGTAAATGAAAAACTTATTCAACAAGGTGTCTCAGAATGTAACTTCTCAATTTGACCTGGATCTTAAAGAGAGGAGGCCAAAAAGCTTGTCCTTCCAGCAAGGGCCACACCTTGATAAGCTTAGATACGCGTTTGATAAGGAGTATTTGTGTGCACATAAGTATGACAACGTATGAAAGCCATGGAATGCACAACTGCCCCTGGTGTAGCTGAAATCCATGTTTATGCATCTGGATTAGGGCCGGCTAGTTCGGCTTCCGTCAAGGGAGTTCATCGACATACTACATATTTTTTGCACCGGGTACTCCGGATATCATTGACGTCATCACTGGTTGTGGTGATGAGATTTCATATGAGTATTGTCGATATGATAGATAATTATAGTTGAAGACAAGAAGATCCAAGCTAATAACAACAATTTAAGAAGTATGAACAGTTTAATGAGATCGCCTGGAACGTATAAAGTGGAAGTGCGGAGATAAGCCTCTCGAGTCCGTTTGCGGATCACTGACATCACAACCTCCCGAGATACTATCCTGGAACACTACACACTTGCATTTTAGATTTGAATCTCTCCCCTCTCTAGATACCCCTGGATAGATCTGCATATTGCTTCGCAGTCGAGACAACATGGCTACACAGGAACGCAGGCTCCCTTTCGGGAAGATCGAACCCAATTCCATGAAGTACTTCCTCAGCTGTGGCTTTGGTGGAATTATTGGTATGCCCAATCTCCCAGTCCCGCCAAAAAGACAAATGCTAACATCCTTGTCCCAGCTTGTGGTATGCAACAGCTCTCCAACATCTTACTGACCCTCAATTGACACCCAATCTCCCAACAGGGCCAACCCACACAGCTGTCACACCCCTCGATCTCGTGAAATGCCGTCGTCAGGTTGACCCAAAGATCTACACCTCCAACCTCCAAGCATGGCGTACAATTATGTCCAAGGAAGGCCTGCGCGGCATCTTCTTCGGCTGGTCCCCAACATTCTTGGGCTACTCTTTCCAAGGTGCCGGTAAATACGGGTTATACGAGTACTTCAAGAACCTGTATGGAAACCAGATGTTCCCAGACTCGAACCGCACCCTGGTCTTCCTCGGAGCTAGTGCCTCTGCTGAGTTCTTCGCCGATATGGCTCTGTGTCCGATGGAGGCCATCAAAGTCCGCATGCAGACCACCCTGCCGCCGTTTGCTTCCACTATGCGCGAGGGCTGGAGCAAGATTGTCGCCAAAGAAGGCTTCAGCGGTCTGTACAAGGGACTTTACCCCTTGTGGGCACGACAGATCCCTTATACTATGACCAAGTTTGCCACTTTTGAGGAGACCGTCAAGTTCATCTACCAGACCATGGGTAAGCCCAAGGAAGAATATGGCCAATTGACCCAGACCGGTGTCAGCTTCTTGGGTGGTTATATTGCTGGAATCTTCTGTGCCATTGTCAGCCATCCGGCCGATGTCATGGTCAGCAAATTGAACGCTGATCGTAAAGGTGGGTCTTCCCGTTTCGGTTGCAGTCTTGATGTGTGCTAACAGCTTTTTATAGCTGGTGAAGGTGCGATGACTGCTGTGTCCCGGATCTACGGAAACATTGGTTTCTCTGGTCTGTGGAATGGTCTTCCTGTCCGTATTGTGATGCTGGGCACCCTGACCGGTTTCCAATGGCTCATGTAAGTGCTTCCTCTTTGATTTGCCGTGCTGTGAATGATGCTAATTTTCACGCAGTTATGACTCTTTCAAGGTATTCCTTGGTCTTCCCACCACTGGAGGCCACTAGATAGCATTGGAATTTCTTTTTCTTTCTTTCCTCGGAGCAATCGTATATAGCAAAGGAGTTTGAATGGATAAATGATAAACAACAAATGAGCTATTCTGTAGACCGCCTTTGATATCGGGGCAGAATAATGTTGGAGATCATCCGCATTGTTGGTGACCTCCATTCGGTGCTCAATAGGCCCACCATTCCAGTCAATCGACTCATCCACGTTGCGGACGACTCATCAACCATCAATCCCAGCTGGATATACTATTTATACTGGCCTGCCAGATAATCCGCTCCTGCTTCCTACCTCTCCCGATTTTGCATCGCCCCTTCGCATCGTGCAGTCAGCTCCGACAAAGGATCCTGAGTTACATCGCTGGGTTCGCAATCCAGTCACCCCATCTACTATCCTCACGCCAGCCCGGATAATTCCCCTCCTCCCGTCACCACAATGGACGCCTCCCGCCAACCCTCATCCATCCCACCGGCCAATCCCCCCAGCGTGGAGATCGCTTACAAGCGCAAGTGCATTGCTCTGAAAAAGCGTCTTGCGGAAATCGAGGCTGAAAATGAGTTGATGCGTACCCGCAACCGTCGTGGCTCTCAATATATCCAAAAAATGCGCCTCGAGACCTGCATGCTACTCGAACGTTTAGCCAAAGTCACCGGCATGGCCGACGAGGCTAAGACCGGTGCAGCGAACCCGGAGCTGCGTGCCCGCGCCGCCGCCATGATGAACACCACCGGCTCACAGGGAGCAACAGGCGCACACCTGGAAGACGATACTGAAGGTAGCTCTGATGAGCAACCACGGACGGTACGTATAAATGCGCAGTTCCATACTTCCATACATCTCCAACAAACCCAACCTTTCCATTGCCTGATCTATTTAGAGTTTCATAAATTCCATTGTATTATCTGCTGTTGCATTCAAGCTAACGATTGTTTTCTCTTTCAGCCCGAGGAACGCCCACTGCGCGTCAAGCGCTCTCGCAAGTCCAATGCCGCCGGTCTCGATGACCCTATCGATGATCACCCTCATGATGGACACCCCGAATCTGCTGATCCTGCCGGTGCAGCCCTACCCCGTCTCGCACCAGCGCCTACCCAGGAGTCCCTCACCCACTCCTTCCGTGTGCAGACAGGCAGTGGCGGCTCTGCTGACCAGACCCCCGCCGCCGTCGAAGCCGGTTCTGAAAATGGGCCTATGCCTATGGATATGGATAAGGAGGAGCCGAAGGAGACCAAGGTTGAGCAGTTCTAGTTTATTTTCTTTTTTTTTCCCTTTTCCTTGTTCTTTCCTTTTTTTCTCTCTTCTCTCCTTCGTCTCCTCGCCAAGTCAAGTCTTTGGTCGTCCTCTTTTCTATTTTATTTCTTGTCTGAGGGTCTTATGCATCGGGTTTGGATGCGGTGCTGGTTTTGCTTATAGTGTTTCTTGATTTCTATCCCCTTTGGTGTGCCCCGTGATTGGGCCTATTCACTACTCTATGGCCTCCTGGCGTTCACGTCTGATATGAAATTCACTTGAGTTCCATGTTGAAAAGCATGGTCGAAGCAACTTGTGTCTAATTGTAGCCTCGTGGGGTTTAGAAAAATAATCATGTAGATGTAGATGAATGCAAATATCTGGGGTGTGGATTTGCTTAGTTGGATATTTTGGTGCGTCGCAGATGCAGCTATCTCACTGTTAGAGGTCAAAGGGTACATACATATATACTGTTTTGTGGAGGAAAGTGCCCGTAGGCCAGTACACAAGGAAGGTCGCAACAGTTCAATAGAATTTTAATTGATTGACCCCATCCCATCTGTACAGGGGCCAATAGCCATATCCCCAGGCCTTTTGTTGCAATAACAAACCCACATCAACTCCGATACCATTAGAAAAGACAACATGTTATTGGAAACAAGACTGGGATATGATTATCTGGATATGGATGTCTTCTTTCATGTACAGGGGAAGACTCATCGGGGTTGGAAAGATGATACAAATAACGGAAAGAGTGGCCACATGAAGGATACGACCGAGGATGGGTGGTGCGTAGACTGGATGTGTGTTTTGGGAACTCCCACACTGCTGGGATTGCTTGCGAGTTATGATTTTGTGATTGGCGTGGTTGACCCTGGCATGTTGCTATGCTCGTTTTGCGATAGTCGATGCAGGCTGGCTGCATGGCAAGGCATGAGACATATGCCGGTAATTCATATCATGATAATCGGGTTATCGCAGCAAATTCGAATGATCGTGACAAGAATGTAACAGTTGATGAGCACATTCTGTCTCAGAGTCTCTAATCAACTCCAGCATAGAGATCAACGACAATATTGATGGCAGCTACGAGAATTTCTGCGGCGATCAAGACGATGACTATTGTTTGTTAGATGATTCTGCCGGTTGTTATAGGTTTCACTGAGACTTACCAATCCACTCGAGGTACTCGCCATGACGATGTGTCAATTGATCTTTTAGGACTGCAAGAAGATCCGCAATGACGTCCAATCGCTCCGTCAACAGACCGACACGCTGGTCCATCTCCAGGTAACTCCGGACGGCCTGGTAGACAGGCTCCAACTGCGGCTCTGCCCAGAAGAGCTCTGGGCTATCGAGAACAGATCCCTGCAAGTGAATGTTGATGCGGAGAATGAAGAGTTCTCCGATCTGCATGTTGATCTGTCGGCGAGTGAGGTTGACGCTACCAGTTTGCGCGATCTGGGCAGGTAAGGGAGCAGTGTCGGTGATTGTTTCTGAAACAAGATCCTCGAAAAGCGAGGTCTTGACTGACTGTGCTAGAGCATGAGAAATCGCCAACTTGACCATGTGGTTGCGTGGGTCGCGAAGCGAGATGAAATCGTTGTAGATCCTGGCCTGGTACTCGCGCGCATAGTAGAAATTGAAATTCTCAATCTGCGTGTCATCGGGACTCAGTATGGAGGTGGCAAATTTGGAGATATCGGATAGGAATCTTGATTCTTGCGCGGGTGACATGCCCCATATTACGACTGTTCCGTAGTCGAAGAGGAAAACCTCAGGAGTGTGAATTGTGGTGTCGATATCGGGGGTGTCTTTGACGACTGGTTGTTCATTCTCATTTGAATGACTGCCCTCATCGTGCAGATCAATCAAATCATCTCTTCTGGTCTTCTTATTGTCTTCAACCTCCACTGCGCTGTCCGAGTATCTCCTTTCACTGGGTCTCCTCTCATGGTGCCCATTACCATTATGGTCTTGAAATAACCGAACCCCGTTCTGCTTTTCTTCGTATTGATAATCAAAAGGCGAGTAGACACACTCATCGTACAGCTTTGGGTTAGCTCCGCGAGTTTTGCTCCGCGACTTGAGGAACTTGATAACGCCCTCGAGTCGATACGAATTGGCCGTGCAGTAAGCCGTCACTCGGGGTATACGATCGCGATCAGCTTTTCCCAGTCTTGCAGCATGGCTTCGTGCAGCAGGATCCTTGATGCGAGTGATTTGCGAATAGACATCCCGTGGGAAATCTCCATCAGACCCTTCTTCCTCTTCCGTCACAGGGTCCGGCAGCAGTTTTAATTTTTGCGCTTTCTTTGTCGTTCGCTGTGGCCCAATCTTGGATGCCACATGCACGGGATTCGAGTTGGCATTGAAGGGAGCTCCATGACTATTACGACGACGAAGCTTGCTGTTCAACGCTGATAGCATGGGCTGGCTGCTCGGACGGGCCTGGCCACCCTGGGTATTGACATTCTGCACGGGAGGTGAACCGGTTTGCAAAGGTCGAAATGTAGAATCGGAAGTAGAGGCAGTACCCCCATAAGTGCTAATCTGCGTGAGCGGGTTGAAGGATACCGAGCGCGGCGTCCGGTTTGTTCGTGGTGACGTATTGGAAGCCGAGTTCTGATGCTGGGGCAACAGAGGAGAATTCTCTGCAGGCGCCATGGCGAGTGAAATAAGAGGTGTACAATTAGACAATTAGACGACAAGCGCCATTGACGAAGGGGTTTATAAAAAAAGAAAAGGAAAGCAAAGAGAGTGTGACTGTGGAAGTCAAGGAAGCTGCCCAGGAGCTGTCCGCCTTAATAATCGTTGGAATCTGCGGTCCTTGGCGCCCTGTACTTCCCTTCGGTGACACCATTTCGCCAGTCCTTGATTCCTACCTTTGTATGTGTTGGTGGCTTCTCCTGTATTTCTTCTACCCTAGATTCTTAGCCCCTGTGATCCTCCCTCCGTGTTAAGGATCCCAAAACGACATCAATCCATCTAGGTAGACATATTGGCAAGCCACCACGAAAGACGAGAGACTGACGATGACCCGAACATGTTTTGAGTGATTCTAAATTATGACTGGTCTTTTTGAATGAGTTGATTGCCAGGCATTACTTGGCATAAATGACACAATCCTATATACAAGACTTCCAAAATCGAGTCCAAGACCAGGTTTTACTCCCACCGAACACCATGCAACCCTAGTAACAGTCGGATAAAAATCCCCAATTCTATTGATCAATCACATACCGGCTGCAGGAAGCGCGGGGTTGGTTACATGACCGACACCGACTTTCACTTTGCGCCAATGGGCATCGCAAACTCCCGGGAGGCGCACCAGTTGATGCAATGAGCGCGCTTTCCCCGTTAACACTACCAGGTCGTACAGGTAAACTTCCAGCCGTTTCAAGATCTGCGGAATTGGAGAAACAAATGGCTTTGGTGGCCATACAATGCTGTCATCACTTTCACCGGCGAACAAATGCAGAGGGACCGCCTGTCTTCTTTCGGAGGCCATTGCCCTGGGCTGTGTTACGGGCCTTCTGAAGCATGCTGCTCCTGAGGTTTCGTCCAGCCTTGGAGACCTTAGGAGGCAGTGCGGGCTTTGAGGACTTCTTCGATGATGGCGCATCAAGAACCCGAATAGAGACATCTCCCATGTTGATATCCTTAGGAAGCTTGTCATGCTTTTCCAGGAATCTTAACTTGTTGGACTTTTTGGGTAGGGCGAATTGATCTTCGGCCGGGGGTGTGGGAGGGCGAATGGCGAATTCAGCGTTCAGAATATCATCTGGAAGCAAAGCAGGAAGCGCGGCTCGTCGTGCATCCTGAGTGGTTATGCCTTGAACAGTAGCTGTGCTTTCGGATTGCATGTCGTCGGACGCGGCCTCCTTGGCCTTGACATTCGATTGCGCTTGCAACTTGCGACGCTCATCGAGTTTCCGTCGCTTGTCCCTCTTTTGCTGCTCTTCTCTGTAGATATAATTAGTCAAGTCGACTATACCAACATTCAAGTGTCACACATACAATTGCTTCGCTGCTTCTTGCTTCTTGGCCTGCTCTTTCATTTTCAACAGCTGAGCAGAGTTATCAATAGTCTCTGGCGCGTCATCATCGCTATCATCTTCATCTTCATCGTCCTGGGCTGGTGTTTCCATAACTTCTTCTGGCTGTGCTTCAAATGATTCAGGTTCTTCGCTATCGAATCGGATCTTCTTGCCCGCCGATGCTTTCTCGCCATTTACTTGGGATAGCTTTCCGGATGTGTGTTTTGTGGCACCTTCATCGGTTCCAGCCTTTGGGTCACTTCTTCTTCTGCGCTTGGTCTGCTGGTCTTCGGTCTTGCCAGCACTTGTTGAATGAGCCTTGCGCTTTCCACTAGTCGCAGCTTCGGGCGCAACATTTGCTCGTCGGGTGCCTGTCGCCATCTTGGGATTGGAGGCAGTTGAGGTGCCAGTAGAATGTGTTCCTTGTTCTTCGGGCTGTCGCGTAAATAGACCCTTGGCAGCAGTTACCAAGTGCGTAAACATAGAGTGGAAAAGAAAGTAATTAGAGTAGCGAGCCCAAATGGGAAAAGCAGTTCCCTCAAGTTACGAGGTGAAGCAAAAATAAAAAAATCTCGGCGATGAGGATTTCCCGAGAGCGGAGACGATAAGCCACTTATCACTCCACCACATCTACTTCACATGCACTATGTAGTTTGCACTGAACAACCTGGTATGTTCCTCGTGGATTTATTATTGTGTATGATGGCTTTGTCTCTGTATTAAATATCTACTTGTCTTGTGTCAAACACCGTCTAGCGCCAACCCCAATTTTGCGCAAACCCCGATATATCTCAACTTGCGTAAATGGATGCATGGATCAAGAATATATAACCCAAGGTTTTCTATTATTATGCATTGAAAACAAATCCGAGGCCGTCCATGTAGTCCCTCGTAGGAAGGGTTTTTTACTTGTCTATCTACTACGCACACGCTTATATTGATGGTGTGATTTCTCAAGTTATGACATATACAGGCGAGTACCCAGCGCAAGAAGAGGGACTTTGACATTCTGAATTGACACCACAGAAAACAAACACTTCGACACATCTTCAACATGCCATACTTCTCATAAGAATGTGATCATCTTGTTAATTTCAAATTGAACTTGGTCTGGTCCAAGAAAAACATCAGCCACTAGATGCTAATAATATCCCACGCTGTGTACAAACTCCGTTAAAATACCGTAACCCCATTGAGACCCGATTTGAACTCCTAGACCGTGAGTTATAGCACTCATGATGCAAAGCACAACAAGAGATGTGCCACCAAATTATTACCTTTGGATACCGTAAAGCGTCTTGTAAAAATCCTCATGCTTGCGAACGCACTCGGCGCGCTCCAAGGCCTCCTCGCGAGATCGAATAAAGTCGTCCTCGCCAATTGGGCTGAGCTCTTCCCACATTTGGTTGTACTCATCGATATCGCTGCCAGTCATAGCCCACATGCCCTCGCGCTGACGCTTGTTGCGCTCACGGTCCTCTTCGATGCGCTGCTCGATCTGTTTTCTGTCGAGGCGTAATTGGGGCTTTTCTGATTTCGATTTGCCGCCTTCTGCGGTCTCTTCTTGTTCTAGATCGAGGTGGGAGGGGTGGGATTCGCGGTCTTTCAGAGCGGCGTCAATTTCAGCAACGGTTTCGGCGCTGAGGACTTGCTTGGCCTGGAGACCGTTTAATACGTGGCGAACGTGCTTGACATTGGCCGCGCCGGTGCCGTCAGGGGGAACAACCGAGTCCACCACACGGAGGATGTCTCGTTGCATCATGCGCACGTATGGGAGGTAGTTTTCCTTGATGGCCATTTCGCACAGGTGTTCGATGAAGTACATTATATTTGCGCGGTTGTTCATGTTATTCTAAAAGTGCATATAGTCAGAATAAATCGACACGAGATATGTTGGTATTTCTTACTCGCTCAAGTTGCTCCAGGATGCACGAGTGAAGGTCTTCATCGAGGTCGCGGTACTTGAGAGCATAATGGGCGGCCTTCTGCGAGGATGTGACAGCTGCACTGAGATGCTGCAGCTGCGTAGTGAAGCGCATGCGCACCTCAAAAGGATCGATCATCATTTTATCGTCTGGTGGCTGGACTTTGTTGAGGACTGGAAGATCAGTAGGCGTAGACATGATAGGCGGATTAAAAGGCGGTAGGATTCTAAGACCAGCAGAAATATGTGGGGAAAAAGGCGGTGGGGATATTTTTCTACGTATGTACATCAACTCACGTACCGGTGCTTCCATGATGTGGCTTTGGCCTTGGAGGAGCTGGGGAATTTCGAAAATTTCCATGATATTCCTGATATTGACAGCTAGATCCACAATGGTAGCTAGTTTCGTTGAAGTAAAGAAGAAAGATGAACCACCTGCCCCCGAGACTCCAAGAGAACATCAAGAAGAATGGAACAGAATCGAAGAATATACAAAGCAAAATAGGAGCAAATATCATCAAAGGGAGTCTCGCCTCAAGGAACTATCGAGACTGGATCTATCGTCTCCATGGAGCAGACCAACTTCCTCAGCCTCGTGGGTATTTTGGAAATCCCGCCATTCTTCATCTTGAAGGGCTTCTTCCCGGCGAAATTCGACACCATTTAGCACCGACCAAACATCTTTCTTGGTCAACAAGCCCTGTAGAATGCCCTTGTTGGCAAACAGTACATAGCGCAAGCCAAGACGTTGGAACATTCGTAGAACAATCAAGAAAGTGATGTTACTGTTCAAGGTCATGGGCGTCTGGTCCATCCAGGGTCGTAAATCAAGGGTATCAACAGGATCCGCAAAAGGCTGATGCGAGAAGAAAACTTGAGTCTCCTCGGATAAGTTACGGGTAGTTGGGGAAGTTGAGTAGTTCAGAGCGAAAGAAAGCTCATTGCGAGTGATGTAGCCCAGGAGGATGGGAGTCGATGATTCTGATACCACGGGGAATCCGCGATATGTAGTGTTAGCTAGGAGATTGCGAATCGAGGCAATAGTGTGGCCGGTTGCGGTAATGATGCTGATATCATCCACACCTGTCATGACACTGTGCGCAGATACATCTGGTGGAGTTGTGTCATCGCGATGGTCGAGGAAAGGATACTCGTTCAGCCGAATCCATGACTCGTAGATACCTCGCTTTCCAAAGATATCACCACACCACTTGGACAACATCACGGCAATCATGATTGGGATCACATATGTCAACGCCCCAGTCAATTCAAACATAATAACGACAATTGACAACGTCATTCGAGTAGCACCACCCAGAGCAGCAGCAGCTCCGATAATGGCGTATAAGCCAGGCGTTACGCATGGGATATCTGGCTCGCATTTGCTAAACAGAAGAGCGTTCGGATAAGCTTCCTGCCACATGCGGACCATGATACCTAGAGCACGTCCATAGAGAGCACCAATGGCCACTGATGGAAGGATGATACCCGCAGGAATTTCAAGACCAAATGTCAAAGAAGCCAACACAAAGGCAAGCAACGCAGCCAGAACAAGATAAATTGCCACGCGGACTGAGGCAGACCCTGTTGCACAAAGGCCAAATCGATCATATGTCGCACTGTTGCACTCGGCAAACAGCGACTGAACAAGCTCCGAGTTCTGAGCCCGCATGAAATGGTTAGGATAGTTAACCAAAGCTGTAATGAGAGCCACGACGACCACTTCGATCATTGGGTGAGAGGAAGTTCGAGCTCGTCTCCACTTGGTAAATCTCGTATTTACGCGAATGAGGAATGCACCGTAGAGACCACCAATGATGCCAAGAATAATGAACGGGATAATTTCAAAGCGGTGCCACCCTCGAGTGTAAGTAACTTGATATAGCACGATTTTGCCGGTGCGGAATGGATTTAAGGCTTGCAAAGTGACAGCTGCAACCATAGCACAAACAAAGCTCTGCCACATCGTCTTATCTGGAAAATAGTATGAAAGTTGCTGGAAGAATTAGTAGGAAAGTTTATAGCACGGAGGTTGACAATAGCCCTTACCTCCAAACTGAAAAGAACACCTCCAATAGGTGCTCCAAATGCGACTGAAATACCCGCGGCAGCAGCCGCAGAAAGGACCTCCCGTTTGCGTGCTGTGACATGAGTAAACGCGCAAAGACCAACGGAGAACCGCTGACGTACCTTCGTTGCCTTTCAGTCCGTCGAAAGGTTTCATCAGAATATTCGCACAGCAACATGCAACGTGTACGAGCGGGCCTTCCTTCCCTAGCCACAAACCTGATGCAACAGAGAGACACTGGCTACGGTCAGCAAAAATGCCTTATAGGTTTCAACAACAGCGAGCTTGACTTACCAGACCCAGTGATTTAATGGCAAGCGTCCATGGCCCCATGAAATGTCTGATCACAGTTCCACCAAGTATCGTCTTGATCTCGGAAATTCCACTGTGTCGAGCATAAATGGCATAGTTCCGCACCAGGAAGCAAGCACATGCAGCAAAGAAAACCTAGATATTGTCAATAGACCCTTCAAAGTAAGATGCTGAGGTCTCATTACCGAAAATACAATATAGAAGACATATCCAACCGCATATGTTCCTCCGCCGGAGCTCACTCCCAAAGCGCTGCCCCAAGGTGTCCAGTCTAGACACTTGGAGTGATCTATACTCAGTTTAGATTCTGCATGTGAGACATGTTGGGACTTGACGCCATCGGCTTACCATCAAGACCCCAGCAGCAAAAGCTCTTATTCAAATAGAATTTGCCTCCTCCACTGCCATTTTTGCAATATCCACTCTTCAAATCGCCCAGCCAATTTGTCGCAATATCGATAGAGGCAGCGATGATTCCAACCGCGATACCCGTTGTAATCAAAACCAGCCAGACATTGCCTGCGTCGAGTAGACGGCGAGCATGACCTAAAAGACCCTGTCCCTTTGCATAGAGTAGTCGTTTCCTTTGCCGCTCTTTTGTATACTCGTACATCCAATCAATAGCAGTGAAGTCGTCATAACCCACACGTCGTCCCGGGCCTTCGACATACCAGTCTAACGGCCCACCATCCTTTGATCCCTCTGGCGCACCATTGAATCCTATCGGCCCATAAGGATCGAGGGGCGATGCATCTCCGTTCTGACCACCTGGCGGCGCGGAAGAGCCAAAGCCAGTATCAGATCCGCCAGCGGTTGGGGAGAGAAGGCTAGATAGATTGAACCGCGATCGTTGTTTTTGTTTCCGCTTGAAGGAGATTCTAAATAAAGCAAATAATTAGCACCGTGAGGGAAGGTGGAGTCTCAACTTACGGCTCATGTAGCCCCTCGGCTTCCCGATTCACTTCCTGAGGCTGAAGGTAATCCTGATCAGGTCTTGGTTGCGTCCGGGATTGGCCCTCGCCACCCGAGCCATGACCACTCATTGGCATCGTGCAACATAAATGAACCGCGATATTGCGATATTGGCATCTCCCTAATTAAGCTTGTTTCGAGAACACCCTGGTTGGACGCGCAATTGTGGCGCAAGCTCCGCGATAGAAGGCGGTGTATGAGAGATTCCGGCGGGGCTGCGCCACAGATGGCAGAAGAAAAAAGTTGGAGGAAAGCCGATGAGGCGGAATTCTTCTCTTGTTCCAAACTTCACGAAGGAGCTCCTCTTACGGCCGAATTAAATATGGATCGGAGGCCGGTCTATGAGAGGACTCTTATTGAGTCCGAGCTGCTCGAGCAGCTCCCGAGTGGAATCTCGACTTTCATTCGGACTGCATCGGGGACTCAACACCTCCATGCGCTTGCGCTTGGCGCATTAAACAACGAATTTACCGAGAGCATTTTCAGGCTCTACGAACCGATTTTTGTCGATATTGCAGCTCGATGGCTTCAATCGGACTTACATGCCGACTACATTCATGTATTAGCGGCCTTTGCGCAGATTTTACCATTTGCGCCGCATCTACGGTCGCTTGCCAGTCAATATGCCTCATCACAGACTGGACCTTTGGCGGCCTTGGCCATGTCAAAAGAATTAACATTGCTACAGTTGGACCAACATAGCATTCGACTTCTACTCCTCGCCCTATTCCGACTTCTTTCTTTTGATCTTGAAACCTTCTCCCCCATCGTTTCACCGCTTCAACTTCAGTCCCTGTTTCAATCTCAAGACCAAGTGACACGATATCTTGCCGTACGATGCTTTGCCTTATATATGCATGCAGCAGATGCGGCAACTGAGAAGATGATCCGCGTCAACACTGGAACCGATCCCATACAAGGAGAGTGGGAAGGCACTATGATTGATTATCGCCTGCTAGGATTATGGGAAGAGAGGCGATGGGAAAGTCTTGGAAAAACTATTCAGAACGAGAGATCTTCTAGGACAGAAACCGACACTCTGGCATTGGTCGAGAGGACACGGGAATATTTCACAACTAAGACGGCAGAGATCTGCGGAGTGTTGATTCCCAGATTGAAAGATACGCCCCCGGCTTCTTCGTCTGTCGTCAAGACTGAGACCACAGTTGAAAACTTGCGCCGTATTGCAGGGTCACTACTCGGAGATAAACCCATTCTGCTGGTCGGTTTGCCCAACTCGGGGAAAACCTCCTTGATTAACGACATAGCCGCCACCATGGGCCAAGCTGAATCCATGGTTACGCTTCACTTGAACGAGCAGACGGATGCAAAGAGTTTGCTCGGAATGTATGCCACTTCATCTGCCTCGGGAGCATTCTCTTGGCAGCCTGGTGTATTGACCAAGGCTGCACGCGAAGGCCGCTGGGTGTTGATCGAAGATCTTGATCGCGCTCCCTCTGAAGTAATGGGCCTTATTCTTCCGATCATTGAGAGAGGAGAGCTTACTATTCCTAGCCGAAGGGAGCGGATCAAGTGTGCGGAAGGCTTCAAAATCATTGCAACCATGAAGTCCTCGTACAACATTGCTGGCGAGGAGATTGCACCAAGCACTTCAATGCTTGGAAGCAGACTCTGGGAAAGAGTGCAAGTCAAGTCTCTTGTCGTAGATGAGATGCGTGATGTTATCCTGCAAAAATTCCCCTTGCTCGAGTCTCGTGTGCCAACCATCATGAACGTTTACGCACGAGTATGCTCTGCATTCCATGGAAGCCTTGCGATTAAGGGCTCCCAAGGTCGTACCCCGGGCTTCCGTGATTTGATCAAGTTGTGTAGCCGCCTGCATAATCGTCTTCAACGCATGGGTGCGAAGACCGGCTATGAGCCAACGTCCGAGGGCACCGAGGATGAAATATTCCTGGATGTTGTTGACGTATTCCTCAACTATCTGCCCGAGAAGTCGATGCAGAGCACTCTTGCTGCCGTTGTGGCTGAAGCGCTTCAGATCTCCCCCCAGCGCGCACAATACTGCCTCGAAGAACGAACTCCATCTTATACCGACAAGAATAACAGCCTTGTTCTTGGCCGAGAGACATGTAACAAGATTAAAGTACCGAGTGGATCTGCATTGAAGCTAGCCGCAGCAGCTTCACGATTTGCTCCTACTCGAGCGGCATTGTCCCTTATGGAGCAGGTTGCCGCTTCAATTCAGATGGCAGAACCTGTTTTGCTCGTCGGAGAGACTGGTATCGGAAAGACCACCGTCATTCAACATCTTGCGACTTTGATGCGCCAGAAGCTTACGGTAGTGAACTTGTCACAACAGAGCGAAAGCACTGATCTGCTGGGCGGGTTTAAACCCGTCAGCATTCGTACAATGGCGGTTCCAATGGTGGATGAGTTCACCCAACTGTTTGAACTGACTTTCTCAGCCAAAAAGAATCAAAAGTTCTTGTCCTCGATATCGAAGAGTGCTGCTTCTTCGAATTGGGTGCGATTGGTTAACCTATGGCATGAAGCTGTTCGTCTTGCTAATGGCGTGTTTAATCCACCGAACGCCAACTCCGAGAATGGAGACGAACAGCCAGCCAAGAAGCGGAAGCTGGATTCTCCCAAATACCAGCACTTGCGACAAAGATGGGAGAGCTTCGCGACCCAGCTCGGAGATTTCGAAGCTCAAGTCTCACAAGGCGATGCCAAATTCGCCTTCGCCTTTGTTCAGGGTAAAATTGTGAGAGCCCTGCGAAATGGCGAATGGGTTCTTCTGGATGAGGTTAACTTGGCTTCACCTGATACTCTTGAGAACATTGCCAGTCTTCTGCACCACGGCAGTGAAGGATCACCGTCTGTTCTCCTCTCTGAGGCGGGTGATGTCGAGAGAGTCTTCGGCCACCCGGAATTCCGTATCTTCGGCGCTATGAATCCTGCCACGGATGCTGGAAAGAGAGATTTACCCCCAGGCCTGCGATCTCGTTTCACCGAATTCTATGTGCACTCACCCGATAGTGACTTGGACGATCTCTTGGCCTTGATCCAGAAATACCTCGGTGATTTGACAATCAGTGATCAGCGGGCTGTGCCGGATCTTGCACAGCTGTACATGGTGACCAAGAAGCTCAGCAACGAGAACAAGCTCACCGATGGAGCTGGACAACGACCCCATTTCAGTATCCGTACCCTTGTTCGTGCTTTGATTTATGTCCTTGATCACGCACATGTCTATGGGCTACGCAGGGCAATCTTTGAGGGTTTCAGTATGAGTTTCTTAACCGTGTTGAGTTTGAACTCCGAACAGGCTTTGATCCCTCTGGTTGAGCTTCATATCTTTGGCAATGCGAAGAACGCAAGATCTCTTCTTGGACAGACTCCTCGTGCACCAACTGATGGCAATGATTATGTGCAGTTCAAGCATTACTGGATGCGCCGCGGTCCTATGGTTCCGGAGGAGCAACCTCACTACATTATCACCCCATTCATCGAGAAGAACCTCAAGAATCTGGTGCGGGCTAGCTCGACTCGGCGATTCCCTGTGCTGCTTCAAGGTCCAACATCAGCCGGAAAGACGAGTATGATCGAGTATCTGGCAAAGGTGTCTGGAAACAAATTCGTACGAATCAACAACCATGAGCACACAGATCTGCAAGAATATCTGGGATCGTATGTCTCCTCGGACGATGGAAGCCTGCGCTATCAAGAGGGTGTGTTGGTGGAGGCGCTGCGGAACGGTTATTGGATTGTGTTGGATGAGCTGAATCTGGCACCTTCTGATGTTCTCGAAGCCCTTAATCGACTGCTCGACGACAACCGCGAGCTTTTCATCCCCGAGACCCAAGAAGTCGTTCACCCACACCCCAACTTCATGCTATTCGCCACGCAAAATCCTGCTGGTCTGTACGGTGGCCGAAAGGTCTTGTCCCGTGCCTTCAGGAATCGTTTCCTCGAGCTGCACTTCGATGATATCCCAGAAAGCGAGTTGGAATTCATTTTGAAGGAACGTTCTCAGATCGCCCCCTCCTTCTGCACGCGTATTGTTGCCGTCTACCGGAAACTGTCCTTACTGCGCCAGTCCAATCGACTCTTCGAGCAAAAGAACAGTTTTGCCACCCTGCGTGATCTTTTCCGATGGGCTCTTCGTGAGGCCGATGATCGCGAGCAGCTAGCAATCAATGGTTATATGCTGCTTGGCGAGCGTGTGCGCAATCCCCAGGAAAAGGCTGCGGTTAAGGCCGTGATTGAGGAAGTGATGAAGGTAAAACTAGATGAGGACATTTTGTACAGCTCCACAGAGCTGGAAAAGAACGTTCCTCAGATGAGCGAACTTCCGGCTGGTATTGTGTGGACCAAGGCTATGAGACGTCTTTTCGTTCTCGTTTCTAAAGCCCTTAAGAACAACGAGCCAGTCCTTCTTGTTGGTGAAACTGGTTGCGGTAAGACTCAGCTCTGCCAGGCTGTCGCAGAAGCTTTCCGGCGCGAGTTGTTTATTGTCAATGCCCATGTGAATTTGGAAACTGGCGACTTGATTGGTGCTCAACGGCCTATCCGAAACCGGGCGGCCATCGAGAAACAGCTTGTCGATGACCTTGAAATGCTTCTTCATGGGCAGTTAACCGGCGCATCTTTCGAGGAGTTGAAGCAGGAATTCACAGCATTGACTGCGGAGCAGCGTCAAGCTAAGGACCAACTTCTTTTGCAAAAGATCGAAAAGAATGCTATTCGTTGCAATGCTTTGTTTGAATGGTCTGACGGAAGCCTGATCACTGCTATGAAGACTGGTCAATTCTTCCTGCTCGACGAAATCTCTCTTGCGGATGACTCCGTTCTTGAGAGACTTAACAGTGTTCTGGAACCTGCTAGGTCGATTCTCCTCGCCGAGAAGGGCCCAGTTGACTCTATGGTCGTGGCAGATGGCGGATTCCAGTTCTTGTCGACCATGAATCCCGGAGGTGATTACGGAAAACGTGAGCTTTCGGCTGCTCTTCGCAATCGTATGACAGAAATCTGGGCACCTCAGCTGTCTGATGATGAGGATATCCTGCCAATTCTCTCTCAGAGATTGAACTTGAAGCAGGAGAATGTGGCCAAAGCTATGCTCCAGTTCGCCAAGTGGTTCAAAACAACCTTCCAAAACACCTCTACTACTTCGCTCTCCCTCCGTGATCTGCTTGCCTGGGTTGATTTCATCAACACATGTCAAAGCACGGATACCCAATTCGCTATCATACAAGGTGCCGCAATGGTCTTTGTCGATACTTTAGGCGCTAACCCAGCTGCAATGCTTGCCATATCTCTCAACAATCTGGATGGTAACCGTAAATCGTGCCTTACCAAGCTGAGCGAGTTATTTAATGTCGATGCTTCCAAGATTTACTGGGAATCGACCAGTGTCTCCGCAGAACCTGGCGTTCTGCGTGTGGGACCATTCGCTCTCCCTACGGCTGGCACCGCAGATCCCGATCCTCAGTTCACAATGGATGCCCCGACTACAATTGCCAACTCTGTGAGAATTGCTCGTGGTTTGCAGTCTTCAAAACCTATTCTCCTGGAAGGAAGCCCAGGTGTGGGTAAGACCACCCTTGTCACAGCTCTGGCAAGAGCTCTTGGCAAGCCTCTCACGCGAATCAATCTTTCAGAACAGACAGATCTTACGGATTTGTTCGGTTCTGATGTGCCAGTAGAGGGAGGAGATGTGGGACAATTCACTTGGCGTGACGCACCATTCCTGCGAGCTATGCAGCGTGGTGACTGGGTTTTGCTGGATGAAATGAATTTGGCTTCGCAATCTGTCCTTGAAGGTCTCAATTCTTGTTTGGATCATCGACAGCAAGTGTACATCGCTGAGCTGGACCAAACATTCAAGAGACACCCCGATTTCGTTCTCTTTGCCGCTCAGAACCCTCACCACCAGGGTGGTGGCAGAAAGGGTCTTCCTGCATCCTTCGTCAACCGATTTACGGTTGTCTATGCAGACAGCTTCACGGATGATGACTTGAAGACTATTTGCTCCAGACTTTTCCCTGGAAGTCCCGCTCTGCAAACCGAGAGACTTGTCGATTTCATCTCTTTGTTAAACCAAGCCATTACACGCGACCGCCGGCTGGGCGCGGTTGGCGGCCCATGGGAGGTCAATCTTCGAGATATCCAGCGATGGCTCCAACTTGCCGACCGAGGAAATTTGCAGATCCAGACCAAGCACTTCCTTGACATCATCATCAGCCAGCGATTCCGAAGCGAAGAGGATCGTAACTTGGTTTCCCAGATCTATGACCGTGTCTTCACGGACTCTGACACTGGATTGAAGAGTTATTTCCACAATCTCACACCTGAGTACTTGCAGGTCGGCTTGAGTATTCTGACCCGTGATCCTTTGCTACAGCGCTTGGCCGAGCCGAACATGAGGATGCTGCCCAAGGATCTCCACATTGTCGAGTCTCTCATTCTATGTATTGATAACTCCTGGCCGAGCATTCTAGTCGGACCTGCTGGGTGTGGCAAAACCACTCTCATCAGAAAGCTGGCTGCTGTGAACGGTGCAAACCTGGTCGAGCTTGCTCTAAGTGCCGACACAGATACCATGGATCTTATTGGTGGGTTCGAGCAAATCGATCACCGCAGAGAGGTTTCAGGCTTTGTTCATGACATCGAGATCTTCTTGCGAAATCAGCTCATCCACTGCTTTGCTTCAGGTGATGTATCTGATGTTGTGATTTCCGCCCTCCGTATTTGCGAGCATTTCCAGTCTGCAGACATCTCGTTGGAGAATGTCATTCCCTCGCTCTCCAGCCTTTGTCAGTCTTCTTCTGACCCAGCCTACCAACAATTCCTCGATAGAGCACAGAACTTGTTGAATGCCATCCAACAATCTGATAAAATGAAGGTTGGATTTGAATGGACGGAGGGTGTCCTCACCCAAGCTGTTCAACATGGACACTGGGTGATTCTCGACAATGCCAACCTGTGCAACCCATCTGTCCTCGACCGATTGAACTCTTTGACAGAGCCGAATGGCACACTCATTCTTAATGAGCAGCGAACAGAAGATGGATCTGCCAGAGTCATCACTCCCCATCCAAACTTCAGACTCTTCTTAACCATGGATCCCCGCAATGGTGAGCTCTCTCGTGCCATGCGAAACCGCTGTACCGAGATTTGTTTCTTGCCAAGCGAGCTACAAGACATCAAACCCACTGTGGGCCCGTCGTACACTTGTGAATCCTTCATCTATCGACTTCGCCATATTTGGAACTTGGACACCTCATTGGCACCGTCCACTTTTGAAGATGCTCTTGAGGTCTGCTTGGATCATCTTTCGCCAGCAGATCTGTCCTATCTCCAAAAGTCACCAAACAGCTGTGTGGCTATTGACTCTGATCACGAAGGAAAGATGCGGTCATCCGATGTGCTGCAGCGTTATGCCTCTCTGTTCCACGACAACAACCAATGGAAGCCTCTTGAAATTGCTACTGGCGAGATTGTTCTCGGAGGGGCTCACCTTGGTATCCAGGGAATGCTACAGCCTCTTCACCCGCTCACAAACGAGCCTCTTCTCGCCATCGCAGGAACCAGAGATTTCCGATCCTGCTTGGTGGTTCTAGCCTATCTTCAGGAGTTGAGACTTGATATTCACCGCCTCAGAGAAGGGTTGATTCGAGCTGATGCATCTGGTAAAGAATTGAAACCTAGCCAAATGACACGCTTGGAGCGATCATTGGCATCTGAGCGGATTCCTGCGCTGATGAAAGACACGACGCAACCAGTTGCCTCGTTTTTGTCCGATTGTGGACAGGCTCTGTATGATTACATTCAGTCTTTGGATCAGATATCTCTCAAGGGCCCTGTCATTGTCGCTGCAATTCGAGCCGTGACTTGTCTCTGCTGGGACATCTACAGAGCCACAGAGGTGAGCCAGGTTGATGAAGGAGAGTTCCAAGTCTACCTACAGATGGGCCGCAAAATCTGTGGGTCGTTGCTTGACTCCTCGCCTTTGCTCAAACCACTTCAAGTCGCTCTGTCGCAGGCCTTGGATCGTTTCCAAGAAGGATGGGCTTTGACGACCGGTCTTAGCATGCAGAGAATATGGGATTCCTGGAGACACGTCACTCCTATTTCTCAGGATAAGTTGGATTCCCTGACTGAATTGGAGTCAACTGTCTTCAAATTCACAACTTTGGCTTTGCAGACTCGCGTGGAGTTGTCCCAATTGAGTCGTGTGCGCGATTCATTGATTGAGGCCCAGCGGTTCATCCTTCGTGATGGCGCTGATGGTGATGTACTTGTTCAGGTATGTTGCCCTCATTTCCCATTAACATTCTAGATTCTGACATCTAATAGGGCATCAAACAAACTGTGGCTGAGCTCTCTCATGCGGTCCGTCGCTCAGAGTCAGCCGAGTATCCATACTTCGCCGACGATTTTGAAGCTCTTTGCCAGTACCACGACATCTCCTCATTCTTCCAGAACCCAGTCAATGATGCTGTCATCCAGACAGTCATGCCACTTCTCGCTGGTCGTACAGCTCGTCCGTTGGACGCATCGAATTTCCAGAGCGATGTGCCAAATATTCTCCATAGAATCTCACTGTTTGCGGGTTCTTCAAGCAAATCGGAGTCTGCGTTTGCAACTGGAGGCACTGTCTCTCTGTCACTATTGAATAGGTTGACAGCCATCAGCAATACGAAATTGGGGCAGATGGACATGCTCGAGGCAGAGAAACAGGCCCTCTCCAAGGCTATTGCTCTAAGCAGTCAGCAGATCGCAACAGATCAATCTATGGATCTCCGACGTACTATCGCGAAACTCACTGCCGAACTGGTGGGTTGTCATAGGGAGTTCTTCGAGCCTCGTTCGGCAGAGCATCTCATCTCGATTCTGCAGGCAATTCAAAATGGGGATCTTTGCGTTGACCAACCATCTGTCAAAGTTGAATTGGACCAAAGCTTGCCAAATGCGCACTTCCTTAAGCCTCTCGCTGAGCAGGCTCTGCCAGCTCTTGTTTCCTCCTTGCGGACGAAGCCATCAAACCAGCAGCAGAGTATCCGAAGCACTGGACTGGCAGCGGTTCAATTGGCAGTCATCCTACTGCGGTTGTTTGTGCCCGACAAAACCTTTGACCCTTCACTCGGTCTTGTCGTTCAGCGCAAACGTCATTCTCAACGTCTTCAAGAATTCACTGCCAAATCTGCAGCAATCCTTGCCTTTGAAAAGACTTTCACTGGCCAAGTTTCCAACCTCCGCTCTGAGCTTTTGCATGATGAGATTCGCGATTTGGGTTCCGCTCCGCCCCCTTCACTGGTCAATCGGCCCCAGCAGTCGCAGTTGAGCCTCTTGCAAGGAGAATTCATCAATTTGATCAACTCTGTTCTCAAGAGAGATCCCGAGCAAATGATCCTGTCTGCTGAATCTTCATCAGAATCTCAGGATATGATCCAACTGCTCCGCAATAACATCAAACAATTGACCAGCCGTCTCAGCACTCATTACAGATCTTATGACGATATCACTGTGCCGGTTGTTCGTTTCTTGCAGCTTCTAGACCTTGGTGTCATCTTGGCTTCTAGCCAACCAGAAAACTCTGGCGATATCCTCGATATTCAGGCTTTGAGTGAGCGAACACCATTCTTAGGTGGAATCGTTCATCCCGTCTTTGCTCAAAAAGATGAGAAGCCTTCAGGCACCTCGAAGAATGCAAACGAAATGCGTCTCCAAGAACTCTCGGCCCTCTGGGCAGCCAAGGATGCGGATTCCACAATCCTGGATACGCAAGCTGGGCGGGAAATCATTCGTCGCATTTTTGCCGACTTCCATCAACTTTGGAAAGCCAAGCTCGAGGAAGATCGGGAAATGGAAGCCGAGAAGGGAGAGCTATACCGCTTCAAGGGATCCTGGGAAGAGGAAGAAGAAGTCAACGAAGCTGAGCTACACGAACTCTTCCCTACCTTCGATGAAGAGTCTGCTGAAGACACAGGGAACGGTGATCACACTGAGCGCATTGACCCCAAAGCTATCTCTCTGCGCCTTGCTTCGCTTCATGCAAAGATCCTCTCGAAGGGCCATAATGGTGCTGCATTGACTACATTCGTTAAACAATCAGGACAGCTTTTGGGCTCGATCTGGTCTGACAACAAGACCTCATTGTCGCCAATTTCACCCCAAACCCATCTTCCTGCTGTTCTCCTGCTTCTCGACGATGCCATAGGCGAGGGAACCGATGACCGAAAGAAGAATTACAACTTCTACACCGACTCGAATCTTGGAGAAGCAAGAAAGCTAGTCGCTCTCACGCTTTCCGTACAGGCCCGCTTTGCTCAAATCCAGACTGCCTGGCCTGAACATGCTGTTCTGGCTGATGTCATCCAATGCTGCATGGAGATCCTTCAATTCAAGCACACCGAGCCTGTTGCTAAGTTTATGACCAAGGTTGAAAAGCTTCATTCTTACGTGCACGAGTGGCAGACTGTGGCTAGCAGAGAATACTCCGCTGTCACTGTCTATGATGAGATTACAAGTCTCCTCATCAGCTGGCGCCGCCTTGAGTTATCGACTTGGGCCAAGCTCTTGGATATCGAGAAAGAGCATTGTGAGGACGAGGTCAGTGCTTGGTGGTTCATCGCCTACGAAGCGCTTATCGGCGCTCCCATCATGATGGTCGAGGCAGGCGAACAGGATATGACCGAACACACCCAAAACTTGGTTTTGACCCTGGAACAATTCTTCAAGTCTACCACCATGGGCCAGTTTGCTCGCCGTCTGCAGCTGGTTGCTAACTTCCAAGCATTGCTTGAATTGTTCACCAAAGATTATCCCTGCCTCAAACAACTCGTCTCTGCCCTAGACAACTTCCTGCACCACTATGGACCCTTCCAGCCTGGCGTGGACAAGTATCTGACGGAGAAGCGGTCCGCTCTCGAGAAGGATATCAAGGAACAAATCCAGCTTGCAAGCTGGAAAGATGTCAACATTGTGGCTTTGAGGGAAAGCGCCAGAAGATCGCATGTCAAGTTGTTCAAGCTGGTTCGAAAGTACCGTGCTGCCCTCAGCCAGCCGGCTCAATCGGTCTTGGAGTCAGGCCTTCCGGAAAGCACCGAGGAGATCACTTCAATCTCTCAAGCAGAGCCAGTCCGTCCCACCGCCGCCTTCCCTGAAGCAATGGCCATCTGCCAAAACGACAAGAAGCTGTGGTCCACCAGAGCGCTCAGATTCCAGAAACCGGATGGAACGGCCAACAACATGATGAACCTGTATACTTCAATCCCAGCCGAGTTCGACATTGCGAAGGACCTCAACAGCTTTATCGTATCTGTGATTGAGAGCATGAATGAGTTCAAGTCCAAGACACCCAAGGTTTTGAACGAGGATAACAAGGAGGACGTTCAGCACCTCAAGTCCCAAAAACGTCGTCTCTATGCCGAGACCCTGAAGCAGCTGTACGAGATGGGCGTGAAGCGTAACGCTGGAACTAGCATCATCGAGACTCAAGCAACAGTCCCGCAGGTTCTCGCTACTAGCGCTGCCTTCGAGGCTGGTGCTGCAACCTCAACTGCAGTTCAGAGCGCCGACTGGTACTTCCACAGACTTTTGGATCTCCTTCCCAAAACCCGCCTGGCATCTCGCAACTATTCTGAGGAGCTAAGCAATGTCGAAGTTCACAGAAGCATGGGATCCATTGAGCATCTTGTCTTCACCATCCGCCGCCAGAGAGGTATCATTTCGCCCGCCCTCACCGGCTTGGGCAAGTTGAAGTCTACGCTTGACAAGGTGCAGAACCTTTGGACAGCGGCTTCGAACTCTCTGTCGCACGATCATGCTTCTGCACTGGAAGAGCGAACCAACCTTTTCAGAATCGTCGCTTGGCTGGCTCCTATCCTTGGCTTGGCTGCTATGGTCATTGGCGTGCATGCTAAGTTCTCGGGTATTGATGCATCCAAGATCGTGGAACAACTACGCGCCCATAAGGCATCATTCGATAGCCTGCGCAAGTCACACGAAGAGCTTCCCATGCTTCCCACCAGAATTGCGTCCAAGGCTCACCACGAGATTGCTCAGCAGACACGATCGTCGCTTGACGAGTTGGCCGCTGACATGCAAAAGTGGAACCAAGCCCGCCCCGATCTGTCCTTCGCGCTGAATCAAATCACACCTTGGGCCACAGCAAATGTTGCTGCTCTCACGGAAGTCAATGAGGAGAATAGCCTATCCATTAAAGCCTTCGACAGCAGCCTTTTGACTGCCATCGACAAAATGCTCATTGGTCTTCAGAAACTGAAGGATGTGCCTGCTGCGATCACCTATGATGGATTGCTTTCGCGAAGTGATGAGTTCTTCTCTCGTGGAATCAAGTCTGTCCATCTCGCCGAGATCACCGCCGCATTAGAGACTGTGCTTGATTCATTGCACCGCCTACAAGACCACTCCGCTGGCGGCCTCTCCGTTGCTGCTGCACTGATCACCAGTATCCTGCCCATCGCCAACAGATACTACCAAATCTGCCGGGATCTGGCTGATCGGTTCATCGCAGTTCATCGCGAGGTCTGTAAGACATCCTACATCTTGACCAAGACCTTCAACCAGGTCGCCTCCGAAGGCTTCTGCAGCCCTGCCGAGGCATCCCAAGATCAAGGCAAGGAAGGCAAAATGGAGAGTGGAACAGGTCTTGGTGAAGGCGAAGGTGCGGAAGATATCAGCAAAGATGTCGGTGATGACGAAGATCTATCCGAGTTGGCGCAACAGGAGAACAAGAAAGAGGATGGTGACGATGAGATGGAAGATTCCAAGGATGCTGTCAACATGGATCAGGAAGAGTTGGAAGGTGACGCCGAAGATCGCAAGGACGACGAAGAAGAGAATGATGAAAGTGACGACGAAGGCGATGACGATATCGACGAAGAGACTGGAAGTGTCGATGACCTCGACCCAGGTGCTGTCGATGAAAAGCTCTGGGACGGGGAGAACGATGATCAGCAGAAGGACACCGAGAACGAAGAAGGCAAGGGCCAGTCAGAGGCCGAACAACAAGCTGCTGCTCAGGAAGAGAAGAGCAACAAGGATGGTGAAAAGGGCGAAGAAAAAGAAAAGGAAGGAGAGGATGAGGAAGAGGAGGAAACAGATGATGAAGAAGCCCCCGAAGACGAGGGCGAGGCAATTGGCCGTGAGGAAATGGATGTCACCGATCCTCAAGCAAAGGAAGAAGAAACACTTGAGCTTCCCGAAGAAATGCAACTTGATGGTGAGGACGGCAAGGACGACAATGGCGAGGATGAGGATGAAGGCATGGACGATCTTGATGACGATTTTGGTCCTGCTCCCGAGGAAGAAGGGAAGGTCGAAGATGCCGATGACAATGCCGGCGAAGAAGATGCCGAGGCGGCACCAGATGACCAAGTCCCAGGCGATGAAGATGAAGAGATGGCCGATGATGCGGAAGATACCAATGAAGCCGAAGCCGGAGGAGAAGAAGAGGAAGAGGAAGCTGGTGGAGAAGACCCCGAGGAGCCTGAGCAAGATGACTTCCTCGCACAGCGTGATGAGAATGACGCTGCAGGTGACAATGTCGCTCCTAGTGAAGCTGTCACTGGTGGCCTTGGAGCCGAGCAAGACCAAAATGAAGAAAAGGGTGCTTCGGGTGACGCTCAGCAGGAGAGCGGCTCGACCGATCCCAGTGCCAACGTTGACGACCAAACCGGTGCCGCCAAGGACAGCGAGGAGAGCAAGCCTAGCCGAGACGCTGGTGGTGGTGATGAAAACCGACCAGACGAACCTCAGATGCAGGCATTCAAGAAGCTCGGCGATATCCTCGAGCAATGGCACCGAAGACAACAGGAGATCCTCAATCCGTCCCAAGAGGAAGAGGATACTCAGAAGATGCCCGAAGACACCGACATGGCCGATGCGGAGTTCGAGCACCTCAAGGACGACGACGATGCCGCAGACACCCAGGCTCTTGGACAAGCAAACGAGGATCAAACCCAAGCCCTCGATCAAAGCAAGGGTGTAGAGTCTGACATCAAGCCTGGTGAGAACGATGCTCTCCCAGATGTGTCGGACGAGCAGCAAGAGGCCGTGGACAACCAGCTTGAAGATGAGATGCAAATCGACCGTGAAAATGTCGCGGCTGACAACGAGTCCGCCGGCGCCTTCATTCCTGGCGGCCAATCATCCCACGAGCGCACAGATGATGCACAGGGCGCTGAGGAGTTGAACGAGGAGCTCGACGAAGTCGACTCGCAACTCGCGGCAATCCACCTCTCTTCTTCGCTTCCCCCATTGACCCCACAAGACGAAGCTCGCCGCCTCTGGTCGCACTACGAGTCCGCCACAAATGACCTCTCCCTCTCTCTGACCGAACAACTCCGTCTTATCCTCGCGCCCACGATGGCTACCAAGCTGCGCGGTGACTTCCGCACCGGAAAGCGCCTGAACATCAAGCGCATCATTCCATACATCGCGTCTCAGTACAAGCGTGACAAGATCTGGATGCGCCGCTCTATTCCCTCCAAGCGCAACTACCAGATCATGTTGGCCGTGGACGACAGTAAGTCCATGCTGGAAAGCGGCAGTGGTCAGCTCGCCTTCGAGACCTTGGCTCTCGTTGCGAAGAGTCTGAGCATGCTGGAAGCAGGCGACCTGTGCGTTCTCGGCTTCGGTAACGAAGACCACGTCCGCGTCGCCCACGAATTCGGCAAGCCTTTCTCCTCCGAGGCAGGTTCCCAGGTCTTCCAGCATTTCAGCTACCAGCAAACCGGCACTAATGTGCGCAAGCTGATCGCCGACTCTATCGCTCTCTTCCGCGAGGCTCGCTGGAAGCGCTCGCCTGGTTCTGGCTCTGCTGATCTCTGGCAGCTTCAGTTGATTATCTCTGATGGTATCTGCGAAGACCATGACACTATTCGCCGCCTTGTTCGACAGGCGCTTGAAGAGCGCATCATGGTTGTCTTTATTATCGTCGATGCTGTTAAGGGTAGCTCTATCTTGGATCTCTCGCAAGCTAGCTTTGAGGCCGATCCTAATTCTGGTGGTGAGATGAAGCTCAAGATGAAGCGCTACCTCGAGCACTTCCCCTTCCCTTACTACCTCGTTGTTCGTGATGTGAGGGAGTTGCCCTCTGTTTTGGCTACTGCACTGAAGCAGTGGTTTGCCGAAGTTGTGGATGTGTCGTCTTGATACTCCAAAAAAATAAAAGGTGTTGGGATTGTCTATTTGGAGTTGTTTTGTTACATTTCATGGCGTTGGGATGATTTTTCTTTTTGTACATGATAGATCTTAGAACTGTGATACATAGCAGCCGAATGTGCATTTCTTTAGTTGTGCTGAATTCCTCGTATGACATTTCCTACAAAATTGTAATATGGTATCTTGATGCTAATACGCTTAATAAAAATTTCCACCAAATGATCCGTCGTATGTTAAAACTACCATCCGTACTTGGATCCAGCTTCCCTCTTGTTTCTGCGTCCCGCTGCAAAGCTTTCCTCCAGTGCATCCTTCTGGGAGCTTGCAGCATTGAGCAACTGCTGAAGGGTGTGCTTGCCCGGCGCAATGGAGCGCACAGGGTTGTGCTGGGCTGCAGCCAAATCGCCTTGTGCCAAAACCTGGTTCGAGGCGTACTCTTCGTCTGTGTTGAAGGTGCGCACTTGTGACTGCGCCGACGTGGCATTCCGCCCAAAGAGCTGGCGTCTTTCAGACTTGGATAAATTGAGATCGTTGGCGATGCTATCCAGTGATGATGTGGGGTTGGATGAGACTGTTGTTACCGCAGTCGCAGTTGAATAATCTGCGGGAATACCTGCAGACTCAGTGGGTACTGGTCCGGCTGCAGATGATTCGTCACCTTCGGCGTTGTATACCAGTGGCTGGTAGGTTGCTGCTAGTCCAGGTGCCGATTCCGTTCGAGAAGTACTCTCCTCTGAGGACAAAGAGAAGAGGCTGACTTTGGGCTTTGGTGGAGGAGGTGCAGGGGCTTGTGATGTTGCCGCCTGTTGTAGAGGTGGAGTAGGCTTCGATGGACCAGGTGTCGGTTGCTCAGCAACTTTAGTGGATTTCTTCTTCTTTTGAGGTCGTCCGACAGACAAAGGTCTGAACATCATTGGATTTCCTTTCAATTTGACATCCTCCGGCTTTTTCAGAGTCTCTGCTGGGGCATCTGGCGCAGTATCGGGGTTCAAGCTACCAGGTGTAGGTATGGTGTCCTCCACACCACCACCCGCTAGATTATCGAATGCATAGTCGTTCTTCATCTCTGCATCAGCCGTGCGATCAAATCCGGGACCGGCTCCTGTCTTGAGACTGAATGGTTTTCGCGTCGTTGCCACTGGTGTTTTTTTCTCGACCGTTCGTTTCGGCGCTGGGAGGAAGGAGTTGAATCCCGAAAGTCCTCCGCCGCCTAGACGGGCCTTTTTGCGCGGACCATCTTGGTCGTCTTGGTCGGATGGATGTGTAGGTTTGATTTCAGGAACTGCGATGCGGATCTTGCGCGAGTTGTTGGGATCAACCTGGAATCCGGCCTTCAATCCAGGCCCATTTGCCTTATTGATCTGGGGGATGGGGGTGACCTCGGGCTCAGCATCTGAGCCTTCAGAGTCTGAATATGCTACTATCGCCATGACGGGAGGAGGATGTTAGATGGTTGTTTATTTAGGGAAGGCAATGGGCAGCTCGTAGTGAGGGCAAGTAGTTGGGCGCCCGAATCTCCAGGCATCAAATTACATAAGCAGCCCGATCGAGGGTTGGAGATCGAGAGGCCAAAAGACAAGATTCCAGAGTGGACTAGGCCACGGGATGGACTGGACCAAAGAGGAAAATGTCCGAAAAATGCATATCAAAAGGCTAACGTGCATCCCTAATGAAACAGTGAAACAGTGAAACAGTGCAGCAGGGATGATGGCATCACTTCGTAACGTCATCAGCATCCGGGTTCTCCGCATCTTGTGCAGTGTACGGAGTAGATCAAGAAATGATTAGATTAATAGAGTCCTCCGAGGAGATAGGCTCCCTAGGTAGAACCTAGCACGAGTTGACTGAATCATCTGGAGTGCATTCAGCTCGCTCACTGATCTTCTGACGCCCGTGATCCTTTGTGTACAGATAAGCCCAAATACGAGACCGGAGAAAAGAAGAGAGAAATAAGAGTGCCCGAAGAGACCAAAACGCACAAATCGGCCAAAATGAGGCGAACAATAGACCACCATCGACCCCGGATCAGCTCAATGGACGAGGGTTGTAGTCCATCGGCAAAGATCAATGCGTCATTCTGGCCGCTGCCCCTCCCCACTTAATCCGGACCTCCCATTCCAGCTTTCTCTCCAACCCTCCCCCCTCCAATGGCCCCAAAGCCTGTTTAATCTTTCCTCCATGCCGAGCTTAGGAGGTCTGCTGAAGAAGAGGCGAACGAAGGATTCGCAAGATTTTGGGAAATCGAATTCTCAGAACCAAGACGGTTCAGGCGCATCCATGCAACCCGCTTCACAATCGCACGCTTCGCCCCAGCATACGGGTTCGGCTACACACGAAAATGCCGCCAGCATCGACCATATCATACACCAGGAGCAGCCCAGGCAGGAGCGCGTCACCAAGGGAAAGTACTCACAAGAGGACTTCCAACTACAGCGCACATTGGGAACGGGAAGCTTCGGTCGTGTCCACCTGGTGCAGTCTAACCACAATCATCGCTTCTATGCGATGAAGGTGTTGAAGAAGGCCCAGGTGGTCAAGATGAAGCAGATCGAGCACACAAATGACGAGCGCCGTATGTTAAATCGAGTTCGCCATCCATTCCTCGTGACACTGTGGGGAACCTGGCAGGATTCCCGAAACCTCTATATGGTCATGGACTTTGTGGAGGGCGGTGAATTGTTCAGTTTGCTGCGAAAATCACAAGTGAGTTCGCTCAAAATCAGTTTCTTCGATCATGTAAGAACAAAGAACTGATTTTGTCAATAGCGATTCCCCAATCCGGTGGCCAAATTCTACGCCGCGGAGGTGACGTTGGCGCTAGAGTATTTGCATTCACACCAGATTATTTATCGTGATTTGAAGCCGGAAAACCTCCTCTTGGATCGCCATGGACATCTAAAGATCACCGATTTTGGGTTTGCTAAAGATGTGCCCGATATTACCTGGACCCTCTGTGGTACCCCCGACTATCTAGCACCCGAGGTTGTCTCTTCCAAAGGATACAACAAATCAGTTGATTGGTCAGTTCTTTTTCTTCTTTTTCAATGCTTTCATCCGATTGTTCTAACGGTCTCAGGTGGTCACTGGGAATCTTAATCTTTGAAATGCTGTGTGGCTTCACTCCCTTCTGGGACAGTGGATCACCAGTCAAGATCTACGAGAATATCCTGCGCGGTAAAGTCAAGTATCCTCCATACTTGCACGCCGATGCCGTCGATCTGCTCTCTCAGCTGATCACATCCGACCTTACCAAGCGCCTTGGAAACTTGCATGGTGGCCCGAGTGATGTCAAGAACCACTCCTGGTTTGCAGAGGTCACTTGGGAGCGACTCGCTCGTAAAGATATCGACGCGCCATATATCCCACCCATCCGGGGTGGACAGGGCGATGCAAGCCAATACGACAAGTACCCCGAAGAGACAGAGCACTATGGACAAGAAGGAGAGGATACGTATGTACTTTTTTGCATCCGACTCGCAACGCTTGACTAACTCGTTCCAGATACGGTCACCTTTTCCCCGACTTCTAAGGTGCTTGTATGATTTATGACGCGACGAAAAGTCCGCACTCCGGGGGAGGGCCGGAACTGATTGACCCAGGAGTCGTGAAAAACCAGGAGTCATTATATGAAAACCCATATTCCTCTATATGCACATCATTTTCCTTAGCAATTTCAATCGAATTTTGTCCTTTTTTCTTTCTTTCAATTGCCTGGCTGATGTACAAAGATTCATTCTGAAACCTGATCTATTCCCAAGCTCTCCAACCACTGGGGCACAAAAGGCCACACCCATATTATACACGGGCTACCAGGCCGCTTCTATCGTACAGTAGTTCATTCACAAGAGCTCTGTGTGTCTCTCGTTTCTTGTTTCGTCCTTTGTCCTGCTTCCTTCTGATTCGAAGATGGACCGAATTTAGCCCAGAATACCACCGCCGCCCTCGGGCACGCCGGTAGCCATAGAGGCAATGGCAGCAGCATCCTGACCACCCATACGCTTGGTCTCCACGGCGATGCGAGCGATGTAGGTCTTGTTTGTGGCGTTCCACATGGCAATGTACTTCTCCATGCAGTTAGACAGGCAAGTGTTCTCCTTGGATGAGAGCGAGGAGCCGGGGGCGGGAACGCAAGCCTTGAAGCAGTGCTTGTTGATTTTCTATGGTTGTGGTTAGTTTGTTGTCGAGATTGAACATCAAGGGTGGTGACGTACTCCGATCAGGGAACGGGCGTTCGACATGGCGGCCTCCTGCTGGAGCTGGAGCACGACGGCAGCCTTGATCTCCTCGGAGGTCTGAGGGGGAGCGGTGGGACCGGAACCGAAAATCGACGACATTGTGAGAGAGTGAGGTCGAGGGGATATGGGACAATGGAATGGTTGGGATAGAATCAAATCGAGGAGAGTCGGACTTCGTCAGGATCTGAGGTGCAGGGATGTGGCTGGTGTGCTGCGCCACAGCCGATGTGGACACCTTAGCAGAACACCATTGAAGCTGTATACTTCACCTCCTTGTCTCCGCGCCTCAGGAACCTCGCCTATTCACTCTTTCTTGTTCTAACTTCTCTTGCGACCCCCTTTTCTTATTTTCTACTCGCTGGGTTTTTCGGGTCCTGGTGACACCGTACTCCCCCGTCTATCCCACCCCCGGTCTATCTTTGAAACACCCTGGGCTCCCCTCCATCGGGCCTTAATTCAATTTCAACATGCGTCTTCCGTCCATTTCTGCGCTTCTTTGCTTCGCAGGCCTGGTTGCTTTACCCGTGAATGCCTACGACGACACCAATATCAAAAGCATCCCTGTATGTGCTCAATGTGGACTCGATTCGAGGCCGAGGTACTGACTTTGAATGTTTGCTAGCTCCGCACCCATAGCCTCTCTCCGGTATGATAATATTCTGCGCTTAGATTAGCTGCGACGCTCGAAAAAAGAAGCCGCACACTAGCTAGTGCTCCGAGCAAATCAATGTTGACCGCCAGTAACAGCCATATCTCGATTCGGATTTCCAAAGCCGCTGGTTCGACTTCGGAGGAGATACAGTAATCCGCGCTGATAAGTAAGGATATTCCATATATCCAGGTGAATTATTCCAGAGATTCAAGTACTGATTCCCGCCCTCGTGTTCAGGTACATCCGCCTTACGGCTGACCGGCCATCGCAGCAAGGATGGATCGCCTCCCGCGTGCCATTGACTGCGACAAATTGGCAGGTAAATAGACAAGTCGGACGAATAAAAACATGCGCGCAAAGCTCACGTATATATTTGCTAGATTGAGCTCGAGTTCGAGATCCATGGCTCTGGTAATCTGCACGGAGATGGCTTTGCCCTTTGGCTCACCAAAGAGCGCGCCACACAAGGCCCTGTCTTCGGTTCGACCGACAGATTCGAAGGCCTCGGTATTTTCTTCGATACCTACAAGAACAATCGCCCCGGTGTATCGTTCCCTTACGTCATGGCCATGATGGGTGATGGGCAAACTACCTACGACCAGGCACATGACGGCAAGGCTAACGAGCTGGCTGGTTGCTCTGTAAGTTATCGTTGGCTTGCAGATACTTTTGAATGCGCTTCTAACTGTTGTTCAGGCTCGTGGTCTCCGTAGCGCTCCCATTCCCACCAAAGCCCGCCTCACCTACTTCCAGGACAAGTCCCTGTCCCTGGAGCTTCAGTACAAGACTGAAGACTCATGGACCGAATGCTTCACTCTTTCCGCCGAGGACTCCAACATTGCCATCCCCTCTGTTTCATACTTGAGTCTCTCTGCCGAGACCGGTGAACTGAGCGACAACCACGATATCATCTCTCTCAAGTCCGAGAACCTCTACTCCTTGAACCGCCCCAACAGCGCCGGTAAGGGCTCGCCAGATGATCGGACTAAGGGCCGCTCTCGCTCTCCTGCCAAGCCCGTCAAGCCTATCAAGGCTCCCGAGGAGAAGGGTAGCTGGACTTGGTTCCTTTTCAAGGTTGTGATGTTCTTTGCCGTTATCGTCGGCGCATACTCTGGCTGGACCGCTTACCGGACCAAGGTCCGGTCCTCCCGTTTTTAAATTTACTTTAAATTTACGTTGTATGGACATTTGGTGAAGCGCAGAAATCACACCTGTGTATTTCAAAGTTGATGTCTGGGTTTTCCCACTTCCTGTCTGACGAAAGGGATCTTGCATACATAGCCCGTGCGAAGCTTTGCTTTTGATTTTGATTTACGTTGTTCTCCCACAGCAGTTTTCGTTGTTTTCTTCTCTTTCTTCTCATCTTGGAAATGAAATAAGTCATGATCATTCAATTTTGTGCCATAATGGGCAGCCTGATGCCCGGGGTATCGATAATTTAGTAGAAGTAACAGTTCAAGGCGCCCTCCAAGGGTCCGAAGCCCATCCTTATGTTCGTCGTTCTTTCTCCTCGTTCCACAAGCGATCCACGATCTGAAAGACCTCCGTGACGCTACGCATAACATCATCGTCGATCCCAAGCGCACCATACCGATGCTGGATCTTATCCGGATGCCAGCGAATGCGCTCCGTCTTGAGCATACCGAGAAACTCCGCAGGCGCAGGGGCATGTCGCATGAATTCCTCAACGGCTTTGGGTTGAATATCAGCCCTCTTGCCGGAATGAACAGGCCAGAAAATCAAACTGCGCAACGACTCAGCAGCAGAGCCATTCTCCGTATCCCCACTCCCAATCTTCCCAATAGTCTCCCATCTCTCCAGATACTTCGCCCAAGCCCCACTCCACTCAGGCCGTTTAGCTCTCTTGCGCTCCGCACCTCGCCGTAGACTCTCATCCATCGCGCGTTCAAACGCCCTCCTCTCATCCTCCGCCCGCCCCCGCGCCTCCTCTTTCTTTTTCTGCATGCGCTCTGCACGCAACCGCTCCTGCGCCTCCATCATGCCCTCCCGTGTCCGCTCCCACATCCGCGCTCGCACGTATGACACATACTCCTCTTCAGTCATCTGCTCGAGCTCACCATCTGGGCCCTTCTGCACCTCCGGTACACGGTAGTTGTGGATAGGTTGACCATAAACATGTTCCCAGTATTGGGCGCCTTCATCATCACCTAGCGCGTCGAAGAGAGACTCACGGAAGGCGTCTGCTGTTGATATGTTGGAATGTTCGGGTGCGTCATTTTCGGTGTCATCGTGACATCGCCGCTTGGAGTGTCCGTTATTGTTGTCTGATGTGCGCGGCCGGTGGTGGTGGGACCGTTTGCGGTGTCGATGGCTGCTGTCATCTTTATGTACTTTGGAATGTCGAGATGAGCTGCTTTTGAAGCGGATTCCTCGGCCGCGGCTTGCGTTGGTGTATTCATCGACTCGAGGCTTTGGTGGCTGAGATGATCTTCCGGGGTCCTGAGCCAAAGGGACTTCTGGATCCATTGTGGAAATCTTTCATGTGTAAAAGGAGCGCTAAATCAAAATCATCGTATGAAGTTGCGCTCAAGCAATGTGGGCAGTGGGAGATGAAACTTGGGTCTTCGACCTGAGGAGTTGTAAAGTGCCCGCGGGCGGTGGTTCAGGGTCGGTGATAACAGTCTTAGTCATCTTATCTCCGTTCCAACCACACACCCATGTGCCTAATGTACCTATTCTTCTTCCTACAACACACTTAGGTATGCTTCTTCCTCTTATTCTAGGCTTTTTATAGGAAATTACATCTTGTTATCTACATTTCCTATGATATGTTTAATTTGCTAGAACAAAGAAAGAAGAAATCCTTGGATGATCTATGCACAGAGCCACTGGTTATATTCATGCCTCATCGCACATTCCACTCGATTGTATCTTCAAATATGAAGGATATACATGCCGCTCCGAATAATACATGAAACTTAAAGGATTCAAACAGCATGGTTGACATGGAGTAGGTACCCGATTAGGGACAAAAGCCTGTAACTTTCAAAGTGTTTCAATCTCTCCTTCAAATCCATACTAGAAGATTTGATGCTTACAGGGGTTATTTGACCACTCCACTTATTTAATAGAATGATGTTGTCTACACAAGCCTTAAATACGGCGTGTGCATACTCCGTACATACCCCCCAGATCATTCGCTTTTAGGTTAAGGTTGGGTTATGTGGGTCGTACAGGGTGGGCCAGTACATCATGTGATATCAACCTTAATAGTCAACAGGAGGAAGTTCAAGGGAGAAAAGATGTTAGATGACAAAAACTCTAGCTGTAGTTGCATAGCATGCATCTATGAATATCGCATCTGATAGGCTATTTTTGGATCCACCGTATTTCTACAATCAATGGAATGAAAGCTTGATTGAATTTGGAGTATTGAACAAAGTGCAATTCACGGTATGCCTGTACAACGCCTGCCATTCTAGTCCCAACACCTCAAAACACGATTCCATCGCCCAAAAGAGTAAAGAATCAAATGCGATAATGTGCCATGTTCTTCTTAATTTCATCCACAATCTCCACTGCCTCGTTGGTATTCCTTGCCTCGAAGTCGTAGCGCTTCTGCTCCGTGGCATCATTGCCACGCACAATCATCACCCGGAAGCTCTTGGGATGCCGACGGCTGACCTTGGACCCAATCACATCACTGAAGCTGATTGACCGTGTCTTGCCACCGGACACTGCTTTGCCTGTATCCCCGGGGACGATGTGCATGTAATCGTTTTCAAAAGTGAGGATTCGATGGTTGGATGCCGTGAATGACATGGGTTGTTTGCGGAATACATGGTAGCGGCGGTAATACCCGCCGAGGTGGTCTTGTTTCTGAGAAGAAGAAGGTAGCATGCGCTGAGCGCCCTTCTTGGACTCCTTTTTGCCTTTCTTGGACGTTGTCGCGTCGGCAGTGTCCACCATCAACGGTGCATTTGGTGATGAGCTGCCTGGCGAGGTTCCTAGTGCGAGAGGGCCGCCACCGAAGCGACGACGCACCAGATCAAGATCCGTGATGCTGCCTAGTGCCTCCACTGTGCGGTCAAGTGGAGCAATTGTGTTCGAGCCCATCACCTTCAAGAGATAGTTGCCTTTATCCTGACCCCATCGTTTACATACAGTGTCCAGGATCTCGGCTATATAACTGTCAGTAGATGTGTTGATGGTCATGACATGCGCAGAAGCTTCCGTATTTACGAAACGGATCTTCAATGTCTTAGAAACACCAAGGCGAGGTGTAGCATGCGAGATAGGTACTGCAGGCCGGTCCGCAGGAGTAAGCGTGCTGTGATTGAGTGCAGATGAAAATGGCTGACCCAGGATTGGGTTGGACCGGGTGGGTGTAACGAGGGTCTTTTGCTGTACAGATTGAGCTCCCGATGCTGCGAGATTTGCAGGTTGATCAGCCTCTTCTGACCCAACGCTGGAACTGAATTGTGGATACAGTCGTTCGTTCTCCTCAAACTCTGATTTCGATGCTTCGACCAGCGCGAATTCGTCATACGCCTTGCCCCTTGAACGACCTCGGGATTTGGCCGATTGGTTATTGTTTGAAGTGAAATCCGTCATGGGAAGTGTGCGTCCCAGCGCTGGGAAGTCATACTCGACTTCACCATCGTCAACCATGCGCAGCGTCCATCGGTTCACCATTAGCTTTTCGCGCCCAATTGCTGGACCGCGGGAATCTGCCGCGTACTTCCACAGAGCAAGACCAATCGTTTCAGCAACTGTGACTTGTGCAGGTTGTTCTGCAAGCTTAGACTCGCGTGTGAGTGGCAAATCCAGCGGTTCTTCAGGGTCACTTGAGAAGGGAAGGTAGATCTTCAAATGCAATGGATCGTCTTGACCTCGCCCAGAAAGTACCACAAACTTATCCAACGGATTGCTTGGTGCACGTTTCCGGGATGTTAGCTGGCTGGTCAATAAACTGACGGGTTGTACCATGCTAATAGGCCGTGGAGGAGGAAGATCTTGCAATGCAGGAGCCGGTGTTCGATGCTTGCGCGGTGAACTATTCTGCGGTCCTGTGCCCGAGGGCAACTTGTTCATCATTGTCATTGGCGAGGACAAATTCAAACCGCCCGCCACGCCCGCCAGCAATAAGGAGCCAGATCCAGCCGTGTTATCGAAATCAGATGATATCGCAGATCCAACTGATTCGGCGCCGGAATCTTCATCCTCATCCTCCTCGTGAAGTTCTCCGAGGGCCAGACTCTCTGCGCCCCGACTGCCAGTTCGTTCACGCCGCCTACGTGCAGTTTCGACAATCTGATCACTCCTGGAGAATTGAACTTGCCCTGGCTTATAGCCTCGGTGGTCGGTTTCGTTGTCCGTCGATAGATCACTGCTAGTGGTGGTATCTCGACGAGGGCGTAGTGGCATTTGGTTGTATTGATTTGCAACATTGTGTGTGGACGCAGAAGTGACCATCACTTCTGGCCGCTCGCGCTGGTCTTCAGAACGTCTTGGAGATGAGTCATCTCGATCTCGGCGGATAGGCATCTTGTCAAATTTAATCTGATCCATAGCGCTGTTCATTGTCAGATAGTGAGGTAGAATACCACCGAACAATTTACCAACCTGCCAATAGTATCTCCGTCTTCGTCGCTATCATCACTCAGATCACTGCTGTCATCGTCCTCTGCTTCCGCTTGTCTCTCTTGTCGCCGTTCTCGTCGAGTCTTCTTCTTCCCGATGCGCGCATGGTTCCGCCGTGCAGTCATGTCCGTATGGCTCTTGCCGGTCACCATGCCTCCGTCGTCTTCGCCGTCCTCCAACCCGAGCCCTTGCAAATCATGGCGATGTGGCTTCGCATTCCGTTCCGCTAGTCTATAATATTCCGAGGAGACGTTTGCAGTTGTTGGGATCGGAGGGGAGTAGGTGCGCTTCAAGTGGGAGGAGCTGTGTGTATTGGGAAACGCGGAAGCGGTTGACCAGCCCGCGGCGCGGAAGCCAGGTGTATTCAGAACGGAGTCGTTGACGCTAATCAGTCTGTCGCCAATTCCATCTTTGATTGTCGAGAGATACGAGGAACGCAATTGCCAGATCGTGAAGCTATGGTCAGGTTAGTTCTTGATCCTTAAAGACCTTTCAGTGGCGATGTGAGGGATATCGGTCTGCAATGATCGAATGCGACTTACTCTTCGTTGTGAAGAAGAGACATTTTCCCGACTCTCACGAGGACATATGTCCGTAAGATCCAGAGGCTACCGCGCAGTAGCGACCGAGGTTACCAGGCCAATCTCACAGCGAAAGCTCGCAGCGCATGGAGTCAAGCAATGGAAGCGAATGAGTCTAGCTCATACAGGACCAGCCTGGAAAAATAGGTGTAAAGATCGAGATCGTGAAAGGAGGGTCCAGAAGCAAGAGAAGGGAAGTGTCTCGGTCTCCGCAGATCGGTTCCCCGCCAAGGGGTTCCCCTTTCGACATACGGAGTACGGCCGGCTTGATGGCTACAGGAGTCGCGCTTCATGAGAACGGTGAAGAGACTTTGATATCATTCTTAATTGAGTACAACGTTCTATATTGGACTTGTTATCAAAATCAGAATGTCCCACCATTTTCAAATCGTTTTCTCTACAACATACCGTAGTTTTTCACCGGCCAATTCAGGTACCCAGTTATAGTGTCTTCCTTTCTTCCTCGAATTTAAAAATAGCTTTCATCTCTTTCATCTAACAGTGTCCTCTGCTGTCTCCTGAAAATGTCATTTTGGGGGAGTCAAGGACCGAGGCAGAATAGTCATGAAAGTAACAAAGCTGGATGCTTAGACGTGAGCAGGTACTCCGTACATAACCTAAATGGAGTAAATGGAGTACTTGGAGTATGGGGTAGATACTTAGGTATGGAGGAACGCAACCCTGGAGTGCTACTGTTTGATGCAATCAAATCAATAAGACAGATACTAGGAGAGTGCAAAACACATCTTGAGAAGACAAAAAAGACTCGTGTTTAGAGAGATCAGTTTGAAATACACCGGATGACACCATTAAAACGCATGCTTCCTCGATTTCCTCGAACAGGCGTGATACATATGTTACAAAAATGATGACATTTCAAGCCTTGGCCTTACCTTTGCGGGCCTTTTTCGGCTTTTCGTCGTCATCCACATCATCGGCCGCCTTCTTGGTCTTTTTGCCCTTGGCCGGCGCCTTCTTTTTCTTCGGTAAGCTCACATACTTGTCCTTCTTGAGATCAAGTTCTTCTTCCGCATCATCCTTGATCTCTTCGACAACCTCCTCTCCATCAGATTCATCGATGGCGTCCTCGATATCAGGCTTGTCCTTGGGGTCCTTCTTGGGCGCCACGACGCTGCTGGCTTTCATGAATGGCATGGGGTGCGAGCGAGAGTTATACAGACGGGTGAATGTGGCCTTGGTCTGCGTCTCCAGTTTGTTCTTCGACTCATCCATGGGGCCTAGTCCGAGTTCCATTATAGCATCGAAGTCCTCCCGGGTGAGATAGTAGTCGTCCATGAAATCAATGACCGAGTCAACGCTTTCCTTGCCTTCGTTCACCATTCGACGAATAATCTTCTCCTGAAGCAGAGGCATATATTGTTGACGAATCTCATCCCGGTTACCTGTGGTACGAAGACGCATATGGCCCTGAATCTCTTTGACGAATCGGGACAGTTTGCCTAGGGAACAATCTAGTTAGATAGTGCACAGAGATGATTAATTAGAATATCGAACATACCATGTTTGCTGTTGTTACCCAGCCAGCTGGTGAATGCAGGCCGCTCGTTGAAGTTTCCAAATTGGAAGCTAGCTGGCCGCACAAAACTGAAGACCGCATGGGTGGGCATTAGACTCCACTGCTGTTGGGTGCCGTGGATCATGCGGTCAACAAGATCACCATCGCTAATACTCGAGGCGGCATTGTCTAGTAGCTCAAGCGCCTTCAGTTGCTGTTCCTTGCCATGGTATTTGCCGGCAAGGGCAGGCTTGGTTTTAAGATAGTTTTCCTGAAGCATCAAGTAACTGAACTCATGGTCGTTGAAATAGAGCTCGATCTTATCGTTCAGGGTGGAGGTGGAACTCGGGGAGAACATCTGGGCGCTGAGAACTTTGCTGACGATATCCCATGGTTTGAGAATAATATGCTTCTCCCATGCCTTCGACATTTGTTTGCCTTCTTCGTAATTAAGGGTCTTTTGGTCTAGTCTCGCGGTGGACAGCATGTTGATGACCTGGCGGATGTCGGCATGGGTGCCCTCAATGAGCCCGTCGAGAACAGCAGGCGGGATTTTGAGACCTTCTCGGAAGCAAATGGTGGACAGTCTTGCCCGAATCTGCTCAGCAGTAGGGCGTCTGAATGGTACGTCATAGGTAATGAAGTCGAAGGGTTTCATCTTGGGAAGTCTTCGCTCATTGCAGACAAGAATAATTGGGATCTTGGTCTTTTTGACGATGGCGGCGACGGCTCCCACGCCTCCACGGTCACCGGCAGACATTCCATCAACCTCGTCCATGATCAGGACAAGTTTTTTCTTCTCACCCTCAACTTGCTTGCCTTGCCCGGCGAAATATCCTTGCAGCGATGTTGTATCTAGCACACCCAGAGTAGAGTTCTCAACAAGCTTCTTGCTTCTGGTGTCACTGGCATTGGTCTCTACGATATCAAACCCTTCCAGCTTTGCCACAAGATGGGCCGCTGTGGTTTTGCCAATCCCAGGGGGGCCGTGAATCATGACAGCGCGATATGTACCGGAGCCATCCTTACCACCCTTTTTGAAATCAGCTTTAGCGTTGTTGTACCAATTGCGCAGCCAGTTTTGGATCTTCTCCACCGCAAGCTTATTACCACAGATCATAGCAATGGACGTTGGGGCATACTTTGTGGTCCAAAGCTCCCCAGATGAAACTGGCTGTGAGATAGGGGGTGTTTGAGAGGCGGTGGCGGTTGCCTTGGGTCCTTGAGAAGTTGCGGCTGTCTTTCGCTTTTGCTCTTCTCGTTTTTTCTCTTCTGCATCGATCTCGGCGGCCATCGCACGGACTTTGGCCTCATCGGCTCTCTGTTTCTCGGCATATTTTTCGGCGGCCTTTCCATCGCCTCCGTTGGCAGGCAGCCGTCGAATCAATTCGAAAAGACCGTCTTCGTTGATGGTCTTGATCTTGTGCTTTGCGATGGTCTCAAGCTTCTTTGGACCGGCATCCTCGCCAAGGACAACAAAGCTTGTCTTGGAGCTAGGAGCCCCCACGACTTTGCCACCGTACTTCTTCACCAATTGCGCGCCCTCATCGCGACCTAGAGATTCTAAAACACCCGTGAAGACAAAGGACAACCCAGCAAGGCAGTTTTCTTCACCAACGGGCAGTTCCTTAGTTCCAGTCATTCCCGGATCACGGCTTGCTTGTGCTCCAAACTTGAACTTCTTTGGCTCTCCCTGAGGAGGTTCTGGGGCTTCAACCGTGGGGATGCTATCGAAGATATCCTGGAGCTCTTTGCTTTCTGGCTTGTCGTCCTTCTTGGTCTTTGAAGGGCTAGCCTTTTGCTTCTTTGCGGCTGGTGGTGCTGAGGGCTTTGCCTTTGGGGCTGCTTTTTTGGTTTCCTTTTTGGGTTCATGGTAGTCACCATCTTCTTCTTCGTCGATAAGAGCTTCCGACTTGCGTTTGCGACCCGGTCGGGCCTTCACCGCAGGAACCTTGGGAAGATCTTCCATGACTACGTCGTCGTCCTCGTCGTGAGAGGGCTTTTTCTTTTGCGTCTTCTTCGATGCTGGAGCGACTGGCTTTACCTCCAGCACTTCAAAGTCACTATCCTCGTCGCTATCGTCCTCAGCGACATAAGCGTCGTCTCCCTTGCCAGCTTTTCCATATTCAGTTGCAAAAATATCATCGTCGCCGAGATTTTCATCTTCCAGGATTTTGGCAGCTTGCTTTGTCGGTCCTCGAGTAGCGGTCCGTCCTTTCTTCACAGGTTCTTCGGCAGTCTTGTTGGGTTTGGGACTTGCCGCAACACTCTTGGTGTTATCTGACAGCGCCTGTTCAGCTGCTTTGGTAGGACGTGTCTTCTTCTTGCTGGAAGCGAAATAATCGGAGGAAGTCGTAGGTTCTTCTTTACTCTCTTGCGGTTTTCTGGAAAGACGGTTTATCAGTCACCTTGTATACGGAATGATTCAGCTCAGAATGGACATACGATTGAGTCTTGGGCTTCGCTTTTGTAGTTGATGGTTTGGCAGGTGCTACATCTTCTTCCTCGTCGCTATCATCCACAACCTTCCTGCTACCTATTCTCACGTTAGACTTGCGGCGCTGAGGCATCGATTATGGAGAACATACGTCGCTTTCTTGAGGCGGAGGGGTCCTGCATTGTTGAGTTCAAGGTTAGAATAGCATCTTCAACTGGAAATTGGTAGACCATATATAAAGCAAACGTAATCTCCTTTCGCGAGCAAGGCACCAGCTTACCTCTTTTTTGGCCGCGGGCTTCGCGGGAGCTTTGCTGGAGTCTTGACTTGACTTGCCCCCGAAGAAATTTCGGATGTCCATAGCGAGACAATCAGTAAAACAAAGTTTGGCAAGAAGCTGTAAACTGAGGTGTCGATTGAAGATCAACCGGGCTATCGCTGCAGCTTTAGATCGCGAACGACGCGCCACGCTCCGGGGAGACGTGACTGGCTGACGTAAGTGAGCACTTTCTTCCTATTTGGAACTAGCGCGGATATCACTTGCAACGGTGCAGTATGTAGCTAAAGGCGACAGATCGAAAGTAGCTTCGCGGTGCTTTTGCTTTTATGCTATGTCAATCATATTTCTTCTCGGGTATTGAGGTGGATCTGGACCCGGATGCGCGGTGGCCTCTGCCGGAACATGTGGACTGTGAGGATAGAATGAACGTAGGAAACACAAAATGTAGGAGGTCGAAGGCAATGGAGAGAAACATGTTTAAAAAGAGAAAGGAGAAGAGAAGAAAAGACAGCCAAACTCCTATATATACAGCATCACTAATCTTTATACAAAGTTGGTCGTCTCGTGTTCCTTTTGTGCCACTTTCTCTACTTTTTCCCTTGTGCGGTTATGTATGTAGCTCAATTTTCCAGCCCTGGGACATTTTGGAGCGAATCACTTCTAGGGAGAAGATGTTAGGCTCGAGGTTTTCACAAAAAACAAAAATATCACATATATCTTTTTGGCAACAAATTGCGACCTGATCTATAAGGCAGAAACTACATTGATATCACGTGTACGGTGACATTCCCCTTTGGGACTAGCGTCAATTATCGAAATGTGCCGGAGTAACGAAGCCTTCCGCAACAGTAGATATCACGTCGTCTCTCTCCTCACAATGGGTCCACAGCTCAAGATGTTCGCTGGTCCACTCTCCGCCTGCACGCGGCCAACCCGTACGAGTCATCCAATTCCCAGAACCTCCTAGCGAAAGACTAACAGCGCGACAGTGTCTGGACCGCTAGCCACCTTTTCACTATCGCGATGCTTCTCTACCACAAAGCCCGCCCTTGACTGGCTGACCCCGAAGTTCCAAGAAAAGTCCAAGTCGCCTAAGGGTCGTCCTCACGTCGCCACCGGCGGTTCCACCCGAGGAACAACTGTTGTATGGGGAGACTTCGGTTTGCGCATGAAAGACCACGACCGCCGTATGCCCGCATCGGCACTGAAGATCGCCGAAGAGACTATCAAGCGGCGGCTACGAGGAATGAACTACAAGCTGTACAAGCGTGTCAGCGCCAACATCGGTGTCTACACCAAGGGTAACGAGCAGCGTATGGGTAAGGGTAAGGGTAAGTTCGATTACTGGACAGTCCGACTGCCCGTGAGCCGAATTGTCTTCGAATTGAAGGGAGATGTTCACGAAAAGGTTGCCCGCGAGGCATTCAGATTGGCCGGTCACAAATTGCCAGGTATGCTATGCCACTTCCGCCTTCTCTACTATCTGTCTTGCGCATGAAAGATGCTTATTGTTATTGATTAGGTCTCTGGGAATTCGTCAACAAGGGTGACCCTCCTGTCGTGGGTATTACAAAGCTTGGAAATGGTGTGACTCTCGAATCCCTCAAGCGGGCGCGCAGAAACCCACCCATCGGTACCAATGACCTCGCTTCACCTCCGAAGAGCGCCTCGAGCTCCGACTCTACCCAATAAATTCTCGTTTCCCGCATGATACCGTTTCCCATTTTCCTCTCGGTCATGTCCTTTGCTTTTGTCTTCGTTGACTAAGCGCCGACACCAGACCCAGGCCCATACCCCTGCTGTCTGCGGGCTTTGGCCACTGCATCGTCCTCGTCACGTGTCATATCTTTGTACATTATCATCAGCTGTTTGCGTCTCTTTAGGATCCATCGAGGCATGAGCTCCTCTGATGGTCCTTTGTCTTGATACTAGGAGTTTAGACAAGGAAAATATATTCAGCATTTACCTTTACCTGATTCGCTGAATACTCCCATACCCAGCTTCTGCGCTTGGGAGTACTCGTCATTGGTAGATGCTGGGGCGTGTGTTCCTAGACTGGGGCTTGCTTCAGTCGTGGTGTGGCGGACGCCGCCTAATGAGGTCAGTTCTTGGTATGGGGAACGCGAACTCGAAGAGCGCGACAGACCTCCCAATTGTCCTGTCTGCTTGACGGGACTCTTAGTGAATTGGCGGATAGATTCATATCTATGCTCTAGGTCTCAGCCAAGGAAGATTGTTAGAAGTGATGCTAGCGTATCTCATACTGAGTGCTCTCGCCGCCAGGTTCCATATCCACAAGTCTAGAGTCCGACATTTCGATGTTGTTTGCTAGGAATTGATGTATATCGACGAAACAATGATAGCCCGAGCGATATATATAACAGGAGGTAGTCTTGATTGACAGTTGAAAGCTGACGTTTGGAGTGGGTAGTCCAGACCACTAGTGACGGAGATGTGATGACGTATTGGAGCACAAGTTCTGGTCTACAGAGACAGTTTGGGATGGATACATTCAAATACGATTGGGATGACCCCGTACTGGATATTCCGCGTCGACTGTTCGTCCCTCGCAATACTAGCTGAACTGTTCAAAGACATACATGACTACCGCAAGGTTGAGAAGTCAAATGTCCAAATATTTTGGCTATCACAGAGATAGTATGCAACGACAAGATGTAACGCCCAAATACTCCTCGGCAACTGCCTTCATGCGCCCGGGAAATTAAAATTGACTCGAATACTCGGGGACTTCGAAGTCTGATTCTGCGTCATGACAGACCACACTTTCCTCGCCCCATGCTCACTGAAACCCACCTGGGTGTACACATCGTCATTCATCCATTGTTTCCGTCTGTTGGTGATGAGTGATTAAAAGTCCATGCCCATCAGATAACTAGTGCATTGTTAGCTCTATGTCCTTGTTGGGTGATTCGGGAACAGCATACCTTTCATAGATGCGCATAAACTTCGCCACGAAAGCTTCAAGGTGGAAGATAACTTTCTATATTGAAATGTACATTAGTATGTGTTTTGTTGGCGGTGATAGCCGCACATGACTTACGCTTCCCAACTTGATACGGTGCTCATAAAACGCAGACCACTTGATGACGTCTGGCTTCAGTGCATCGTCGACCCGTGCGACCAGTTTGAATGTCAAGGTCTATTATCAAAGATTAAAATATGCCCAGTGTTTTCCGACCGGAAACGAATACGCACCTTCAGAATCGTTGTAGGGGGGATACAATGGGTCAAGAGATCGTAAAGACGCGCGCGAACCTGCAATAGTCGAGCCGGTGACCGTTCGGCCAAAATCTCATCCGCCGTTAGGGAAATAAGGGCCTCCCAGTCCGGAGGCGGAATAAGGGTATTGTCTGTGACTTTTTCACTAGATTCCGAAAACGTAAGTCGACAAAATCAGGGCCAATGAAAGAAAAACGAGGTACAAACTCACTTTTGCGCATAAATCGACTCGAACATCAGTAGGGCACGACGCAAATTCCGCCCACTCTCCTTTGCAATTCTCTTGTTAAGAACTTCTGACTCGGCCCATCCTTGCTTTTGTCCTGCAGCACTGAGCGCAGTGCAAATATCATTTTCGGTAGGTGCTGCAACCCTGACCAGCAGGGTTCGAGAACGAATTGGCGCAATGATGTTGGAGGTGCTGTTGGCTAGGAGAATCAATCGCAAATTGGGACTGTATTTCTCCATAGTACGTCTGAGGGCGGCTTGCGCATCGCGCGTAAGATGGTCGGCCTCGTTGATGACCACGACTTTGAACCGCTGCTTCGCGCCGAGATCCACCTGTTGCGTCTGCGCTACTTCCTTGAGCAATTCCTGGACGACTACTCGGTCATACATCCCGACATCTGCTGGTGTGATTTCAAGGTGGTAGACGGATGAGACAATGTTGAACTCCAGCTTGCGGTTGCTTGTTGTTTGGAAGACTCTGGCGTCGATCTTGATCTTCTCAACACCGGGGCCGTACAGTTCTTTCAATGTCGCAATTATCCGTGTCTTCTTTCCAGCTCCAGAGGGTCCGTAAACTAGTAGATGGGGGAAATCGCCGCTTTGTGCCTAACGAGGATCTCTTGCGTCAAAATGAAGCTCGTATTCTGCAGGCGAATGTCTCTTACCAGTGACCGCAGGCGATCAGACAGCTCGGGGTGGTACGAGAGAGCATCAAGGGTGCGTGGTCGCAGCTTATCAACAAGAAGAGCCATTTTGGGAACTTTGTAAAATTGCCCAGGGTGATCACAAATCCGAGGTGCCGGTTTTTCGATTGAAGATGGCAGACTGGAGAACGCGTTCAGACACGCGCCTAATTAATCTCTGGTCCGTGCACGATCCCACTATATGGATCCATACAGCACTGTACTGCAAGGAACTTGGGTCAAATGCAGAATTTGTATAATCACATATGAATAAATTCGGCAATATATACAGCTATGTAATTTTCTAGGCATTTGGCAGCCTTCCGCCAAACCCCAAGATGTATAGTACAAAGATTTGCTTGAAGAGATGAGATGATTTCGAGATAGGGACCACACCAATCATGTTTCTTGGATCACCATTCAGATATCCTGGAACTCTATGCAGAATCACATATTCAGAGAGAAGGAGTTCGAATGCGTCTTGAGATGAGCTTCTTATGATGCGATTGGCTTCAAAACACCATTGTCGTCATATTTCGCTTCTGTTTAAGGTTAATCCAGGCCAACACGCATAGAAAGAATGTGAAACTTACTGAAAAAGGTGTATGACAGCGTGATAGTATCGATTCCCTTCATATTAGGATCAGTAGCAAAGTCAGGATCAATATAGAAGAAGACAGGCATGTCAACTGATTCTCCTGCGTTAAGCTTCTGTTCCTCAAAGCAGAAGCATTGGATCTTGCTGAAGTATGGCGCAACCTGACCTGGTGTCACACTGTATGTTGCGACTCCAATGATATCTTGCGGGCCCTTATTCGTTGCAGTATAGAATGCTAGTGCGGTCTCTCCAGGCAGCACTCGGACCTCGCGCTGCTGGGGAGTAAATTTCCAAGGAAGCACATCCGATACGGAGCCATTGAAGGTAATTCGCAGACGACGGGAGTCGGTCACTGGTTTCACACGCTCAGCAGTATCGCCGTCGCCGTTGCGGTGGGTGAGGATGGGCTGACCGCCCCAACCAGTCTGTTGGCAAATCTGTAATTGAGATGACTGTAAGTTTCCATTCACATCAAAAATAGCCTAGGTCAGCCAGAAACATCGCATACCATCTTGTAAAGAGGGACAGATCCATATGCGAGAGCAACAGTTCCGAGGATCATGCTGATGGTATAGTACCTGACCAGGGAACTCGTTAGCCATGATATCTCCCAAATCTGAGCTCGGTGACAGCGCACATAGTAGAGGTATTGCGCTTTTGCGATTCTGGGGTATTAAAAGGCGCTGCAGATGAATTGCGTTGTTCGTGACGCAAGAAATTACTCGAGAAGTATCTCCGCTCAGCCTCGAAAGCGTTCTTCCGGAAACAAAATGATCGCTGAGGAATTGTTCCTGTGAGCGCAGAGCGCCCCAGCGAGGGGATTAATCGTGCAAACATGGTTCTATGACTTCAACCGGATTGCATGTTGGGGTCTCAAGTGATCCAGCCCTGGAATCCTCTGCACGTGATCAGTCCGAAACAGCGGCTTATCGATAAGCCCTAAGCTTTGGGGTCACGTTACATTGATGTAGACGGCGAGGAATATCTACATGTACACATGGCATCTTGATCTTACACGTATGTACATATTTATGGATGTGAATAGCTCCTTTACTTACACAGTATATCTGTCATGGGAAATTTATCCACATGTGCAGTCTATCATATTGCATGATTTCCTTCGCTGTTTCTCTTGTTCAACATGCAGTATATTTGACGTAGATACCTATACGTACCTGTGTAAGTATGAGTCTAGTGTTGCTGCCGTTCATGGAGCCATGCCCTAGAAAACAGGCCAAATGATAGATCCATTTTATGTAGAAGTAGAAGACTAGGAGAGAATCATAAGATATCCTCTTTACCTTCATGTCCAATGCGATCAAAGGTCTAGTGGAACGCCTTTCAGTTCATGGAAATGCAATGTTAATAGGAAACCTTGGAAGATAATACAGCGCGGTGACACCCCCAGCCCAGCCCCAGAGTTCAAAATACATAACCGTTACTAATACAACTGTCTGACGGCTTGGATACATAGATACATATTGAGCTAAGCATCTCACCAATGGAAAAGTTTAATTCAACACCTTGGAAGTGATGCGACCAAAAACTCCTCGAACCATGCTAGGTTGTTCGTGGAGGCAAGTGATGAGAACAGCAGCACTAATCGCAAAGGCAATACGTTCTCGGTATTGATACTGGGAAACATCAACACGCGTCAGTACCTTGTGATAATCTTGAGCCTATCACAGGCTAATTTGAGGGCATTGGGAAGGGTGTTGAAGGGGACGTGGGTGTAACCCTGGCGTGAGCAGAAGATGCGAGAGTCCGATGCATACCTTTTTATCATACAACCGTGGCAGAACCGTGGCGGCAGCCCGTGGTGCCACAAATAGCGCCAACTCCTGCCTCTTCCGCGCTTTCTCAACCAATACACTCCAGCCACACATGAAACATCCCGCGCCGACGCAGAGCCCAGAGTCCCACATCATCGGAGTGACAGTCTTTAGATCAAAGATCTTGGGTCCAAGTCGTGTCCGAGCGAGACAGACACCGTAGTAGAATAAGCTGACGAAAGACGCCAGGAAGGCAGATGATTGGGCTGCATCAGTGAGGGCCCGGCGAAGGGCAGTCGCAGATTTCATTCCGCTAAGTCGGAACGCAATCTGTAGGGGTATATAGGTTGCACAGGCAAATTTAAAGGTTTTGAAAAACCGATACAGTGCGTGTTTCTCACAATTGGGACCACATCCCATATGTACCATTTCGCAAGGGATTGGACTCACTTTCGCCGGGTCTCCCCATACCTCTGGCCAATTATAGTCTTTGCACATCGACTGAAGAAGAGATGCTTGGCCAGTGTCCTTTCCGTATACAAAGATTCCTCGTCGAGCACGACGCAAAGCTTCGATTAGGCGTGAATCAACTTGAGCAGCTTGCCCGATCCACTTCTCGTAGGTGTTGGGCAGTCTCTCCGGGAGGTAAAACCACGCCCACATGACTATCGCGGAACTCATAGCAAAGACAGTTGCATCCGTGGAGCTGGGCACAAGTGATTCGACAAGAGTCCAGCGATTCTGGGCCCGGCGGCGACGAGACCAGCGACTCCATGCAAAACACGCGGCCGCATCCACGGCTCTTGTGACCATGAAGATGGTCAGGTCCATCGTCCTCCCTGCTAATTCCGGGCGGTGATGTTCCAGCGGATCAGGTAGAACCTGAGGGTCTTTCCCCTGATCTGCGGACATCCGGATGGCTCTGACATCTTCAATTGGTAGACAGATGCGATTTCTGTTCAGAAGTTGGAAACTGAACCATCCAGATATGAAAGTGGCAACGAATCGAATCAAGCGATCGAGCCTTCCAGAGATCCGAACGTCACCTTTGGAAAGTTTTACAGCGATCAATGCACATAGACGATACAGTCCTATAGGTAGTAGGGTTGAGCCACCGACCAAGGAAGCACAGACTGTTGGAAAACTGTTCAGACGTAAAGGACCGGTCAAGACTTTAGCTAGCTATTCAAAGCCATGTTAGCTATAACAATTCACTTGCCAGATCATAGGGGAATGGTGTTATGAGAAGATCATCCACAAAAGACTACATCGGGGAATGACCAAAACGTACCTCTCGGAGCTTCTGTCGGGTTGTCCAGTGCTTATTGCCTAGTCGGCGTACATAAGCCACTAGTTTCGGAGTGACAGAAGATAGGTACCCGAGCGCGTAGGCGCGAAGAAGGCTACAGTCACAATCAGCAATAGCTCCCTAGATCACACAGTTGCACCAAGCCACAAGGGTAAGAGATCGGATGGACCTACGGTTTGAATATCCGGACGTCGTCCCTTCCATGGCGTCCTCGGAGTGCAGGTTCCATGCTGCCGGAAACCTTCATGTCATGATCCGTCGGGAGGTGTCAACATCACAGTTCCCCGAACTAATCGGTGACGAGGGGTCAGCGAAATGTAAACTCTGGTGGGATTCACAAGAATTTTCTCGCCAATCAGCCCACTAGGTGAAGGTAAGAACCCAATTAGTTTTGTCCGCGGGTGACCTACAATGGCACCTCTCGAAAATTGGGTAGTATTCTCCGACAGAGGGAGGTTGACAGCAGCACGATCTTTTATTCTGGAGTTCCAGATCAACCGTGGATCCCGTGTAGGGGTTTGTAGAGGTGGGTGGGTTAGAGGGTGTGGTTGGACCTCGGTCCCTGGAAAGACAGAACCCCCGCCGACAAGATCCAGAGCCAGGGGACGGACCGAGTAAGAGAACAGAGGACGATCATCCGAAGTGATGGGCTTTTGTTGGAGCACGATGGTCGGGATTGCGGGGCCTTACTCTGCACAAGGCCCACGGATGATTTAATGAGTCCAATAGGGGTCGATCCCAGGAGAGGACTCCAAAACAAGATGAACCGCACTGACCCAATTATGGCTTTTTTTTTGGTTTTCTTGCACCGAGAGAAAGAGCAATATAGACAGAGATGTGCCTAGGGAAAATGCAATGTATTCCGGATGTATGAGGGAGAAAATAGTCATAGGTTGGTACTTACCGTGTACTTTCACCACTGGAGACAAGCCGGTTGGTCTCAGGGCCTCGGGGAGGTTCTCCGGGGGTCAACAGCTTTCCCCCAGGAACGTATGACATACCCGGAGGACCTCCCAAGCCACCACGGAGCGGGTGTAATATTGGTAACTTTGGTACCGTTATGTCACGCGCTCAAATTTTTGCATGTGATCAGGTCAAGGCCGAACAGGACGATTGCTTTGATGCGAAACTCTCCACTCTACTTCTACCCCAGAACGGATCTTGTCTTTTAGAATTCTCATGATCCTCTTCTTCTTTCTTTTTTCTTCTCTGCTTACGTGACCTTCCTGATTCTCCCTCATTGCGCCGAGCCGAAACGGCTAGATCTTATCGAATCGCATTATCAGCCTTGAGAGAACCCCGTGGTCTTGGATCAAAACCAACCCCCCGCGTCCCTCGTTTGTGGAGTCAACCCTTCTTTATCGGGTTGATTGCATACACTCTGCAGTTTTCAAGGCATGACAGTATCGCCTCGGTCGATGCTATTCTGAACATCGGAGTAGCAACAGTTTCGTTGACCGAAACCCATACAACTTCTTCTGATATTGAACCACTCTTCGCAATGAATGGGCATGGGACTGAAGTTCAAACCGAGCGCACATCTCCTCCGGCTGCTCCATTCGGATGTAAGTTAGTTCGAGCATTGTTTTGTTCTCTTCCCTAATTCGATTACAGACTCTTGGCTCTCCCCTATGGATACTCCTTTTGAACAAGCGCCTGCTCTCCCTCCAGGGCCCTCTCTTCTTGATGATAATGAATCCAATATGCTCGATAACTTTTTTACTACCATGAACGCGAACCACTTTACGAATGACTTTTGGATGCGACAAGAACATAAACATGGCGTTCCGAACTTTGACTGGTCAGCTGAGCTGCCACCCAACTTTGAGGGCTCGACCACCTCTTTATCACAGCCTTCATTCCAGCAACATGGAATGGGCAAGTCAGCTGGTGGGATGATAGCAGGCAACCCTACAAGCTCGGATATATTCGCTGCTGCGTCAATGCTCTACCAGAGTGGCTTAAACGGGTCAGAGGTAGGGCCTTCGTTAGCACATCAGGCTTTCGCGGGACACTCTCTTCCAACCACTGGGACACAACCATTGAATAGCCATCATACTGCCAATCCTGCACAGGTTTCAACTTCATCTCCACCCCGGGCTGATGTCCCGACTGGATATCATACCTCGGAGATGTTCTTTGACGTACGTGACCCCATTCCTGTGGACCAACATCCATCAAGGAAGACCCGCAGCTTGCGCTGGGGTTCAGATGCTAGTTTCATGGATCAAGGGTATCTTCGTCCTCCTGACCAGCCCGATGAGGAACAACGGACGAATGACCTGCTCGATCATCTCCATTGTTTTGAGCCGCAAAGCAGTGCCGCAAACACACGAGCGCCCAGCCCCGAGCACATGATAGGAGCTCCTCCTCAGCGGCCCTTGTTCCGAGGTGGTGCTGTCCCAGATGAAGCCTCACAGTCTCGAAAACGGCAACGAGCCCTGAAGGAGGAAGGGGACCAATACTCTGATGACGATGACGCTAGACCTCAGTCAAGAAAGTCCAGAGGTTCCATTGTCAAAGGCCGACGAGTATCGACGGATATATCTCGAAAACCCCGACTACATCCAGGGTCCAAAGCTGCACGAGAAAATCTTACAGAAGAGCAGAAGAGGACCAACCACATTCTCTCGGAGCAGAAGCGCCGGAACCTCATCCGTCAAGGCTTTGAGGACTTGTGCACGCTGGTGCCTGCACTCAGAGGTGGCGGGTTTAGCAAAAGTGCCATGCTCACTGGAGCCGCTGACTGGCTTGAAGACCTACTCCAGGGCAATGACATCCTCCAAAATCAACTCCGTGATTTAAAGGGCATCAATGGCTTGATGATGCCACGATGATAGCCTTTGTGATATGATCACAACCTTAATTTATGATCTCATGGTTGCCCCCTGCCTCTTTATTTCGCAGGGATTGCAAGCGTTTCAGCGGGCGGACAGTTTTGCGTATGCAAACGAGTTGGCATTACATTTTCGCAAATTCCGGCCACAAGATACCATTTCCTTTATCTGCGTGCTCTTTTCCAGTCCTTTTTTCCCCATCTAACCGCTGTAGGTGATGCGAGTCACCTTCAGGCTGGTCCTCGGCACATATCGATACCCTAGTGCATAATTTGAAATGCCTTTATGGGCAGGAAATACTTTAAATCTTTTCCGTATGGCTTTGGCTCCTTGTAGAGATGTAGGCTAGTATGTAGCTGACATTTAACATAAGGAATGAAGCAATGGCCGTTGACTACAGTGCTGCGCAGGTGATGTTCCTGAATTATGTAAACTATTACCTAAATGTACATGCAGGTGTACCTAAGTCTGTACATGTGCTCTTCAGGTCTACATGTACCTAGGATGTACTATGTAGTATCTTCCAGGCAGCCGTACATCGCAAGGGTGTCTCGGTCACAGTATCAGGCTGAGTCCCTGAAAGGACCTCGGGAGACATCTAAAGGAAACATCTGAAGGAGACATTTAATATTGTTTCATCCTATGCATATTGATTGACGTCAGGATTGGCCAAGACTCCTGCTGTCATGTGGAAATGCGCTATCTCCGCTGGTCCCCACCGCTCTGTTTTGCCTGCATGTGAAGACGCGTCGACCCCCCAACCTTAATTCCGAACCTCGACAGCTCGAACCCCCAACGCACCATGCCTCCAAAACGAAAACACACAGCTCAAGACGCCGAGGAGGAGGATCCTAAGCGCTACGCTTATCTGAAACCTCACATCCGCCGCGTCCCAGAGAAGACCATCAAGTCGAAATGGGCTCCTTTGCCAGAACCCGTCCAGGAAAAGGTCCGGGACATGTTTCACTCTCTCGAGCGACCGGTGATCATGCGGAATCAGAACGAGCGCAAGCGCATCGAGGCGCAGGGTGCAGTGCAAGCAGTTGTGCGAAAGTAGGCCATCATTTTTAATCCGGAAGCTTCCAAGCAAAGCTCTCAGCGTTTCGAGGGATTGGTATACTGATTCTATATTCTGTTTTGCTTCAGTTTGGGAAAACGACTCCCTCGAATGCCATTTCCGCCCATAACGAAGGAATCGAACTTTGACTATGAATCTGCCCTGAATGAGCATGTATGCGACTTGTCACCGATTATTGACAACAGCTCCATACTAATTCTTTTCTAGCGGTCTCTTGAAGCGCACCTAGCCACGATGAATGACAGCGTCGATCTTCTGAAAGCCGAGATTGCCAAAGAAGAGGCACTCCTGGCCAAGGAAACAAAGTCACTACAGGAAATGGACAAGAATGCCAAACGGGCCGAGGCTGAAAGGAAACGACAGACTAAGAATGTATGCGGCAAACTCGGCTTGGTCCTAAGTATGACTGGGGCTAATGTTTTGAAACGCAGGAACACCCCGTCCTCCGACAGCTGGATGCGCTTCCGCAGAGCGAGGCCTCTCTGTCCTCGGAGTTCACGCTTCTGGGCTCGAAAGATAGCCAAGTAACACTGGACGAGGTATATGCTGAGTTTAAACCGCCTATGCTTGATCTGTTGACTTACAATTGTGTTTGATTTTAGTTGAACGGCGACCCAGAGGTCCAAGGTCTCATGAAGCAACTGCATGGTCATCTTCAATCTATGCAAAATAATACAGCTCCCTTCGTGGGACTTGGTGATGCCATCACTCGTTCACAAGCTGCGTTGGATTTATACTCAACGCCCAATGATTGAATGCCCCATTGGAGCCTATCACACCATAAGAGCCACAACATACACCCACTTCGGCATTTTTATGCTTATTGGCACATGAAGAACCTCGGACTTGCGCTTACTGAGAAAGCGAACCACCACATTTCACCTGTGGAAATCCGTGTCGTGTCCTCGGATTCTAATGCATTCGCCAGATACCTCAGGGAAACTGGGCGCGATGGGACGCACACCTCTTTGATGAGGGATGTCCCAATGCAGAGCTCGGTATTAACCATCCTAAATTAGGATATAAAAGGTAATGCAGAGAGTATCACACAGCCCCTGTCCAATCTGGGGAGTCTTCCAGGATGATCTGCCAGCCAACCCGAGGCTCCACTGCATAGAGAATGTGTGATGGGAATGAAATTAGACAATCACTAGTCAATTATCAATGACACATCTTGCATATTCCGTGCATATGTTCTAAATCAAGAATAGCCAATTGTAAGACGCAGAAAACGTAATCACTCAATCGAGGTCTCGCCCCGAAAGTGGCGTGTGCCCGAAGACCAGCACCCCATGCGGAGCAGGTCGGAGGGGTCACTCCGCTTTCTCCATCCCCAAGAACTTTTTGACGTTTACCAACTCTACTACAAACCACTGGTCTGCAGGCAGCCATTTCACTCCCACCCTGGTGGTTTTTGCCAAACACTTGCGCAATGACCGAAAAGAATGCGCCGCCGGGCGCCTCCAACGTGAAGGCCAGGCCCGCTGATGCAGGGAAGGATACGAGCATCAAGGACTCGCAAACATCTGCGGCCAAGGCCGAAACCACCGGCTCGGGGAGTCATTCCAGTCCTAAGAAGCGCCGGAAGGTGAATCACGGTAAGGTGCCGTTGCGCAGCATGCGACAGGGATCCGGGCGCGGTCGATTCTGTTGCGCATAACGAGTAGAACATCTTCGCTAATGAGGGTTTTACAATTTTAGCTTGTGTCTATTGTCGCCGCTCGGTAAGCTTAAGTCTTCGAGGATGCTTTATGCGTGGTCGCTTTCTGCGACAGGCACTCGCACATATTCAATGAGGGAAATGGCTTTGCTAACGGGGGTTTGTTCGTGTGTTACAGCATATGACCTGCGACTCGGTACGACGTTTCTGCCTCCCCTTCCCCCGTTCGCGACCCGTCGCGTCTGAAACCCTCTACGCAGAATTGCGGGAAATAAATTGCACCAGCTGACCTGTCTCAATCTATGAAGGAACGTCCCTGCACCAGGTGTATAAAGCGAAACATCGGTCACCTGTGCCATGATGAGCCGAGGGAAACTGCCAAGCGCGGACGTGGCGAACCCGAACATTCGGCTGCAGACGAGGAAGGCTCGTCGAACAATGAACTGGGCACTGTACAAGGCATGCCTAGGAGTATCGACGTCGCCGATGCTGCTGGTCAGCAACCATTCCCGGATACTACGATCGGCATCGCACCCTCGGCTGTGAACCCACCTTCAACGGTGCCACCTGGAAATCTTTCCGTATCTGGCCAGGGCCTTGAGGCAAACTCTCAGCGTGAGTTTACAATAAAACTTGATTTGTCCGCGGACTCGGCTGATGTGGTATGACAGTCATGCAATACAATGACTGGGTAGGTGGTCAAAATCAGTTCCAGGATATGCATTCTCTCCATCCCTCATACATGTTTAATGCACATGAAGTCACCAACGAGTACAATTTGCTTGGAGATTTTCTCAGTAACAGTCTCTTGGACGACGGGGCAATGTTCCAAAATCAAGATATGCAGGGCATCTACACCGACTCATCATTGATGAACTCGATGGGCGGCATAGGTTTACCGAATGGCCTACCTCCCTCGACACATCTCGCACCGCCAGCACATAGCCACGGATTACCAGGAGAATCGATTCAACGACCAACCTCAACAGTCGGCAATGACAAAGCCCGGGAAACATACTACATGACTGCTGCCGATCCGGCAGGGACTGATCCACCGGAGGAGCGGATGAACAAACTCCTCAAAGCAAAATATGATGCCGGACTACTGAAACCATTCAACTATGTCAAGGGATATGCGCGATTGAATCAGTACATGGAAAAGAACATGCAACAAATATCTCGGCAAAAGATTCTTCGGCAGCTCGACAAGTTCCGGCCCAAGTTCCGAGAACGCATGCAGAGCTTGACTGATATCGAACTAATTCTGGTTGAGATGTGGTTCGAGCGAAGTCTCATGGAGTATGATCGCGTCTTTGCCAGTATGGCTATTCCCGCCTGCTGTTGGCGTCGAACAGGCGAGATCTTTCGAGGGAACAATGAGATGGCACAGTTGATTGATGTCCCAGTTGAGGGTCTACGAGATGTGAGTCCCGAACTTGGATGAAAATCAACCACGGCCCATCACACATTACTCACATGTTTTCTTCCTGTAGGGCAAACTTGCTATCCACGAGATCATTGTGGAAGATCAGCTGGTGAGCTATTGGGAGAAGTTCGGGGCTATTGCTTTTGACAATACTCAGAAAGCCATGCTCACCAGCTGCACACTGAAGAGTCCTAACCCAAATTCAACGAGTGGTGGGATTACCTGCTGCTTTTCATTCACGATCAGACGAGACAGCCACAATATGTAAGTCTTCAATTATCCTCTTGACACTGACGTGCTAGAACTAATAATGTGCAGCCCATCACTTATCGTTGGGAACTTCCTCCCCATCGATAAATAACACTCTCAGCGAGACTGATCTATTCTATGTCATACATGATCTCTCTTTGCCATTCTCTTTTGTTCGACTGATTCCCCGAGGGTTGGCTGTGCTCTTTATCAAAAATGTAAGGATATGTACAATATCAAACGGTCTGTTTCGAATGGAATGGCGTCTGGATAGATATCTATAAAGTAAAAGAAATTTTGCTCCGTGTAGTGTATGGTCCCAGGATTTGCGACGGTCAATAGACGATACGAGCATTGGAGTTTGGATTGCAGTGTCCGCGACTCAGAGGTCAACTCTTCCGTCTTGTCCCTCCACACTCCCACCCTTTCCTCTCTCTCCCAATCCCACTCTTGTTTATTTCATCGTCTTCATCTTCTTATCACCTCTTTCATCCTTTCCATCTTCTTTCTTTCTCGTCTTCGCGAATCCTAAATCTTCGCTATGGCGCAACCACTTCAGTCAATCAAGATCCTGACAGGTACAAAAAATAGCTGCATATCACGTCCATATTTGGGTGAAACAACTAATAATCATGGTCTTCTACCTTACTAGATATTGTGACTCTCTTGCAGACAACAATATCCGCGCCCTATGCTTCCACCGGGCCTCTTCTTAGTCCCGATATCATCCTTGCACTAGACAACAATCTCAATCGCAACCCATTCAATTCCAGAAACACGCCACAGGGAAACAGCAGGCTGGACAATCTTGGCACATTGCTTTGGAATACCTGCACGCAGGTGTCACTCTCGCGCGCTGACAATCCAGACGATTCGCAAACGCTTGCAAAAGTGAGAGCTGTTGCATTTGCGGTGTTGAACAAAGCTGTGCCTGCCGACCTCTTAGGTCGGTGAATTTACTTGAGGGACGTTAAAATAAATCAAACTAATCTTTTACAGGATCTCTCAGAGCTCTGGATTTAGCTCTTAGTGCTGCACAGATTTGTCTTGGTACCTCATCCTAGATCTGACTTGATGAATGTATCAGATCTGACGCCGAAAACAGTGAATAGTCAACTTGATATTGCGCTGAATATCCTGTCGTGCGCCGCCCAGAGACTCGCCAATGTCCAGCCCAGTCGTCTTGAACTTGATCCGGCGATCAACCGCACCCTTACCACACGATACTATCTCCTTCGTTGTCGTTTGGTGAGGCGTAAAACTGGGATAACCTTTCTATTCTGACACGACAACTGACGCATGCTTATAGGCCTGGTTACAACGCCGACCAGATCTCGCCGAGCTTTTCTTTTCCAAAGTTCCTGGGCCAGTCTTATCAAAGGATCGAGAATTGATTTTTGAGCTCTGCTTCATTATTGGTGATTCGGCTCTTGCACTGCGCCAGTCCGAGACTGCACTTACATGGCTGCAAAGAGCATCTGAACATTTGCAGTTCTTGAGTATCTCCACTGAGATGACTTTCCCTTCCTTTGACTCATGGAACTTAATTGTTCGCCATTCTATTGGTTAGTGTCTTGGGAATGAATATCGTGGGAAAGCTGAAACCCCCAATTAACATATTGCAGCTGTGGCTTGCACCCAATTGAAAACGCCCCAAGCAATCGCTATTCGCACAAGTGAAATGTTCATCTTGAGAGAAGTATGTTCGAGGAAATCGTCAGGGTGACTCGAGTCTGACCTTTTAGCTTTACCCACAGCAACCCGGGGTGATCCTTCTTGACCTTTCTGTTGGACACAATAATGGTGGTATCAGTGAGTTGATACAAGGTAAAGACTGTTCCTCATATCTAGTTAAGCTGCGCTAATCATATTACCCTAGGTTTCGAGAGACTTCTTGAGGGGATGATCCTTACAGAGTCGAGCATGCCAGTGTGAGTCCTGCTACCAGCATTGGCCTACATCTGTTCATGAATCACTGATTATGAGTCTAGAATTCTTCAGTTCGCCCGATCTTTGGGCCAGACAGGGTACTGCATCACAAGTATTCCATGCCCGTGAGCAATGTTGCTGACCTATATCCAGTGGTTTGGATGACGGAATCCAAGCATTTCGTATTTTACTCACGCGCCCTCTCCCATCCAGCGAGTGGAGAGAAAAATGCTTTGTTTGCTTCGTTCTTCTTTTGAGCAGAATACGGGATTCTGATACTGACTCCACTCATATGAGCACACTTGAGGATATGCTTAAGGAACTAGAGAGCAGTGGATATCCATCGCTCAGTGCCACCGCAGCTCAAGCCGCCATGATTGTAAGACATCATTATCATCCTCACCACTAATGAAGAGAGCTGACTGGCAGTGTATAGTGCCTCTGGAAAATGACAGGTGCTGCAATGCTCAAACAGGACTATTGTACTGGACAGCGATGGCTTCTCATTTGCACTGTCCCCATGATATTCAGAAATTGCTCCTCGCGCATTCAGATCACAATACAAAAGTCAGTTGAACATAGATCGACACTTGTCTTGCGGCTCTATCTGACCTCTCTCTAGAAAGCTGATTGCATGTTATCTGCATAATGGATACATCGATAACGCTCGAACGCTAATGGACCGGGGTCTGGTTCAAAATCCACGGGATTTCCAAAGGATGTATCTGGCTTACAGGTTAAATATGTTGGAGGAAAGAGATGTCTCTGGTATGTACAACCAAATTTGAGCGCTTTTGACCTATTCTAACAACCTCAAAGGATTTTTCCGTCTCGGTTTCCCTTCGGACCCTATACCGAAAAAGCAACTGAGTCTACTATCGTGTGCAATGGAAGCCCAGCGACAGCACAAACCAGAACAAGTGCTGGACTGTCTTGAACAGTTCATCAAGTGCTTGACCTCAGATGATATTTATCATCACGACTTTTCAGCTGCTGAACATTACATGTGAGGACATTTGTAATCAGCGCAGTTCTCTACAACTCTGACTTTTCTACCGTACACAGGTTTGCAATTACGCTTCTTCTTGAAGAGCTCTCCAAAGGCTTCAATCAAAGGCTTGGTCAACACATTGAGACTGTACTTGAGAGCAGTTTGTCTTCCCCTCCCTAAGCTATCGCGCTTCTTGACACTAACCGTCCACCAGCCTCGTCTTTTGTCAAAGAGACCAGCGTATTTGAAGGAGGTGCACAGGAGGTCTCGGTCACTCAACTGCAATGGCTCTACTTCGCGACTTACAAGATTGCTTTGAAACTTAGCAAATCTTCTGGATTTCAGTGGACTGATCCTGTCCTAAAATACTCAAAAGAGGTTTGTTGGATATCTATGCAGAACATGTCTCCGATTATACTTGTTTAACATCTTCACAGTTTGCGCTTCAGTATCGTCGGATTGCCTACCCCGAAACAGTTTCTAAAGCACCCAGGCCACATCTTTTTGCGGTTGCTTATCTCAGTCTTCTTGTTTCCTCACTTGAGGCTCGCTGCGAGGTTGATCCAGCTAAGAAGGTTCGTGTCAAAAGAGAATGCTACTCTCAAATGTCATCATAGTTTATACCACGGCCATACTGATCACCACCAGAAATCACACTACGAGAACGTGCGCACTTCTTTCAATGAACTAGATGATTTGTTCGGCTGGGACGACGGCGAAGAAGAGTCAGATCATGAGGTGCATGTGAAAGAAGACCGACACCATGATATCGCGCAATTCTTCGACCTCGAGGCTGCTATGCATCTCGAGCAGTGGGAAGATGTCACAAAAATATCCGAATCCGATGATGCGTTCCCCAAATCGAAATTTCACGCGCCGATCATGGATCTCACTCTCCAACTGAGCTTACCACCCGCACTAGCGGTCAAAATCATTAAGGTGCGCTCGCTTTGTTAGCTTAAATTCTAGCTCTTATACTGACATATAATAGCGAATCGTCAGCAAACTCGGGGCAGCAGAGGCCACTTCAGGATTGCCCATTACTTCATGGCAATACAATCCCCGCATTGCGCTGCCTCGCTATCTACATTGTCTGTTCATCCTGGCCATAGCACCACGTTTAGATGTGCAAGACGTTCCTGGACTTGCCCACCTCAATGTTGAAATGGTCGATCCTGAGGTCGCCGAACGAGTGCTCGACCAGGTCATCGCAATGGGAGCCGCGGAGGCAGAAGTCAAAAGTGAAGAACAATCTGAGCAATCCAGTCTCGGTATTCCCCAGCGCGATTCAGAGCTTTATCCTTTCCGTGGCAGATTTACATATCCGACCCCGGAGTTGATCAAGATTGCCACCATGGCGTTCAATAAGGCCTGTGAATTCTACCGTGTTACTAGGGACGAGGAGTGTCAGCGTTGGGCAAACAAGGCGATTAGTGTTGCTCAGCTTGTGCCTGGCTCTGAGGGCGAGGCCATGGTCAGGGTGCTTCGAAACAGGCTATCCAGTCTGATTAGTGTCTAAGGACTTGAGGAACTGCTAGATCATGTTGACCTAAAGAGGTCGGTTGAATGGGTGATGCGAGCAGCCTATGGAATGGATCAAGTGAGTCTGGATGCTTGAAAGTGTCTATTTGGGGGGTTGATGGAGCTTCATTGAATGAGATTACAAGATGGTTTGGGGCAAGATGGAGGAACCAATTTGTGGATCGAATGAATTATGATGGACTTCTAAGACAAAACTTACGAAACTCAAAAAAAGAATGAAACTGTGTATGATTATGCTTTCCTGGCCAAAAGAAATGCGAAGAGAGAAGACTTGCTCATGGTAAGACGGCCTATAGCCTCAAATGGTAAATGTGGGTATCATCAGAAGGGTAATGATCTCTAGGAAATCAGGGAGAAAATGGAATAAGGAAAGGAATATCGCCCAAATCACCGAAAATCCAGTAAATGATGCAAAGATGCAAGATGGGAAACAAGAAAAGAAAAAAATCAAGAGAATGCACAGGCCGAAAAGCCGGTATAGAGAAATAAAAGTCAAGTGACCAAGGGAAATATAGGACCAGAATGGCAATGCTGCTCCACAAAGCATAATATAGTTGCCCGGCAGTGAGCCGGTGCGGTTTATTCGTCTCGAGTTGCATCGCAGGAGCGGCTCCGCGAAACTTGCCGCATGCCCTTTTCTCGTAAAGAGGGGGTGGAGGGCATACGTTGGGGAGCGCGAGGCGACTTGGAGTTAGACGAGATGCTTTGTTTTCGCTGCCCCTCCATATCTCTACCGCTGCTATCCGTCTCTGTCTCGCCACTCTCATCGCTACTCTGTCCGCGATCACTCACAATGCGGAGTGTGAGACTGAGCTCGCGCTCGAGCTCCTTTTGGGCCTGGGGGCATTGTTTTGAGGTGTGGAGTTTCTTGCGGTAGGCGCGGAGACTGCGGCACAGCTGCTCGGTAGACATGTCCAGGCCTCCGAACTCCGTGCGTGGTGTTGGTTTGCCACGGTTGCGGAAATCGTGGGATGTGCGGCGATTGGTGGTCCTTGTGCTGGCTGGTTTTCTGGATGTTGAGATTTTCGATTTGGGGCTCATGGGTGATGGGGACCGCCGTCTTTGATCATGAGGTGTACCTAGTGTTGGAGACGTGCGGTTGGGGGGCGAGTATATTTCTGAGCGGGCATGGTTCTTTAGTGATGATGGTGCCAAAGATAGTCGTGACATCTTGCGGGGTAGGGTTGGAGAGTGCGCTCGGACAGGGGTTGGTGTTAGGGGATTGGGACTATCTGGACGCTGAAACCCAGCAAGCTCGCTGCGAGAAAGAACTTTCCGGAGAGGAGGTCTGGCTGCGGTCATTTCCTTTGCAGGGGTTTCATCGTCATCACGTCCGGTGGGGTCTGAGGAGACATGCTGCTGGACTGACAAGTTCCATATCATCAGAATGCCATCCATGCCAGCAGTGACTACAGTGCGCTTGATTTGAGAGCCATCCGAGGTATCACGTTTCTCTAGAAGTAACACATCAGTCACACCTTCTGTATGACCAAACTCGCCAGTGAGGAGCTGATCTCGCTCCAGGTCATATATACGTATAGATTTGTCGGTGCTCGAGACACCTATGAGAATCTTCGGTGTTTGACCTGAGATCTCGGGTGCGACGGTCAATGAACCCAAGACTACCGCATCAGTTGTCTCCGAATCAGATGCTTTGAAACAGTGAAGATGGCGCCCAGAGAGGATGTCAAATTTCGAAACACAACGGTCCATGGTAGAAAGGTATAGTATGTTCGAGTCGTCTGGACACAATGCCATGGACACGGGGGACGCTTTTTGAGTGATGACTCTGGAGATGAGATAGGCAACAGATGTACCATCATCCATTTCGCGCGTCGCTCGGTCTCTTATGACAACAGTGCGGTCAGCAGAGCACGAAAGCAACTTTTCGCCTTCATTGATGAACATCAATTGTCCAACAGCCCCGACGTGATCGTCCATGGTTTGAACCAAGTACAATTCAGTGCCTCGCTTCTCGAAGAGCTGCACCATCCGATCACGACCAGATGTAGCTATGAGCCAGAAATCATCCATTGCTTGAATAGCCACATCTGTGATTTCCCCACCATGAGCACGTACCTGGTTGAGGCAAGCCCAGTCGGTGTTCGAAAAAGTCCTATATCAAAAGCGTGAGTTGAATAATCTACCCGGTGTCTCGACATTGCACATACCTCAATACGCCAAACTTGTCACCTGAGACGAACCAGTCCGTATTTTCAGCGGTTCGCAAAATTTTGAGTTCATTTGCTGCATCCTCATCATTTCCTGGAAACTGGTCGAGGTCGATATTCTTTGATCCTCGACACTTTCCTTGGGCATCCCAAAAGTTCACGGAACCATTGCGAGACCAGGTAAAGAAGTCTGCGGACAAGTCGTTGGGGAAATCCATGCGGCAAATTCCAAGAATAGGATCTCTGTGGGCAGGCATAGAAGCCTCACCCTCTTCCTGCTCGCCGTCATCGCGTAGAGTGTCAATCGGATAGACATGAATCGCACGGGTAGATTCAACAGTAACCAGATGAGTGTGAAGAGATCCCATGCAAGTAATTGCCGGTGCCTTGCTTTTCTTGTCAGACGCACCCTTCTCTAGGCGTGTAGGAGACGCCGGAATCGACGTCCTAGAAGATCGTAGAACTTCAAACGGCACCCGTTGCATTTGCCTTCCGCGCCCACCTAACCAAACTGATTCCTGGTCAAAATCCACGGCTAACGAGGTGATACCGAAGCCAAGTTGCTTCACTGTGGTCATCTTTTGAGATCCTTCACGGTCATCGAGAAAACAAACTGCGCCAGAGTCTGTACCGATTACAGCCTCGTGAAAAGAGATATTGCTCACGCAAGTAAAGGTGTTGTCGCCCAGGGCACCGAGTAGACAATTCCTGCCAGAAAGTGCTTTCGGGGCAGGATTGGGCGAAGGGCTAGCTCCCTCGACGTTCAGCCGTGTCTTAGTTGGTGACATAGGTCGCACCACCGTTGGAAGACGCCATACCTTAACATGTCGTAGACCAGTCCTAAATGAAGGGGTTAGTTGATTGCTAACTACTGCCTCTTGATTCAACATACGTAACCAGACTTTGACCAACCCAACACATATCCTTGATAAACGCGGTGCATTTGTTAGCGGAGTGTAGCTTGGCCGATCCATTCTTGAGGTTGATTGTCCAGATGAAAAGAAATCCATCATTGGGGTTGCCGAGCGTTGCCAAATACTGGGAGTCGGGACTGAACGCTAAGCCGCGAACACCGAACGTGTGCTCGTTTAGAATAGATAATGGAATATCCGGCAAAGCATCTTTCGCTGTCGAAAATATTAAAACTCGAGGGTTGTACCCAGTCTTCACGTCGTCAGCTGGTGTTGCGGTCTCACATCTCACACTTTTATCAATATCCTCCACTCACCTCTCCAACTGCAAGGAATCTTCCATTGGGGCTGATCGAGACACTCGTGACTGCTTTGATTCTTTCCCTGGAGGACCACCCACGAGGGCTACCGGCGTCAACGACTTCGCTTGATGGAGATCCATTGGGTATATTGAGGTGTGGATTGGACCGTATATGGGAAAGCGATCGTGATCTTGGGTCCGGGGTTGCTGGTGGAGTTGACTGGTTGTAAAAAGAAGTTGACGGGTTCACACTGGTTGCAGAGGGGCGGGCTCGGAAGAAACGCTGGGTAATGTTGTCATTTTCGTCTAATTCTGCGAGAACCGCTGCTGATCCAGCGCAAAGCGCAAAACTCTTGCTCATGTCATGGCTCGAGAAGCCATTGGGGGTGGTTGTGGTTGTACCGATAACGGTTTGGAGGGATAAGGAGGATTGGTGGGAGGGTTTGCTGGGAGATCGGTTGCCAGGTCGGAGAATTGGAGAGTTCGAGGGAGTGATTTTCAACGAGGCACCGGGTCCAGCAAGCTTGCTTTTTGCACCAAGAGGGGTGGTGGAAGACATATCCTCGGGGGCGGTGATCGGTGGTTCAAGGTCCCCTGAGTGCGCGGGGTGTTTGCATTTCAAGGTGATTTCATCAAATTGGTTCCCTGCTGCTAGACCGGCTGTACCGAATGTCAGGAATTTTGTGGAGGTGAGTGGTCAGGAGAGAGTTGTGCGGGAGGATCGTGGAATTAGTGGGGGCAAGCTGAATTGAAGCTCTGATCAGCGAGGCCCAATCTCCATGCACAACAAAAGCGTCTAGTACTCAGCTAGAGCTTTGAAAGGGCGTAATGGTGGATGAGAACAAGGTAATTAACACAAAGCTCTCAGTCCGCGCGAAGAAGGTCATTCCAGTTGAGCGGAGGAATCTGAGCCTTGAGTCTCTACTTTGCCCCTAGCTTCATGGGAAATTGGGACTTTTGCTTGCTGATTGGCCCTTGATTTGACCTCTGCTTGTACTTGAGGAACGGATTCTCCCTTGCAGGCCCTGGATCTCTGCCCGTCTTGCTCGATCCGCGAAAAAGCTTGAGATGAACGGTGGGTCGTGTACGCACAGGTCGCCGCACTAAGCCTCTGGCTTTTGGGGCTCGTGGGCTTTGATGGCTGGGGTATGTTTGGTGCTGCAAGGTATACGCTGCGGATGTGTGTCCCCGGTCAAATGAGGACAGGCCCAAAGGAGATCTAAAAGAAATTCAAAAATAGAGGTATTTGATCTGAGAGCAGTCTTCTGACCTGTACAACTTCGGAAGGCCTCGACTGAGTTGCACGTGTCTCGAATCCCCCGATCTCGTGGCCCCCAATGCCCTAACTCCAACCCATAGTTCCCCTGCCCAATTGCTCATACGAAACTCACCTACGATACAATCCATTGTAATCTATTGCTATCTGTGACCATTTAGACAGGAATGACTATTCATATGTTTCGCAGCCTTATCATACATATCAACTCCAAGGGAAGTCTCATGTACGTGTAACCTGTAAGTTCTAGAGTCCTGGCCCAAAACCCATATTTCTTCTATAAGATTGACTATAAATGTTTTGCTGGACCATAATCTCGCGTCTCACTGCTTTATTCAACTAGCTACATAATCATCAATCTCTATCTAGATGGTTTGGGTGCTGAACATTGATCTAGGCTGTTGGTTGTCAGGTGATTCCTCATGTCCATACAGTTATGATCGCATGATGTCTTGCCAGACCCTTGTCTATTTATTCCTTTGGGCTTGAGAAATTGGAAATCATGACAGGTGAACAGGCAACTTATAGTTCATTGACCCGAAGCAGGAGTATGATGATTTGGTTTTGTATATATATTCTGCAACAGTGTAGGTCAATTAACTAGTATACACATGCGAGTTCCAATCAACCAAGCTAGTCCAGCTTCATTTTAGTCTTGATCATAGCTACCTTATTGAAGGATTTTTCATTGGGTGGGCCTATATCATTTGCTAAAACTTCTCGTTGAATTAGTTCAAAATCTATATATTGCTTCCATAACGAATCAATCTGACTATAAAAACGAACATCGCACTCTTATGTGGTGATCATATCACAAAGAATGTCACTGCCCTAGAGATCATGACATATTCGTACCTGTATGTAGTCAAATATTTAGATCTGATGTTTATCCATCTTCCAACTCACTCTTATCTACCTTCTCTTCCACTTCGACTTGCCATTGTGTTTTCCCGCTCGAAAATGTCTACGTGGCTCTTCGATTAGCGATTCTATTCCATTACTACCCTTTCAGAATTCGCAACGTCATTTTTTTCTTCCAGGCGATGATTCTTATTTCATTTAATTCAACGCTCTGTCAGTCCACAAGAGACGAGGTTCAGTACGCCCACGGTGACCACTAATGAAGGAATGAATGAATGCTATAGATAATACCACACTCTAAACTGCACGTTACTTCCAGCTCATCTCGTAACTTGGCCCCTTGTATCCCGCAGCAGGGCTAACGGAGATTCATTCCACAGAAAAATGGGGGATTGAAGCTTCAAATCAATGTGCCCAGACAGGGCGGGAAAGGGCTCGGGCGTTGTCACGAACAACTCTTGAAGCACACTGGCCAATCGACTTTCAATGGAGGCATAATCGTCAAGAATGGAATTCAAACCACTAGCAGTGCCCATAGTAGGGCTTGTCTAGTAGAAACAATTTAGTGTGTCATCGAATGGGAGCTTGTTGAGGACAATAGCCAAACATGGTACACGATAGACGCTCGTAGCAAACTTCCAAGAACCTCCAAAGACTCAAACAAACAAGGATGTCCAGAGCTTCCACCGGAGGCTAGAAATGAGCAGGAAGTTGCATTGGGCGTTATTCAAACAGATACTTAGGATGCTGCGCCTCGAAAACGAAGGAGCTGCGAAAGCATTACCGCTGAGTATGGAGTATCTCAATGTCAGAGTCTACTGCTGAGAGAGACGTCGAAATGTATCATGGAGATGTTGATTGAGGAAGAAGACTAAACTAAGCTATGGAAAGAGGGAGAGATCTGACACTCAACCTGGAAAATATGCGAGTTTGTTAAAGTCTTTTGACTTCTGCTTAGCAGTAGATCCTCTCCTGCCTTTCTTAATAGGCGAATCTAGGTGTTTTCAGTTTCTCTATCCATTGTAGAACCGCATACCCAATAGACTTGAATTTCCTAATGTGCTGCTTGTATCCTTCACGCAAAATACTCCCCGGTCCTCAGAACAGAGACACTACTTCATAGCTGACGAGTATTCCGTCTGGCAGAGAATTTCCCACCGAGTCATCGCGGAACAGCACCTAGCTCTGCCCGAGATCTTCGACTCACCTGGCATTTCAGCTGATGGTCATACGAGCAGACTGTCCATCAATGACTGCCGAGGCCCCTTGGCTATAACATTACAAGAATATCGATCCTAGGGGACCCCTGTTCCAACGCAGTACAGAGCAGTCTTGCTCTTGAGGAGCTCAACTGCGCCAAAAGCTTCCGATAGTACCAGAGAGGTAAGTTATGTGCTATCCCAGCGACAATGTCTCATTTGGCCATAGAAAGCTGCATTGGTGGGTTCTGCTAGATTAAATAATGTGGACATAAGACATCAACCTGTGCAAACAGATCTGAAAAGCCAGATTTGCAACCAATAGCATTTTGGTAAGACCAAATCGATTGGAATTTCGTCGAACGAGATGAGTTGATGCCAGATCCCTCAGGCCAACATTTATTTTGAGGCTTATCTTATCGCCACCAAATTCCCTTCACTCGACATTCTGCTCTTGCCTTCATCCATCGTCAAATTTGCTCTACTTTGCCTTTTTTTTTAGGCTGCGGTTGTTTCCTACAATGGCCATCACATGCACTGCTTCATCGAGACTGGCTTTACCTGCCGTTTTGCGCAATGTCTTCCACTCTCAGAGCGCCAGTAATTTCGGCGCTTCATCAATAATTCCTTATCGTCGACCTGTTGCTTCTGGTCTTTGTCCCTCGAATCTTCCATTGCAAAGATCTTTCACTTCAATTTCGCGCTTCGGTGATTCCCAAAATGAACAATCAGAGCACGCAAGCTCTGTAGCCCCGGCCGGCGTCGATGCCCCTGTGCCTCAACAGAAAACAGTGAGAAAGAAACATCACGATTCAAAAGGCAACAAAACTGGATGGAACACACATAAGGGCCAGTTTAAGGGTCAGCGGCGAGGCTCAGAAATCAGAACCGGAAGAACCGACAGAGAGCGCAGAGCTTTCCGCAACGAGACTCGCAGGGAAGCCGAAAAACAACCTCGCAGAGCTTGGCAAGACATGGCCGAGAGAGCAAAACAGGATCTTGAGAAAAGGGGGAATAAAAAGCCTGAGCATTGGCAAGTGCAGAAAGCGGCATTGAAAGAGAAATTTGCCGAGGGTTGGAATCCGACCAAGAAGCTTTCGCCTGATGCGCTCGATGGAATCCGTACCCTTCATGCGAAAGCCCCCGAGAAATTCACGACCGCTGTTCTTGCGGAAGAGTTTGAGGTGTCCCCGGAAGCCATTCGTCGAATCTTGAAGAGCAAATGGCGCCCGTCGGAGGATGAGATGGAGAGTCGGCGCAAGCGCTGGGAGAACCGACACGATAGAATTTGGAGTCGCATGGCAGAGCTTGGTCTTCGGCCCTCGACCAATCGCACGCGACCTGTTTCAGACTTCCATGTGCTGTACGATGACAACAATCGCGAGCGAAGATAGTCGTTTGTGTACATTATACTGTCCTTAGATTAGTTTGCGCCCTGTACAATATGTAATATCAGTTTAGATTTCCTCCCTCTCTTCTTATCTTAAACACATAAGACACTTAACTAAAAACCCCCATGTACTTGCAGCCCTGGAAAGAACATTGAGTCTTCGCAGGTTGAAAGGGTGGATATAATATGTCATTGAGTATCCCGTAGTTTGGGGTGGAGCTAGGTGCAAGGATATCACCGCCACGCAATTCCCTCGGCAACACATCTTCAACTCTACAACCAACATGGTTCATTCTGGTTGACAGAATGCTCCTGTCGGCACATTTCACCAAGCTTCGACCTAACTACAGCTCATCGTGCCGACAATTCATCCTAGGCCTTGAGAGCCCCCCTCGAACTGCAGCCCACATGCTGACACGACCGCCATGCCATCCAACATTCAGGTCTTCGTGAAATGGAAGGACCAGACAATATTTGCAGGAGAGGATGTGGAATGTACTATAACGTTCAAGAACGTGGCAGATACTAGCCCTGACGCTCATCATGGGGGCGAAGAAGGTCGACATTCACGAAAGGTCTCTCGAGTCGCGAATCGCACACCTAACCCGAACTCGGAAACTTTCTTTGGATTCAAATCACCCCAGGCTCTATTTTCCGGTCGGCGATCATTTTCGATCAGCTCGCAGCGAAAGCCTTATCACCGCACAGCCTCCTCTCTGAGCTCGCCGTTAGTTGGCTCCCACAGTTTTCCCCCAAACAGCGGTACCTCTACACCGCGAACGTGGCAACCAGGGCACAACCATCAACGATCCGTTTCCATTCTCTCGATTGATAGTGAAGGTCAAGCCGATCCGGCGCCTTCCCCGCGCCAGTATAATCGATCTCTACCGGCCAGGGGCCACGGGCGCTCGGCGAGTCTCCAGGTTCTGCCACGGAGACAGAATAGCTACGAGGATTCTTACAAGAAAGGTACGTACTGGACATTTAACAAGAGTTTTTAAAGACCATCAGATTAATAAAGATCCTTGGTTAGCGAGAACTCCCTCTCACGCTTTTCCCTTCCCATTGACAGAAGCTCCTAGCGAGCATCCTAATGGCAGCCTCAGAGTTGATACCTCCAATTTGGGGGGATCCAACCGCCCCGGCTCTTTAGCCACAAGCCCAGTAGGGCCAGTAGAGCCATTGCGCCCGCCTTCACGGCGACCCCAACCGCCTGCCCTCGATTTCAAGTTTCCCGCCGCGCCTCCGACCGAATCAACGAACAACCAAACCGTGCGCACTCCGTCGCCGAAGTCGGCAACCACCAATGGCACAACATCAACCGGAGGAAGATCAACTATTAAAGATGCGCAGGGTCTTACCGGACCAGCGCACCAACAACTAACTCGGATTATATCAGCCACAAGCGTGAATGCGAGCAGCCGGAGTAGCGGGGAGTTCTACTCTGTGAGTGACCACTCCACTGAGACTCTCGGATCTGAGTACACAAACTATTCGGTACAGGGTGCAAGAACTCTCCCTTCCATGCGGCATATGCGAAATCATTCGAGCGTAGCTCCACCTACTTCCAAAGCTCTTAACAGCCAGGCGCTGCTTATGGGCTATGCGCAAGTTAGCGCATCTTTCACAGTCGATGGTTCATTGGTGAATCAGGCGGCTTTCGATGAAGTCAAACGAAAAGGAGTTGTCGGCGGGCAAGCGGGCGCTGGAATTCCTGGCCGCGCACCGCCAGCAGCCGAGCGACCACGCAAAACAGGTGGATTCTGGGGTGCACTCAAATGGAACACCATTGAAGAATCCATCAATGGCCTCCTCTCAAATAACGAACTGGATGGACTACGCGAAATGCGTGGCGTAACATCGTCGAGATCAATCCCGCTGTTGTCCACCTCGCAATCCCTCCTTTTTGTGGACCTTCGACTGGCACCGGGGGAGGAACAGTCATATTCCTTCTCTTTCTCTCTTCCTAAAGGACTCCCGGCGAGTCATAAAGGCAAAGCTATCAAAATCTCATATAATTTGGTCATTGGGACTCAGCGGCCTAGCGGGCCCAACGAACCTCAAAAGGTCAACCGCATCAATATACCCTTCCGTGTTTTCAGCGGCGTGAATGGTAAGCTAGACCCTTTACTTTGTCCTCTATTCCACGAGTTAACAGTTTCCCAGAAAAGGGAGATGTCCTTGGGCATGACTTGATGTCACCCTATGTTCTTCTACGGGATGAAGCAAAGGTGCAAAAGGTCGGGCCCGTGATCCCAATGATAGCGAGAAAGCAAAGTATCAGCAAATCTAACCACTCTGCCTCGGACTTCCTTAGCTACGTGGATGAAATCTTAGAGCAACGTGCGCGTTCTAACACACTCTTTCCACCTGGCGCTCTGCCCTCGAGACGACCTAGCGTCGAGGGATTGCCCCAGATGCTTTCCAGCAAAGATATCATTGACTTTGCCATCCTCCGCAGTAACCAGGCTATGAATTCTCGTCGCAGCCCTAATCGCTTTGAGATCGCTCGTGAAGGCCAACGCATTGCGGAGGTTGTTCTAAACCGACCAGTTCATCGGCTTGGAGAGACTGTCATCGCCACTATGGATTTTGGAAATGCTACCATTCCGTGCTATGCAGTCCGTGCCTCGCTAGAGACATCTGAAAAAGTCTCTCCTACTTTGGCCATTCGATCCCATGCCAGCATTCACCGAACGACGCGACGCATTCATGCTTCTCTGTTTGAGAACACACTCCATGCCACCCGCGTAGTCTTCAGCCCTGCTATCCCTGTTGCAGCCACGCCTTCCATCCTGACTAGTGGCGTGACTCTCGATTGGGAACTGCGGTTCGAATTTGTGACCTCCAGTGTTCGAGGCGATCAAGGGACCCCACCATCGGGAACCCGATTGCTCGAGACTTTGTCGTCAGATGATCGTGGCCAGCTGTTGTGTGCCATGGAGCATTTGAACTGCGAATCGTTCGAAATCTCTATCCCACTGACTGTGTATGGAGAAACTGTTCGAGAACGACTGCCAGAGGAGAATCAGGGCTACCCGATCTAGAATTCTAGATGTACACATTTGCCTTGCAGTCATGTTTGATTTATACTGTTTGATTTCTAAATATTCCCCTGTGTTATGGGAGAAACTCCCTGCAAATATGGGCCCACCGGGCTCCCGGACTGCAATGTATAATTGATATTGGATTTGAAGAACTCCCTGTAACTGGAAGACTACATGTAGGGAGGAACATGGGTAGATCTTTACATCAAATCGCAATTTCGATTCTCATCTTATAGTTCTTATAGTTCTGACGTAGGGCTTGGTAACTGGGGCAACGCGGTCAAGATCAGGCCTCACTGTATCAGCTGGGTGGAGCTGAACCCCCGATAACACATCTCTCTCCTTGCGCGTTCTTCTGTTTCATCCCAATTTATCATTCAGGATTGTTGATACCCAGGTAAGACACCGAAAGACTGCAGTCTGCAACCTGCACTTCTGCACTTCTGCACCCCTTCAATCTCGGACGATAACCCGTGACTGACATTGGAATGTAGGCACCTCGCGATCAGCGCAATCCCCACCGAATACAACCCTACCGAGAGGGATTGCTTTTTTTTTTCGAGGCTGAGAGAAGATGGCTTCATTCATCACCACCATGTCTGTCCCCGCTACCCCTCCTATTGCTCATGTTCCTTGCCCTGGAGAGAGTGCCTCTCACTGCTCGCAATCCAAGTCCCCTTCTACCAGCCCTACCCTGTATCAGACCACTCGCTTTTCTTATGTCCCCTTCTTGGAGCCTCCCTCATACCTGTCACCCGCGGTGCGCGCACTCAAACAAGGCTGTCTTGGACTAACACCTCCCAGTAATGCCCGCACCCGCGCTCCCTTCAAGCCCCGCTCGGCCGCGAAGGGCACGAGTAGCTACCAGCTACGACAATTCGCGGAAGCCACACTTGGAAGCGGAAGCTTGCGCAAGGCCGTCAGGTTGCCCGAAGGCGAGGACTTGAATGAATGGCTCGCCGTGAATAGTAAGACTCCCACCCTTACTGAGATGTACTGCGTCCATTGGCTAATGTTTGGGCGATATAGTTGTCGACTTCTACAACCAGATCAACCTTCTTTACGGCTCAATAACTGAGTTCTGCTCGCCGCAGACATGTCCCGAGATGAAGGCCACAGATGAGTATGGCTACTCTCCTTTGGCAGTTGATGATCCTCCGGCTTACAACTTCCAATAGGTTCGAGTACCTCTGGCAAGACTCGGAGAACTACAAGCGCCCGACCAAGATGTCTGCCCCGGAATATATCGAACACTTGATGTCCTGGGTCCAGGGTAACGTCGACAACGAACAGATGTTCCCTAGTCGAATTGGTATGATTCCCTCGCCGTCTCATGGTCTAGTCCCATTGCTTACCTATCTGTTTGTTAAAGGCGTTCCATTCCCCAAGACCTTCCCCAGCCTTCTTCGCCAGATCTTCAAGCGTTTATATCGCGTCTACGCTCACATCTACTGCCATCATTACCCCGTAGTGGTGCACCTCGGTCTCGAACCTCACCTCAACACCAGCTTCAAGCACTATGTCTTGTTCATTGACGAGCACAAATTGGCCAGCGGAAAGGATTTCTGGGGTCCGCTGGGTGATCTGGTGGATAGTATGTTGCGCAGTGACTAAGAGTCAGAAAATCGGGTGGTAATTCCATTCGCATCTGAACTGAACTCCCTAGCCATCCTGGCTCATGGAGGAAAAGGGCATCTCAATGGCGTTTCGGGTGCGGTGCATGCATTGCAATATCTTAGCTTGGACTTTTGGCGTTAGGGGCTTGACCTGATGCCTAGATTGAAATGGTAAATCGCATGGATATTTTTCCTACTTCATTCCTGCTCTAGTACTCTGTATGGGGGTAAAGGTGACATCCATAGGGCCAAGGTAGTGGCTCAAACCTGAGCTGATACTCCCCAGGCTCTTTGTTCCTGCAATTTAACCTGAACAGGTTGATCCTTCGAGTGGAGATACAACACTGAGGCATCAACTGGATCTGATTGATCTGATGCGTATTCGGGATGTCTCAGCTAAAGACTGTGATCTACAAGCGCGTTTCGGCGCAGAATACAAACATGGACGTGATCTTGGAATATATCCCTTTCCAATATGCTATGGGGTTTGTTTTGGCAGGTAAAATCAAATGCTAAGAAGCAAAAATGGCACGTAGATTTGCTATGATATGCAAAAAAGAAATAGAGATAATACAAATGTACACATATACACAACCCTTGATTCAATCTCTACTTGGCCCCCACTTTGATCCCGACGTGGCCATTATTTCCCGGCCTTTCAGTCAAGCTGAGGCTATCCCACTCATCAAGGAATCGATCCAATTCAACCTCATCAACATCATCAGTTGCACCCCTCTGGCTGACAGAGAGAGCAAAGTTCGGATAAAGACTGCTGAACCGCTCCCGATCCCCTGTCTTCCAAAGCTCATCTTCGAAATCTTTCAAGAGAACCATTGTGTCTCTGGGAAGTGGCACCCCCTGCTTGATGGCTGTAAGCTGTACAAGTCGAAGCATTCCTTTCGCGAACTGCCAGCGGCGAGCAAGTGCACGAAGAGGGATCAAGATCTCCACGAAAACGGCCTTGTTGCGTTCGTCTTCCATATCGTCGAGCAGTGTGAATAGTGAGATGGTAGCGTATTGCATGGTCGCCATTGGTATGCACTCAATTGGCCAATTGGAACGTAGTCGGTTCAAGATCGTGCCGATGTTGTGAGCTGAAGACATTCGCAGTCTCTTGATTCGCTCTTGGATGGCCAGGTCGCGCTCTTTCACTATTGGCACGATGAATCCTAACATGATCAAGATTGCCATGTAGTATCGCATGCTTTTCTGGTGATTTAGTGTTTGGCTTGGTTCGCAATGGTTGGGATCTGGACTTACTGCAGCTCCATGGCACCGGGCGTCGGCGTGTTGCCTAAACGGATACATTCAGGTAGTTTTGCTGCACACTGTTCGAGACGGCTATGGAAGGAATCAATCTTCTCCAGGTCAATGTTGTCGGGCTTTTCGTCGCCAAACAGGTAGTCAGATATCTCCCACATGATCAGTGACTGTTCGAATTGTGCGTTGAGAATACAGTTGGTATGGGCTGGGACAGGCTCAGCCTGACGAGGGTAAGGGATCCAAGTATCATTTGGATCATGGGTTTCGGGGAACCTTGCAAGTTCGCTTGGTCTCTTGATGATTGATCGTTTTTGGAAACTTAGGGTGGCAATCCTAGCGGAGGTATAGGTTTAGTATATCTTCTGTCTCTTTTTGTTCCAAGAATAGGTGGCTTACGGGTTCAAGCTGAACAAACCATAGACTGCCGTGTCGATCGCTCTTGCCATTTGCTCGCCCTGCTCGTTGGCTTCTGCGATCATCTTCTGTCGTTTCTGCAGAATCTGACGGACACAGTCTGATATCTCCACGAGATACTGCCAACCAAGTCTGTCTTTGCCTGTCACACAAGCACTTTTTATGCGAGTCAGACCCCGATCCGTTGAAAATATATGGGATGGAAGTTACCTGGTGTATATTTCTCCCCAGGCGATCAGAGTGGTCAGCGGTAGTCGGCCTTCCTCTTTCTTCATCAGGGCCATTGCCTCCTGGAGGAAATGGTCTCCGCGCGATCGAGGGTCGCCTGGTATAGCGAATGCTTCGGGGTAGTCTGAGTAGATCTTGATATCAGGGAGCATTAATTGAGAGGCCGATGAAACGAATCAGGATTACCCACACAAGCCACGGCTAGCATACTGTTGACCAGCAACGGCGAACAAAATCGGGACTCCAGATTACCAGATTTCATATCAGCAAGAAACAAGTCACGATCGAGCCAGTTCAAGATCGAGTGTTGCCATGTAAAATACAGCGAAATGAGATGCGAGACAAAGGCATCATCTGCTGTAACCGTCGTCCATGGCTTTGCAGGTACCTCAAATAAAGGTATATCTGCAAGTCTGTTTACATCCATATACCTTTGCGGGGAGGTTTTCGGCACTGAGACTCGAGCATTGTATGCATCGCTGGGACTCTGGGCGTCAGCCAGGCATAGCCGAATCTCGTCTAGAGGCGCGTTACTGCGAATCAGATTGAGCACGTCGGGGGCCTGTTCGTCATCATTGTTGCGAATAGCCTCGACGAGTCGCACCAGCAGATCGCGATCCAATTCTAATGACTCAATCTTGCGTTTCAAAGTAATTCGTCGCCGGCCATCATTTTCGGTATTGACCTTACACTCTGTGTTTGCTTTCTGGCAAGGCGCGCAAGGATTGCCTCCGACACACTATCTCCCGTTAGCAAACACTCTCCACAGCCTCGTCGAGAGAAGAAAGATACAAACTTTTGACTTTCGCTTCTGACACGCCTCGCAGGCAGTAGTTGCTTTTTTACCACGTGGTAGTGGGTGTCTTCCACTTGGGGGCTTTGAGTCTGGTCCAGGAGCAAGAGCCTGGTTGGCATTCTGTGAAGACATGGTGTCAAGTCTCAAATGTATCGCGTTGTTAAAAGAATTGGGCAAAATCGGCGAATGGCCGTGGACTATAACCCCCAGCCGGATATGTATTTCCACCCCCTCTCTACTTTGTAACTAATGGTGGCTCGGCAGAATCTTACTGGGCGATGATTGGATCGTTGTGATTTAGCCTCGATGAAGGCAAACAATGAGGCCCATCAGGCTCATTTTCTTTGGTCTGGCAAAGAGTGTGTGGTCCCTTCCCAAGTCAGCTAAGATGCACCAATGCCAGCCTAAACCTGCCTCTAAGCCACTCATGGATTGGACCCTCCTAGGTCTCCCGTCTGGGCAATCAACCCCGAAACCCAAGCGGAGCTCAAACGAGACGAAATAGCCAGTCAACAAGTAGAGAAAAACAGGAATTGGCATGCCGTTTTGGGAATGGGTGTACTATATCCCTGCTCGTCACGTCCATCACATATAGTTTCGTTCAAAATTAACCGGTTCTGGTCAGTGGGAGGTATAGATTGCAATTAAATCATGCCAATAGGGTTGCACCTAGGGACACTGAGGTCTACTTCGAGATGAGATTACTAAAAATCAAGGAATAATTACTCCACATCAACCTCCCCGGGGCTGATGGGCTGACACGTGTGACAGTCTCAACAAGACATTAACGGCCACTAGCGTCCAGCTGTCACGCGCGAGTCATTCCAAGGTTTGTGGCGACGATGAAGGACGAAGGACGGATTGCGACGGGGTAACTGCGCCAAGGATTTATATACACGTGACATCTGGGCACGTGACCACGGGAACATTCGGCCCGGGCGTTCTCAACCTTGCATCCTTGAACGAAAGCAACAGCCGCTCGATATCACCTTCCCATCCAACCCCTCTGTGTCTCTCCTCTCTCCTCGAGGTCCTCCTCCAGACAATTGCACAATGATGTCCGCTCGCTTCGCCCGCGCTGGCCTCCGTGCCACCCAGCTCTCCGTCCCTCGCACCGCCGCCGTCAACGGCCTGCGATCCTATGCCACCCCGGCCCAGGAGACCCGCGCTCCCATCGCTCTGTTCGGTGTTGATGGCACCTACGCCACTGCTCTGGTATGCACCTCCATTGCCCGGTCCTGCACGCGACCGTGTTCCAACCTCTCGCAAACCCGTCTTTCCCCGACCCCTCCCGCACAGTCGTGTACAACTTCTTCAAAAGCAATTCTCATCACAAAACATACACACATATTCGGGACTGTATTCCTCTAACATAGATTTTCTCTTCTTCTCTAGTACACCGCTTCCACCAAGTCCTCTGCTCTCGACCAGACTGCCCGTGCCATCGCCAACCTCGGCGAGATCATCAAGGCCGACAAGAAGCTCGTCAACATCCTCGGTGCCCCTACCCTCAGCAACGCCGACAAGAAGTCCATCGTTGAGGAGCTCGCTAAGGTCGCCGGTGCCGATAAGGCCGGTATCCTCAAGAACTTCCTCGAGACCCTTGCCGAGAACAACCGTCTCGGTGCCCTCGAGGGTGTCTGCGAGAAGTTCGCTACCCTGATGGGTGCTCACCGCGGCGAGATTGACCTTAACATCACCAGTGCTCAGGTACGGATTTCCACCTATTTCTTCGCTTCGCAAATAGAACCATAGTCTAACGATCTCACCAGGAGCTCGATGCTAAGACCCTCTCCCGTCTCGAGAAGGCCGTTGCCAAGTCCCAGTACAGCCAGGGCAAGAAGCTCAAGGTTATTGCCAAGGTAAGTTATGAACGATGCATTATTGCCAATGTGTTATTTGGTGGTCGCTTGCTAACCTTTCTTAGGTCAACCCCGACCTCGTTGGTGGACTCGTCGTTGAGATTGGCGACCGCACCGTTGACCTTAGCGTTTCTTCCAAGATCGCCAAGATGAACAAGGCTCTTTCCGATGCTTTGTAAATGTAAATTAGCCTCAGCGTTTGAGGGGATGGTTAGACTATAGCATATCGTCCCGGATGAACGGTAGCGTTCGTAGGGAAAAGTGGGGTTCGAAAATTCCCCTTTCATCCTTTTGTTTTGTTCTCATTACTTGTCAATTGCACAAATTCATCCATCTTTGGTGTCTATCGTAGAAGAGTAGAGCGGTCCGTTGCTGAACACCACCTGTGCGAACTAATCATATTGAACTCGATTACTCGGCTATCAAATGCACTAGCTCGTCAAGGCCATACTCAGGTAATATGAATGGGTTACGAATGATAGACAGCAGGAAATGCAAGATGTATATAAAAGAAAGACAGAGAACCAGAAACCTTCAACCAAAAACCAGAGTGTTCATGAAAATCGTGTTCGGATGCAACCAAATGGGAAGGTGATCAGTCGAGAAGGCGAGAAGCAAATCAACATGACGACCAGAAGAGATGAACAAACCATCCAAATTAAGAATGTCCATTCTGCCCGTTCTCCTTATCGACTTTCGTCTCAAATTCATCCTCATACGCAGCAATCGAAGCCGAGCTGCGCACCCGCTGCAATTGACTCTCCACGTAGTGGTTGACAAGTTCCTCATCATCAGGGTGCGCAGTGCTGCCTCTACGACTGCCCACTCGACTAGGACCGCGACTATAGTCCTCATCGTCCAAGACAGTCGATGCAGCTGGAGTCGCAGCGCCAGAGTAGAAGTCACTACGGTTGCCGATGGAACGGGTGGTCGAAGAGCGGCGGATCGAGGGACGGCCAGAGCCACGCGGTCTTCCGGATCGAGAGAAGATGTCATCGAAGTAGTGCGATGCTGCGGCAAATGGTGACCGCGGAGTCTGTGGCAGACGGCAGTTAATGCCTGTGTCGTGGATGACCTTTGCAATCAGTCCAGTCCATCCGCACTGGTGCGATGTGCCCAGCCCACGTCCGGTGTCGCCATCGAAGAACTCGTGGAACCATAAATGGTCTTTCCAGTGCTCGTCGAAGTCAAGGAGATCGGAGCCAGCGTTCACGGCACGTCGGCCTTCGTCGTTCCGTGCGAACAAGTGCTGCATTCGGTGCTGTAGCTCCTCTGCTACGTGGCCCAGGTGCATGTAGTCGCCTGAGCCCTTCGGGCACTCGACTTGCAGTGTGTCACCGTAGAACATGTAGAAGCGAAGAAGGGATTCGACGAGAAGGAAGTTAACGCAGAGCCAGATGGGTCCGCGCCAGTTACTGTTACCACCGAAGAGCGAGGAATCTGAGTCGCCAGGAACATATCCGACTTTGAAGGTTTGTCCGTTGACATCCATGGAGTATGGGTTATCTTCGTGGAACTTCGACATAGAACGAATACCGTGCTTAGAGAGGAACTCGGTTTCGTCCAGCATTCGCTCCAAGATTTTGATTAAGCGATCTTTGCTGACGAGTGCTAGCAGAAGTCGGTCGTCTTTGCCGCGGCGCTTCATGCTGGCAATATTACGCTCGGCCACATCTGCCTTGTTCTCGATGAACCAGTCCACTCGCCGCTTGAACGAGGGGAATTTCTTGATGAGCTCGGGCTCTAGGGTGAGCACTGCATATAGAGGGATCAGACCAACAAGGGACCTGATAGGCAGCTGCTGGGTCCATGGTCCGCCATAGGAAATAGCATCGTAATAGAAGTTGTCTTCTTCGTTCCAGAGGGACTGAACCGTGTCATCACCCGAACGGAAGGTCATTGCATCGCTGATGAGCAGGAAATGCTCAAAGAACTTCGATGCAATGTCCTCGTAGATGCGACGGTGCTTGGCCAGCTCTAGAGCAATGTTAAGCATAGTCAGACTGTAGAAAGCCATCCAGCCTGTGCTATCAGCTTGCTCAAGCACACCGCCAGTAGGCAATGGCTCTGAGCGGTTGAATAGACCGATATTATCAAGTCCCAAAAAGCCGCCCTCAAACACATTCTTGTCACCTGAATCCTTGCGGTTCACCCACCAGGTAAAGTTTAGAAGTAACTTTTGGAAGACACGTTCTAGGAAATCCAGATCTTGTCGTCCGTACATCTTACGCTCAATTTTGAACGTACGGAACACGGCCCATGCGTGCACGGGAGGATTCACATCACCGAAGTTCCACTCGTACGCAGGAAGCTGGCCGTTGGGGTGCATGTACCACTCACGGGTGAGAAGGTCAAGTTGCTTCTTTGCAAAATCAGGATCCATCATGGCCAGCGGGATACAATGGAATGCAGTGTCCCATGCGGCGAAGAATGGATACTCCCAAGAATCTGGCATCGATAAGATATCGTCGATGTAGAGATGGCGCCACTGCTCATTACGAATACCCTTTCGGCCTGCTGGGGGAGGAATTTTCCCGGGATCACCGTTACTCCATTGGTCCCATATAAAGTTGTAGTACTGTTTGCACCACATCATTCCAGAGAATGCTTGACGCTGGATGTTCCGAAGATCGTCACTCATTGGGAGGGGGTTAATGTGATAGTAGAAGTCATCCGCCTCGGCGCGGCGCTGTTCAATCACATCATCAAGGACTTCTTCGTCAACGAATTCTTCCTTTTTGCGGGATACTCTGAAACGAACGACGGCGCATTCTCCGGGAGGGACTCCCTCGCCATTATTGAAGGCGTACCAAGCAGCAAACTTAGTACCTTCGTTATCTGGGTTGATTGCACCCTTCTCTTCTTCGACAATGTGTCGGTGGAATGCATCTTTAACGTACGGGGTGGAGTTTTCGGTACCCCAAAGGACCTTGTTGTTACTCTCATTCTCCGTGAACATCATCTGAGGCTGGATATCATCATCGCTGGATCCGACGGGAGGCGAGGGTGCAAAAGAAACATATCGCTCGCCGATATTTTCGTGCTTTGATTTGGCGACTAGTGGTCCCTCTTTCTTGATAGACGGTTTCTCTTTTTGTCCCCCGTCCCACGCCCATGTGTTTCGGAACCAGACATGAGGGACGATGTGTAAATGAGCAGGCTCTGGGCCACGATTGTACGCAATGACACGGAAGAACAATTCTTCCTCGTCATCGGCCTCCTTGGCAGTCTCAATAAAAATATCCCAATAGCGATTTTCTTCGAAAATACCAGTATCAAGGATCTGATACTCTTTCTCCAATCGTGAGCGCTTTGCATTCTCATCAATGAGATCTTGGTATGGGAATTTTCTCTGGGGGTATTTGTAAAGGAATTTCATGTAAGAATGCTATACGCTGGAGGTCAGTATCAAGGGGCAAGAGCTGGATGGGATTGGACATTGAGTTTACCGTGGGCGTATTGTCCACATGGAAATGGGCCTCCTTGACACTCTCGCCATGATTACCTTGAGGGTTCGACAAACCAAACAGACGTTCCTTCAAGAAGTCACTGTACCCCAGTCAGTCTCCATGCGGGGCAGTTGGACCCACAGCGTTGGGATGGGGGGTCTCGACTTACTCCTCTCCATTCCAAAACGCAAAAGCGATGTTCTGCAGACCATGTGTATCTGATACTCCGGCAATTCCATCTTCACCCCAGCGGAAAGTTCTTGATCTTGCGTGATCGTGGGTGAAATAGCTCCAGGCATCACCGTCTTCACTGTAATCTTCTCTGACTACATCATGAGAAAGTGAGGGTTAGCCTGCTGCCTCTCCGTTTGCTACTAGGGTTTGCAAGCTCTCACCTGTGGCCCACTGTCTTTCCGCCTGTAGCAATGAAAAAGAGCTTTTAGCATTGTCACATAGTCATTAGACCGATCGGGGGGTATGGTATCTCAACTTACCACGTATGGTCCCCATCGCTTTTTTCCGGAATATAAGTTAGCAAGCATGTTCGATACAATGTAAGCTTCCAAAATTGGCAGGGATCATACCTTCCAATATTTAGTTCTCTCGCGGTCTTCTCTTAGGCGCTTCTCCTCCTCGGTGATCACTTCTCTCCCGTCGATTAACACCATGATGGCAATTGTACAGACAGAACTGAATTAGAATTGGCAACTCGGATTAAGAGAAGAGGAAAAAAAAAGACGAGGAGGGGAAGAGAGGGGTGTGCAGAAAGGGCCGTGCCAAAGCAGAATGACGTGAATCCATGTCGGGTGGAGACGATCGGGTGGAGACTCGGGTCGGATTAACTGAGCTCTCTGATTGGCTGGTTGGGTTCGGTTCGGGCCTAGAAGCTGCCCAGTCTTGTTTCTGCCCCCCGAAGCCTACGTGCCATTGACTTTTTTTTCGCATAAATAGCTCTCGCTGCCTGAGAAACCAAGACAGTGAGCTCCACTGGCTGCATCGGCTGCATCAGCTCCATCTGCACTGTGATTCCTTGCCCTAAGTTGGCGTTATCACATTGCTACCTGCAGATGTGCCTCATGCTAGATGATACATCATCAAAGCCACGGATAAGGGAAGAGCCTAACAAAAGAAAGAAAAACACACTACAGGCTAGCGGCAAAGAAGTGGATGTTACTCGGAGATTCGAAATCCAGCCACAGCTAGCCCATCAAACCTACCAACGTCCTCTTTGGGTGTAAAAATATTTGACATTGCTTCGAAACCAGATGCTCTTTAGTGCCAGACTTGTGGAAACTGTGAACTTAATTTCTCACTCCTCGTAAACGCTTAGCCCGACTCCAACTATGTAGTGCCCCAAAGGTCAGTGCGATTTTTGTCGGACCATACACCGACCTACACGGCTTCCATGCATGGCGGGAGTGGCGGTAGATTTGTCTCGGTGATGAAGCTTATTGGACCAAGTTTTTGATACCCGTGGACGCCTCCACAGTTGTTTGTAGTAGTAGTGTGGCTTCAAGTGTTCGTTTCCCGAATCATTCGTGACGATTAGAGCCTACGCTCAGCTTATTGTGTATTTAACTGCTTTTACACTTATTGTCCACGATCAAGGCTGTTTTCACATGTATTTTGGGCTTCTCTTGTGGTTCTTGTTTTGAGAGAGGCCTAACAAAATTAGAGGCTGCGTGGTAAGAGACTGGAGGGTTGATAATGAAATGATAGTGACAATGATCAAGCCCTTAATCACTTAGGGTATACTTAATGTATCAGCTCTGAGAGGAAATTCCGATATAGGGGCCATTGATCATAACTTGCACATGGTGCCTCCTTTGGCCTCACACTATCATTGCTCTCCTACCTACATTGTAGATGAATACGACAACTCCTTCAAAGCACCATACTCTGATCTTTCATACAAGCTCGATCTTGTCTCTCCTCTTCTCGTTTCTCATCCAGCTCTCTCTCTCTTCTTTTCATTTTCCATACATCTCCTATCTCCCATTGATCTCTTCATACCGGATTCACGTTTGCTCTGCGGCGCCTTAGATACGAGGCAAATATGGAAAATGCGTCCCCATATAATCCAAATGAAGGCACTATTTATGCCGAATTCGAGGATCCCCGCCGCATGCAACTAATTCAAGCCATTGTTGCGCTCTCGCCGGAACTTGCAAAGCTCCCAAGGGACACATACTTCTGTCTATGGCTGGCAGATATTTCCCGCTTGGAGGTTCTCGCAGATCCCAAAATCGACAAGACACTCCGATACAATTCAATCATGAACCTGATTCCCGATCCGTGTTTGATTGGGGCCAGAGCTTTTGAACTCAAGGGACCTCGGGATCAACAGGTTGCAAAAGCGGTTTGTCTCTTAGAACCAGCAGGAACCGTGAAAATAATGAAAGAGCTAACATGCTTCTAGAGTTTAGAGATAGATAATAACATATGTATCCTTACTCAGACTGGACAGCCGGGTCTTGTTCCGGCTCGCATATTCCCCTACTCTTTAAACGGCAGCGATGGCGCGAAAACGTGGAGGTTTCTTTCGATGTTGTGGACCGAAGAGAAGGTATCTGCGTGGAAAGAATCAATCCTTGAGTTCTCGCCCGATAGACAGTCTTTGATCAACACAGAAAAGGTTGAAAACTATATTACCCTCCACATCGGACCGCATAATTTGTGGAATAGATGCGGCTTTGCGCTCCGACCTATCTTCTTGGACGCAAATCAAACACACCTAAGATTGCAATTCCATTATTTACCATTGAAGTCAAATGTACCGAAGACCTTTCGTTCCGAGCTAGTTGATACTGCAAGCAAACCTGATCTTCCCTCTCTTGAAGAGCTGGACTATTGTCCCAGTCAACCGCTCAAATTATTTTGTTTCGATGGCGAGGACCTCATGAGTGGAGAAGACATCGCTATGTGGAGCTCTGACCCCAAAAAATACCCACTTCCATCGTGGCATCTTCTAGAGATGCAGTGGATATTCTCGAGGATCAGTGCAATGTATGGCGCGAGTGATCCTCAGGACGAAGCAAACGAGTGCTAATGGTGAAAATCACGTCGAACTTGAGAAAGATGCCAGAGTGTGTCCCCTAGAGAAGAGGGAAACCGCCTCTTTGAGTTCACATACTAGATCCCAGCAATTACAGGGTCCGTTTGAAAGCCGTGGAGGCGATGGATGGAGAAGTCTGGTGAAAACCACAATGTTGTAAACTTATACCATTGCTGGACCCTATCTCTATCCTTTAGCTTCTAATGACATAGCTTTTTCAAAAGAAAGAAGTGGTGCGAATGAGTAGACTTTGATGCTAGGACTTGTTGCTGTCTCTGTAGGTCAAGAGAGGATTGGTTATGGGAATCGTGAGACCCCCCCCCCCCCCCCACTTTCTCGGTCTGGTAGCGCTGGCTAGGGAGATTTCAGTTGTCACCAATATTGAAATTATGGGAGGATTGATGTGAAGTGAGGCATGTTTATCGTGCATACACCGGGGCTGACACCTCTCCCTAAAGCCCGTGCTCAGGAAAACAGGGACAATGACGGCATCGAGTGGATAATTGGGCGCCCAATTTCTGATTACCAGTCTCTGATTGGCCGGTAAGAAGCCCATTGGCCTCTCGACTGCTTATCGGGTCGGGCCTCACAGGACCAGAGCTATATGTTCGTACAGAAGTACATGCATCTAGGTCTGATATCAGAAATACCCCATAGAGTAAAGATATTCAGATGCTCTGTTCTGGCCGCAAGTCTGATTGAAGAGTTCCAATTTCAGAGACAAAGGCAAAAACCCGGGATGAATCGCAGTTTACGCCGTAGCAGTGCAAACAAGGGGTGGCCGTAGGAATACCTACTTAGGTAGGTTCCGAGGCCAAATACATACAAAGGGGTTTCTCAAAGGATGCCAAAAAAAAAAAAAAAAAAAGCAAATCGAAAAAAAAAATCATCCCAATAAAAACAACCATGCCTGGAACATTGCGTCTACTCAGACGCGGCGCGAGTCCAATATTTCGGATCGCAGAGTTTCCCTCTCTGCTACGCTCATCCAAGCCTTAACATAGTTCCAAACTCCGGGACTGGTGGCCTTTATGTGGCCTTCCAGATGTTCTCAGATTCCCAGATGTTCGGAATTCAGTTGTTTCCCCGCTGCTCAGACTGTTTAGGCTGCTGCTCGCTGTTGGATCCTCTCTGGGAAGCTGTTATACAGTCAGATCCCGCCATAGCGCAAACCGGCCGACTATATCAATCGGCCCCGCAAAAAGATCAGAACGAGCGCTCACCAGCTGACTGGCCTTGTCCTCGACTAGTTTGGGACGAAGTGTAGCCACCCATGGCAGCCTGGGATTGGAGGCGTCTCTCGGCCTCGCGGATCCGATTCTGCAACTCTTCCAACTCACGGTTTTGGATCAACATCTGCTGCTTCCTTAAGGTCCAGGTTAGCGCAATAAAAAAGATGATTGCGATATTACGATGATAACGCGAGTTGCATGCGATATATAGGGAACAGGGATCGAGTGCTACTCACTTCTGATCGATGGTGTGCGAAAGGTCGTTAACATCTGAATCCAGCATGAACGCGCTGTCCAATGCCGAGGAGAAAGCTTGCGCCATGGTCCTATCCGGTCACGGTTAATGCCACTATCCCGAGATCCGATGACAATATAGGGAAACGAACGACTGCGGCCGCATCTTCGGCTTCCACTCGCGATCCATATCAGACATTTTGATATGGTAGGTGTATGATGGGTTTGACTGTGTGGTATCACAGCACGGGCTGATCTCCACGGCTGTAGAATCGACGAAGAGAGAGATGTGCGACGACTAAATCAAGCGGGGCAAGAGAAAAGGCGCATATAATTAGGAAATTAGGCAGTTGGAGTATTGTCGAGACCAGGACCAGCCGAGAATCACAGATGAAACCGAAAGGTCTGTTTGAATGCGCCTGATCGGAGAAAATCAGGGTCAGTTTTCTTATACTTCACGACAGATAAGGCACTCTCTAGTGGGGAGATGGAATACCGAAGAGAGCAGTAGGTGTATCAGTACGGAGAAGAAGATCAGAGGGATAAGCAAAGAACTTTGGAGACCTGCCAGAAAGCTAAGGGGGAAAGAAGAAGAGGGAGAAGTGCGAAATTAAGAGATGATCATAGCCCACCGACTATGTTACTAGGCACGGTAATTCGTGGAGGGCCCATATCCACCGCAAGGAGAGAGCTTGTAAGTGTTACAGCTGTATTACAGAAGTCCTGGCTCCATCGACGCCATTATGTGTCGCATTTTCAGATATAGGGGGTTTCAGGGGTTGAACTCGGTCGCCGTCCATGGTTGCCACCGTTGTTGTCCTGATGTGGATATTATAGTCTACTATATACGGAGTACGGAGGACTCTATACTCCAAAGCGATTGAGCTAGAGATAGAGGCTCACCTGTACGGAGTATCTGTTCAGCATATACCGGTGTCTTACTCTGGTCCTTTATAAGGCAGACCACACCCCCTGACAGACGTGGGGTTCCAGGCAATTAGGGGGTTTCATTATTGAATTACCCATACGGAGGAGGTGATTTCATACTCCATTCATGCACTGGAATCCACTGGAATATAAAGATCGAGGGCTGAAGAAGTCCATGCTTTCCGATATAGATGAACGAAACAATATATATCGTATAGATCGTGAGGGCCCCTTGATGGAGTCACTCGCATGGCATTCTGGCAGATTCCTCCCTGGCAACTGGTCACATGACCCATACCATACAGTACAGCATCGTGAACTCCATCCCCCCATTCCAATCTCGATTCCCATTTTCATCGTCATTTCAATTTCCAGAGGGTCTTTCATCTATTTGCCGTGTTTGAGACCCTAGTTTCCACGCGTTCTTCCCTCGTGGCCCGTTGTGGTCGCCGTCCGTTCATTTTTTTCTTCGAAATTTTCGCGCGGATGGATTGAAGGGCTATGCGTATTGCGTTCCCAGCCTGTCGCGTTTGCTATTCTTAAGTCCTAGCTAAATTAATTCCCGGAGCTCGCCTTTCAGCGATACCGACCACCTTCACTGACTACCTGGATCGCCCACCACCGTGGCCCCTATCTTTAAAGCCCTTTCCCCCAGTGGCCGACCGGACGGGCAATGGGGATGCCTCCTCTGTCGGCATACACTTCGTTTGAGTCGCTTCTCTTTTTCCAGTCCCTAGCGACTTCGGATTCACGACCCTCTAGCTTCGGCTCAATCTCGACTCTGTTGCGCAACAATGAGCTCGTGCGCGAGGATGTTGACTTCGATGCCGACCGCCTGACCCCGGAGGCGTTGGAAGATCTGTATGCGACGTTAATGCGCGATGGATTTGGCCGTGATGCTGCGTTGTCGGTCAATGGCCGACCCGCAGATGGATCCAGTCCACCTAATCCGAAAAAGCGCAAGATCTCCAGTCCGCGACCAGACGGATTGACTGGCGGATTCACCCATACTACCCTTGTTCCAGAACTGGTAGCACATCTTTATGCCAAATACAGAGATCTGGTCACCAAGGAAATCAGGGATGATGAGAAGCGGTACACGGAAATCAAAGCGGAGCTGGAACGACTACGCAGGGAGGACGATAAAGCAGCCGTTGCGGCAGCTAAACCGGTTGAGCCTATGAAGCCGGTGCATATAGAGGCGAAGGGGGCTGATCTGAAGGAAGAAACGCCGCGTCAAGATGTCCAAGATCGAATAGGTCAACCTCTTGCGGCGACTGTCCCGCTCGCGCAGGAAAAGCCAAAGCCTGACCAACCACCACAGCACATTGCAATAAACGTGCCCTCAAACGAGCGTCTAAAGCCACAAGCTGCTCCTCCTGTCACTCAACACCCCGCCCCACTTCCCCAGGTGCAAACCCCAACTCCCAAACCTCAAGGATTAGCCGGGCAAATATCTCAACCGCAACCGCAACCCACCGTCACTCAACCCCTACCAAAGCCGCTTATCCAACCTCCGCTTGCCCCCTCTACCCAGAGAGCTCCTCCAACTACACCAGCCGGGCCTCGAATTACACCGGCACATCCGTCGCAAATCGCCCCCCGTGCTAATCCTCCACCACCTCCGTCAAGCATTCCAGTCAAGGCTAGCCCTTTAGTGCCAGCCTCCCAGCGAACCCCTGCCCAACCGAGTTTTCAGCAATGGCAGCTTGATCCTTCTCCCCACTCGCCATATCCCGCCGTCTCCCCGGGTACCGTTACACCCGGACAAGCAGCTCAGACTACGAAGCGACCCTTACCACAACCTTTACTGAACCAGCCGTTGCCAGGGCCCCAAACCCAGGCTCCCTTTCAACCTCATGTTCCACATACACCTAGCGCCATCCCCCCTGCTGTTCACACTCCTGTCCCAATTGGGCGCCCCCGTATTTCTCAAACCCCGAGTTCTACATTCCCCTCATTCTCCGAATCGCGAGCCTCTCATCCACGCCTCTCAATTGACACGCAGGGTTCCTCGACCCCTTGGAAGAGAACTCCTCGTGCGAGCATTCCGCATTCTCCAAACTCACCGGTACGACCACGACCAGAGGATGTTAGTCCCATTAGTGAGAGAAGCCAATCACCAGTTGATGCGATGGAAATGTCCCCCCTCCAAGAATCAAATTAGGCCAGCGAGGTCAATCTCCAGAGGACAAGAAACTGCGACGTGGTCAGCCCGAGATCAAACCTGCTACGATTATAAAGACCGAGAAGTCGGTTCCAACTCGAAGGACGCGTGCCGTGAGCTCGGCCTCCTCCCGGAGTCGCGGGCGATCCATCGCTTCGCGTGATGGGTCTGTTGCACCGTCGGAAGATACTCAGCGGGAATATCGGCCAACAGGCCGCCGGAAAGGTGCAGTTGCAACAGCTGATGATGAGACTCCTAAAGCGCGGACAAAGCGTAAACGCGGAGCAAGTGAAGCACTCGAGCCAGAACCCCACCCCGCAGATATTCCAAAATTTGACACAACCCGATATGTCATGGCTACACGCAATTTCCACCGGACTGCGGCGCCGATCATGAACGATGTAGCTACGCACAAGCTCGCATCCATCTTCGCCAAACCAATTGGGGAGCGCGACGCCCCTGGCTACCACGACCTCATCTATCGTCCACAAGATCTCAAATCCATCAAATCCGCCATTCATCAAGGAAGCAAAGCCGTCGCCACCGCGGCGGAATCAGTCAGCACCCCAGCTGCAGATGGAGAGTCACCTGTTCCTGGCGGCACGCCCTCAAAAGGCGGCGTGCTCATGTTGCCAAAGAATGAAGACTTCATATCACCCAAGGGCATTGTGAACTCCGCACAACTGGAGAAAGAATTGATCCGCATGTTTGCCAACGCTATCATGTTCAATCCAATTCCCCAGCGAGGATTCGGCCCCGCCTTCCCCATGTCTAGCGATCGTGGCTCGCGCGAAAGCACTCAGATGGGCGACGTCGATGAAGGGGGTATCATCCAAGACTCGTTGGAGATGTTTGAGGATGTTCAACAGGCTGTTACTCGGTGGCGGGCTGCTGAACGCACCGCTGATGAGTTGGCCAATAAGAATGTCCTCTCTCTTCGGCGTGGTAGCGCTAGTGATTTCAACACTGATAGTGCTGATGATGTGAAGGGGTGATCGGCCCAGGAGCTCACTTCTTGTATTATGAACTTTGTATTTGGTTGGGATCTGTTCTTTGATTTTCGAAATGAAATGCCTCATGATGTCTTTCGCCGGTGCCTTCGATAGCCCGGCGTTTATTAATACTCCTGCTCCCCTTGTATACTCTATCTTATTCTCCAGGTTCTCCCCCAAGAGCGCCTTTCCCAGGTCTATAGGTCAACATGTATGGTGAATGTACCTAGATAACCCTCATAAGATACACGACGAACGAACTTCTGGTTGAAAGTCTCACAAATTACAGGCGCTTTCTAGGAAGGTCGTGATTCGAATTGCGAAGGAACAAACCATCAGAACTCGAAGAGGGAAGACATCTACACAGGAGGGTTGATGCATATCAGCGTTTATATCATTCCAACGTTGTCATGACCTTTCAAGAGCCAGTCCTGCTGCCTATGGGGGGTATATCTATCGTTTTGTCTATTTTTAACAGCCGATCTGAGCCCGACTGCAACAACTTCTCATAATCAAGCAGCCTGCTCCGGCCTTGTTCGTCCAAGACCCTCCTTCGCATAGAAGTCCATGGGATATACACCATTATTGGCCGTATCCCAATTCTCCCGCACCCCCAGTGCGACCAGCGCCTCATACGGCGTCAACAGCGGCCGTGTGAACGCGTATCCCCAATCAATACTCAGTCGCGGACAAGCAATTTGTACCCAGCACTCTACATCCGCCATGGAGGCTAGCTTGCCAGGGAAGATCTCACTGAGAAGAAGGTTCACGATTGGGATCCCGCGCTCGCGCAAGTGTCGCTCAATCATCGCCATTGTGTGCGGGTTACCTTGTCGACCAAGCGAGCCGAGGATGATTCCCCACTTGCGTGCGGTCTTGGCTGTGGCAATTGCGTCTCGTCGGATCGTGTGCATCTCCTCGTGCTCATAGCTCTCGCGAGTCAACGTCCGCGAGTACGGATCGTACCGGTAGGCTGGGATGGAGGGGTTGTGGATCATGGCGGATTCGAGGTGGAAGTGGCCATCGCCGAGGTAGAGAATCGCGTCGATCTCTGTATCTGAGAGTTGAGGCGATGTGCAGCCCAGAATTTCACCCTTTGACAGCGGTGTTATTTGCGGGATAGTGACACGGAAGCCTGCGCGTTCGAGTACCGGTTTCAGACCGTGAAGCGTCGCATTGAATTGGATTGTGCCCACTGTTGCGATGGACTGGCCCGGCTTGAAGTTGCGTTCTAGTGTTGCGATGAGGTGGGTTGTGTCGATGCTGATATCCACGAAAATGTAAAGGGTCTTGATCTTTGTTACGTCGACCGGGATCAGGCAACTGTGTGCGTAATGGACCAACAGATCGCAGCCCAGTGCTCGTGCTGTATAATCGTCGATGCAGCATGCGCCGTAGGTCACATCGCCCATGATGAGGGTTTCTATTCCCGGGCAGAATTGGGTCAGGATATCCGAGATGGTCGTTGCGAAGATGAGAAGTCCCTCGGGGAATTGGAGGGCTACTCGCTTGGCCCCCGATGTGCGGACTCGGTGGATTGTCTTGGGGATCTCGAATGAATAGTTGCTGGGGAGCAGCTCGATCGCCGCGAGAATCTCGGGATCGTTCAGAATCTCTGCTGGCACTTGATTGAGGGTGCGGGGGGTGCGTCGAGGAGCGGCTAAAGGAATTGAAAGTTAGTATATGTATCCCAACTGATCAACGCGCCAATATGTACCTGTTTGCAGCGCCGTGGACTCAACATCTTTCTGGCTGGTCGTATCTTTCTGGGCTTGCGCATCTGCTGTTCGTCGGCCGACAAATCTTTTCTTTGGCTGTCTCATCTGGCTGGGGGCTTGTGAGCCATCCTCAATCGAGGGTGTGGGAACAGTTGACTCCATGATATCCAGCTTGATCTGAATATAGAAAAGAGTATAACGAAAGTTGGACTTTTCGCTGATTGATCTCGACGATCAATATCATCCCACTTCTTTTTTCTGCCGACTGACTCAGCAGTAGGTGGGGTGATCCACTAGGCCCAAAGAGGTAAGGCGCTCTCCGCATCTCGGCCTCCTACTCTCGCATTCCTAGAGCTCGCCCTCCTTCTCCTGCGAGTTCCCGTAAACTTCTCATTCTTCTGGCTATTCAGCTTGGTCCTTACCTCTATAATGATTGCAGCTAGCCCCAGATTGCGTCTGTTCTCCGCCTTGCGGCCCCCAATCTCTGTACGCAGCTTCGCAACCGAGTCGCGGTTAACCTCGGACCATGTCCGCATTGTGGAGGTTGGCGCTCGAGATGGACTGCAAAACGAAAAGAAGTCCATTCCAATGAAAACCAAGCTTGAATTGATCGAGCGACTTGCTAAGACAGGTGTTACCACCATCGAGGCTGGCTCATTTGTGCCCGAAAAATGGGTACCACAGGTATGATATCGCCGAGGATCATCGTGTGATATGACGATGATAGGCCGAGACTGATCGTTTTGCTATCAATCAGATGGCAAGCACAGCTGAAATTTGCGAGCATCTTCTCACAAAGCCACCCAAAGCATCATCTACAATTGCATACAATTACCTAGTTCCCAATATCAGAGGGCTGGAGAACCTGGTCAACATCATTGAGAAAACGGGAGTCCCTGCTGACGCGACCGGTGAGACATCGACGGCAGCGACAACTTCGGAGATTTCTCTTTTTGCTGCAGCAACGGAAGCTTTCTCTAAAGCCAATACCAACTGCTCCATTGCCGAATCACTCGAGCGCATCAAGCCGATTGTATCATTAGCGAAGACCAAGAATATCCGGGTACGTGGGTATGTGTCTGTTGCACTGGGATGTCCCTACGAAGGTCCGGAGGTGAATCCCGTCAAGGTAGCCGATATTACCGCCACTCTGTTGGAGATGGGGGCAGATGAAGTCTCGGTGGCAGATACCACAGGTATGGGCACAGCCCCCCGAACCATGGAGCTTCTGCAAGCGCTCAAGGCTGCCGGTATTGCTAATACCGACTTGGCGTTGCACTTCCATGATACGTATGGACAAGCTCTGGTGAACACAATTGTCGGCTTAGAGCATGGTGTGCGCATTTTCGACAGTAGCGTGGGTGGACTTGGTGGTTGCCCATATTCCAAGGGCGCGACCGGGAACGTGGCAACGGAGGATCTAGTGCACACAATTCACAGCCTTGGGATGCACACGGGGATCAGCCTGGAGGAGATGTCGAAGATTGGATCTTGGATTAGTGGGGAGTTGGGCCGGGCTAATGAAAGTCGGGCTGGGAAGGCCACTCTTGCTCGTCTTCTGGGAGAAAAAGCGTCGCTTTGATCGATTTTCACCATGGCGTATGGCTTCCCATTGTCTTCATCCGGATTAACCATGAATTTTAACGGACTTAATGCATTTGCGAACCCAACATTGACCCGTCAGTATGCTTTGAATTGTCAGTTTAGGCCATCTTGTTATGTACACTTCAGGTGCAATCAAATCCTCATTTCTCCATCTCCGGTTATGGAGATATTGAAACCCTCGACAAGAAATACCAACGCCAGCATGATGCAAATCAAGTAGAGTACACTCAGAAATCAGTGACGCGACCACCATAGCTCCAATCACTACCCGCACCCCATCGCAGAGGCTCGTTCTTTGGTCCACCCACTTCACCAGTCTTAGGGTTCGTCTCGCCCTCGAACTCAGGCTGCAGTCCCTTTGGCGCATCGGGATGAAGCTCGCCACCACTGCCGTCTGCCTGGATTTCGGCCTGTGGAGATTGGTTCACTTGAGGTGTACTGAAGGCGCCAGTTGAGCGCTTCTGGAGTTGCTCGAAAATCTCTTGTTCCTCCTTGGGAAGGCGTGGGGGAGCCGGGGAGTCTGAGAAAGGCATGGGTTTGCCATCGTCGCTCGGTTGGCGCAGGACTCGTGTTGTGGAGAGCGGGCGGACTGCGCCGCGGGCTGTGGCAGCCGAGAGAATTGAACGGCGAATAGTGAGGAAGTATGTCATTGTGTTTTGGTATGAGAGAAAAGACAAGTCCAATGAGGCAAATCTGAAGTTGTACGGGGAGATATCGGGACCTCGGGATGTTGACTCGCTCCACAAATGTGACTAAGACCGCCGATCCCGATATCGCGTTTTTAATTTCTCCCGGCTGGTCACTGATCCGATCAGACGTTGGTTACGATTCTCTTTTATTTTGCTGCAGGTTAGCTCTTTGGTCTCCTCTTTGTTTTTTCAAAAGCAAAATCAGTCATGTCTGCCCTCCGTGTGGCCGCGCGCCGTCTGCCTCGCGCTTCCAAATTTGTTGCTGCGCTTGAGTCACCAGTACAGCGCCGATTCGCAACCACATCCACTGCCCCCCAGGATTTGAACACCCGGTCTAAGGTACGTGCTACTAGTTCAGATCAGAAACATATTTAGCTCTGGGACTAACAGTTGCACAAAAGGCGCAGACGACTCTTCCCAACCCCGACCCTTCCGCCGACTCGGTCACCGCGTCCTTTATCAATGAGCGTGCGCCGTTCATGGTCCCAACTTATGTCCGCCCAGCTCCAATGATGATGAAGGGACAGGGCTGTTATTTGTGGGATATGGAGAACAGACGGTATCTGGACTTGACGGCCGGAATTGCGGTCAACTCTCTTGGCCACTGTGACCCGGAGATCGCGAAAATTATTGCGGAGCAGGTGCGCAGTGCTTCCATGGACTGTACATCGTTCAGTTGCTAATTCTATACTCTGAAAAATAGGCTGAGACCCTCATTCACGCCTCTAACCTTTACCACAACCCTTGGACCGGCGCCTTGAGCAAATTGCTGATTGAGCAGACTCACAAGTCCGGTGCTATGCGCGATGCCTCCCAGGTCTTCATCTCCAACTCTGGAACCGAGGCCAACGAGGCTGCAATCAAGTTCGCCCGCAAGACCGGACGCTCTTTGGACCCTTCGGGTGCTAAGCACGAGTTCGTCTCCTTCCACAACTCGTTCCACGGCCGCACAATGGGCGCCCTCTCCGCCACCCCCAACCCCAAATACCAGACTCCCTTCTCGCCCATGATCCCCGGATTCAAGTACGGAGACTACAACCAGATCGAGCAGCTTCAGACCCTGATCACTGATAAGACTTGCGGTGTTATCGTCGAGCCCATCCAAGGTGAGGGCGGTGTCAACATCGCTACTCCTGAGTTCCTTGCCGCTCTCCGCAAGCGCTGTGATGAGACCGGTGCAGTCTTGATCTTCGATGAGATCCAGTGCGGTCTCTCCCGTACAGGTTCTCTCTGGGCCCATGCCCACCCCTCTCTCGCCCCTGCCTCTGGCGAGGCTGCTCACCCCGATATCCTGACTACCGCCAAGGCCCTTGGTAACGGTATTCCCATCGGTGCGACTATTGTCTCTGGCAAGACCGTTGCCCACCACATTAAGACCGGTGATCACGGTACCACCTTCGGCGGTAACCCTCTGGCCTGCCGCGTCGCTCACCACATCGTTGAGCGCCTCGCTGAGCCGGAGCTCCAGCAGTCCGTCAAGGACAAGTCTGAGCTCTTCATTTCGGGCTTCAAGGCTTTGCAGGAGAAGTTCCCTACCGTGGTCTCCGAGATCCGCGGTCGCGGCTTGATCCTGGGTCTTCAGCTCACCCCAGAGTACACTGCTAAGGCTGGTGATATTATCACTGCCGCCCGTGAGCGTGGCATGCTGATCATCACTGCTGGTAACGGTTGCATCCGATTCGTCCCTGCCTTGACGATCACTGAGGACCAGATTCAGTCTGCTCTGCGGATTCTGGAGCAGGCTGTGGACTCAGTCGTGGCCTAGTCATAAGTGTCCTGCCTTGAACGCTGCTTACGACTTTGTTTTTCCCGATACCATCTTGGATGTGATATTTAGCCTCCCATTGCATCATATTATAGAAACTAGAGCAATAAAGGAAAAGTGTCCAAAGTGGAGAGCCAAGTCTCAGCCACGCGTTGGGCGGAAGGCGGTGGATCTCGTGGAGATAAGGAGTCGTCACTCTTCGCGCGTGATTCAACATGACTCCCGTATTCCTTCAGGTCTCTATCTTTGTTTTTGGATTAGAACATAATGGATTTGGCTTCTCTCGTCATTTCGCTGTAGTCACTCGTCAACCCCAACGCAACTTCCCGAATGCCTCCTCCAGCGTCTGATGAGGATGCTGCGACGCTTTCCTCCCAAGAGCACCACCCTTCCCTCTGGACTCGTCTCAGCACTCGCTTTGGTGATGCCTTTAGTGGTGCAGACCCGAGGGTCTGCATTGCTTTCTGGCTCTTCGGTGCGCATACTCGAGTAGCCCAGATGATCAGCTCAACTGACCCCCGTACCCAACAGGTCTTATCAACAATGTTCTATACGTGATCATTCTTTCCGCAGCTGTAGATCTAGTTGGACCCGATGTGCCAAAAGGCGTCGTTCTCCTCGCGGACGTGATTCCCTCGTTTGCGACCAAGCTTGTCGCCCCGTACTTCATCCATCTGGTCCCGTATTGGATGCGCATCCTGGTCTTCGTTTTCCTATCGGCTGTGGGCATGCTAGTTGTGGCTATGAGTCCAGGCTATACCGATGGTGGGACGATATCGGCCAAAATTGCAGGGATCATACTGGCTAGCTTCTCCAGCGGTGGTGGAGAGTTGAGCTTTATGGGTCTAACCCATTTCTACGGCCCATTTAGTCTGGCAGCGTGGGGAAGCGGTACTGGCGCTGCTGGGCTGATCGGAGCCGGTGCCTATGCCCTTGCAACTTCGGCGTTGGGGTTCTCTGTTCGTACCACACTGTTGTTTTCAGCGTGTCTGCCTGCTGTCATGGTCGTGAGCTTCTTCGTGGTGCTCCCCAAATCTCCCCTGAGATCTGCCGAAGCGAGCGTGGATGGATATCGCATTGTTGAGGGTGGTGGACATATGGAAGAAGATGAAATGGGGGATGGCACTGGCGGAGAACACGAGGGACTCTTGGGGTTGTCGCGCAGTTCCACAGATGTCCATAAACCTGTTCACGTCAGCCCGACTCCCTGGCAAGAGCAGGTGCGCACGAATCTACATCGCGTCAAAGGGCTGTTTATTCCCTTGTAAGTATCTGACATCTCTCGCTTTGTTTTTATATCTGGGCTGACAGATATCTAGCATGGTCCCGATGCTACTGGTCTATATTGCTGAGTATGTGATCAACCAAGGTGTTGCTCCGACTCTGCTCTTCCCACTGCATGAATCCCCTTTCGAGCACTTCCGCTCCTTCTATCCGACCTATAATGCCATCTACCAGATTGGCGTTTTCATTTCCCGGTCCTCGACGCCCTTCTACCGCATCCATAATCTATATCTGCCATCCCTCCTGCAGGTGGTCAATCTTGCGGTGCTGACTCTTCATGCGCTCTTCAATTTCATTCCCAGTATATGGCTCGTATTCCTTGTTGTTTTCTGGGAGGGATTGCTTGGTGGAGTGGTGTATGTCAATACCTTTGCTGAGATCGCTGACCGAGTCCCTAAAGAGGACCGTGAATTCTCACTGGGGGCCACAACTGTCAGTGATTCCGGTGGAATCTGCATTGCCGGCTTTCTTAGTATGGGGTGGGAGGTCTGGTTGTGCAACTGGCAAGTTAGACATGGGCGGGATTATTGCCGACAAAAGGCATAGAATAGAGCATACCACACTTAGATACTAATGCACATTTTCGGGGATTTTGTGGTCTTCATAAAATCATATAGCAAGCCATGAAGCATAAAAGATGAAGCAGAAAGCACAAATGCAGTGGCCGTGAGTTGTCAGATGATGTCGTCACTGGCATGTGAAGGTGGGATTCTGTTGACATGTGATTCCCCTTCGATACTGGGCGCTCTCCAATGATGACCTGCCATTACTTTCCAGGGCTATCACCAGGACCTGATTGATGGAATTACGTTGTCGAATGTGACTGTCTTGTAAAATGGACCTCTCTTTGTCCTTGGTCTTCCACTCTGTTGACTTTAATTCTTTGCATTCATCCCTTCATGCATTCTTATCTTGGTTTCACATAGACTACACTTCACAGGCTGGACTACCTAGACCGGGCCCTCACTTTGGGATATGATAGGTATGGCAACTGGCATCTAACTTGCACCCCACTAGACTAATGGATGTCTAGATCACGTTTTGGGGAGGCCTTCGACCCGCTTCCGCAAGATCCAAGTATTTGCGGTTGTCTCGTTTTGGTCGATTTACTTATTAAGGTACATCATGTCCAGTCAATATGAGGTTCAGGGGAGCTAACTGCTGAACAATCCAATAGAGCAGATAGACATGGGCCACCATTCATCCGATCTCTCTCATCCCGTCTTACAGGAAAGTTGACAGCATGGCAAACCACAGTCATCATATTCCTCTGGCTCTATCTTAGCAGGAACTTTGCCAAAATAGTCGGCCTGGAATGTCCTGAACCATTGGCAAACATGTACTCGCGATCTTTCTTCCGAGCAACATGGATCACCACCGGTCTAGATGCTGGATTTTGGACCGCCATGAACATAAAACCCAAATGGCTGAGGGATATCGCATCGCTGGTCTTTACGGTTTACTATCTGATTGCCGCCGAACAAGCAGATGAGAAAGTTCGCCGGGTCCGGGCTACTCTGACCCTAGAGCATTTGCGTGTCTCATGGAACAAGGCGACCAGCCCCTACCTGTGGACATTGGCGAAACTGCTACGTCCACGAATGACTCGGTTTCCGCCTCGGGCGATTCGGGTCCCTCGCCCCGCGCAGTCCGTTTACACTGAGCCGGTGAACGCATGGCTGTATTTTGATGGGCCTCTAAGCGCACTACAAGACCAGACCCTCGTCGTGTTTGATGTACCCGGTGGTGGGTTTGTGGCTATGAGCCCTAGAAATTCAGAGGACAAGTTACTGTCCTGGGCTGGGCGACTCAAGGTTCCTGTCATCAGCATTGACTACCAGAAAGCGCCAGAATCTGCATATCCCTATGCACTGCATGAGTGCTATGATGTCTACCATAGCATCATCGCTACCAATGGTCGTTGCATGGGTTTGAGTGGGAAGACACGTCCTCGTATTCTTGTTACTGGCGAGAGTGCCGGTGGAAATTTGGCAGTGGGAATGACCTTGATGATTTTGCAGTCAGCGATGGCTCGGGGCTGGCGTGGAGAACACGTGCTTCCAGCTCCCGATGGTTTAGTTTTGGGATACCCTGCATTGAATATGAGGGTAGAGAGTTGGATGAGTGATGAACAGATGTCTTTAATCCAAGACAAGAGCTCACGTCAGACAAATCGCGGCGTCTTGCAACGGAAGCAGGATCAATATCGTAAACTCACGCCCTACACATCCCCAGGTCATTCGGTTGAGGATCTCACTGCTATATCACCACCGGAGAAGAAAGATACCAAAGACACTAATGTGGCCGCCAAAGCCGCCAAATCTCTGGAGCAAAAACTTGAAAAGAGCGAAGACCTCGCTCCAAAGCTTGCTGCTCAATCAGAAGATGAGGTCAAGCCAATCAAGACCCGACTCGCGGTCTCGTCCATGATCACATATGTCCACGATCGCATCCTCACGCCTGAAATGACACGCGCCATGATTATTCTGTACATTGGGCCCCACCATCGTCCAGATTTCAACACCGATTTCCTTCTATCTCCAGTTTTGGCTCCGGATGCTTTGCTCGCTCGCTTCCCGAAGACATATATCATGACTGGGGAGCGAGATCCGCTAGTTGATGATACGGTAATTTTTGCAGGCAGACTGCGCCAAGCAAAGCTGCATCACTTCCGTGAACGCCAGGATCTTGGTTTGGAGAGGACGAAACGTCCATTCAATGAGAGAGACTACGTCGAAATCTCCCTGATACCCGGAGTATCCCACGGATTCATGCAAATGGCCGGTTTCTTCCCGGACGCTTGGAAATACATCCACCGCAACGCAGACTGGCTCGAGACTCTATTTGACAATATCAAGAGCGACAACTCCGAGACTGATCTGCTTGAACGTGAACGGGCTGCGAACAACTTGGGTGTCTCCCTCAAGTGGTCTGGCTCTGCAAACCGCGAAGCAACCCCCGCAACTGGCGGACGCAATCATCATCGGGGCTTGACTGGCGAGTCCTCGGGTGATGACGATCGACCCTTGGAAATTAGCATGACCAAGATGAACGAGGAGACAGTAAACGCAAGGCCCGAGCTCCGAACACGGCGGAGGAGATCACGTTCATCGTTTGCTTCCTCGCGATTCACTGGGTTTACATCGCTGGGTGATGATCGCAGCGCCAAGGACGATTTCATTGCTAAGCTCCAACAGCTAGAGAGAGCGGGTCGTTCGCGGGATCGGTTTGATCCTGATGAAACGAATAGTGCCCCTGAAAGCCCGTGTGCAGTTCGATCCCGGGGACGAAGCATTGCGTCTCTGGATAGTGAAGAGGATCTGCTAGATCGACGTATGAATGGGCTTGCTGGTGGATTGATGGGCATCGGGGAAGGGGCACAGACTCCCGGACCGTGAGATCTGACATATTCATACAATACATAGAGTTATGAGTGACGACTGAAGTTCTAGCTTATCTAGTTTTAAGCATATTCTAGAAACTACAGAGTGTTTGGATCATTTTATACTGGTTCTATGTCGATAATACTGGGCTCGACTAGTTGAATACGGACGTAATACTCAACCCCATTTAACAACAGTCTTCAGATATGAAAGAATCACAGTTTTTCTCTGATCATCGAGACTACAATTCTAAGACTCGTAAATGAAGCATGGAGAAGGGGCAGAGAGAAGAGAGTCTCCTAATGTAAGAGTTGAAGGAAAAGGGTTGGCGTGTCTGTCTATCTGGAGGTCTCCCTATGTTGTAGGGAAACTTCGATACTTGAATACAGAAGGCTGCTACTCTCTTCACTATGTGGAATCATATACTCCAGATTGTAGGAGGGAGAGTACAATAGTTTTTCAAAGTGGTCACTATATTCTCCTTACTCCACATAGAAAGTACGAAGGGGGGAGAAATGTAGGAAGGGATAGCAAGGAGATCATAAAAAGTGTACGGAGTAGATCTCGGTTAGTAGCCCTGCGAGCTGCCGACTCAGCCCTACAGATCAGGCTATATTTATAGGTCGTATTCCGTACTGTGAGAGATGATACTGCTCAAGTCAAAGATCACATGCAGGGGCATGGTATTCCCAGTCGTAGGGCTTTGGAGCTGTGAGGCTAAGCTTTCTCCCAGATGGGGCGTAACGCCTTCATTATTCCTGAGCATAGTGTAGTAAATTGCCCCCATATAGAAGGTTCTGAACATGCTATGTCTGACAACGATAGGGTCGCAGTCGGGACATTCGCTGTTTAAATATCAGCCCCCGGGTTGCTGACGGGGATTCGTATCGGACACGTAAGACATCCCCCCGTTGGACGTCCAAGGTGTCTCGGACCTTTACAAGGCAGACTAAAATGTGAGCTGGAGCGAATACAGTGAGAGTGGCTCTTTGCTGTGACTCGACGTTGAGGTTTCAGCTGGAGCTCCTGTAGACGGTTGGCATTCTCATTTGTCCGAATACAATTTAGCGCTTGCACCTACGTAATACGGTGTACTGTCAGGAGTGCGGTCTATTTAAGGAAGATGGGCACGTCAAGACTATTTCTGCAAAACTCTCATATTCTCTGCTTTGCAATCCAAGCTTCTATCCTGGAAATGAGATATGTCTCGCAAGGTTGACCAAATTCCCTTGCCGGCAGAGGCCCGGCAAATGAAAGTGATTGTCGCCAGTCCAAGTCGGTAAGCGACAGCGTTGCAAATTGGAATGACTGGAAGGATCTCTGATGGCAACGTAGATCAGGCACCCTTGGACTATACCAAGCCATGCGAATTCTGGGCTACAATACCTACCATATCTACGAGTGCTGTGCAATCCACGGCTTGCCGCATATGAAAATCTTCAACGAGGCCGTTACTGCTAGCTACAACCGACTATCCGGAATCAGGAGATACACCCCAGCCGATTTTGAAAGATGGCTGGGTGATTACGACGTGGGTGGGCTCTTTCTGCGCACAATCGGCCGACGAACTTACTCCAACAGTGTCTGGTCGAGGTCCCGAGTTATATCGGAGTAGACTTCATTGAGGCCTATACCAAGGACCCGAATGTCAAGTTCATTCTCACCGAGAGAAAGCCCGAAAAATGGGCGGCCTCCATGAACAACACCACAGCCACGCTGGTCACGATGGCGACCACATTCCCATTTAACATCATCAAGTACTTCGACTCGACTCTGTATGAGTTCTTGGACCTCAATGTGCTCATCTATCGGGCGATCGCGGGTGGGACATACCCCAGGGCACCAGGAAACATAGAAGAGCTTTGCAGATTCTATCGCAACTAGTATGTTTTCGAGCCAGAATGACGGGTTTGATCTAACAGGCTATCCAGCATCAAGGCAGTAAAGGAAATAATCCCGGCTGATCGTCTCTGCCTGATCCAACTGGAAGACGGACTGGACTGGGAGAAGATCTGCCCATTCCTTGGTGTGCCGGTCCCAGAGCAACCATATCCTGGTCGCAACGAGCCCGAGAAGTTCAAGGTCATGGTCGAAGGATTTATCCAACCGAAGATCAACGCGGCGATCATGAGATTCAGTGCTGTTGCTATTTCAACGGTTGGAGTTCTCGGCTGGGCGGCCGTGAAGTATGGACCGTCAGCTCTCGCAGCGTTGACGGGTTACTGATAGGTGACCTGGAGATGTTCGGCAGCGGTCAGAACTACCAGGTGCTTGTACATTATCAACCCAAGTCCCATGCATGATTTCACAGAATCTGAGTGTCAGTACATTCAACCAAAATTGGTCAGTATAGTGCGTATGCACCACAATCCCACCACGGAGTATCTTGTCCCAAGAACTAGCGTCCAATTCCGTTTTATAGCTCATGTGGTCCTGCTCCCTAGACTCCATCATATCATCGGTTTACAATATGTAGCTCCATATTAAGTTTGAAGCAGTAGTAATGTATAACGTAACACTTGAATGAGGGTTCAGTTGTTTCACTCATTCATCTTGCTAAAGAAAGGACTCGACACATAAAACGGCCGCTCAACAGGTGTCGCATCATGCTCCCTCTCCCCACTCCCTGTCGGTCCCAGAAGCGACTGCATTCGCGCCCAAAAAGCCTCATTCTGAACCAACTTCCCCACAGGCTTCACTGTACTCTGTTCTCGATCGAAAAATCTTGCATCCGGCTCTCCTTCATACGTCGACTCTGGACCATCTATCCATTTCTTCCCCGCCCGCAGACACTCATTCTTCATTTCCTCCGAACTCCGATTAACCATCCTCTTCCAGAACTCCCCTTCTCCAGATGGAACAACACCAGCCTGCTCAAGCATTCGAACAGCACCAGCAACCCAGTCTTGGCAATTGCCAATCCCGAACTCGGGTATGTTAGATTCGTCGTTCCCAAACGCGGTGATCAGACTCGCAGTTTGTTGGCTCTGCTCGGCAGAGAGAGAAGCAAGCTCGCAGCGACCTTTCAGGACTGGGTCTTCGAGCGGCTGTGTCCGTGGATCGTAGATGAAGTCTTCGTCTGTAGGGTTGCGTATGTGGTGCATTTCGCAGGTTGAGGAGCCGTGCTTGTAGATGGCGACTCCCATGTGCGAAGGGCCATCGCCGAGCTTGGAGTCGCCGCGACCGTAGATGTTTATTGAAAGGCCGTGAGAAAGAGACGCCATAGTGTTGAGTGGTAGTTTGGGAGTGTGCGGTTAGGCAGTTTTATCTTTGTCCTGCCCCGCACGAGGGACTGCTGCCTCGAATTCACCCACAAGCAAGGATACCTAGGCTTGGTGAGTATACAGCCCGTAATGGCCTGTCTAGGGTTTGCACGAATGAAATATTGCAGTACTCTAGATCTAAAAGGGGCTTTGAATGTGATGACATGAGAGGAGATTTTATACGCTGCTTCGAAATAGCAGATCTAGCGAATGTACAGCTCAATTCCAAATGCGACTTCGGGAATTCTGTCAGGGCACTAATCTTAGGGCGTTCACACCAGCCATTTCCTCCTGCGCGCTTGGGTACCGTCAAGGGTGAGAACTGCCTCTAACTGCGCCCACACCACCGCCAGCGTTGCCACAACCAACAGAACGTCGACCATGACACTGGTATTCTCATAGCTCGGTGGTCCAATATTTTGTTGGTTGTGCCCACGGATTAAGGCATCTGCGACTGGGGTTCTGACTAGCGTTGCAAAGCCTCGCACCATGTACAGCAGGCCATTGACACTGACAAGGTTCTGCACCCCAAACAGCTCTACGAGGCCCGTCGGACATAAGGCAACGTATGCCGAAGCGAACACACCGTAAAAGATGATAAAGGTGGTAAAAGAGTGCTCCCAGTAGACTGAGTGTTCGACAAGCACGATGGTAGCCATAATGCCAGGACAGAAATGGCGGAGATGAGCGTTGCCGGGACTAAAATGTTCAGTCTTCCCATTCGATCTGCTGCATATCCGATGGTAACCTTGCCGAATGCATTTGTAGCGTTAGAGATGGCGATAAAGTTCACCGATGATGTTTGGGAATATCCCAGTGTACGTGCAAACGAGGCGAAGAAAAACACGGGTGTGTAGTAGGCTGCCGATTGCAAAGCTGCACTGAGAGCATGGGCGATGAATTTTCGAGTCCTGACTACGCGCCAGTCGACCCGTGGTAGGCGGAAGACACTGGGTGATCGCGCATTCGCAGCATTCTCCACCTTAATGCGGCTGATTTGGCTTGTGGGCCAGCGTGTGAACATCCCCGAGGGGTAGTTGAGGCGATGATGATGGTAGGTTGGCTATAGCAGTATTATTCCGGTGCGTTGCTATGAGCGATGGCGGTACATACAGCCGATGGAGTCCGGTAACTTGATTACTTTCATCAAGCTGCATCTGATCTAGAGCCCGCTCCATCTTGCATAACAGATCTTCGTGTGTTCTCGAAAATAGCGAAGGTGAATGTGCAGTGTTCAAAGTCAATATGAAGGATGACGGCAAATACAACAAGGTTGAGGGTGGTGGGAAGTGATGGGGAGAGGTGAGATAAGGGCTATAACTTGTGAGGAAAGGAGTAGTCAACCCCCGTCGACCTTGACGAGCTTCAAGATTGTCTTTCGACTAGGCCTTTTGACTAGGCCTTTTTACATAAAACCCTCGTAAACCCGGTTTGGCCCTACTGAGGATATTCACTGGCCTGTTATACAGCCTCCAGGGTGTCCAGGTCATAGCTGGCAGGGTATGATATATCAATATAATGCTTGTTGCTATAGCGTAGGTTGGAATGAAAATTGGGCTAAGGTCCAGAAGTGATATGGAGACATTGACGGGTAGTTTTGCCCGCACAGCTCCTTATATATATGCTCTTATTCACTTTATCATGACTGTCAATGATATTTGACAATAAGGGATCTATCAGATGCCTATTTAAACAAAGGAGTTTGCTCTTCCACCAAGAGACAGTGTGGTGTGATTAATCGACACATCTACGATGATACTACATAAAGTATGAATAACCAAAGCCCAAAAGCCGGCACGAAGATAAAATTACTCGAATAAATCTTAGTAACTTCTAATTCTTGCCCTAAGCCAGGCACTATTGCCGCCAAGTAACTATATCTTGGCCTCCTAAATACGAATTAGCCTCAGCCCACCTCCACACGTAGACGCCAGATGCTGCCCCCTTTGCATAGCAACTCAAACCGATGGAGCCACTATTTGCATTGCCGAATTACCAAATACGCATTAAGGGAAGATACCCTCTTGGGTGTGTGGACACAGTCCAGCCCTAACAATGTTCCTAGGGGTGTAAGTCTGCCCCTCTCCTTCCCCAGAGAGATAACTACATGTAGAGACAGGAGCGACAAGGTACAACAGCACAAACCAGGAGATCCGCAAGTTAGCCGAGAGCACAAAACACCAATGGTTCCTCCACTAATACGCATTTTGAACCCAACGTTTGGTCATAATCTGAAGCCCAGTGGGAGGCCTCCCTCCTACGGCTAAAATTGTCTTGTCTACAGGTATCATACGACAGCTCTACCGGAAAGGTGATATCCGACTCATATTCCGCCGACATCCATATTAACAAGAGATTAAGTAGCCAATCCTTGTCTCACCAATACGCGGCTATTCTCGCAGAACCAACCCGCATTGTTTGAGAACCCCAAGAAAACAGGGAAGGGGGTCGAACCGGACACGCGCCTATCGCCGAATGGGGAATGAACTATGTCACTTGGGCTTAGTTTCACCTGTCAGGCGTTTGAAAATGCGCCAGACCAGTCGCTGGGCTCCACTAGGGCTTTATAGATGAAATTCGCCCCACCGGTGGCTGTCAGAGTCCATGGATCAGCAGTTGGTGTGATTTGGTTTTTTTTTCTTCCTTGATCTTCAGCAGGGATTTATTCGCGACGATCCTCGAGAAGCTTGCTGATTGGATGGATATGTTCTCGTTATTCCGCTTCAAGCTGTAAACCCCGAATCTTGCGGGATGTAGAACCGAAGAGCCCACTGCCGCGTAGTCCAGTATGACAGGAAGCTGTCCAGTTGTTGGCTTTAGCACCAGCTCAGGGCCTACAGAAGTACTTGAACAAGCCTATATCTTATTCGAACCCGATTTTCGGTCAAAGAAAATCCCCGTGGGCTAAGTAGTAGAGCCGAAGAGTCCATCGTCTATAAGCGACAATGGATTCTTCACGAGGCCCAGTCTCCCTCTGCCCCATATCCACTCTCTGGAACCATTGTTTTCTGACAGGTGGGCTAGCCCAATATGTTGAAGATACAGAGGTATGATACAGCATGTAGGGTTTCAATAATGGGTTCAAATGATACTGGGAATAGGATCTCTTATGGAAGTATTGAATTGTCTGAAGATCTAGATAATATCTGCCTTTTCCTGCTATTTATGCCCCTTTGTGTGCCGAGGATCGGAGTCCTTAATTTGGCCCCTAAAGGTGGGCTTTTCGGCAGAAAAGACAAAAAGGGCGTAGCGTTGATAATCCTGCGGATGAGAGAATCCTGCCTTAGGTATAGTTCTTAACACGCCCCCTTAACGTGTAGCCGTTGTATATCGTAAGATTATGTTATTAGGGACTGAGATGAATGAGGTTTCTTAGTTAAAAGGTGCAGCTTTTAGACTATAGGAAGGTGTAAAACTAGTAGTTTTGCACTGCGAAAGACGTAGGGGTTTATTCTACCGAAAGTCTATATATTTTAGGGTCGAGGTTTAAACCTACGATAAACTCTATAAATTTAGGAGCCCCGAGGGGCTTTGTTAGTCTATCTATAATATTTTTAGTCCCTTTTATATATATAAGCTTGATTTTTCCCCTTTTAACTTACTCGCGGATCTAGTGCTAGTACACGTCGATATATTTTAAACGTCCTAAAATAGTAGGGTTCTTCGTTATCGTAATCGTAGACTAGCTATCGCTATATAAAGGGATAGGGGGGAGGTCTATACTTCCTTAGTAAAAATTAAGATCTTTTAGTAGTTTTCGTAGCTAAATTACCTCTCCGCTAGCAATTAAGAGGGCTATATATTTAGCTTCGGCGCTTAATTTTACTATACTAGTCTACTTTTAAGATTTCTATAATATTAGACCCCCTACGAGGAAGAAGATATACCTAGTCCTACTTTTACTTTCTAGGGCTAATCCGTATAAGGCGTCGATATACCCCTAGAGGTCCTAATTAGGTCTAGATTAGTATATAATTACGTAATAGCTAGTACGTCCTATATAAGTAATTACTCTTTATACTAGATCCTCGTGTTTAGCGTTTAGGTTTATAGTAAACTATAAAAGTATACTTACTACGAGTGAGAGATCTAAACGTATAACTATACTAGTATAGTTAATCGAGCCTATATCGGATTAGTACTATTTTACTACCTTACTTATAGCGGTAAGGGTCTCTTCCTTTATTAGGATAATAGATAAAGGGATTATAGGTCTTAAAGTTACGGTTTTTAAGAACCTTTCGACGTATATTTTTTACGAAATTATTATTTTTCCTATCTCTCTATTATATACTATTTTTATCGAAAGATAGTAAGATAGCTCGCCGAGGTCCGACGTAGACTATTTTATTAAAATAAGGTCCTTTATAGTTTTAACGAGATCCGCTATAGAAGCTATAATTAAAAGGTCGTCGACGTATATAAAAATATAGACGATTATATTAGCGCCCCCTTAATTATACTACGTATAAAGATATAGGTTAGAAGTAGATCGTATAAAGCCTTTCGTTAATAAGTAGTCCCCTAATATATTAAACTAGTTTACTACTAACTATTTTAGACTATAAAGACTCTTTTTTAGGAGGTAGACTTTATCTTAGATCTCTAAAAAATCGGTATTATCTTCGAAATCTTTAGGGTAGTATATTAAGAGTCTCTCCTTTAGTGTAGCGTTAAGATATATAACGTTTATATTAATATAAGCTATAAAAAGCTTCTTTTACGTAATTATAGCGAGGAGGATCTATAGCGTGATATAGCTACCTATACTAGTAAAGGTCTCGGTATAGTCTAGATCTTCCCGTTATTAGAAACCTCTCGCTACCTAGCGAGCCTTAAATTTTAGGGGGGTTTCTATCCGCGTCGAGTTTTAGTTTATATACCCACTTACTAATAAGGATATATATATTCTTAGCGGGTACGGGGGTAGGGATTATCTCCTAAGCTTTAATTAAACTAAGCTATTTAAACTCGATTTTTATAGCGCGGTGCCACTAAGGCTAAAGAGGTAAATTACGTGCTTATCGGACTAATTTAGGGTCTTCTATCTATTTAGGGTCTATATTTTTTAGGGTTATTAGTAAGGGTAAGGTTAGGAGATCCTTAGATAATAGGGTTAGTCTAGCTTACGTATATAGGATAGTAGTGTATTATACTAGATCCTATATACGTTTTTTATCTACCTAAGGTATAGTGGTATAGAAAACCTTATTTTAGATCTTATAATTAAGGTTAGCGAGTTCTTCGGTAGATAGTCTTAGTAGGTCTACTAATAGGACCGATTCGTTACTAGAACTCTCGTCGATAAGTCTAAGATCTCCCTCGGAGTCCGAAAAGGAGTACTTTCTTCGGCGGAAGAAGTTATAGGGGTCTTTTCGGCGGAAGAATTTATAAGGTTTACATTATTTATAGGGTTCTTAGGGTCTGTAAGGTTCTTAGGGTCTATAAGGTTCTTAGGGTCTATAAGGTCCTTAGGGTCTATAAGGTCCTTAGGGTCTATAAGGTCCCTAGAGTCTAGGAATAGGAACCTAGACTATTTTGCCGACTGTAGGGTTTCTAGTAGGACTAGGAGATTAGGATTATTATATAGGGTCTAGTCGTCTCCTTCGTCGAAAATAACGTCTCTCCGGGTTATAATCTCTCCCCTATTTCTATCTACGTTTAGACGCTAGATACGGTATTATATACTATAGTAGCTACTATACCCGATAAGTCTACCTATCTAGGCGCGGGGCTATAAATGTCTACTTATTAATATACTAACTATAGCCCTAATCTCTTCGGGGCTTCTTATAACGTAAGCCTTACTACCGGGTATCCGTAGGAATAAGATATTAGGTTTTCTACCGAATCGTATTTTATATAGTATCTAGTTTAGGAGACCGTCTCTTTTTCTACCGAAATAGATAGTAAGGTTATAGGTTATTATTACTATTTTTATTAGTTCGGGCTATAATATATCTAGGAGTCTAGTATCGTCGAGAATAGCTCTAGTACGTTCTTATACTATTCGTATTATTCTTT